TAGCATCTCGCGCACTTTTAAATTGTCTTTCATTTGATTGTCCCTTCAACTTCTCACTCACTCTTAGAATTGTCTCTCATTAGTTTGTTACTTTAGCATCTCGCGCACTTTTAGAATTATCTTTCATTTGATTGTTACTCCAGCTTCTCGCGCTCTTTTAAATTCCTCTTTTATCAATAGTTACTTTAGCATCTCGCGCACTTTTAAATTGTCTTTCATTTGATTGTTACTTCAGCTTCTCGCGCACTTTTAGAATTGTCTTTCATTCGATTGTTACTTCAGCATCTCGCGCCCTTTTAGGATTATTTTTCATTTGATTGTTACTTCAGCATCTCGTGCACTTTAACAATTGTCTTTCATTCGATTGTTACTTCAGCCTCTCGCGCACTTTTAAATTGTCTTTCATTTGATTGTTACTTAATTCAGCTTCTTGCGCACTTTTAGGATTGTTTTTCATTGGATTGTTACGTCAGCTTCTCGTGTACCTTGAGGCGAATTGTCTTTCATTCGATTGTTACTTCCGCTTCTCGTGCACTTTTAGAATTGTCTTTCATTCGATTGTTACTTTAGCATCTCGCGCACTTTTAGATTGTCTTTCATTTGATTGTTGCTTCAGCTTCTCACGCACTTTTAGAATTTTCTCTCATTAGGTTGTTACTTTAGCATCTCGCGCACTTTTAGAATTGTCTTTCATTTGATTGTTACTTCAGCTTCTCGTGCACTTTTAAATTGTCTCTCATTCGATTGTAACTTTAGCATCTCGCGCACTTTTAAATTGTCTTTCATTTGATTGTCCCTTCAACTTCTCACGCACTTTTAAATTCTCTTTTATTCGATTGTTGCTTTAGCATTTCGCGCACTCTTAAATTATATTTCATTTATTGTTACTTCGGCTTCTCGCGCATTTTTAGAATTGTTTCTCATTCGACTCTTACTTTAGCATCTCGCGCACTTTTAAATTGTCTTTCATTCGATTGTTGCTTCAGCCTCTCGCGCACTTTTAGAATTGTCTCTCATTCGATTGTTACTTCAGCCTCTCGCGCACTTTTAGAATTGTCTCTCATTCGATTGTTACTTTAGCATCTCGCGCACTTTTAGAATTGTCTTTCATTCGATTGTTACTTTAGCATCTCGCGCACTTTTAGAATTGTCTTTCATTCGATTGTTACTTTAACATCTCGCGCACTTTTAAATTGTCTTTCAAATGATTGTTACTTCAGCCTCTCACGCACTTTTAAAATTGTCTTTCATTCGATTGTTACTTCAGCCTCTCGCGCACTTTTAAATTCTCTTTCATTCGATTGTTACTTAAGCATCTCGCGCACTTTTAAATTCTCTTTCATTTGATTGTTACTTCAGCTTCTCGCGCACTTTTAGAATTGTCTCTTATTCTATTGTTACTACAGCCTCTCGCGCACTTTTAAATTCTCTTTCATTCGATTGTTACTTTAGCATCTCGCGCACTTTTAAATTGTCTTTCATTTGATTGTTACTTCAGCTTCTCACGCACTTTTAGAATTGTCTCTTATTCGATTGTTACTTCAGCCTCTCGCGCACTTTTAAATTCTCTTTCATTCGATTGTTACTTTAGCATCTCGCGCACTTTTAAATTGTCTTTCATTTGATTGTTACTTCAGCTTCTCGCGCACTTTTAGAATTGTCTTTCATTCGATTGTTACTTCAGCTTCTCGCGCACTTTTCAATTGTCTTTCATTCAATTGTTACTACAGCCTCTCTCGCGCACTTTTTAAATTCTCTTTCATTCGATTGTTACTTTAGCATCTCGCGCAATTTTTAAATTGTCTTTCATTTGATTGTTACTTCAGCTTCTCACGCACTTTTAGAATTGTCTCTTATTCGATTGTTACTTCAGCCTCTCGCGCACTTTTAAATTCTCTTTCATTCCATTGTTACTTTAGCATCTCGCGCACTTTTAAATTGTCTTTCATTTGATTGTTACTTCAGCTTCTCGCGCACTTTTAAATTGTCTTTCATTTGATTGTTACTCCAGCTTCTCGCGCACTTTTAGAATTGTCTCTTATTCTATTGTTACTACAGCCTCTCGCGCACTTTTAAATTCTCTTTCATTCGATTGTTACTTTAGCATCTCGCGCACTTTTAAATTGTCTTTCATTTGATTGTTACTTCAGCTTCTCGCGCACTTTTAGAATTGTCTCTCATTCGATTGTTACTTCAGCCTCTCGCGCACTTTTAAATTCTCTTTCATTCGATTGTTACTTTAGCATCTCGCGCACTTTTAAATTGTCTTTCATTCGATTGTTACTTCAGCTTCTCGCGCACTTTTAAATTGTCTTTCATTTGATTGTTACTCCAGCTTCTCGCGCACTTTTAAATTGTCTTTCATTTGATTGTTACTCCAGCTTCTCGCGCACTTTTAAATTGTCTTTCATTTGATTGTTACTCCAGCTTCTCGCGCACTTTTAAATTGTCTTTCATTTGATTGTTACTCCAGCTTCTCGCGCACTTTTAGAATTGTCTTTCTTTACTTTAGCATCTCGCGCACTTTTAAATTCTCTTTCATTCGATTGTTACTTTAGCATCTCGCGCACTTTTAAATTGTCTTTCATTTGATTGTTACTTCAGCTTCTCACGCACTTTTAAAATTGTCTTCCATTTGATTGTTACTTCAGCTTCTCGCGCACTTTTACAATTGTCTTTCATTCGATTATTGCTTCAGCATCTCGCGCCCTTTTAGGATTGTTTTTCATTTGATTGTTACTTTAGCATCTCGTGCACTTTTACAATTGTCTTTCATTTGATTGTTACTTCAGCCTCTCGCGCACTTTTAAATTGTCTTTCATTCGATTGTTACTTCAGCCTCTCGCGCACTTTTCAATTGTCTTTCATTCAATTGTTACTTCGGCCTCTCGTGTACTTTTAGAATTGTCTTTCATTCGATTGTTACTTTAGCATCTCGTGCACTTTTAAATTGTCTTTCATTTGATTGTTACTTCAGCTTCTCGCGCACTTTTAGAATTGTCTCTTATTCGATTGTTACTTTAGCATCTCGTGCACTTTTAAATTGTCTTTCATTTGATTGTTACTTCAGCTTCTCGCGCACTTTTAGAATTGTCTTTTATTCGATTGTTACTTTAGCATCTCGTGCACTTTTAAATTGTCTTTCATTTGATTGTTACTTCAGCTTCTCGCGCACTTTTAGAATTGTCTCTTATTCGATTGTTACTTTAGCATCTCGTGCACTTTTAAATTGTCTTTCATTTGATTGTTACTTCAGCTTCTCGCGCACTTTTAGAATTGTCTCTTATTCGATTGTTACTTTAGCATCTCGTGCACTTTTAAATTGTCTTTCATTTGATTGTTACTTCAGCTTCTCGCGCACTTTTAGAATTGTCTTTTATTCGATTGTTACTTTAGCATCTCGTGCACTTTTAAATTGTCTTTCATTTGATTGTTACTTCAGCCTCTCGCGCACTTTTAAATTGTCTTTCATTCGATTGTTACTTTAGCATCTCGTGCACTTTTAAATTGTCTTTCATTTTTGTTACTTCAGCTTCTCACGCACTTTTAGAATTGTCTCTCATTCGATTGTTACTTTAGCATCTCGCGCACTTTTAAATTGTCTTTCATTTGATTGTTACTTCAGCTTCTCACGCACTTTTAGAATTGTCTTTCATTCGATTGTTACTTTAGCATCTCGTGCACTTTTAAATTGTCTTTCATTCGATTGTTACTTCAGCATCTCGCGCACTTTTAAATTGTCTTTCATTTGATTGTTACTTCAGCTTCTCACGCACTTTTAGAATTGTCTTTCATTTGATTGTTACTTCAGCTTCTCGCGCACTTTTAGAATTGTCTCTTATTCGATTGTTACTTTAGCATCTCGTGCACTTTTAAATTGTCTTTCATTTGATTGTTACTTCAGCTTCTCGCGCACTTTTAAATTGTCTTTCATTTGATTGTTACTTCAGCTTCTCGCGCACTTTTAGAATTGTCTTTCATTTGATTGTTACTTCAGCTTCTCGCGCACTTTTAGAATTGTCTTTCATTCGATTATAACTTCAGCATCTCGCGCCCTTTTAGGATTGTTTTTCATTTGATTGTTACTTCAGCATCTCTTGCACTTTAACAATTGTCTTTCATTCGATCGTTACTTCAGCCTCTCGTATACATTTAGATTGTCTTTCATTTGATTGTTACTTAACTCAGCTTCTTGCGCACTTTTAGGATTGTTTTTCATTGGATTGTTACGTCAGCTTCTCGTGCACCTTTAGGCGAATTGTCTTTCATTCGATTGTTACTTCCGCTTCTCGTGCACTTTTAGAATTGTCTTTCATTCGATTGTTTCTTCAGCTTCTCGTGCACTTTTAGATTGTCTTTCATTTGATTGTTACTTAATTCAGCTTCTTGCGCACTTTTAGAATTGCTTTTCATTGGATTGTTACGTCAGCTTCTCGTGCACCTTTAGGCGAATTGTCTTACATTCGATTGTTACTTCAGCTTCTCGCGCATTTTTAGAATTGCCTTTTATTTGATTGTTACTTTAGCATCTCGCACACTTTTAGGATTGTCTTTCTTTCGATTGTTACGTTACTATTTCGCGCACTTTGAATTTTCTCTCTCATTCCATTGTTACGTTAGCATCTCACGCACTATTAGGATTGACTTCCATCCGTTTGTTACGTTAACATCTCATTTTTCACCAAAACTCGTCTCATTTTTTCATTTGTCTTATCAGTCAGTAAGGTATCAGGAAAAATCTACTCTATCCAGACTAGAGCTGTTTGTATTGTTTTGGGCAGCCCGTAATTTTCACGTCCCTGGTGATGACATGCAAAATGAAGTCGGAAAGTAGAAGTGGGAAAATTTGTACTATAATAATAATAATAATGATAATAATAAAACTAATAACAATACACTTTATTTGAAGAGCGTGGTACTGAATAAAAAAAATTAGCATTACTATATCTTGTAGCACGACTATGTTGCTGACTGTTGATTTGTAAAAAATCCTCGATGTCTCAGGAAACTTCACCCTTGATGCGTTTGTACGCCACAAAACATTTCACTACTTTGGATTCTTTATAAAAATGAGGCCACTACAGAATATTTAAAAGCTTAACACCAGACGCCTGGTCATCAACGTCGGAAATTGCCGTTGCTGCTCTTTTTTTCTGTGCATAGAAACACGGCCTAGATTCTTCTTATCGCAGCTAGTCCAGATTGTGTTAACATAATGTAAAAAGTATCTTATCGAAGCATTATAAAACAATAGCCTTTGTTTCATTGGCAGGTAAGACTTATTATTATCTTTTCCAATATTCCAATTTGCTGAGACAGCTTTTTACAAATTTTCTCTCCGTGGGAAGTAAAATGAAAGTTCAGACTCAATTTCAACACCTAATGTTTTAACAATAGGGACGTGTTCAATCTCGTTATTGATCTTTGAGGGGAGACGCTTGTCAGTGATTAGTACAGCCTTGGTCTTGCCATCCAACCATTTCAGCAATTGAAGAGTTTAGGGTTTCCTCTAGCCCTCTGGCTGAGCTGTTAATTATACAGGAGGTTGACATTGTATCTTCTAATGAATGAAAGTTTCGTCATCAAGAAATTAATATATTTAACAAATAGATTCCAAGTTGCCGTGCGTCTGTTCAGTAATGGATCACAAATGACGTCAAAATGTGGTAAGAACAAAAAAGTGGCACACGAGGCGCGGCCGTGTGTGTCACTGATGTTCTTACCACATTTTGACGTCCTCTGTGATCTATTACTGAACAGACGCACGGCAACTTGGAATCTAGTTGTTTTATATGATAAAGAATTTAAAAAAGTTTTCATGATGACGTCATCTATACGTCTGTCCTCCAATAGATCATAAGTGAAAACCAATCAGAATGCGTGCATAACTGAGCTTATTATATAATTCTTGTTCGATAATGAGAAGTAGCCTAAAGAGGTATTGGTTAGCCATGTGTTATTATCAAACAACTTTAACCTGTGAAGAGGAAAAAAGAATCCTACTTGGAATCTTGCGCCATCTCGATGGTCCAGGCGATCATGTTAAGAACAGCTAACAGAATCTTGCGAACGAGGCCGAGGTAATGTCACCCTCGTTACCAAGTAAGTTTCTAAAAAAAATTGTGGTACTTCGTGGGTGTGGGTATAACAAAATAATTTGATTTAATCTACTGAGTTGATAATGTGGATTAGCCACCGTAAATAGTTTCTAAGCTGATGTTTCAAGCGTCAACCCTTCGTCAGAGCGTATCTAAGGTTTAATATTTTCCCCACTTCCTTAGGGGCCAGGTTAAGGTTATGGGGTGACAACTTTGATGACGTCACATTCGGTGTTCTCTCCTTGAAAACGAGGTTGTTTTAGTGTCTGTCAGTTTACAGACTGCAGTCTGCAAATGTCATAAGCCGCGTTCCTTGCGACCGTTATTAAAACAAATACTCAAATAGTAAAAGATCAAATGCATCTTATTTTGGTGCTTTGGATAAGGTGTTGAGTTATGAATGAATCTGTACAGGTTAAGTGTAGATTAAGTCTGGTCATTACAGAAAAAGAAAGTCTGAAAATTCTCAGGGTTCGAAGGGCACAACATCGTCGCGTGTCTCTTAAATAGTCTTCACAACGCCTGCTAATAAAACAGATTAAACAAAATAGATATTGAAGTTAAAAAGAGTCGCTAACCCCCGCAAAGGTTCAAGTCGACTAATACTAAAGCAAAGGAAACGTTCTATTATTGTCAAACGAAGCTGTCTTATTTGAATTCTTGAATCCTCTAAATTGAATTCCGTTAATTTTTGTTAATTGGTTTTTACCGTAACCGCAGAATACGCCGTTCAATTAAATATTTCCGTGACTTAGACGCGTGGAATTTGCCGACACACCACTAATAGGGATAACTTAGTGTCGAATCATTGAAGTTATTTTAAGTGCAGAGGGTGTAGACGAAAACATTTCATCAGAATCGTTAGTGAAAATACAGAAGGAAATGGATATAACTTCTGATACCATGGAAGATTTCAATACCAAACCAGTGTATCCCGGTATGACTGATTGAAAAGTGACGGGATAAAGTTTACAGAGACAATTGAAAGGAATAACAAAGGCGTGATCTTCAAACCTGAACACCGCGTGGGTAAACTAACTACATACGAACAAGAAAACACTAGAACAATATGTATCACACCTTTAATTACCCTGCACGAAAATGCTTAGCAACAAATCCGAGTGGAAACAAACAGAAAAAGGAAAAAGTACAGTTTGATTTTATGAAGACCACAGAATGACCTTAATTTTCCGGTTTACGTCTAGACGAGATTTCACCGATTGTCATTAGTACATCATGAGGTGATATAATGTTGTCTCTGCAACTACGGTTATCGTTTCCGGATTCAAAGCAAACCCTGCTGACTCTCAAATAAATCTAATTGTGCTAAACGTAATAGCCTGCAAGCGTTTACAGCGGCTTTCTTTTTTTTTAATCTAATGCACTTATGAAAATCAGTATTAATCAGGATGCTACGGTGTGTCAACGTGGGAACCAAACGGAATTTATGATCAAAACGCTCGTTTCTGAGGGTTCCAAAGCCAGAAAGTATGGATAATTTTTAATTTTAAGTAATGTTACTATCAAAGAAATTGCGAAATAACGCCTCTTAAATTTTATAAAAACTACTTCACATATGGAAAGACCTTGCGAATATTTGTGAAGGATTTATCACTTATAAAAATTTTTTCCACGCAGGTGGGTTAAGGAATTAACCTTCTACCTCGTGCGACTATTACCTCTGCCAAGCGTAACTGCCACTGCAATCGCAAAAGCTGAAGGACATAAGGGTTTCAAACCTCATTTGCTGAGCATATCTTAAACTGAATACTACCAGAACAGAAATCTGAATATCTTGTCGATAGCAATCCCAAGAAATATTCAACATCCTCGTGCGACCGCGGCTTGCGGGCATAAGTGCAGTCGATGCGAACCTGTCCCCTCTACCCCACCCACCCCATTCCCAGTAGTTCCACTTGTTCCACCAACCTAGTTCTAGCCGATTGAACTTTGAACATCAATCAATTTTAATTGTAATGTATCCTCTGGGGCATGAAGAAATCAAAAGTTCCCTTCGGCCTTAAAATCACTCGCTTCTTGATGTAGTTTTGCCTCTTTTACGTTATTTTATTAAAATTGATATCGTCATTTTTTCTGGAAATCATTACCGAGAGGGGCAACTTTTTGGCAGAAAATTGAAAGAAATCATAGAAAAGTCTATTTAACTTTTGATGGATCTCCGACCGCTTTACATACCTCTTTATTTTCAATAAAATTGCGATTAGAAGCATCATATTACCTCAAAAATAATTTTTTTTCCAGTTCATTTGGTTATCACTGTTACAGTCGTTAGTCGCGGCACCTGAAATCTGAATCTTCAGGCTCGGACGAAGCATGTTATTTACACTAACAGCCATGTAAAGTCTTTCCATATGTGCCGGCGCCGATGCCTGATAATCTCATGCAGCTGAGACGGACTGACAAATTAATTACTCTTAACAGGCCATTAAATCGTAAATAATGGTCAAAATTGCCGATTCAGTTATCAGTTATCTTGTATATGCATTCATGCTGCTGTCAACATTGCCGATGAACAAAGTTGCTAATCGATCTCATCAGTTCCGGGAGAAAATTAAAACATTCTTGCCGGTTTTCATTGGATGCAAATTACTGGAAATTGCATCAATGGTCCCCTAACTTTAGGCCCTGTTGTAAGATGACTACACATCACTGTAGCTTTCTTTTTTAATGCGTCAATGTTCACGAGCTAAAAATTCGAAGGAAATATCGAAATCAACAAAGCCAAGAGAAATAATAGCCACAGTAAGAAAACAAAAGACGGAATTAAACAATCAACTTCAACCCGTTCATTTACAAAGGGAAGGAATACCACCTTATGGTATCTATCATTTCAAGCCGTAGAAAAAAAAAAATTATCGAAGGGAGGATATTTTTGGATTTAACATCAAATTCTTCAAATTGAAATATAAATCAAAATGAGACTGACAGTGCGGAAATTTTATCTTGAACGTTCAACGGTTAAACAACAGTGCGAGGCCTGACGGAGAGTGTGTTTCACTGGTGTTTTTCTGACCCCAAAGGCTAAATGTTACTCCCCTCCGGAAATTTTAGCATCCATTTAGCTGTAGAGTTTCAGATTTCTGTAGTTAAAATCTGTCATGGTATATTAGGAAGTTTACCGATTGTTACCAATAAACACAATTTACAAAAACCCGTAAATCTTCGAGGAGTTGCTAAGAACTTATTTTCTACACCCATTTAAAAAAAAACCTAGTTTTATTCAGGAACTTCTGGGCGCAGCGGAAGTTCTTTTTGTTCGTGATTGCAGTCATGCTTGCATGAGACTATTGATGAGTTTCCTTACAAGTGCTTTCCGAAAATTGAGATATGATGATGGGAGGAAACTGAAAATACTGAAGTGAAACATGAGAACCAAGAAAGAGAGGACTACAAAATTTTTCCGAGGAATGAATCCATATTACCGCAGTTGCTTTTGGGTAGGAAGTAAAACCTGCATTTTAAATCATCTTTTTCTCAACCAACTTAACGGCCTATTGCCTTTTGAAGGGCATGCAATTATTTTGCATTGTCAACCGAACTTCTATCGCAACAATCAAAATTTCCGAGATTTGTAATAATTTACATGAGAATTGGCACCACTTGAGAAATCTAGGAAGCTCCATCTCGAATCACCGGACATTTGGTGCTCGATGCTTGTCACGTCCCTGAAATCAAACTAACAACAGAGACAGCCTTTTAACCGGTTTAATGTTTCATGAGTTTATTAGAGAAGATTCTACGGATAACCTTTAACTTTAAAACATGTCAAATACGAGTAACATGTTATCTGTTCTGGGAAGTTAAAAAGTTAAAAGTGCTGTCTTTGGTTCATGCAAAAGTTTGTCAGACTTATTTTCAATCGATGATTTGGAAACTTTTCGAATATTTCAAAACCTCTTCAAAGATTAACCGATATCGGTATACCTGAAAGAAGTAGCGCTGAGCTGAACCTCTCTTGAATTGCACCGAACTGAAGTCTCATTATAACCTTGTTGTTTTTTGTTAAGGAGTTGTTCATTACCGCTGTTTATTCTACGTTTGCCTCTTGACACGTCGAAAGTGTAAAGTGACTCCAATATAAACAATAGCAAAAAACTTGCACGGCACCTTAAAATTAAAAGCCAAACACAATCTAACAACCGTATCTTATCTAATTTGTTTGTAGTGTTTTAAACCCGTATTAGCTTTCTAATAGAGAAATTTTGAAGTTCGCTAACGTCCGCTGTTCACTAACTTTTTAGGGCAGCAAAAGCTAGTTCCTTGCAATGAAACATTTACGCCTGTTTAAAGATTTCAAGCCTTAAGCAGCATCGCTTTTGTATTTTTGAAGTACAATGAGTTAATTGTTTTCTTCTATAGTTCTTGTGTAGTCTAGTTCACTGCTCGAGAACGGGGCAAAGAGCAAACACTTATTCGCAAATTTGGATCTCTTTGGCATGCACCGGGCAAGTCTTAAGCCAAATTCGCGTTTAATTAACTTGTGATATTGCATGGCATTGAATATCTAAGGCGGAATTTAAAACCAGGCAGAAATTTGTATAGGATTGGAAACAGATACGCAAAATTCCTCGCATGGAGCGAGGTTTCTTTGTAAACAGCTGAAACTATGAAGTGGACAGTGGGGGCACAATATACAGCGATCTGATTGGCGCGTAGTACAAATAACCCGATGACGTCTATGAGCAACCGTATTTGTCTCAAGCAGTTGATTAATTACTGAGCTTAGAAGATGCGGTGAAATAACTTGGTGTGCAGCGCAAGAACCTTGAACGTGCTTTTCTTTTGTCTAATTCTGTTTACAGCATCAGGCGAATGGTTATGCTACAGTACAGATGTAAAGCGTGCCTTTTGGCAATTATACAGCTCGCCGCCATTTCAGGTACGATGTTCAGCTATTTACGTACTGACAAGACTGTCGTCGTTTTGTCAAGCTTGGAACCAAATTAAGCATTTTTCAATTTCTTTTGGGTTTTTTACTCTCTCAGCTTATTAATTAATTCATGTAGTTTTAGGTAAATATATTTCGGTTATTCGAACTTCTCTTCCTCTGCCCGAACACGATTTGTCTTCATCTTTGTACTAAAACGCGTTGTGGCGCCTCGTTGTTTACTTTGCAAAGGGTCCAAGTCCTTCAATCGTGTGCTTCCCCTTCAACTACTTCCTAAACTAACGTTCGAAACTAATATTGTAGACCGCAAATATGAATTTTTGGGACAACTTAAATGATGCAACAAGCAAGAGGGCGAATGTTCTTCACCCCTAATCGGTTTGGCATGTGAGCACAATTTTTAAGTAGTGCGATTTACTATATAGAATATCATTGACTAATTCCTCTTTTTTTCGTGAGAAATGATATGATAACTAAAGATTATATGAACGGTCAATTTAGAACCTCTCTCATCTTTTCCACTGTCTTAAATCTGAGGTACAAAGTAGAGAAGTTTTCATTTTAACCATCACTGTGTAATTATAAACCTTGGCAAGTTTAGAGGTCTTCTATGTGTAATTAACCCTTCTTTTTAGTCAGACGAGCTCTTTCGTTTTTCGCCGCATGTGTTCATTAGTTCTCAAGTAGATGTCGATCTTGAGTTCCTTAGGTTCTCCGTATGAACACCACGTACTTTTAGGATAAAGAAATTATTTCTTATTGAGGGAAGGCGCAACTGAGCGGCTAAACCATATGTTTACCTAAGCACGGTCGTGAAAGGGGTAGAACTGACAGATGGGGATGAAATTTATGTCTGATCGATTTGAGAAATCATTCATTTTCGTGGAGGTTATCTTTTCTAACGAATTCGTTTCACAATCTGGTCCCAAGTTTTTCTTTCTTGAACATCTCGCGAATTTAATTACATCCTTTTCTTTCATAAAGGTGTGAAAAGCGGTACTAACTCTTTGTGAGTGCGTAAATCGCCTGCGTTCCTCAAATTATGTTAATCTATCGAACATTATCAACTACTCGTACTACCTTTGAAGTTTTTTTGTTTGAGGTTTTATACTTTCCCAAAGACTACAGTTGTTCTAAGTTGTCGATAGATTTTGCTGGAAATTAAAAGTTCACCAAAATATTGGGAAACATCCAAAGTCTTAGTAGAACGTGGTCTCAACAAAGGAACGGAAGTGTCTCAGTTTTTATCTCTAACACCCTTTGGGTTACTTTACAACTCCCTTATTCAGTAGTAGCGACTATTTTTAAACCTTCATGTTATTTTTGACAAAAAATTTTATGGTTCAAATGACTCGATAATTGTTGTTGATTTTTATAAATTTATAAATTTATGCTTTTGGTTATGTATGTTTGACTTTAAGTGCTTTCAATTAAAAAAAGTCCTAAGGCATTTAATAGTTAATCAGTAGGACACAATAAAGTCCTCAATACTTTTGTAAGACATACAAATTTCTGAATGACAAAATTTGTGAGCCAAGCTATTGTAGTGTGTCCTGAATTTTTCACCTCCAAGGTTTTTGGATAAAATTTTGAATACGACACATCTCTCCAATAGATATTTTTCACTATTGTGTGATATTGACATTCTGACCATTGTAGAAAAATACTGTTTTAAAAAAAACAAACCACTTGGATAGTCAACCTCTATTTGTCTCTTTTCAATGTGAAGTTAACCAACTTGCCAAAGTTATTAACTTGATACAGCTATTTATGTTGGATTGAATCTACTCACTCAGTACAATATGCAAAGGTATTCAGGTACTTGTCAAAGTGTTTTTGAGGAGTACATTTTAAAACGCATTTAATAATAAATTTCAAGTAATATTATAATTGGTCATTGGTTTTAAAATAAGTAGCATGCCTATTTCTCAGTCAGTTCAGCACAAGATGAGTTTTGTGTGGAGCTCATGCGATACATGTTCCCAAAATCACCTTATACCCTAACAAAATTTCTGTAAAGTGTTTAGAAAACCATTTATGTATTAAAACAGTTTGCTTTTATTCTTAGTATGATTTTTTAGTCAATTATTATATTATTTGGACAACGATTAATCTTTCATGTTCAGAAACCTTGATATAAAGTCATTCTTCATTTTAAGCAGGTGTTTCACTGTTTTATTTGAAGATCTGGAAAATTTTTTATATTTTTCATGTGTTTTTGTAAGGTGAAAGTCATTTGCTTATCACATGCTTGATGTTTACCAGAGAGAAAAAAAAGGTTTTTAGCACATCAAAATCTTTAGGTGGAAAATTGTGATCACCATAATTATTTTGTGCCCAAAAAAATATATATATACATATATATGTACATAGAACCTGTCTATTTTTTACATTGTATGTTGCAAATTATATTTCCTCTTTAGTTAAAGAACTTTGTCTTCTCCAACTATATTTTCTAAGCTTACAAAACTGTATATGTGGGTTGAAGTTTCACCAGAATTAGAAAAAGTCACAATTTGAATGTTCAAAATTTTGTTATTCACTTCATGGTCATCCCTATGTATAAATAGAAACAGGATCTGGTACTGAAAGACAGACATGATGTGAAGATGGATGGGTTAGATTGAATATCTTTCATTATTGAATTAATAGGGGTCCATGTTATCAATCATGTAATAAATTTAACACAGCAAGTGATTTATTGGGGAAATTGGATCTGATAAATTAGATTTGCCTTATTGTTGTCCCTTATCTTGTTGGTTTGTGTCTTGAATGACAGTTTTGTCCATTAAAATGCCAGTTCAGACAGAAGTAAATTATCTGCCTAAATTTGTGTAAACAAGATTTTGATGATTACTCCTCACTAATATTATAATTAGTTTAAAATCAGCTAAAAGCCACCTGGTTTTACTTCACATCCAAGTTACACATGTTTGATTCCTTATGGCATATGTTTTGCTTGAAAAACTACAGCAATATTGTCTTTTTGTTATAATTTGCAGTTTGAATTTCTTTGATCATATTACTTGTTATTGACAGAGTCTAGTCAGTCACCTGGACAACAAAACTAACTTTAAAGGAACTGAAAATAGAAACAATGAAAATGAGAGAAAATATCTGCTGATATTTGGAACAGAGAAATTCTGCGTACTGACAACAAACTTTGGACCTTTTAACCTTGTGATTAGTACTTTGCATGTTCTACCACCAAAATATTTAAAAGGAGACTGATAGTTGCTATGCCACTAATTGAAACTAAGTTCATTCATACTGTCAGGATTTGTGATTTGGAGGATGATCTTGTTAGATTTCCTGACACCAGGCTCCAAAAATGCCCTCACTTGACATAGCCTGTCTCTAACTGGAGGTTTATTCCTATTAAAATTTATCATTACCATCATTTTTTTTTCTATATATACTTAAACAAGTGATCAGTTTGATAAGGATTGAAATAAAATTGTGTGGTCCCCATTTCATTTAATAAGTGTTCCAATTTTCTTCTGCAGGAACATTTTCAAGAGCACCATACTTTATTGAAGAACCCTCAGATATATACGTCAAAAAAGGGAGACCAGCAGAACTACATTGTCGAGTAGGAGGAACTCCAAAACCCAGTATAATATGGAAAAGAAATGACAATAACTTGGATTTGACTAGCGACAGTAGAAGAAGGATTACAGCAAATGGATCTCTATATTTTTCAGAAATTATTCACAATAAGACTCAGAAGCCAGATGAAGGGATCTATCAATGTGCAGCATCTACAAGAATTCAGGGTTCTTATCACCAAGTTTTAAGCAGAACTGCTCAAGTTATTGTTGCTGGTAAGTTATGTTATTAAAAGTTACTGGCAGAATTTTGCCTCCTAAATTTACCTCCTTATAGATTCCAGAGAGATGATAACCACAGTGATTTCAATGAACATATATAAATGTGGTGAAAAACTTTATATTACTGATGAAACGTTTCTGTAAAGCTCAGAGAAAGACATAAATGAGATGGAATATGGTGGGCACCTTTGAGCAGTCATGGTGACTAGCAACAATGTTTTTAGTAAAGGAATGTCTCCTGTAATGTAGATTTGTTTATAATGCTCTATTTCCCATTTCTTCATGCATTTTGCAACATTACCATGATTTTTGTCATTTGAAACAGTAGAGAATCATAATGAACTTCAAAGTACAATCTAAAATTTTTTGTATGCACCAGATCCACCTAAACTGATTAACTGAAGGGTAGGTTTTTGAAGGGAATAATTTTGGAATGTTAACTTTCCTCTTTTCTCTGTGGTAGGAATGCATTTCAGAATCATTAATTCAAATGAAATACAAATTCCCACTGTGAAAGAGTACGTGCATTTGCTTGTAGTGAATGACAAAGAAAAAATTTAGATATGCACATTAGCATACATGTGTAAATTTTTGCACTACATATGCATAACGATATGCACTGGAAGCATAAATTATGCAATTCTGAGGGATACAGTCTGGGCTGTTTTCTTGTTTTCATCACCCAAATCAACAAGTCCCTAGGTTCTCTCTCTCTGGATTCTTTATTGAGGGGTGGAAGGCTGATAAAATCACAAGAGTTATTTCTATTAAATGTTGAGTGAATTCAGTACTTGTCCAAAAAAAAAATAAATACTAAGGCCAGTTCTTGCAACTCGAGATAGAGTGGAGGACAAAACAATAAAAAGTGTCCTAAATTTTATGAACTTTGGGGAAGAAATGTCTTTCCTTTTGTTTTCATTTTACATGTACATGCTACATTTTCACGGACTGGAAAGGAGTCTTATTGCATTGGTTAGGGTTGGTTGAGTTCAAGACCCCTGTAGCTTCAAAAATGATCCTGTAAATCTTTCACTAATTCCACTTCTTGACTCTTAAATAAGCCCCCCTCCTAAGAAATGCTTGGAATTAGCACTTAAATAGATATGGAGATTATTTGGTCAACTGGAAAACTACAATGGAGGTTAAAAGTCTTGTCACTCTTAATATGATTTTACTAAAATATGGTTATGCCCCTTCTCCCCCAAACAGTTTTGAATTTGTGTGCTTCGTAAACTTTTGCAAGATGTGGTAATTGTTTAGTTTTATCAACATTGTTAGAGAGGGGAGGGAAGGTTCTGTGTACATGCCTGTATCAGCAAAAAGTGTTTATTTTCATCTGTAAGATATTAAAATATATTGTTTTCAATAACTATCCCAAGGAGTTTTTGTGGATTTTTTTACGACATTGTGCAACTCAGAAACTTTATTCTACATCCTCCGATGGTTAAACAATCAGAATAATAAATCAAACTAGCATGTAAATTTGAGCAAAAAACAATTGTTTAGATGACAAAAAAAATAATTTTGTCCAATCATCAGTTTAATTAACAATTCTGTAATTTACAGTGAAATAGGAATTACAACTTTCAGTTAAATTTGTCATTACATGGTTTTGACCCCTATTGTGCTATCTTAAATACCATGGAAATTACCATTGCTCCCAGCATATGGCTTTAGGATGCAGATTGTATTCATTCTCAGCTAGTATATGGATATGATAGGGTTAGGTACTGTTGAAGATTGGATTCAGTATTTGAGGCTTTACATGCATTTATGGCAATAGCTTCAAATATAGATGATCAACTTGTCACCTCTCATCGACTGGTAAAATGTGTTATTTGTTTCATCATTCTATAAATTCTTTCTTCCTTTTCATTAGCCAAGACCCCCCCACACTTGACCAGTATGTAAAGTGCCCCAGCATGACATTTGTCTGCTCAAGTGTAATTAGTGACTGTGTTGTTGTTTTTTCTCTGCAAATAAGACTCTAATCTTACATAGTCTTCTGTGCAAAATGGTAGTTGCTTCTAAAGAGGTTCAAGGGTGATTCCCAAGAAAAACAGTTTTGAAAACAAACATAGTAGCTGATTGATATTATAATAATGATATTTTGTAATGTTTGAAATTAACAATGATATTGTTATGTTTCAGGTATTTCTTCCAAGGTGTCTGTCATTTCCCCTTATTCAAGGAAAGTTCCACTTGGGGATACATCAAGATTTTTCTGTAGTGTAAAGCATTCAGCACCCAAAGCTGTGATAAGTTGGAGAAAGAAAGGTGAAAATGGCACAATTTCATCTGGAAAACATTACACTTTGATTCCAAATGGAGCTCTACAAATAAGGAATATCAGATTTGAGGAAGGAGGAGATTATGAGTGCATTGCTGAGAATTTATTCACCAACAAGAGGCATACTAGCACAGACACAGGATTTATCGAAGTTCTACCTGGTAAGTTTTACAAAATTATGCAAAATGTCTGCAACACTTTTGTTCAGATACTATTCAACCCTTGAAAGATAACAGAATTCAAGGGTGGACAAGAACCTACTGGTGTGGAGACAAGTCTTTGTCAGGGACTGGATGCTGGGCATGTTATTACCTACAGAGTCCACCTAAGAGGAATGTCTAAAGCTATATTATAGTTTAAGCTTATTTACTTAAACCCAGGGATGGAGTTAAACTTGGTAATACTCTTATTTGCGGTTTTAAATCACAAAAACTGGAATCAGCAACAGAGCTCTGAACTGAAACATTTGTCAGAGCACTTCACTTTTTTGAGCAAGATTTTTTTTTATATTCTTTTTCTAATGTCGAGTCGAAAATATTATCCAGCAAATTTGATTGTAACTCAGATTCAAAAGTAAACAAAGGATTGCAACATGATACTTGAAATGGAATCCAAAGTAGTTTCTTAACAAATTGATCCCAAACTATTGTTCTGTGAATTGTGTATGAAAATTTGTTGACGATACTCTCTGATATGATGTTATAGTTGTTATAGAAACAATTTTCTAAACAATGACTTAAAATGGCAATTTAACAACTTCTGCCAAGGTTCTGCCTATCCAGAAGTAGGCAGGAGCAGTAAATTGGGAAGAAATGGAGAGTAAACGGTTGTTTCAGAAGGAAGGGTTGTTTCTTTGAGATCTCTGATAAGTTATTTAATAGTTAGAATATTAACCTAAAGCAAAGTGAGTTCACTTGATTGAGGGACTATTACCTAGAATTTACTACTTTGTAGTCACTAGACCAAAGTTTGGATCATTTGTGTGGGTCTCTATCTTTAACTGACAGATACTGGGTTTTCGCGTCGTCCTCGTGTTGAAGTAAAACCTAAGGACACAGAAGCGGTTCTTGGCAGTGAGGTAGTCCTTGAGTGCATAGCAAATGGATCTCCTAAACCACGAGTAACTTGGCTGAAAAATGGCTCACCTGTGCGGCTTGGAAAAGACTACTCAATTTTAGGAGAGAGTAACCTCATGATTAAGTCTGTAACTGTAGCACATGCAGGAAACTACACTTGTCGAGCAGTGGCTGACTTTCGGAAAGAGGAAGCTTCAGCCAAATTGGAAGTACATTGTAAGTTTTGAATTATGATTAGACTGTAGAGCATCAGACTGTGCTTTGTATTTGTTCACTTGCTGTTTATCAAACCAGCTTAGGATGTTTGGAGAAAATAAGAAGATTTATAATTTTTTCTTCCCAAAAGTGAGAGATTTACTAAACTTGTTTTAATACTTATGCCTAATTATGTCAGAGAGGAGCCTTCTATTACATGTAGCAACATGACAAAGCTGATTGATATGCAAGTTTGTTCAGCATGGTGTTTAAACATACATGGATCCTTGTGGAAAAAAAAATGAAACTAGGGAGGAAGTATGGAGATGTTGGTTGGAATGTAATCAGCAACATGCAACATGTAACATAAATGAATATTGGCTTAAAGAAATCAATATTGTTATCTTTGTTTTCAGATGCTCCTGTTTTCTCTATGAAACCAAGTGATGTTCATGCTCATAGTGGATCAGATGTAAGATTCAAATGCTCAGCACATGGAATACCCAAACCAACAATCACGTGGAGCAAAAATGGACTTGGTGTTGGTGGTGATTACATTGTAGTTGGAGATGGCTTTATGTTAGTGAAAGATTTGGTCTTCTGGGATGCTGCTGTCTATCAATGCTTTGCAGAGAACGATTTAGGAAAAGTACAAGCCACAGCAAACCTTTTTGTGTACAGAAAAGGTAATTACATGTGTACAATGGACTGAATATGGTATTTGCTGAGACACTGTCTTGTAGAAATCTAGAAATCAACTTTCTTGTTTCAGTAACTTTTAATGTAAGATAACAGAAATTTCAATGCAACTAAATTTTTCACTTTGGCAACCCAAATCCTGAAAATTAGTCACCAAATTGGCGACTAGAATGTTTCATCATAACCTTACCTAGAGATGTAGTGAATTAAAAAGATTTGTAAAGATAAATCCATGGCAAACTTCCTTGTTAAGTTCACTTCCAAAACACAGCACTTGCATCTTGACTGATAACTACACGCCATCTTGGATTTAGGTGAGCTTGAACATTGTATATCATCCAACTTAGTATCCACTTTGTAGCATGTTAAAGATCTTTTTCCTAATTTAATTTTGGAGGGTCTATCCAGAACACTGACAGTGTGAAAAAAAGGTTTTTGTTTTTTTTTAAAAATGGCGACCAACTTTTTTTGAATTGGCCACCACTTTTAAGAATTTAGGAGCCAAGTGGATATCAGAAAAAAAGATTAATTTCATGCCCTGCCCTTGTTCTGAACCCTTTTTTTCATATTCGCCATACTGTTCTACATTTCCAATGGTAGTGACAAGGAGAATTTGTTTGTCAATCAAGAGTTTTTTATATTGATGATCAATTCCTTCATTCTCATGACCTTTTCATTTGATTTAAAGGTGTAAAATTTGAAATATTTTTCTCACAAATCTAGGCAATTTCTCCTTTTATTTGTTCGCTTGGAACCAATTTCACCATAGTTTTCATGACAAGTGCAACTGCAACATTTTCACCATTTTCTGTGAACTGATTTATGTAAGCTCCAAGGCATTCATCTACCATATTTTTGCTTTAAAATTTGTTATATCTGAGACATTGATTTCTCTTAGTTAGTATCCTTTGCTTTAAGAATATGTCAGAATTTTATTCTGACAAGAATTCTCTAACTTTTTTACCAGGAGAACGTCTTCCAACTACTACAGCTCCACCAACAACAACACAAGCAACAACTGTCAGACAAACGACAACCACACCTACACCTAAACCAAGAGTACCTGAGAAACCAGAAAATGTTGTAGCCATTGCTCGTTCAGACACTGAAATACTACTGACCTGGGAACCTCCAAAGGCTACTAATGGAGAGATTCAGCATTACAGAATCTTTTATAGTGTGTTCAACCCAAGTGATGGTAAGCTAATTTTTATTAATAAAGTGATTAGTACTCTCCTATTTGGCCTAAATATTCACTTGTCACCAAACAAGGTAAGCATTTTGGGGTTGTAATTCTTGCACAATATGCATTTTGCTATTCTAAATTTTGAATTGGAATGTCTCTGTGGACCAGATGCCTGGTTCTCATGTTTTTACTCAAGAAAGGTTGCCGCTTAACATGTTATTTCTGTTACAGATAGCATACAGTTCAAACCTGTGAGCACACCTGGAGACCAACTTAAAAAGTCCTTTCCTGGCCTCATACCTGATACGAAATACCGTTTCAATGTCTTTGCCGTGAATGAAGCTGGTGCAGGAGCTATTTCAGATGAGGTTACAGCCAGTACATATCCCAGTTCACAAGTCCCAGGAAAACCTCAAAACTTAGTAGCTGAGGCAGAGTCTGATTCTTCAATTAGGGTCACATGGTCAGAGCCAGATACAGGGTAAGTTGGTAGACAAATCCTTGTGGAAAATCTTTTCTTTAGTAACATTTGCTTATGAATCTGATCAAGCTTAATAACACCATTCTTTTAATGGTTTTGTGTACATTATTCCTCTTTGTAATGTACTGTTGTGAATGTAGAACTCTTTGGCAACAGTTTCTGTGTTTGTGGGTTGTCCATGCACCCAGAAATCAATCAGTTTTTGATTGTCGCCAGCAATGTGTTAAGTCAAGGTATGAAAAGTGATTTTCATAAATGTTCAGGTTCACCTGATTTTAGTGACACTTTTCCTCTTTCTAAATCCTGCTGGCAAATCTCAACCCCCTCAAAAGAGGATATGGCCAGCCAAATTTTTTTTAAACCCCTCTAACGAAAGGATCAGGAGATTAATCCATGTTCTACTGAACAACAGTTACAAAACAATTGACTCAATAAGATGGAAGCAGTAGAAATGTGCTCTGTAAACTTCCCAAAATGCTTCCCACCTGCATGAACACGTGCCTGAGCAATATATAATGCCTGAGCAATAAACTAACTATTTTACAACATGTTCAACATCAGGGCTTAAGATTGTGACTAGTTCAGTTGTCAAGGAAATTATCAAGATTCTCCACCATCATGAGAATTAGATTTTTGTATGTTCTAAAAGTTAAACAAGTCAAGTTCAACAGGATCCTGTATTGTCTAGTTTTCTGACTTTTGACACGTGCTGCATACATGATTACTGTTCCTCCTTTGAGATGCAGGTGCATGTATGGCCATGTAATATCCTCTTCCTCTGTCCTCATAGTGGCTAATCTTTTACCCACAGGCCCAGCTCAATACTCAGATACCACATTATGTACAAGAAAGCTGGCACTAATGGAGAGATACATGAGAGCACAAAGCAACAAACAAGGGTCTTGCGCTACCTTGATACCTACACCAAGTATATCATCGAGGTCTATGCAGTGAATAAGCGAGAGATGGCTGGTGCCAAAGCAACAACAGAAGCAACAACTAAAGGAGGAGGTATTTGTAGCTGCAAAATGAACTACATTCCTTTAGTTACTCAAGGAGAGGGCAGAAGAATACCCTTTGAATGAATAGTTTTCCTTGCTTATTACATTTTATAGCCTTCTTTGAAGTGGTCAGAGGCTGTCCTCGAGTAAAGGCTAAGTGTAGTATTCTTTTAAGAATCCTGGTCAACCACCCCTCTTTTTTTGTTTATATATGGAAAACAGCAGGAAAAATCATTCACATTACACTCAATGCCTGGCAGGAGTCGTGTCGGCCCATCAACACTTTTTATAAGGTGTAAAGAAAAGATTTGTAAAAGGAGAAGTGTTACGCATCCTAAGAACAAATCCAATGGGCTCCTCCATTAAAGAGGGGAATAGGAGATACCCAACAGAGTTCTGGAGAGATATGTCTGGAGCTATTTGCTCTGATAGAGAGGGGTAACTTAAAAATAAAGAAAATACTGATGGGGAAATGGCAACTTATTTAAAGCCCAAGACACTCAATCACACCACAAAGGAAAGTCATAAAAATATATCTCCTTGTCAGAGCAAATCTCCAAAGGCAGAATTTGAAAAATCACTTGCAAATGGCAGCAGTCATGCAGGCTGGTCAACTCTTTTTAACTCCTCATTTGCTTCTTGTGACCTGCACCTCAGGCCGTCTCAGCTTGTTGATTCTTTGATGCAGCAAAATCTCTGCAAATTAGCTGTTAGTTAGACCTTTGATGCCCAGACTATCCTTCCTGTCATTCCACAGGTCAAAGGTAGGTCTTCGAGGCTGAATCCTTTTCTTCTGTGCCATGGCTATAGGCCTTCCATGTGGAGGAATGTGAGATGCCCTCTATGTTCCCAGTTACAAACACAAATTACTCAAAAAAATTGTGAGAAACTACTAAAATAACGATGTAGAAGAAACCACTGATAGTTTCAGAAGACTGCCATGACAATGTAAGACCTCAATATATTTAGATCACTTAGATGCACTTGGATGATGGACCACAATAGAAATTTCACAAATTTAGATGGCATAGAAAATGGTGGGCTAAGCGTGCAATGGTCTTATGGTTGACTATGGTCCTTTAACTGCTGAACACTGTTAATGATTTGGTCCATGAAGTTTTCATAACTGTTTGTTTGTAGTTCCAAGAGTACCACCAACTGACTTTGTACTAAAACCTGACAGTACAGGAAAAGGATTGATAGCAACTTGGAAGGCCCCAGACCCAACCAAAGTGAATGGAAGAGTATCATTTTACAAGATTATATTCAGGAAAGTTGGAAGTAAACTGGAGAACACAACTGAAGATATTCCAGTAAGGATGCATACCAGTATTCAGTGATTACATGAAGATGTAGACAATTATATGGTGGACTCAATGGCAAATTTGTTGTCTATGGAACTCTTTACAACTACAATGGATTTCCATTTAAAACCAACAGTAATTGATGTATAATTGGGAATCAAAATAGCCTATTATAAAAACGAGTCATGAAAACTTTGACAGTAACAGGTGCTAGTAGAGAGGCATTTTGGAGCATTTATGCCTTAAATGATTCACAAATTCTTTCTTCTCATAATTCTTGCATGGCTGCACTGGTACAGGCCAGGAAGGAGTCTCTGTTAATCCTGAGCACAGTGCCAACCTTTTTTTTTAAATTATGATAATGGTTTAGTGATGGATCTTTTTGAGAGCTTATCATTTCCTATGTTTTAGGCTGACAAAGAGACCTACACCATTGAAGACTTAATGCCAAGCACTAGATATGAAGCCATCATTGCTGCTGGTACTGATTCTGGTATAGGAGAGTACACAAAGGATTGGGTGAGGGCAAGCACAAATGTCAGTAAATGTGAAGGTCAGTCTAGCATATGTTTTTACTAATAGAAGCAGTTCAGAAAGCAGCAAATATGTTTGGCAAGCTTTGTATGTATTGGTAACCAAACGATTTCAGGTGAAATTTAGGATGAATTTGCACAAGTTAAAAATAAAATGCTTAAGCCCATGTGTCAGTGCAGTTAGTAATTTTCAAGAAATGGAGTTGCCTATTCAGTTCAAATTCCATCAGAAATTATACCATTAATGGTTAGTGACATATATGTAGTTTCAACCTTCAGCCCCCTATTTCAGCCATTTTTACTGTTTGGATTTAATTGACATACTCTCAGTTAATGGGCAAACAGGAATTGTATGCAAGTATCCTCTAGATGGTGGGAGAATGTTTTTTCTGTTATGCCAGTTGATAACTTGTCTTGTCTTTGAAACCAGCATATACTGTTTTTAACTTGAAAAGCTTGCTATAACTTTCTGTGAGGTTTTGCAATCATTAACCAAAAGAAGAAAGGTTTCCATAATCCCTCCTGCATTGCAAAGTTGGCTTCTGTTGGTAGTGTGTCAGATGACTTATAGGAAGAACTTTTTTCCCTCAAAAATGACACTTTTGTCTTTCTACCTTCTTTCTTAAACTGCTATTTAATGCATCCTTCATAGAGGATACAACACCAGGGAAACCAACATTTAAAAAGGCAAAGGTGCTTTCCACTACCATTTTGGTAAGCTGGAAGCCACCGGACAATTCTGGCTTGGTCTGCGTTTCAAGCTACGAAATTAGATGGGGAGAAAATGCCCCTTTCCAATATGATCCACGACGCCTGAAAGGAGACCAAACGGAGTATCTCATCAAGGGACTCAGTAAGTTTGCTGCCAAGCTTTTCTTTCCGAATATTTTAAGCATTTAAGGATAGGTACAGCATGACATTTTGGTAACAAAACGAACAACAAAACTTGATCTTTTCGCTGATGGCCGTACAAATAAAGGGAATAAAACAGGAGTTCCCATTTCTGTTTGGCTGGTGCTGCAAATATGCATAATTTTGGAAATGTAACAGACGACCCGCAGGATTCTCATCTGAAGCATGTTTCATTCTGGTAATAATTGATTGAAGCAGATATTCTTTACTTCATTGATACTTCATTGACACAGTCCAGAGAAACCAGTTTGTTTTATCTTGCCAATCCAAACAACTAATCTTGAAAGAATCGTACATGCTTACTTGTGGGTCCAATAAAACATTCCTATCTTTACCACTAGACAGTCCCCATTAGGTGATACCTTTGTAAGAAAATTGTGATATATACGTAACTTCTATTATTTCTTTCTAAGTACTGAGAGTGAGTTGAATTTGAGGTTACAACTTTCTCTTGTTTGAGTTTTATCATGGAATGGCTGGCTACTTACAGAATTTGCTTTAAAGGTTATTGTCAGGTTATAAGTGACTCTTATATTAAAAGACTTTAAAATGAAAATAAATACAAAAAACCTGGTTTTCTCTGAAGCAAATTCAGTGGAATCCCCTTTTCTAAAATCCCATGTGTCCAAAACTCTCTATTATTCAAGGCAAAACTGACTTCCCTGAAACAGCCAAATACTTTAAATTGACCCTGATTTTTCATATTTTGACAATTAAAACCAGTTTCCTTTCCTAAGGACATTACAATAAGTGGTCACGAGGTAAATACCCCATGCTATGCATTTTGCACCATCTCACTGCGTCAGAAAGTGACCTTATGTGGTGTCCAGAATGTTTTGTTATTATTAATGGTCTTATTTGTTTGTCTGTTTATTTCTTTCTTTTGCACAGAGCCCAACAAGAATTATGTGATTTTACTCATTGCAATCAACAGCAAAGGCAATGGTCCTGATGTCCAAACTAAATTACAAACGTTATCTGGAATAGGTAAGTCATTCAAAGGAAATTTTAATAAAACATTTAACCTATTTTCAAACCTTTTCAAGACATATTTATGACCAGGGCAGAAGGACCGACCGACCGTTTCTTATTCGTTTCTTCAACCGCAGTGCACATATACGATTTTCATATATTTACAGTCATTTATTCGACAATTTCTAAAATCGTGAATTCGAGAAATTTTTTTTCTTACATCTGGATTTTTTTTTAATTAATTTTTTTTCTTCTTGTATGGATAGTATTTATAATCAAAGATTACATATTTATTTCAGAAGATACAAAGCCGGTGAAAATTGTGGAAGCAGTCTCTTCAGATCCAAGAGAAATGCAGTTGTCATGGAAAGATGAGCAAGCATCCAGTTCTGTGCCTATAACTTATCATGTGTACCATTCTCTGCGCAAACAACTGACATATTGTGGAAATACAACGGATAAGAAAATAAAATGCTCTCGTTTGAAGCCGTGTACAGAATATACCTTTTATGTGAGGCGAAATGACGAGCGAGTAAATGCTTCCATCAGCAGTTTGACTTCAGAGGACAGTAGGTCGAATTTTAGATTGTTGTGCAAGGTATCTTATACCTCATTCACACCAATAAAACATGTTCAAATAAATCGGGTTTAGCTGACTGAAATCGCAAGCAGAGAACTGAAAACTGAATTGTCCGTAGGTTTCAAGTTTTCACTAACGTGTATCTTCATTGTGCTACATTTTAAGTCTACATACTTTGTTTTAAACAGCTTCTATGAAGAGATTAAAGTTCAAACTATGTTTAACAAAAAATCTTTTAAAACGTAAGCAAGCTTTGGTTTGAATGTGGTATTAGATCTTTTTTAATTTAAAGCAAACTGTTGTACTTTTTGAGGTTTTCTTGGTGACTTTCCTTATGGCCTTGTCTTTGTCACATCAAGCTATATCAAATTTTAATTTCGTAGCCCAGTCAAGGAGCAGGGATACATCAGCATGACCAGAACCAAGTTGCCTCGTGATGATAATTGTTTTGACGAACCCTGCTTAGGTCCAATACTTCACACCTTGTCAAGAGATTTGTGTCGGTTTCAAATATGTCGTTGAGAAGAAATCGAATGCACCTTTGTTATTGACCGTTTTTGACCATTTTGTTGTTGTTTTGGTACCTCTAGAACCCGGACCGCCCACTGACTTGACCGGAAACCCAGATGAAGAGAACTTCACCCAACTGACGTTACACTGGCAGCCGCCGAAGGAACTGAATGGGAACATCACCAAGTACCGCATCTTTTACTCCACAGATCCGAATACTCCTGTTAAGGACTGGAAATCTGTACTTGTTGACGGATCCAAACTTACAGAGAAATTTACTGGCTTAGAACCTGGAACAACTTACTACTTTGAAATGCAGGCGCGCACCAAAAAAGGATGGGGACGTCATTCGAAAAGAAAGGAGGCTGCTACGTTGACAAAAAGCTTGAAAACAGAGCCCTCAGTAGCCACAGGTTTGTTGTGTAGAACTTAGAAATAATCCTTGAAATCTACTTGCCCCCCCCCCCTCCCAAACTTGAAGAGGGTTAGTGAATATTGTTCCTGAGAGCATAATACATTGGCAGATGGGAGGGGGGGTGTTACCCTACAGTGATTTTCCTCATAAGTGTATCTGTTCATAGTCGAGCTGTTGAAGGAGCTACTCCTAATTTTTATCTCGAGCTCCTCAAAGTAGAAATAAAACTAAGAATGTTCTTTGAAAGAGCTGACAAAAAGAAGGTGTAGGAATAATCTTTAGTATAATGTGGAAGGTGAGGAGTGCAAACGTCAACACACATTTAAAAACCACAAACAATAAAATTGTACAATTGTGTGGTTGATTAACAGAATTGAAGTCGCCCTCTTCACCGGACAGCGCTGCTTTAGCCGGACAAGGGAAACTCAAGAACAAGACATTGTGGATCGTTATCGCCGCTGTGGCGGGCATCACTCTCATCGCTATCATCATCATTAGTGTTATACTGTGTAAGAAGAGATCAGGAGATGACATTCGGAGGTAGTTATAGAATATTTACATATTATATATTTCATTATTTATCTCGTGAATTTAAGCAGTAGAGGACTTTTTCCCAGTTAACGTACGATTATCTCAGCACACCTATCGACCAATGAGATCGCGCGTACTCAAATATTTTGTTTATATAAGTATAGCTTTAATAAGTAAATACTCATCTATTTTACAGTGCCCTTATCTTACGAAGATATCCTAACTCCTCCAAATATATTCATCTACTTGTTTTCCATCTATTTTTTCATTCCTTACTTATTTAAATTAAATTCTATTTCCTGAAACCCCAATTGAAGTGGGGTATTTTTGAACCTCAACTGATATGACGCGTTTTTTTTGTTGTCTGCAGAAAACCTCCAACATACAAGTCCGTCATTCAAGCGAATGGCTCAACAAAGAAGAAGAGCAAGGAAGAAAAACCACCAGATCTGTGGATCAATCACACCGAGAACCTTGATATGAAACCAGTTCAGACTGTGGATCCTGCTCCAGATGTTACCAACATTACCGCGTCTATTCCAAGGTATATCGTACTTAGATCGTTAAATTGTGTTTTAAATCCTCTCTTTCTCCCGCTAAGTCTTGTTGGTGGGGGTGGGGATTCAATTGACGGAAGTTTTACTGAAGATTGTGACACAGATTTCTGATAACGTAACAAAGAAAGAATGTTGTAACAGATTTTTATGTTACATCAACAGAAGCACTGGGGAAATGAAGCCGCTCGACGACTCTCCTCTGGACCACATCAAAATCGATCAGGACAGGAGCTCTTTTTTGAATGGTAGTGAGGCGGATTGCGAGGAGTTTGACGACCTTCCTCCTCCTCCTCCAAAGATCGACAGCGCAGGAAATCCTTACGTTGAATACCCTGAAGACAGCAGAACCTCTACCCCTCCCCCTTCGCCTGGAATGTCACCCCTCTATCCCCCGCTCAGAGCATCCACGCCAGATAATGGTACAGTGATTTTTGTGACTGTTAAGTTTTCTTTGAACATTAGTAAGCTATCGAAATGTTAACGAATGAACGAAATCGTAACAGGGATAAACTTGTGGTAGGGTTTGTGAGTTTTAAGTATATACCGTACAAAGCTAATCATCAAACGCGAGTTTGATGCTATATAAGCAACAAGTCTTCTTGTTTAACCCAAGGATTAGTAGTGAGTAATGTCGCAATGAAACAATTTCAATACCATATGAAACGATTTCAATACCTTAAAAAATAAGATAACGAGAGTAAAGAAACTATCATCATGGTGATAGTGCATGATTTGGTATCAAATTCTCACAATAAAAACCGTCAGAAATGCATGATGGTCAGTAAGGAGAATTGAAATATCAAAATCCTCGGTGTGAATGACCTCAGTGTTAATCTTACAAATTGCTAGTTTACCAGCCCATGTATCCGAAAGCACCTACACCCCGTTATCAGATGCACCTGCCACGGACCGGCTCATGCGAGAACAATAGCCTTGATGTTGGGGATCCACGTCCACCGCAGAGATCCAGATCGTACGACCCAGACTTCAGAGCTCCAAGTGCCAAGGTAATGTGCAACTTTGATATTACTTTCTCTTTACCGGACGTTTCTCTAGTATGCCTTCATTTTTTACTCTTTCCTAAAGACAAACAAAAAAGAAAATTCAAAAGAAACCTTCGGGAAAATACATTATCTCTGTATCTTTTCTTCCCCTTTATCTGCTCTCCTGACTTTTTCGTCCTTCTCTGTTTTTCTCATGAATACAAAGTCTTTTTTTTCAGAGGAGTCTTTTGGTTTCTCGAGGCTCATGTCTCGGAAATCTGCGGTGCCAAAATCTTAAAAAATTACAAACAAACAAAAACCCGTGATGGAGGTGTTAAAAAAACAAAAGTTAGTCATATGTGGGTACTGGGTTCTTTCTGAGCCCACTCCTTTCTAAACCACTTTTCGAGAATGCCTTTATTCACAAGTTACTCTTCAGAAGGAAAAGAGGGGCTGAACAGGGGAGGGGAGGGAAGGAAAGGAAAGGGCCCAGTGCTTCTTCTGTTTTCTTCTCTTGCCCAACCTTGTCTATACCTCTACCACTTACCAAATACAGAACGTTTTTTATGTTGTTTGTATTACCGCGTTTAAAAACTTTGATGGAGGTATGGTTTAGATGATATGCTTTAGATCCAGGCCTTCGCAATGCTTGTAAGCGCGCTCATTAGATCTTGTGGCTTATTCTTCAGAGTCAAATCTCCTCATGCACATGAGCCATACTCGATCACCCTTGTAAATAACATCCTTTGTGTCTTTGATAGGTACCAGTGTTTCCGAAGCTTCACACGTCTCCTCCGCCAACATCACCAAAACCCAAAGCCAAACCTCCGGTGGCTCCAGCGGATGATATACAGTTACCTCCGGTAGGTTTTAACCGTAAGACGCCCCCGAATGGATACTGGACTCCGCCACCGAAATATGAAGAGATCTTCGCGCGCAGGTCAAATCCGCCACCGAGTCCGCCATCTTCGCCGCCCAGAGATCAGGTAAAGACTATAAGGGAGCCCTTTTTTCATATGCTTCCCCGTCGTCTTTTGAATTATTTTACTTACGAAGTTCCTCGTCAGGAAAACTGTTTTTGATTAGTATGAATTTTTTTATATTTGTTCTTAGGCTCCAGAGGTATCGGAGCTTGACAAAGAAATAGCAGGACTTGAAGGACTTATGAGAGACTTAAATGAGATCACTGCTGGTGATTACCAAATTTAACATGGTGCGTATCACTGACTGATGGAAATTAATGGTGAACCAATAGAAACTTTCTGGAAATCCAATTGCAGAGGGTGTTTCATTTTTTGTTTACTGTTGTAGGCTTATAGTTTTCGATATTTTCAGTTCATTGTTTGTTTGTTTGTTTTTGTGTGTATGTGTGTGTGTGTAAACGGGGCAAGCTGTTCAATTTATGACTGTTTCTCTTTTTCTTTATTTTCACTTAGGTTTAAGAGAGTTTGAATGATAGAGAATGTAGGAGAATTCCTATAGGATTATTCCCAGCTGGTAGTGATGCGCTGTGTTCATTCTGTCCACACGTACAAGCAGGAGAGTAAGGTCGGTGAAAAAAGAGTGGCCTCCACATCAGAAGTGAACATGCCTTCGACGTAACCTGAAGATAGAAAGATATTGAATCCCATAAACGAAAGAGTATAAATAGCAATTCCCGTTTATTAACAAAGAAAGTAAATTTATGTATCTACGAATTTGTATCCTAATAGTTATAATAATGGCTCTTCGCTGCGACTTGAAACAATTTGCTATTTGGTATCGAACGTTTTCTCGAATTTTGTTGGTTTTACCTCACTTCGCTCTTCGATTTACCCTTTCAAACTAATCTTATGTCAAGCTGGAACCAATGGCGACTTTGTCATTTGCTTAATGTTAACCCTTGTTTTAATTGGCAAGGGTCATTATTGTGATTTTGGTTTTACGATATTCAATTGAAAGGTGCACTTTTAATAGTGGTGCAAAAGAAGTAGCTAGCGAGAATTTCATCCCTGTGCGAAGGCACGGTGTCGAACGCTGCACTCCCTTCGCACTCTACATTAGTTGAAGTCATTTCAAGGGCTCTAGCGATACCTTAATTGCGATCAGTAACATGTTTTATGTACTGGTAGAATGGCCTACCTTGTCGTCAAAATAAATATTTGAAAATATAATTAACTTTTTTTAATTGGGATCCTATTCATTTCACGTCAAACAAGATTATATATCTATATAAAAATATATATTTTTGTGTACGTACGGAGACAAAATTCAAGATACTTCTCTGAAAGCCAACTCTGTATTTTGTTCATGGAAGAAGTAACACATTCAGTTAGGATTTTCTCTGGGAGTAGCTTTTTGCTACAAAGCACTTTTGTCGTGACCACTAAAATCTTGGGCGTTTAGAAGTAGTATTTCTCTTAAGTCGATCAATAGAGCAATTCTTAGTCGAGGTCGCAATTAGTGCGGAATATACTTTGGTCTTGCCTTACCTCATAGATGGTCCAGAAAACTCTAGCCATTTTCCCAGCCAGTCAGATTCAAAACTAAAACGAAACGCGATTGTGGTCGCTCGTGATTCCCCGCGCTAGGCAGTTTTCTTTTTTTCTCACTGACTACTAATGAAAAATTACATTGGAAATGCCAGAGTTATAAAAAAAATAAATGTAACCAAAGATTTTGAAGAAACATCGATATACGCAACTGAGTAGTTAAGGAATGGAGATGAGCCAGCAAGTGGCGCTTGCAGTTGGTTTACCATTTGTTCAAACAAGTGTCGGTATTTTTGTAAATAATGTTCCAGAAAGATGAGAGGAAACAGTGATACCTCTGAAAAAGTAATTTATGGATATAAAGTTGCGCTACCCTAACGTTTTCTCGGTAGATCAAATTGTATATCAGCGAGTTATTACATAGTGAAGACGAGAAATAAGGGTATAACGCTGATACGATCAGATCTGTTTTGTAGTTAAACCTTCCTTTAATTGTATAAATTAAAGCTTTCAAGTTCTGCCAAGGTTATTTCGTAACGTAGATAATAGAAGGGTTTTGTATTTTTGTAAAAATAAATATTTTTGGTGAACTAGTTACTTACTAATACGAGTTTGTCGAGATATACATGACGCGTAGTAAATTTTGCATGTGGTCTGTTTAACGCTCGAATCGATACATATCAGAATTAGAGACTTGTATGAATTTAATCTGAATGAAACTTATTGGTATTTGCATTGATGTTGTGTTCTTTGCGCTGAAGATCGCTTTATTGTTCAGTCTCTCCTTTTCTCCCCATAAAACTTCCCAATATGCGATACTATTTGTCTCTGAGGAATGCTTGCCTTGAAAGTGCATCAGCCGCTCATCTCTTTCCCAGGCCTCGCTCCAACTGCGAAAGCCTATGTTACCATGATTTTTTTTCGGTAAATCGTTATAGCTTCAGAGACCAAAACTGCAACAAAAATTGTCAACATCGCACGAGGCGAATTGTCAGTGCGACTTGTTTTGCACGTAGTTAGCTCGGAGCGGCTTGTAAGAGAGGACTGCCGTCGCGACTTCTCGCGGCTTGCGTAGCTGTGGTTTTTCCAGATCAGCGGATCGTTTTCTCCTTCCCATTCCCATGGCAGCTTTGCTGCTCTCTTTTACATCATCAGTATGTTCCCCTTTAGAGGTTACTCATGCAGGAAGAGGAACGTTGCAACGGAGGAATTTTTGTTTTGGTCATGGGGTGACTCAATTTTGTTGTTATTTTTTTTTTCACGACCAGCTGTCTCAATAATGGACATGAATTTGAGAGGGGGCAAATTGTATTGATTTTGTACCTAAGCTGGCGGCTGGGCACCAGTCGAATCAATCTCTCATTCGCTCGGGATTGTTCACTTCTGAAACTCTTTCGAGCAAAGTAAGTGAATGCAAATATAAACTTAAGGTTCGTTAACATGAATGTTTTGTTATAATAGCTTATTGGTAAATCCTGGAAGTCTGAAGAGTCCTCAAGTCAAGACTCAGATTGATTAGCAGTGATCACTAAATCCCACAAAAAATGGAGCAAGACACAACTGTGTAATATTGACAGCAAGCGACCAATACTTAGCTTTACCTTTCCACGCCATAAAAGGAAAATATTCAAGTGTTTGGCGCACGAACATTAATAAGTGTGAAACATTTTACAATGAGCGTGTCCATGAGCATTGCGGATATTGTGGTGAGTTCTCGACCTCGCTCCATCTACTAAAAACAAACTACATTGAATGAGGGAAAGGAGCTAAAACATAGAATTGGGGGACCTAGGTTCCTCTCTTATTCTACCTTTGTTGATTTACGCGCGTGAAAAAACAGCAGGGGCCGTCGAGGTCACTGGTTCTGAACGAAACGACATTGACGAGACTGTAAGTTACAAAAAATGCTTTGTTTTGTGTATTTAAAGTATCCTTTACTGTTTCATGTTTAATATAAGTACCTGGTATTCGGTTTGGAATAAAAGGGAGTTTTCAGCAAAAGAAGGAAAAAAGTAGAGAAGATGACTGTCGGCAAAATTCCTAAGAACGATTTTAGCTTGGATTCCACATTCCAGTTCTTTCTTGCGCATTGGACCAGAGTGTAAACACGATCATGACTCATTTCCGGTTGGGCAAGAAAATATCAGACTCGTTTTGTAGTGGAACAATTGCATTTTCATTCGAATAGAGGGACGATATTTATCCAATGATATCTAAAAAAAAAAAAAAAAAAAGGGCCGCATTCTTGCGGTTTGATATTGAGTACAACATTTCTTAGTGGACTTTATTAAAGGTACAAAACTTATGTCTCAGGAAGCGCTAATGACAAACGGAATTTGTAAACATACGGCTACGCAGAGCAGGAAACCAGTATGTGATTATCAAATCCACAAGTCACAAAAATTACATTCTTTTACGATGATTAAATCGAGGTATCTGTAGACATTTCTAATCGAGTCCGTCAAAATTCCGCTGAAATTCTACATCACGTACAATGCAAAGTTGGGGTTAGGTCAATGTCTTGATTAATGCAAGTGATAAATATCGTGCCTTCAGGGAACATTTAAGAAACTTAAGCTTACTTTTTCTACCGTTTGAATTTAATCTTACTCCTGCAGGATCCCCGTTGTTTCCGTTTGTGTAAATAACCAGCACAAATAACGAAATAGAGTAAAGTCCATGGTCAGGATTGAAGTATAGTATTAAGTTTAAGTTAAGCTCGACTGTCTTTTGCAGAAAATGATTTCTGATTTTTGATACAAATCGAAATTTTTTATGAAAATTAGATTCGACATAAAGTGAATCTTTTGTTTCTGAAGTGTGAAATTAACAAGAAGTGAAATTGACAACGGAACCTAAGATCTTGTTAACGCCGATTTATTGATAATAAATTGTTCAAAGAATTCGACAATATCGCAAAATTGAATGTTGTTCCGGATTTGCCTCAAGTCTATGCCTAGGTGCCTGCAGGTAATCCATTTGGCTCACAACTCGGAAAGACCGTTGGAATTTCGACAGTTGGCTTGTTATTTTACAGGCAATGCAGCTGCATATTTTTGAAACCGCTCCATTTCGAAGAATCTATAAAATTCTCGTATCGAAACGTATCAAATGACAGTGACCTAATGGCAAAGTAATTTTGCTTTATTAAATCACTGCCCGTTTCCTAGAGACCTTGCGCGCTGCGAATGATGTAGCGAAAATGTAATTACCGTTCATGCAAACGCAAGAATATTTAGATGAAATACCCCGTAACAGAGACCCGAAATTTGCGCATATTTTTTCATTGTCATGAATTGAATCAGCGGGGTACATTGCTCTTTTCTCGCCTCTGATTGGTTAAGGAACAAAGCCAACAATTAATTCTGGCCTGATTGACAGGGAGGCACTAGGAAACGACGCCGAACGAAGCGAACTACGAATGCTAAGATGGCTGCGGCGTTAAAGCCATACCAAAGTGCTTTGCTTGAAAATCGAGACCTTATTCTGAGAGACGTTCGAACTAACGAAGTTTGTCCGCTGTTGTATGTGAGTGGTGTGCTGACTCAGAAAGAAATCGATGGTATAAACATTGGGCGGACCCCTCAAGAACGTACGGAAAGCTTGCTTGACTTACTCCATTACAAGGGTCCGACTGGATTTCAAGAGTTGTGTGTGGCATTAGAAGACTCGCATCCCCACTTGGCAGCCAAGTTAAGGGCCAAAAATCCACAAATCGAGGTTTTAGGTAAGCTTTTAACGATTGATGTCCTCTCACTGGAAATTTAAAAACTCTCGACACGCTTGCCAGAGCACAAGCTTTGCAAAGTTTGTGCCTTCGAACGCTATCCCAAATTATACTCATGAATTTTCTCTCAATAAGCGACAATTGGTTTTGTTTTTATGCAGGTTTTTTTGTGATACGAATTTATTAATGTATGCAAAACAACCTTTCCAGCGTTTATATTGGTTTGAGTCATGACACTGTAATTAGGCTGTCCTTGCATACGTTTATTTAAGCTCAGGAAATTCGTGCTTGCTCGGTTGTTTTCGCAAATTTCAGCTTGCATTTGCTGTGTTTTTTCAGAGGGCAAACCAAGGGACGCCTATCCAAGATATTCCAATCCCGAGAGAGTTAGAGATTTTGAGCAGAGAGAAAATAATAATAACGAATTTTATCACGGTAAACGAGAGTATTACACACCCGAAAGAAACTTCAGTCAAGAAGAACTGCCGCGAAAAGAAATGAGGGGAGAAGAGCAATTGCAAAGAGGGAGAGATTATTCTTACGACAGGGGAAGAGAAGTTTCTCAGTATATCACAGAAAAGTACAACGAAGGACGAAACTACGTGGAGAATGACGCTGGAAGTGAACGGAACTATCGAAAGTCAGTCGGCGATGCAAGCGTAAGTTTGTTGTTATCCACTCTATTTTTTTTTTATTGCTCTTTCTACTTCACATTTAATATCAAATTTATTCTGCTGAATTTTTCATTTCGTTACACGAAAGGGGTGTGCTTTCCATTAACTTAGTGTTACTGACGCGCTCGGTTATCTTCGAATTTGATATGTGTGTGTGTTTGTCGATGTTGTGGGAAAATTGACAATGAAATATTTTCAACACACGGAATTTGGAGTATGCGTGTTTATGAGCGTGGTTTAACGTATGGTGACTTAACAGCTGATGTGTAGGTTACCCATCCTAGATCATATCTAAAATTAGTGCTACACAATTAATACAGGCAATAGCGAAAGAACTTCACTGCAAATAAAGATATCATTATCTTTCTGAGGCGTTGAATGTCCTCGAGAAGCTTAGTAGTATTAGCTTTTAGAGTATCGCTGAACGTTTCAATTCGCGTGGCAAATCGTATCAAAAGGTCAGTTTTTCATGGCTTGATGAGGTTTATTAGGTACAATTTAGCTGCCCAGGTTGACTTCGACCCGCCGATGTACTGGGGGGTCCTATAAATTTTTAGCTCAACTATAGTTATTTTTTGGATACTCCAAATCCTTTATTTGCAAGAAATTTCACGATGGAAGCTTCTATTTATGTGATGTCATACACTGCTCACGAGTATTATTGGAAGTTCGTCTTAGATTTCCAATTTAAAAGCCTTATGTGTGAGTTTTCCAAAATTTATTGCTGTCGTTCTTTCAGGCATTTTACATATAGCCCGCCTTTTAAGCTATTTGGTTCTTTGGAGTTTTTCCGTTTTCACTGAAAATTGTGGGAGCGAATCTCGAATTTAAATCATAGACTTCAACGAGAAAACCCTCGCCTGAAACTTAACATGAGTGTTAGTGTCTTTCCGTACCAGAAGTTATTTTTAATCAACTCTGAAGGGTTTAAACTTGCGAGGTCGAATATATTTTCGTGGTTGAGTGGTTTTTCTACCTTCTGTATTATGGAGGTCGGATAGATCCAGTTTCAAAGGCGACGAGGAGTCGATACAAATTATTTTATCATTTGCCCTATCAAGAAAGAATGGTTGTGAAAGTAAATATTTCGTATGCAAGCGACTCAATCGGATCTCTTAGTACATGTATTTGGTGTGCGTTCTTCTTAATATCACGCATGATGCTTATATTAGTTCGCGTCTCCTTTGTCGTGGAGTTCTGTTTCGGTAAGGTTCTAATGCTGTTCTTTTGTTTACACGAGCACGTAGGAAGCTTGCGCCGAAAATGGAGCATTAATCTGGTCGCAGAAATAAATATGTGCGTCACCAAACAACTGGATAAATGGCCCATACGTTTCGTCGCGAAATTAAAATATAATCCGAATGTTTTGTTTCATGGAAAGGTTGATTTTAAATCTTAAAGAGTTATTATCGTTCTCATGGGAATTTTTCCATCAAGTTGACGAGTTACTGATGCAGTTAGCAAAATAAAATTTGCGAATAATGATTATTTAACTTTATTTTTCCCTTGAATAAACAAGCACCACATTTTGACCATGTTCTACTCCATAGTGCTCAAAACATTTCAATAATTTTATCCAGGAAGATTTTTTTTTAGCATTACACTTCAACAAATTCTATTATTCAGGGGAATTCAAGCAATGAACAGTGTTTTTGTACTGTAACCTGTTGGAGTTATCAATTGTTAATGGTATTACTTTTGGCACTGATCAGGAAAACAATATACAGCATTTTCAAACACCTTAGATTGCAAAATAAACAGTTTTCATTGTTTTCTTAAATTTGAAGAGTTTAAATAATTTTTATATGCCATCTCTTATGCACACTTGGACAATTGTGGCCAGGAGAAGCCAAGCTCACTTATGGTGATTTACAGACAGTGAAAGCCACAAAATAATTTCAGAATTTTTATTAGCTGGTAAGACGTTATCTTCAGTTGTATTGTTATGCTAACCAGTTTGGAAAATTTTCAACATAAGTCATTGCTTTTAACAAGTTTTGCTTGCTTTAGTACCTTTCGTGAGTGTGAAGTTTAAACCAGAAATAACACCCTAAATCTGCTATGATAGTCCAATCTTCACTGTCCTTTGCATTGAAATTGTTAGTATAAATAGTATATCATGTTAGGATAGAACAGATAGTGTTCAGTGGGTTGGTTGGAAGCAAAATAAGGTGTTTGTATATCTCAGATGAATAATCACCAAGGTTTTTTTTTTTTAAAACCTCTTGCATATGAAAACCAAGATTTATATGTTTGTTGCATGTTTTTGAAATTAACATTTCTTAATATGGAGTTGAACCCTTTAGATTTAGCTTCCACCTTTTGATAGTAACTGGTTGTGGTTACAAGGCTGCTAAAAGGCTGTTTAGTAAGTAATTGAAATGAAGTGGGGTCAGTTGAAGTTCACACTAGAGAGAAATTTAAGAAATATCTTTCAATCACATGATGTTTATGCTGTCTACTTGTATATCCTAAAATTCACTAGGATTTTATTTGAGGCTCGAACAAACAGGTTTCTTATATAGTAACAAGGGATCTAACTTCAAATGTTTCAGCACTTAAAGCAATATTTTGTTGGCAAGCAACTGGGTTATTATTTTTGATGACAATATATTTAATTTGGAAAATTGATCATGATCAGTTCGTATTGTTATTTTCTTTTTATGCGTAACGCTAAATGTTATTGGTAAGGTAGAAATGTTTTTATGAAAATCTTTGAGACCCTATGTCAGTTTCTGAGTGTTCCAAAGTTCTAAATTCTAGGAGAACTTTTCACAGTAACATTAAACCATCACCAAATGCAACTAAAATCTGTGTCTAAGGTCATGATTCTTTCTATGCTGAAGAATAAAAAAAAACATGTATCAAAGTACAAAACTGGTCAGCATGCAGAATGGAAGTGGAGAAATTTAAAGACCTTGCATGCTTACATTTTAATGCAAGGGTAATTATTGCTCTGGGAAGAATTAAAAAGATGTACTCTTCAAGTTGCCAACAAAGAGACTGCTTTCAGACCACTTGTCTCATAGATATGTCTGTGTACATTAGAGACATTAAGTCAGGAGCTTAAAAAAAGTCGGAGGAAGAAAAAATATTTCAAAAATCCAAATGCTCAACTCTGCCCTTCCAAACATTCAAACTTTGTCAATAACAATGAATAGTATGCAGAAATCTGCCATGTATGCATGTACCTGCCAAAATAGAGCTCTTGTAAAGATTTAATCCCTGTTTATAGGTAAACATATCTTTATTTATCCAAGCTAATGGCTGTAATTTTGTAGTTGTCAAGTAAGAATCTTAGTACAGGCATTTTATGTCAACATTAAGTGAACTTATGTACACAGAAACATTTTAGTGAAGTTACAGGTTGTGTTGTGTGATTTTCATGTCAAAGTTTGACAATAAGCAGGTCATATTTTCAAGGAGAGAGTGTTGTCCTGTTTTGCCCTATATTGTCAAGTGTGGCTTTTTGGGATATAAAGAAAAGTTGCACGGAGCTTTTGACAAGAATTATCATTTTATTGCTCAAGGTTTTCACCATTTGACACGGTCTTGTTTTCCACAGCCTTCAGAGCAGTATGTATGGGAAAGGCAAACAATAGTTTTGGAAAAGGTGAGTTTCTGGTGATATAGTAATGTTGAATACATGCAGCAATGAAAATTTAAAAAGAGCAAAACTAGTGTGTGGTTTGTCTTTGTCTCTTTTCTTTTGTATTTGTGCAAATTCCTTTTGTTGTTCCTAATTTATACTTTGTGAGAGACTTGTGCTTGATGGGCCAGTTCTAATGCTATTGTTTTTTGTTGGTTTTTTTATTTTAACTTAAATTGGCTCACCTCAAGAATTATTTTCAACTTGTCTTCCTAATTTTTACTTTGTGAGAGGCTTGTGCTTGATGGGCCAGTTCTAATGCTATTGTTTTTTTTTTCTTTTTTTTTTCCCTGACTTGAATTGGCTCACCAATTTTTTATTTAAAAGTTGTTATAGTTTTCTTAAAGATTTTTTCCTTTTTTTCTATTTATTGTCAACTCATTCGACTTTTTCTATAAATCCTCATTTAGCTTCTCTTTTTTATTGCTTGTTTTGTTTTTGTTAGTTTTTTTTTGCTGCAAATTTGGAACCCAAGAGTTGTTTTATTTGACCTGCACAATTTTCAGTAGATTTTTTGTGTGATATCTTGTCTTTAATTGTAAATTCATAACTTATGTCTTCTTTGACATGTTGTTGTGGTGAATGCATGCATTTTTTAAGTTTGTTTTACCATACCTGTTTGTTTTGCTACATAGGCAAATTCAAATCAGGGGTTTGGAATTGCAGTGTCTGGTGGAAAAGACAACCCCCACTTCAGGAGTGGAGACACATCCATTGTTGTTTCTGATATTGTCCCTGGTAGCCCTGCTGATGGTCTGCTAAAGTAAGATTTTACCTTTTTTGCTGATAAATTATGGTAGCTAGTGCAAAACTAAGAAATTTATAGATCTGTAGTCTAAAGGAGGAATAATCTTCTTTTGTATTCAAAATCATCATGGAAGACAGATGCCAATGAGACACTGGTGCAGTGTCAGTCAGCCTAGAACAGAATTTTCTCAAATTCACATACACAAAATTCCCAAGGAATTCTCTTGTTGGAAAAGGTGGACATATTCAGTGCAGAGCTAAACCCTGCAAAAATAAAATCTTAATGCTAAAGCTCAGTGGTCTTGACAGACATTTTAAGTGAACTGATTATTAAGCCTTTGATCTCTGAACTATTACCCATTACCTGGCCTCTCTGGAGCTCTGTGATGTAGGGAAAAAAGTAGGCTTCAAAGAGTTTGGATATTATCATGAATTTTTGTCCCCTTACTTTTCTAACACATCAACACAGTTTAGTGGAATTTTTTCATTGACTATCCCCTCTTTATTTCAGGGTTAATGACATCATAACACAAGTTAATGATATAAATGTTGAGAATGTTTTGCATTCAACGGCTGTGCAAGCCTTGAAGGACAGTGGCAACTCAGCGAGACTAGTAAGTCTTCCCTTGATGGTCAGCTTTGATGGTCATTTTAGTCTGATGCAACATTTCCAAGCTTTCAAAAAGTTTACAAAATAGATCAGCATTGTTTGTCCTTTTCTTTTCCTTTTTTTTTTTTCTTTTTTTTTTTTTTTCATTTTCCCAATATTTTGTTTTGAAAGTCACTTTTGCCATCTTTTTTGTTTATTTTCACTTCAGACAGTATTCTTTCCAGGACTCCTGCGTCTTACTCTTCATTTGTTGCCCTCTACAATGAAAAGTCTTTACTCTTGTAGATCTTCAATAGCTTTGTTAATGCAGTTCTGCTTTACATTTGGAATGACAGTACTTTCTCATTTCTAGGCCATTAAACGACAAAAGCTTGCTCCTGTGATGACTACTCCCAGAGAAGGAAGTAAGGTTCCACAAACTGTCACACTCGTTAGGGAACAGCAAAATAAAGGTACCTTGTTGATTTATAACATGTCAAACTAATAATCCTAAATCTGCAATGGAATTAGATGAGGTGTAATGACACACCCTTTACACTTCATCAAAATTAACCCTTTAACTCCCAGATCAAATTTGTAATTCTCCTCACTGTTTACCATTCATTTCTTATAATGTTAGTTAAGGGAATTAAGTATTGGATCAACTTGCCCCAAATTGATATTTCTCTTTATTCTTATCACTTATCTGGTGATATTGTATTGATATTGTAAGGAGAAATTCTGTCTTGGTCACTCATGGGAGTTGAAGAGTTAAGTGTTACTAAAAAAAAAAATGTGTTTTGTATCCCCTCAAACTCTAATCTAGCAGAGATACTTTGATTGGTTTTTTTTTTCAATTTTTTTTTAAAGAAATTTTGTGTAAACCATGTTAGTTTCTATATAGCCAATAGACCTCTTTGATAATTGCAGGTATGAATTTTATTGTCCTTGTACATGTTGTCAAGGCAAGAAAGGCTAATTTACAGGAGTATTAAAGGATAGCAATTTGGCCTGCAATTTTTAAGAAAGGGTTCACTGTGTGATCATTCTAAAGCAATATGAACACTTGCTCTACATATAAAGAAGGGTATCCTATCCAAGAAAATGGCAGAGAGAATTGAAATAGTTGATGTGGTTAGTATTAGGTAATCAGGTTATGAGGCATCAAGTTCATAAAATGATCATTTGTGCTCATTTTGATAAGTGCAGATGCTTGTGTTTTGTACTAAATTTGGCCAATTCTTGTATTCTTAGGTTATGGATTTTCACTTGGGGGATCCATGTTCATCAAAGAAATTGACAAGAATGGTATGGTTGCTAGGCAAGGTGAACTGAAGTCTGGAGACATCATCCTGAAGGTGCGCAATGAAACATTATTTAATGTTTAATCATGCTTTTTACCTCTGTACAAAATCCTACTAATAAAAAACACAACAATAATTAATATCTATTAATAACCACACGAAATCTTAATTACCGTATAAAAGTACAGTAGGTAAAGGAAAGCAATAGGTGCCAAATAATTACATATAGAAATATTTATTCGAGATGGTGAGGCCCAGTATAGAATCACTAAAACTTCTTCAAAAACAGGAAACACAAGCATAGACTGAGATAGAATTTTTCCTTGCCTGTGGTAATTTTGCCTTTGCATTCCAGATAAATGACCGTAAATCTGAAGAGATGAGTTTGCGGGAGGCCATTGATATGGTCCGTCGTTCCAACAAACTGGACCTGTTGGTACTGAAGGATGACCAGTTACCACCAAGTTATAGCACACACTCTTTGCCAGCAGCATTTAGACACAAAACTCGAGACAGAGATCATGACCTGCCAAATGGCTATAATGAAGAGCCAGAATTGCCTCCAAGGTAAGAGAGAACACGTGAGGCTATGTTCAAGGTATATTTTGCAAACTGCTTGGTGTGTTTAGACACTTCTACCTTAATCATGAAGTTGTGGACAATACTCTGGACTTTGTTGCAGAAAATTGACTGAGTTTGTTTTAATTTCTATTGCATTTTGCTCACAACCAGCTTATCTATGTCAGTGTTCTGTTGGCTGGTACCTGGAGCTGGGCTGTGTATTGATTACTGTGATGAATTCCTTGTCATTGCAGAGGTTGTTGCCCTCCTGTTTACACTCGTATGGCACCGACCCTCAAATAGTATTTTGGAAGTGTTTCAATACAGGATGTCTACCTTCTGACTGTTATTTTACTATTACTCCAACAATAGGCACTATAGTGAGGATGATCTCCCAGAGCGACCCCCACCTCCTTTGGATAAAGACAATCTGCTGTTTTCAGGTAAGTATTGTAGATCTCCAATAAAAAGGTTAAGTTCGTTGATTAATGGAGGTATGATAATTAGCAGCCAAAAATATTAGCCATGACTTTGTGTAGCTTACATCCTAATTACTTGACATAAATTTGCTATTGCTGTTCAAATTTTTAAAGTGCAAGTTTAGTAACTTAGATGATGTTGATCTTTATGATGCATTGGAGTCAATAGGTGTACTGTGGTCCATTTGGTGACTTAAGTAAACAACAAGAGGGCTAAAATAAATGAAAATAAATGTTTTTCTATCTTAGTGCTCTTGTAACAAAACCGTTTGGCACCCTTGTTTTGTTCATGTTTCTTTTTGATGTACATCTATTGATTTCTAGGATCAAGCTGGAAGAGGCCAGATACTGGTGAACGAGTCTCAGGGATAGGTTATGACAAAGAGGAGGTCTTCAGGGCTGTAGAGAGTTCACAACAGGAATCAGAACCACATTTTCCAAAACCTGCTGAAGGTATTAATTGAAGTTTCAAGACAAACCCTCTCTAAAAGCTCAAGCTGAAGTTTAAGATTTTTGAATTGATTTCATGAACTCCACAGGTCATAGAAAAAATAATTATACAGAATATATGTCTTATTTTTCATGCAAAGACATCTTGGTCAGGCAGGATTTACTGCTATGAGAAACAGTACCATTGGGGAGCTTTTTTGCATGTAGATTAAAATTCCATAACCTTCCTGAAAGGCATAAGAAACCAAAAGTGCAATATGTGGTGATTCATGAATCAGAGTTTCATTAAGCCTAAGAAACATTTGTTAACTTCAGATTGCTTTCACTTTTATCTTCAAGTGCCAGCAGTCACTAAACTTCACTGGTTTTCCTTGAAGCATATTGAACAAAAAACTTGAAACCAATGCTATCTTGTTTTCAGCAATGCATGTCTCATTCAAAAGTGGTTGTGAACCCTTAACTATATTAATGTTTTCCAAAATTGTTGCACTACTATGTATTGAGACATAGAAACTGTTTATTGATGGCTTGTAACTAGTATTTTGTCTTCACCTCCCCCAGTATCATACACACCAGATGGTTTAAGTTCTTGGGGAAGGAATGAATCTGTGAATGCGTCACGATCAAGTGTCAATTATGTTGAGTCTACCTCAAGTTCGCCTCGCAGTGATCGTAAGGATGGAGCACAGGACTCTGTAGACCGCAGGAGATATAGAGGGTATGCTTCTGTTATTTGAGAGTCCCTGCTAGTAAGGAAAAATGATAAATACACAAGCAGATTGCCTAAGTTTTGAATAGAAACTTCTACTTAACAATTCAGATACTGGTACATATGCTGTCAGAATTCTTTAAGACAGTCTACAGTTACTCTTGGAAAGTGAACTAGTACAGGAATCTCCAAAATGAATTCAGAGTAATTTTGTATGAGAAGATTATGATAATTAAAATGTGCCTTGTGCTGCTGTGTGCAATTTTAATATTTTTGCTATGACATAAAGCAGCTCAACTTTGTTCAACAGGGATGCGCGACTTGTGGCATTCCGTAAGAGTGGCAGTCTTGGTATCCAAGTATCAGGTGGAAATAAAACTGGTATTTTTGTTGCTGCTGTGAAGGAAGGAAGCCCAGCTTACAATGAAGGATTAAGGAAGGGTGATCAAGTATTAATGGTGAGTACACTTTTAAACCAGTGAACATGATATTTCACTCTTGACTTTGATGATCAGTTTGAGATTTTGAGGGTCTTTTAGCTCAATTTGGTAAGTTATACCTTTTAGAACCAACAGTTTTAACTGTGAGAAATTTTCTAAACACCAAGGAATGCCATCTTTTATTTCAGGCCAATGACATAGATTTCAAGGACATCACAAGAGAAGAGGCTGTTTTGATTTTGTTGTCTCTTGGAGATGAAGTGAACCTTTTGTGCAAGTATAGAAGACAAAGTAAGAGAAGTTCCTCTGGTATCTTTGGAGAATCTTTTTCAATTGTTGTATCCTATGAAATTGACAGTTGACTCTGTGTTTTTAGCTTTTGACAAGATCAGCAAAGAATCTGGAGATTCATTTTACATCAAGTAAGTTTGTTGGGTGAAGTGGATTCATCGTGACCTTACAAACTTGTGACAGCAGATACTGTGCATTGTATATGTGAGACTTTGTCCTTGAATGTTGCTCAATACTTGAACAGTTGAAAAAGAAACCGTTGCTGAATTTTCTTGTAGAGCTTAGTTTGTCTTAATTTTATAAATGTGCTATGATGTGTTGGTTTTGAATAGAAAACCTTGTAGTACAACTAACTAGGAATAAAACTAAGGCATACATGCGTGTTTATTTAGTATTTTGTTTAAGATATTGCACTTAACATTTGTGTTTTTTCCTTTTTTCCCATTTAAAAAATAACAAGAGAGCCTCTGTTTTATCAGTTTTTATACTGTTGTGTGTTTTACCTTCTATAAAAAACTTTATCATTATTATTTACTGGGATGTTGTTAAGAAAAAGGAGATTCAAAGTTGCAATAATAGAAAGTTATGCCAAGTTTACAAGTTAACTCGTTTCTTTATCTTTTGACAGAGTTCACTTTGATTATGAGCAGATGAAGGAACAGGAGTTCTCTTTCCAAAGGGAGGATGTATTCCACATATGGGACACCATGCATGATGGAGTGATTGGAGCATGGCGTGCACAGGTTGTAACAAAGACTGGTCTGGAAACTGAAATTGGTATTCTTCCCAATAAATCCAGGTAATTAAATGTTACCATGAGAAAAGTTTAGATAACAGATGTTTATCTTGTCATGAGGGTTTTAATCAAGACCTGATCATTTCATTTCATAGTGTCACTTAAGCAACAAGACAAATTACTTCTTGCTTTACTCAAACAGCATTCGTCAGTACAGAAATTCACCTGTGTGTATTAATTCACTGCTAGGCACTCTGAAAATGAGTTTTAAGAAATTCAGGAGAATGAATGACATTGACTGCCTACAATAACAAAATCTTCAAAAATAACCTTTAACCCCTGGACTCCTGAGATTGACCAGCATCTAATTTCTCCTCACAATATCGTCCCTGAATCACACATTAGGGACATGAGAATATGGGAAATGATAAGTTAGTGAGCAAGTGAAGGAGTTCTTGATAGTTCAACAAGTTCTTACCGTCAACACTTCAGGAAATGTATAGAGAACAGTATGGAGAATATGCATACTGATGTAAGGGTATAAATTGCGAAAATTTGCTTTCAGTGGTTTTTCTTGGGACGTTTTCCTTTGTATAGCCATATGATTTTCCTTTTAGAGAGAAATTGAGGCAAATCCCATTTTGTTACGCCTTGTTTAAAACTAGCATTTTGTGAGTTGACATTGCCTTGTTGTTTCTTACAGAGCTGAGCAGCTGGCTCAAGTTCAACAAAAAGTCGAACAAATGACTCCGAGGAAGGGTGATAATTATGGCAGCTTGAAGAGGAGCAACTCTAGAGGTGGCACACTTAAGAAATACAAGTTTGTGTCTTCTGATCATCTGGATGAGGAATCATTCAGTAAGTGATACGTGAGAAAAATGATGAGCAGGGTCCTATGAGCTTATTTTGCCTTCTTTTTTTGCGCAGGAGGTGTTATTCATACGAGAGAAAATCATTAACACTGAGTTGTTATTTTTCAGCGACCACTGCACTGGAAAACAAACTGCCAGCATATGAACGTGTTGCTCTCAGAAAACGTAAGTTAAACTTCGTGAAATATCAAGTGCATTCCCTTCTGCAAAACGCTGCCATATTTACTTAATTGATACTTTTAGTTTTACTTGTGTTAAAAATGTGTCTTCCCTTTGCTTTGGCAAGCTTTTTAACTTAAATTGTTTTCTTTATAGCTGGTTTTGTCAGGCCAGTGGTGTTACTTGGGCCGATTGCCGACATTACAAGAGACAAGCTTCTTCAAGACATGCCGGATGTATTTGCCATTCCAAGTAAGAACAGTGGAGCCATTGAAGCGCATTGGCTCCAATAGAAGGAAAATTATCCTAATGATAACTCAAAGAAAAAACATAAAAACACGGTCTAAACGGGGAAAAGCGGGAGGTGTTCCACTCACAGTTTTAGTTCTGTAACTGATCGGTTGAGAAAGTGGAGCGGGTTCTCGCGACCTATGGTGCTATCTACATTTGTTTAGCGCTCAATATTTGGCAGTATTTACATAGAAATGTATTGTTCTTAGAAGGCTACAAACAGGTTAATGAGGATTTTTTTTCTCTCTGTAATTTCAGCTGCCTTCCGTGGTCTACAGCCAGCAGGCAGAAGCCCCATGCGTTCATCCCGACGTTCATTGAGTTACGTTACCATCAAGGCTGTAATTGACAGCGTAAGTCACTAATTAGATTCGAACCAAACGTCACCAAACAATGAAGAATTTTGTAGGGATACTGTGGAAAGAAGACGTGATTTGATCATTTCAGAGTTAGCTTTAAGTGGAGAGCCAAATTCTCTCAACATTTTGTGGGGAGAAGTGCAGTGAGAATTAGTGAGGTGTGTTGTTTGTTTCAGATGAAGTATGAATTATTTCTTGATCAAACTGCATTGATTTAAATTTATTTTCACAGGGCAAGCATTGTCTTTTGGACATTACTCCTGAAGAAGTGGAAAGGCTAAACTTCGCTCAGTTGTATCCCATTGTGATCTTTCTGAGGCCACCCAACAAACAAATGGTCAAGTAAGTCTTGCAGAGAATTTGTTCTTTCCTTCCTCGGCTCTAGTGTGATTTTTCAGTCCGGTGATTATTCAAAACGAGTTTTTAGTTCACTAAATTTATGCAACGACGGTGTTTAAAGTTTTATCTTGAAAGAAAGGTTTTAGTATTTATAAAAACCTCTCTTCTCGGGAGTGATTGGTACCTAACTGGAATTCCTTAACAGATTGTTAGGTTCTTGGCGTATACTAACTTCCTGTGTTACACGGGTTTTCCTTTTCAGGGAAATGAGAAGCCAACATGGCGTGGGAGATCAGTCTGCAAAAATGATTAAGAAACTACACGATAACTCACTGAAACTGGAGCAGTTTTATAGCAACATGTTTACAGGTTTGAAGATGTCCTTTTCTGTTTCATCTGCTGTTGTTTGTTTGCTATGCGTGTAGAGTGTCGAGTCATTGTTCGATGACAAAAGAAATATGACAACGGTCATTTTCTTTTCGTAGACTTGTAATGACAACTAAATTTTAAAGAGGAAATGGAGGGGAAAATTGGAACTTTATTCCCACTAAGTGTTTTGTTCTGTTGGTGTCGCGTTATCGAGTTGCACATGTCTAACACGGTGGGATAAACGTACGTAGTAGGGCCTTACAGGACATGTTATTGTGTCTTCAGCTGTTATTCCAGCGGGTTCCATGGACAACTGGTATTCACGAGTCAAAGAGGAAATCACCAAACAACAAGAAGATCCAGTTTGGATGTCAGAAGACAAGGTAATTCGTCGTTTGATTCTCACCGCATTGCCATCCAGTATCAGCGCTCTAAGCTGCGACCATTTTGGTCGCCATGGCGAGTGAAAATATATTTGGCGCCTAAAATTTCGACAGAAGTCACCAATTGGCAACCAACAGACAAAGAAAAAATCGGAATTGTTGTGATCGCATCGTTTAGCTGACTAACTACTTCATGTAGTGCTCATTGATATGAGTGTTGTTTTTCTTTTTCTTTTTCTTTTCTTTTTCTCCTTATTTAGGGTGGAGGAGGGTGAGGGGGAGGAGGAGGGGGAGCGACCGAAATATTTAAATGAAGACCATTTTACAATTTAAAGTCGTCAAAAGGCGACGTTTTGAAAAATGGGGCTTGAAGCCCTGCTTATCAAATTAAGTTTCCATCGTTAATTGTTTTAACCAAAATGAAAAAAGGGAGTAATTTTTTAAAGAAATTGGTGCTGCGTCGGTGGGAGAGTATCACAGGATAATTAAGGATTATCAATTGAGTTGATAACATAAGTCTTCAGAGCGATTGGCGAAGGGCTAACGGTCGAAACGTCAGTTTTTTAACTCTTTACGGTGGCCAATTTACGTTATCAACTCAGTTGATAATACTTAATTGCCCTATTTTAACCAAAAGTTTGTCAGTTTTTAACCGTCTGCCCAAGAGAAATAGCAAATTCAACTGAGCTACTTTATTTTTTCGTTTGTTGTTGTGATCGCGTATTTAAGTATAATTTACTTGTTTTGTGTGTTTGTTTTTCTTTTCTTTCAGTTCGAGGAACAGGAAGAGATCGAATTCCGCATGCCCAGCCGCTTCTCACAGTCCTACGATTATGACTCCACGTTAGACTCACCAACTGTCCGCTCGTCCGTCTCGACCCAGCCTGTCGATGAAGACATCATGCATGCTGAACCCTCCATGGAGGTAAAAAAAAGGGGAAAAAAAGTGTATTTCGCTTTCTCGAAATAAACTGTTGTCCAATCATCCACCGTCGTAAAAGCAATTAATGTTTAATTAACGTGTTTATATTCACACCGTAAAAATCAATTTCCTTACATCAAGTTTCTTTGTCTGTCGTAGGTCAATTCCGAGCCACCTCGGGTCCGTCCTGCATACTCTGATCCGCACCTTCGGTATGAGGACCCTGATTATCAAGAAGATTTCCATCCAAGGCAACGCTATGTGGAGGATGACTTCCGTAATGGCACACATGGTTTTAACGAAGACACTTTGGAGAGACAAAGACCAGGTTATAAGAGGCCTTCTGGAAACGTCGTGAAGTAAGTAGCAGTAGATATTTCAAAGAGGCTCTTCACATTCCTGAGCTCGAAGAGCTTTGAAGTAATTTTTAAACGGTCATCAAAATTTTCACGTTGCTTCACTTATTGAACTGACTTGTCTGTTTGTCGCACAATGTTGAACAGTGACAAGTAAAAAAATGAGTAACTGTTGTGTTATTATTCTTTCAAGGTTACTTCCTTCTCGTGAGAACCCAGTTGAGCTAAGACAGTCACTCAAGAAGACCCGAATGCCCGATGGCTTCGATCGGTCCGAAGCGGACGCCGAAGAATTGCGAATGAAGCGTGAAAGTCTTCGTAAAGTCGAAGGTGATTCCGACCTTCTCAAAGAGTACGACGCACGCGTAGGAGTCCCGGTGTCTAAGCTCTGGGCAATTGATAACGAGTCGAGTCAGCGTCGAGAGCAAATCGATCGCATCCGAGAACCACCGATCGAAGTACAGGAGAAAAAGAAAGAAGTGGAGGCAGATCTTGAACAGCGTTTGGAAGATTTAGAGTCAGCCTTAATACCTCAGCGACGGCGCTCTGTCGAGGAACGCAAACCTCGTCCATTCTCGGAGTCGTACGACAGAAAACCTCGCAACCTTGTGGTGGATTATTCAAACCCAGATAAGAAGGAGACGGCACATTCTAGCTATTATCCAACGCGTTCTTACCCCACCGTTACGCGTTTTGACCGCGATAAACCTGCGGAGTCTGAAATCCGCGCGAACGTCTCCAATTATCGTGTGGAAAGTGCACCGCAGACTGAGTTCCCTATGAATTCTGAGAACAGAACGGGCAGTCTATCTCGAGAACCTCGTTACAGAGCCGAAGTGACGATTCCGACCCGAACGGCGCCCAAGTTTGACGCGGGGAGACCCGAACGCCCCCGATCGGCGTATTCTGCTTACGCTCCTAAACCTTTCAATGCCGGGAACAATGACAGGCCTTCTTCGGGTGATCGGCCTTTTTCTCGTGACCCACCCACAAGCAGACCCTCGGATGGACCTCGCATAGGAGACCCTATGACGTACAATTTTCGCCTCTCGGGATCTCCTCGTTTTTCCCGACCAGAGCGCGAGCCAGACCCGAGACCGACGACGTACAGAACGGAGTACAGACACAAGGTCACGTCAGACCTTGACAACATGGATCACGAAGGACAGAACGTTGTGACAAGGTGATGAGTAAATTTCCGAGGCTAGAAATCTTAAACTAAGGGAAGTGTTTTTCGAGAACAGAATTAGGGAAAATAGTTTCACGATTGCGCCTTTGACAAGGCCACTTTCCAAGCTTCAACAAAGTGTTGATTTGGAGATGAGTCGTGAAAAATCAAGTCGCTCCGTAGAGCGTAGAGTTAGATCAAAGCAACGCAAATTTGAATTAAGTTTCCTTCATGTTACGTCAATTGTCACGTTAAAAAATATTAACTTTATGTTAATATAACTCCGTGCATCGGTCACATCTATAAGTAACTTTTTGTATCAGATTTACAAATACTTTTTCTTTATTTTCGTTCAGAGCTTTGATTTATCCATGCGTCGTCTTAGTGGTAGCCTCGCCGTTATTCTAACAACAAACAAGACACGGTTTTCTATAAAAGTGAAGATATATTTTGGTCTTATAGTACATACGTTGAACATGCTTTTCTTGAATTATTTTGCCGCGTGTGACTTTCGCGTGATGTGAAAACTAAAGATTACTTTCATCCAGTCACTCGATCTTCAAAGGGACATTTTTTTCGCTTGGCGGCCAATTTGGCGCACGGACTCGTTTAGCTTTGTTGGTGGAGTAAAGTCTATTCGTTTTGTTCCGAGGATCCTGAATGTCGTGGTCGCGACCTTACTGAGAGATGCTCAGAAGAAATTGAAATCAGTCCAATTAATCAAGAAATTTTTTCTTCTTATTGTTTCTTTCAGTGATTTTGAGTCCCTGGATGAAGACACACAAGTCGTTGCTACTGCGAGGGGCAAGTTCACTTCTCAGGGGGGTGTCCTATCTTCCCCGGAGTCCGGGGTTAGCATTGTCATACCCGAAGGTGCTATCCCACCGGGTGTGGAACAGGAAATCTACTTCAAAGTCTGTAAAGACAACAACTTTATGCCTCCATTAGATTCTGATCGAGGTAAGGACGTCAAAGTTTTTAAAGGCTACGTTTCACAGTGTTTCTTTTGCTCCGTACAGAATTACTTACAACCTGAAATACTTGACCAGAAAATGACAGCATTTTCCCGGTTAGAAAAACCTCAACATCGCTACTGACCTACTGAAATTCAGCGTTTATTGCACACGCGACAATCGTAACTATCTTAAGTAGTTTTTGTCTGGTGGTTGGCTGTATTATTGTGTAACGACGCATGGTAGGTGAATATGTGACGTGTCGTGTTTGTATGGTTTCAGGAGAAACTCTTCTGAGTCCATTAGTGATGTGTGGCCCTCATGGCACTCAGTTCCTCAAACCTGTGGAGCTCCGTCTGCCGCACTGTGCCTCCATGACCCCTGATGGATGGTCATTTGCCCTCAAGTCCAGTGACACGCCTACAGGTACGTGTATTTGTGTGAGTGTGTGGATGTGAAGGTAATCGTCCTAGAGCGCGTTTCGCTGTTGATTTGCGGTCGTTAAAGTTGCCTAATTAGGGCTTGATTGTTTGCAATAGTTTACAAAAGTGTAGTATCCAGTTCAACCGAGAGAATCGATCAATACTCCTTGTGGCTACACGTTGTTGGAATTTGAGTCACTGTGCCTTTTGTGGCCTTTGTAAGACATCGAAAAAGACACATTTTCTGTAGGAGGACACTGGTGATCCGTAGTGTTCATTGGATATAAATTCATATAGTGTTTTGTTACCGCTGTCCCGCAGGTCAGCCATCTGAATGGAAGAACGTTTCTCTTCAAGGTCGGGATTCCCGAGGAGACCAGTGCCAAGTAGATTCCAACTCGGTTTCAGTCCTTGTGGATCATTTCTCAGCATTTAGCCTGGTGGGCAGATCTCGTCCGCACACGCGAGGCAAGGCTACCAAGCGCATGCTGGCGGCAGTGTTCGCCCCTCCCCCAAGGGTGAATGATGACTGGGCTTTGAATGTGGTATTGCTAGATGACACGGAAGCAGCGTTTAAGGTTTGAGAAGTATTTTTTTCCCGTTTTTAAAGGGAGGCACTGTGATTTGTGGTTCAGAAAATGAGGCTATCTAAAATTGCAATTGGGAGAGAAATTTTGAAATGAGGAAAATGCTCAATCAGTCGCGAGAGCAGGTTGCGTAAAGACAAGTTCTAGGTAGTAGAGACTACGCCTCCTCCACAGAAGTGACCATATCGAGAGACAAACAGTGATACTCAAGTTGAGCCTCATTTTCTTCTTAGTAGTAGACACATTTGCAATGCGAAACCTGATTTTTCTTCAATGGGGTATGATATAAAGTAATCAAATACATTGTTTTATTGATTTTTTTTAGGATGTATGCAACTCTGAGGCAGAGCTTGGCCGATTTCCATTTTCTCCGTTCAAACCTGTTCTAGTGCATGGAGACGCTAGTGATGTCAGAGTACAGCTGAGAGACCTCAATAACAACTGGGTGGCTCGATCAAGCTGCAAGAAGGTAAGAACTTAGATACATACGTTGGACAATCGGGAATATTTTAGATCAGCTGTCCCGAGAAGATAAGTGGCTTCAAGTTCTAGGCTCTTGCAGTTGCTCATTCTTTCCATTCTGAGGTATATTCCAATATAAGTTGCCTCGTCGTTCTTTGAATTCAACAAGTTTGAACAAAATTTTAAAAAGCTTGTAGAGAATTGCATTTACGCCTGGAGTAAAGTTACACCTGTGTAAAGGCCACAGGCGGGTTGCTAGTGCATCACAAGTGGATAGATCTGCCCTATGAAGAAAGGGGTAAGTTTCTTTAAAAAAACTGTGGTGCTGCGTCGTTGGGAGAGTATAACAGGGTAATTTCGTGTTATCAACTGAGTTGTTTACGTAAATTGGCCACCGTAGAGAGTTTAAAGGCTGACGTTTCGAACGTAAGCCCGTCATCAGAGTGATTGGCGAAGGGCTAACGCTCGAAAGATCAGGCTTTAAACTCTTTACGGTGGCCAATTTACGTTAACAATTCAGTTGATAAGATTAAATTAAATTATCGTGTTCGATCTACACCTGGCGTGGATCACAGCCACTCCAAATTGGATTCAAGTCCATATGTTTTCTCCTTTAACCCTTTACATCCTAACATCAGTATGTATATTCTCCATACTGTTCTCCTTACATTTCCTGATGTGCTGGCAAGGAGAATTTGTTTAACAATCAAGAACTTTATTTAGTTGGTGATCATTTGCTATATTCTCATGACCTTAAGGTATCATTCTGAGGAGATATTGTTGGGAGAAATTAGATGCAAGTTACTCTTAGGGGTTAAAGGGTTAACTGTTGAATTTGTTTTTTGCGCAACAGTACATAGAATTCCATGATTCCTGGGAGGCTTATCGTCATGCTCCGTGTGTAGAGTTCTTGATCCGTGACCGAAACTTCAGCCCAAGTAGCAATGTGTGTGTCGTGGATGTGTTCCAAGAGGGTCACGAAGGCGAAACTGCCGCTGTCAGTGTCTCTACCAGGCCTCGCAAGGTACTCCGTTAGAAAAAAAGTTAGTGATCTCTCCTCAAATTTCTTTTTGTCAGATACACATCTCGAGGGTTTAACGAGTGTCGTGGAGCGCCACCTCAACTAAACGCTACTGTTTTGTGTTCATCGACACAAGTCTTGTCTCATATTACCGTTCTCTAACAGTTTTCTTTAGACAAGTCTGTCTGTCCAAAAATCGACATGGCACCTTATAGACAGGAGGACTTAACTTGAAAAAAACATTTGAAAGGGTTAAATTATGTTACTGAAGTTGAGTTGTTAGGGATGCTGTAAGGGGAATTTACAGGATTCAAAGAAAACCCTCTTCGAAGAGATTCCCCCTGATAAGTTCTATGAGATAATTTTAAGGCGAAGACTTAAAATTGAGGAAAATAGATAATCTTTTCCTTTAAATGCGGTTCAAGTTGCCGGGAAAACCAAGTGAAGCGTAAAATGCTCGCAAATGATTCCTTCGGTTGGTGAAAGTGGCATTCATCATGAAGAATCTCTTGTTTGTTAAAAATGTTACTGTCTTTGATTATCGCTGATTATGGATTCTTTTTGATTTAAAGCTTATTTTCAGCGAGGGTTAGGGTTAGTCATCCCTTGTTTATTTATAGTTCATTTTTGTACGGTATTTTATTTTAAAATCTACTTATGATGTGTTTTCTTTTATTTTGTCTCGCAGATTGGAGGACAAAAAGTTCAGTATCTCATTTAAAGACGATGTAAAGTCAAAAAAGTCTATCTACTTGTGCCAAATTGGACGAATCTGACACCGTACAAGTGTCGCGCATAAGATATTTTTCTAGAAAGATGAGCAATTTTTGGCTAAGCACGCTTAGTGAGATACTACACAACACCCACCAAATGCATCGGGGTTGTCTGTCAATCATATTTGTCTGTCAACTGCTTTTCACTGATTTCCTAGCTTTTAGACCTTTTGCTTTTGGATCTTATCCTCTTTAACAGAAAACATCCTTAAAGGGTAACTTTTTGAAGGAGCCAATCGTGCAAAGACGACAATTTCTAGTAAATTTTTTAGGTGAATTTGCAAATCTATGCAGTGATACGATCGTCGGAATAAATGTATTAAATAGAATTGTAGCTTGAAATGATTTTTTTTTTAAGTTTTAACTTGGTGAGATGATCTCGCGCGGGATAATTTTAATTGAACAATGAAATATTTTAATGGAATCGTACATTAGAGTGTGATTGTGTTGTAGTGTAACGAAATCGTGTAATTTTAGGACAATAATTAGTTTTTATCGCAGTACCGAATTTCCAGCATTGGTCAATTGTATCTTTCTTACTATGTAATCTCAGAAACTTGCACAAGAACACGTAGTTAGGTCTTAAAGACTAAGAGTTAAGAACAACGAAACTTATCAGGTTGTCAACCAGACCTATAGTCTGTGATGTCAATTTTTATTCTTGACGGGGATTATATTATGAACCAGGTTTTGTTAGAATTTGAACTAATGCGTAAACATTTATATGAAGGCAATCATGGAAACTTCACTGGTAGTTTTTAATCTAAAAGTCCGGTTGTTAATCAGACCACCACGCTGTATCAATAAACTTCGTACACTTTTACGTTCCGAGTTTAATTATTTGCGTTGGTTTGTTACGTCTCACTACAATCGCTTAAAGCATATAAGTTAGTTTGAGTGTCTCAGTGGTGTTAACCGTTAGCCGTAAAGAAAAGTGAACCGTAAATTTTTTTCTTTTCTACAATGTGTTATTTTGGGTTAACCGTAACCGCAAAGTAGCCCAAAGTTTAAGTGTTAGCCATTAAAGCTATGACCCCATTGAGACCCTCTTGTTTGTGCAAGGTTAAGAGTTTTGGTAGGTATTCTTGACATCCTTCCGCAAAATTTCTTACAAGGCCGAGAGCGTTGTTTCTTCCCTGCAGCTTGTCTCTCAGCCCTTACCCGTCCTACTGTTCCCTGGTCCTCTGTTGTTACACCCCTCCTGTTTTGTCCACCAAACGGTTTCTCAAGTTTCACCAGGGGAGTGGAAGGGAGGGGAGGGCTGGGACTAAGAGAAGTCGCGCGTTTAAACTGTTGGCTGTAGTGTTCCCTTGAATCATAACAGCAACCTTTTTCCTAGCTGTACTTTAACCCTTTAAGCCCCAAGAGTGACTAGCATCTAATTTCTCCTTACAATCTCATCACTGAATCACGCATTAATGTCATGAAAATAAAGGAAATGATCACCAACTGAAGAAACTCTTGATTGTTAGACAAATTCTCCTTGTCAGCACATTAGTAAATGTACAGAAAACAGTATAGAGAATATGACTACTGATGTTAGGGTGTAAAGGGTTAACAGCGAATGCAAAGTGTTTTCCACGAGTACTGATCACTTTAATTGATTTGACCTCAGACAACCTACGATTTATAAACAAAACTGTTTCGTGGTTTATTCAAGCATTAATTAACCTTTTCTGTTGAGAAATTCCATAGATTTTGATTCAGAAGTGCCCGGCTTTGTAGTTTTTCAACAAGGACACTAGTAAGAGACAGGGAAACATAAGGAAACTTCTTGGGAAAAAATATTTCGTCTGTGAATAATTTTATCTGCCAAAAACGTTCACTCTCAGTTTAAGCATATTAAGTGATGCACATCGGCAAAACATCGCCGAGAGTTGGTAATGATATCTAACATTTTGGACACGAGTTTCCTTTTGTGCTGGTCGGAGGGAATTGTACACGAGGCTTTTTTATGTAACTTAAAAGCATCAAAGATGGGAATGCTAGTTGTGGGTGCGATGTCTGTGATATGGAACTGATACTTTCAGCTTCCAGCCAACGAGAGTTTCGCTCTTACAAGATTGCTTAGAGACAGAGAATGATCCCTGATCCATTCTTCTGTAAAATTTAAGCGTCACAGTTCTATAGGCGTCAGAATTGGTTTGTTTCCTTGGAATCGCTGTTTGAATGACGCAGATGATTCTTTCAATCTGTGACCGTTACGTGAAAGAAATCGTAGTGACAGAGGCAATCATCCAGTCTTAAGTGTTTATTTTTCATATTAACTCCTAAGCTCTATGGTGATGGAGATAACATTCGAAATCCGCTAAATAATTGATTCGAGAAGAGTGATGTGCAACAAATGTCCATAAACTTCGAAAATGATGAGAAGATTTTATTTAACTCCAGCTAAACAGGTACAACAATATTTGGCAAAAAATATACCTCAGTAAAAGTTCAACAACTTTATTAGCTCGGTTTCGTTAACGCTAAACTTCGTAATCCATCGATATATTATGCAATGGAAACCATGCTGTTCCAATTTAACTTTGTTATAAATTTGAAACGGAGCCCAATCTTGGATGACTGTTTATCAGAACAATCCAGCAAAACTCATCATTTCACTCAACACCGCCCATCACACTTTGTAAGGAATATTTATGAGCGCGGAGGGTCTGGGTCGAGCTTGAGTATTTTGTCAGACGAATAAGGGAGTGTTGTGAATGAAATTTTCCTCGATTTTCTCGTCCAAGGAGGGAAATAACCGGTTATTTTCCCGCTTTTAGTTTGTATCTGTCCAAAATAAGGACATCCTTGGCAGAAAAAGTCATATTCATCGAGTACTTTGACGAAATCTTGCTAACTTGGGCACTAAGTTGGACGCCATGTCTTGGGTGAAGCAAAAAGAGTCTGTGGATCTCGATCAGTTCCAAAACATCGATGAGGATTCTTTAGTGGAAGCTCTGTCTCCAGAGGAGTTAGCAGACCTCAATGCAGCTATTGATCCCGAGGTAAGAATTTATATTAAAGAAAGACATGCTGTCCCTCCAGTGATCCAAGTAATCATGCCAAGTCGTGAGTCGCTCACTCCTGCTAGCATCGAAGCATGTTATGTGTTCGATATGCTTTGTTTGCTTTTGCAACTCACCGAGCGACACATCGCTGTTTTAGCGTTTTACCTAGGTTCGTAAGGATGTTTTTGTCCTAAACAGGGATGATTATTTTTTGATCTCACATACATTCATGCTGAGTGTATGTTGTAGTAATTTGCATTCATGGTGACTAGATTCACGCACCCTATACTCGAACACAGCACTGATTTATAAGGGCTATATTTTGGATCACCTGAAAGTTAACCTTCGTTTGTATTATTTAACCAACAAAGTGAATGTTATGATCAGTTTTATGAAGCCCAGTCTTTTACACATTCACGAAGACGTACCTATAATTAGACTTTGAGCGTGTGTTTATGTTAACTTTTGATTCGGATATTGGCCACTATGGTACTTTTAAAAGTCGTTTTTTTTTCATCGTCATTCATGGAAAAAAGCTAAATGTAATTCCCCTTGAAGTGAGTGTTTTTGGGTTGATATTCCTCGACAATTACTTGTCAATGCTCTTCATATAATGAGTGTGATTGGTCAGAAAGTAGTTTGATAGCAGCCAGATCTCTTCATGGATACTGGTTTCCTTAGACTAGTCTCGATAAAGTTAGAGAGGAAATGCTGAGATTTTCCGCGCGGATTTTAATACATCGAATGTTTAAACAAGTTTTTTTATTATCTCAGGAAGGGGTTACATTGACATGATAAGTCCTAAGTATTTTATAGCATGAGCTTAGCATGAAACTTTGAAAAGCTGGTTTTGTTATCTGTCAGCTTGCATGCATGATAATTCTTATGGTGAGGAGATCTTCTTTCTGTGAGGATTGCAAAGACTTTGCAAAGATGTTGCATTTAATTGTGCACTAAACTGATAGTAGAACAGATTTAATAGATTGTTCAAGTGCCTTGTAGGTCCACTTGAAATTGTGTTTTGTGTTATGGAGAAATACAGACCTATTTTTAATGGCTTCAACAGATGCTACAATTTAACTGGTCAAAAAATATTGCTTTTTTGGTAATTTAAACACTCTTGCCATGCACTCTGCATTCTTGCACTTCCTGAAAGACTGCTTTTATTAACTTGATGTTGCATCCTGAGAACTAAATTTACTTAGAAAAGATGAAATACCTTTGTAGTTATGTACACAGCTAAAGCAGTTGTGAAAATGATCAGTTATCTAATAATCTTTAAAATTTATGATTATTATTTTATTCATTCTAGTGACCTTTTAAGATTTATCCTTATTTGAAATTTATAAAGCGATTGTATCCCCCAGCTTTCACACAAGTTCTTTTGGAATCTGAAAGTGAAGTAACTGATGGTAAACTGGTATTGACCAAGGTTCCAATTCTCATTAGAAACTCAGACGTTTGTTTTTCCTTTCTTAACAACAAATTTTTAATATTTCCTCCACATTTTATCTCTTTAAAAGAATGCCCTTCTCCCAGTTCATGAGCGGCAAGAAAACCAGACAGAAAAGGATAACACTGGACCATTTGATCGACAACATCTGTTGGAACACCTGGAAGAACAGGCTAAGAATCTGAAGGAACGTTCAGATTATGTTCCATACAAGAAAGAAACACGTGGCAAAGTTTGGCGGCCAAAGGAGCAGCCAGGGAAAAAAGATCCAACTCCACTGCTCCCTGATGATCTCAGTGAGGTTTTAGATAATGCAACTGATGAGGAAATGATGGAACTTGCAGGTAAATGAAACGACCATTGATCTCTGTGCAAAGGTTCAAGTGTTACTTTTTAGTACTATAATCAGTGGAATATTGTTATTGTGAAATTCTAAGGGATTGACTAGAAGTTTCCAAAATGTGCTCTCTTGTTGCATTCTCCTCGTGGTGATGAAATGGTGTCTCAAGTTTGAGATTTCCAGTGATCACAGTATCAAGACTGCATTGTAACAAATTATTCGTTTATTTGTATAGTTGACCATCTGCGTTATACACAGTCTATAGCATACATAGGCTGCTGCATATTCAAGACAGACATTTTTATAGGAGTTATGTGTTTTAGCTTTTGTTAAAAGGAAACTTGTATCAAGCTTACTTAACCCTTTAACTCCCATGAGTGACCAAGACAGTATTTCTCCTTACAATATCAATACATTATCAACCAGATAAGTGATGAGAATTAAGAAAACTATCAATTTGGGGATAATTAGTTGATTCAATACTAAATTCTCTGAACTAACAATTTGACAGAAAGGGATAATTAGTTGATTGTTTGTTGACCAAAAAATCCAAGATTCCCTGAAGGCTTGAACTTGATTGTTTTTTGATATTGTTCTTCTTGATTGTTTTTGATATTGTTCTTCCAGCAATACTTGGTGTGCATGGCATGTTAACCCAAACTCAGAGTCACTTTGCAGAAAAGATGGAAGCTGGGAAAGCTTTAAGAGGCAGTGGCTTAAAGAAATACAAACCTGGTGAGTTAAACACCACAGTACTCCTATATGTTCTCAGGGTTGTGCTCTTGCAAAGCATGGGTGCTATATGCAACCTGTGCTTTTGTCTTTGGGAAACTTACAAAACTTCGTTTTTATGAAAGGGCTTAACCCTTAAACTTCCATGAGCAACCAAGGCAGATTTCATATTTATAACTTCTTCAAAACTGCTGATGAAAACTATAAAACATTTGTTAGTGGATTTGGTTTTAAGACCTGTCTTGATCACAGGCAGTCGACTTATGGCCTGTAGTTGTTAGAGCAGTATTATACTTATATTGCCTAGCTCATTCATTTGAATCCAGCAGAGGATTGCCTTTGGTGAATTCAGTTTTAGTTTTCAGCTGCTAAAGTACAATGAAAGATTAAAAGTATTCCTTTTCTAATCCCAGGTGTTGTAAAGGCAACTAAGATAAAAAAGCCTGACCTCACAGCTGTAAATGAGTTGGACCTTGGGAAAGCAATGGAACAATTCAAAAGAAATGATGCAAAATTGACAAATCTAAACATGAACAATCATAGAGATGTCACTACAGAGATTCTTGAAGATGTTGCCAAGGCACTGAAAAGTAATACCAATCTTAAACATCTTCAGTTAGCCAACACACAGATGACAGACAAGACTGCCAAGGTATTCTTTGTCTAGGATAAACTCTGAATTGAAGCGCATTCAAAAAACAGTTTTTGTCTCATTTGTTTCCAATTTTTTGACAATTTTGCTTGTTATTCAAGCAATAATTATGATCTTCAGGGAAAATCATTTTGATAGCACTACTTACCATGTTGCAACAAAAGTCGGTAACCATGAAAGACAGGACTATCTTCCCCTCCCCTGGTTGATAACATTGTTTGACAGACATCTACATTTTGTTTGAAAATAAATTTGCTGTTTGATTCTCTCAGATGTTTGCAGAGGCATTAAGTAAAAACAAGACCTTGGAGAGCATCAACCTGGAGTCTAACTTCCTGACTGGAGATGGAATCATGGTGTGTAGCTGACATTATTTCTGCAGTTCATTTTTGCAGTAACTTGTGGAATGTTTTGTCAAAATCTCAGAAGCCCTTGTTCAAGATGACAAAGGTTGATGGAAAACACACAGAAGCTATTTGACTAAAATATTAATCACTTGCATGCAAATATAGTACTCAACAATTATATCTGAGAAGTTATACATGTAGACCAAATGTTTTTAGAAACAAGTTATTGTGAAGGATATAATATCTAATAAACAAAAAATAAACACCCAATTTTTTTCAACTTCCAATATTTCGTTTTATCTTCCTTGAAACTGGCAATATAAGCCTGGCATGTGATAAATTGATTTTCTTCTCTCCTTTCATGTTGACAGTCAGCTTTAAGTAACACATGATTTTTGGTGATGAGAAGCAATATGCTGATCTCTAAGTACTAAATAGCATTAATATTTCTCTATTTATTTTTTTTTCAGGCAATCATGAAAGTTCTAGAAACCAATACTAACTTGACAGCACTGAGGCTATCCAATCAGGTGAATATATATTTTTTATCAAAGGTGCTTGTTTACAACCCATTCAGTAAATAAATGTTGCAGTTTATTATGATCATGATGATAACTATGCATTCCTTGGTGGTCATATAAGTCTGTGGTCTTACAATGATTAAGTTTCATCCTCAATCTGTACTATTTAAAATATTTTCTATTGGTTCTGGGATACTGAAAATGTGGTGAAGCATGCTGAGCAATCTTTTTATGTCTACAGCTTGTGTTAAGTTTGGTTACTCTACTGCTTCATACTGTTGAGCCAGTTGTTTATGCTTTTCTTTATAGTCTGCCATTATTGGTAGTCAAGTTGAACAAAAAATTGTCACCTCTTTGGAAAAGAACAGAACACTGCTTGTTTTTGGTATGAGTTTTGACACACAAGGACCAAGAATCAGAGCAGCAGAGTTGATGGTTCGAAACAATGATTCAAGTAAGTTATTAATATATATTGGGTGAACAGGGGGGAGAAAGTCAGTTGGCTCTTAGATTTGCACCCAGGTTGTATCATTAGTGTTTGCTTGATAAATCACCTGGGAAGCAGTTAGTTATTGTTACCGAAACTCCCAAACAGAAAATAGTTTGCAATCAGTGACAATTTAAGTCTTGCCTTTTTGGCCAGATAGAATTAGTTTTAATTAATACCAAGGGAAAAACCTTTTTCTTGTGTGAAAATTGTAATATTAAAACTGCAGTGGGATAGAAATGAAGCTAAAATTTCTCATTAACTCTTTACTTCCAAGATTTTCAATTCTCCCCTTAGTTACAAAAATCTGGTGTTGGATCAAGATATCAACTTCTTCCTGATTAGTTTGAGTATTCTCGTTACCTGTTTGCGGGATAGTATATGAATATTTTAGGGAGAAGTTACATGTTAATAATTTCTGGGAGTTTAAGAGTTAAGGAACCACTTTATACAGGTTTCAGGGAATAAAGGGGTTGACTTTAGTGTCAGTAAATGTGGAAGGAATTGTTTTGGACTAGGGCTCATGTCCGCTTAATATAGGGTCCCCTTGATACAGGTTTCAGTGTAATGTTTGTGTTGTACATGACCTTACACATAATGGCATTAGTTTAAATTACTGAAGTGAATTCTTTGTTTTCTGTTTTTAGTTCGACTGGACAGGGTAGAGAATGGCGATGTGAATGGAGAAGAAGATGATGCTATTGAGGAAGAAGACGAAGACGAAGAAGAGGAGGACGAGGAGGAAGAAGACGATGAAGAGTAAAACTTCAAATATTGTCATTCTCATTCTTTAATTAACTTCTGTGATGAAGGTTCACTCTATCTGCGAATAAATCTGTATGGAAACAGAAGTGACTTAAAAAATTATCCAGGTAATCTCCCTGGTGAGCTTGTGCCAATAGTGTCAAGACAGAACTTGTGTAATGTTCTTCAGCTTGTATTCTTTAATTCAAAGTTGTAACCAGTGTTGATAATTAGGTAACTACCCCTATAATGATATGCAGATACTGCTTTCTTGTTAGTATTATAAAGGGACTAACTTAGTATCAATCCATCATGCTAAGGGTGAGTTAGAGACTCATTCTTGGAAGTGAATTTAATAATTTTTGCGGAATATTATTAGGTAGAACTCAAGTATCGAGAATCTTTGATTTTCTTGTGGCTTCCTTGTAGGTTAAAGTTAGTTGTTGTAATTTTTCATAACGCTGAGTACGTTTGAGTGGACGAAGCAGTATAAAGGTGTAAAAAAAAAATTTAACTTTACACCTTCTGGTCGCTTAACTTGCGTTTCATTTGAAGGAGCTTCAAAAACTTTCCCAAGGTGGCGGTCAGGCTGCAATCAGATTCAATCTTCTCTATCTCTCACCACTGGTTTTACTTTTTAGTAAAACTACTTTTGTTTTGGTGTTTTTCCATCCAAACTATATATTTTGTGGCTTCCCTCACTTTGAAAGTAATTAATTTGGCGTATTTTATGAAAGAGACTGAATCTCATACTGCTGTGGGCTTGTTTCCTGTCAAGTCAAATGAAAAGTTTTCGTGAGGTATTCATCTTGTCTTCGTTCCATCTCAGGAGTTGTTTATAATGGGGGTGTTTTTTTCGTTTGTTGAAATACTAGCATCGACTTTACACTTAGCTTGTATTTCCTGGCTCGCGTAAATTCCCTTTTATGTGAAGTCTTAAAATGTTTTGTAACACCAAGACCGGCAACGTCTTGCAGTTGCTCTTTCTTCATTTTCATTGGTTGTCCTGGGAAGTTTCGTTTTCATCGTAAGTCATAATTCTGCCATAGGCTTCTCGTTACTTGATTTCTTTGCACAACAGTGCGCAATTTTATTCTGGTTTTTTTTTTTTGTTTTTGGTCATTGTCTTTTTCAGCCATTTACAAATTGCTGCTTTTGTAATATCGTAAAAGTAATTTGATCCTCATCCATTTTTAGGCAATTTTGAACACAAGTGTGCTGTATCTCAGCGATTGTGATTTCACGGCTGCGAAGGTCATGTCCTCTTAATTTGTGTGTAAATTAGTTTATTTGGTTCAAAAATACATCTGACGTATGTGTTCATTTATTCTTACAACATGGATTTACGTTTTGCGTGAAGCTTGCGTTTTAGCGCGGAAAGATTTCAATTTGAATTTGAACACCTTCCATTCATAACAGTAACTCGCGAAGGAAATGACTCATTTTCTAATCCTGACTGACCTTGGGCAGAGTTTTTAACTAACTTTTCTCAAGTGGTTTCTTTTTTTTTCCGAGAGAAAGTTGAATATTTACAGGCGGTGGCTAGCGCTAGTTTTAAATTAACTCTAATCTGTCGAAAATAAAGGTATTGAAAACTGAGATGAATTTAAAGCTTTTAATCATGGCGTTATTTAACGTATTTTCTTTCTTAAAGACACGTGTTGAACGCCGTACCTTTGACGTGCACAATATACTTATTTCACTTTGGTACAGTGAAGTTATGGAAATTTTTCAAATGCCGTAATTTGTATTGCCGCCCTAGGAAACATGATCTTTTTGACAAGTGAGAGGTACAGCTGATGGCGAGGGGAACCAATAAAAACTACAGTTATGGCAAAATCCTGTTAAGGAAATATTATGCAACATGGGCTGTCACGTTTCTTGATATTTTCCCATACCTGGTTCCGGCCAATCTTCTTTTTAGCCTGTCTCAATTACCGTGTTATTTGCCATACCATTGGGAAGGACACGTGACAGGGACAAAAGTGTAAAACTGGCCAAGGCTGGCCACATTTTTTTGAACTAGACTAAAAGAACCGGCTGAAGAATAACCACACACTAATTCAAACATGAATGGAGCTTTTAGCAATATCTGTATTTATTTAATTTCTATCGAACAAGAACGACAATTTGTTGCAATTTTCAACATCCCATTCAAAAAGGGAATGGAGTTGTGGTTCCATTCAAACGGAAACTTCTTGTAAAATTTGAATTTCCAGACAAGTTACAACAAACACAACATTTCGTAACTTTCCCAACGTTGATGTGATCTGTCGCCATTGAAACAATCGACTCAGTTCATGATTGAATTCAAAGGCAGCGCCCAGCTCTGGAATTGTCTCTAGTTGTATCTGTTGTTGATTTCCTCGTGTGGGCAGCTTAATTCACCTCGTGACGGTCACGTGTCACGGGCTGGCACTTGTTTCTTTCAATAGTTTGATCTCAATAACCGTTCTCAGATTGTGACTCTGGTTCATACCTCTCTCTAAGTTTTGTCAGCTGTATAGCGATCTGAGTGTGTGTTCCCTCAACTTTTGCCTTGGATCCGAGGCATGACCGGTACTGCTCCTCAGAAAGGCTAGGGTCGCACTTTTTGTCGTGATACTGATGGAAAAGATCTCTGTCAGGGGCACGAATGATTCTAAAACAGATTAAAAGTAAACAATACTGTAAATGCCTTAAATTTATGGCTGCCAAACCGTGGTGATAATAAATAGGGTCAGTTGCCAAAGAAACTGACTTGCTGTGTCGGTGGGGTAGCACTTGGTTATTTTGTTTTTGTCAAGTGATTTTATGATGTAAATTGGCCACCGTGAAGAGTTTCTTAAACTGACATTTCGAGCGCAAGTTCTTCGTCAGAGATAAACAGCAATAGTAAATAAGGGAACGGGTGTTGAGAAATTGTCGCGTGAGAGTGAATACGGAATTACATATCTCATGCAAACTGAAGTGGGTTTTTTTAAGTAGTTTCTTTTTAAAGCTATATTACCACTACACTTTATTAGACCTTGCGTAAATAACCGACCCTTTCAGTTTCGCAGGTTCTTTTTTGATTTTCCTCGGCGGGTATGACAGGTTTTTACTGTGAGGAGTAGCTCCTTTATATTACTTCAATTCTCTTATGTCAGTTTGATTAAAATGATAATTTTATATTCTGGTTGCTTTTTCGTTGATCCATTAAAGACAATTAAAGGGAGACGGAAAAACGGCAGCTCTGCGTTACGCGACAGGTGAAAAATCGAAGAGCTACAGTGAAACATTAATATCACCTGATGTTTGCTTGTTGCAGATATCTTTGGTACAATCCTAAGTCTTCAGTTCCCCAGCCTTCGATGTTTAAATCAAATCCACCAACACGGAGATAGTCTGCTCTGTACTGACAAGTCATTCCAAACCCATATTCACGCCAAAAGCCGTACTTCCGGTCTACAATAAATTAAAACGTTGAAATCTAAAGAAACGTTCGAAGGTGTTTTTTGACATTTACAACATGGTTTTGACGACCGCATAAAACAGGGAAAAATGTCGATTTAGTCGAAATAAGTTTGTTCTACTAAAACCAAAGAGTGCATTTCACTTTGTAACGACCGTGACTATAACTCCATAAAAACAAATAGTGTAATAACTTTGATTTGTGGTTAACACTGGACTGGTGCCCACGATTTTCGGTCCCCGCCAAGATAGCTACCGTGATGGCTCTAGCAAATCTTTGTTTTAAGCGTTTAACAATAAAATGTGATTTTACCATAGATCACCCATTGAAATTATTTGCGCAAAGGAAAATTAAATCTCTAAACAGTATTGTAAAAAAGAAAGAAAGAAAACATAAGGAACCGAATTATATCCGAGAAGCTCTCAGTACTCGCAGCGCAGACAAAGACTTGCTACAAAATGCATAAACTTGAAGTTTCTTCGGACTGCTCTAGCAATTTTCTGTTAACTTACTGAGTGAATTAAACATAGAAATGAAATCAATTTCTTACCAATTTTGAGTTGTTCTGCGGGTGGTGGAATAGTTCCTTGTTCGTAAACATTCTTTGGATTAAACAAGCTGAACACCATCGGATAATAAATTTTTTCCTTCCTTTGAGTGTACATGCGACACCTTCGAAGAAAATCAGGGCGAATCGTTATGTCCACATCACAGAAAAACATTAAAACATTTTTCGGGCTGCTACTCCAGTACATGACACCATCATGTAAAGCTCTCCCCCGAGAAAACGGTTTATCCCGCATGATAAGTTGATACTTTTTAAAACCATACGTAACTTCCAGATCTTTGAGGGTAGTTTTTACAGTGTTGAAGTCCGAGGCTCCGTATAAGACCACTGTCAAAAACACGTTTTTGTCAATTTTAATGCACACTTCCACAAACATATCCATAAACTGTTGAAATCGTTCAAGGCGCCCAGATAAGGGAACAATTAAGTTTATAAGTTCATTCGGACCTCTATTGTCTTCTGGCAGAGCAACTGGTTGCAGAACACCTAATGGGCGAATAAGCCGCACTGTGATAAATTTATTCGCTGACGGATCTTTGAAATACAGTTCATAATCAATACCAGTGTTGATATCGATTCTGTAGACTCCATCCACCATGTTTTCGCGGCTTACGTGGTATGACGTGTTTGTGTTGATAAAGTTAACACCGATATCTTGTGCTTGGACAAGATGGCGCTCTCCGGATTTTACTCTCCGCGTGTTCGAATTTTGACCATGGAAAATATATTCTTTCGGTTTCTTTTTAGGGGAGTATTCGAAGAGATGCGTTTTGGCGAAACTCTCAAATGGAATTCGTTGTGATATATGAATATCGCTGATTTTTGGAGATGTTTTAATCAGGGAACCGAGTTCTTTCTTCAGGCCAGTGTTTTGTTCACTTCTACCGCTCGTGACCCCGTTAGAGTAACTCTCGACTTCCGCCTGTAATTGCGTGTTTTCAACCTTCAAGTTCCCAATCACCTGATTCAATTTCTCTGCTCGAGATTTTTCCTTTTCTAACTGAGCAGTCAGCTTTTCAATAAGACTATCTTTCTGATTTATGCGGGTTTTTAATCTCTTCACTTCCATCTGCAATATTGGATTCCCTTGTTCGGCGGTTTTTTTCAAGTCCCTTCGAATAGGCTGTGGCGATTCTATCGCTGCTTTTGTCCGAGACAATTTCACATGATTTGATCGCAAATGCTTGGTCCAGTCGTCTTTTCGTTCTTGTTGATTTTTGCTAAGCAGCTTGCCTCCATGATGGTAGATTTGGTAAACGAGAATCATCGCCAAAAACAGCAAGGAATACAGCGTGACTCTCTGAAATCGAGAAGAGGAAATCGCCATCGCTACAGTACATGTTCATCTTCTTATTTTCTGAAATACCATCTTCCTCAAAAACGCCGTGTCTCTATGATTTAAAAGATATCTCACAATCTATTTTACCGGTGAACATCTTACTTGGTGTAGAAGACACAGTATACGTCACAATAGAATTTCATCACAACTGGAAATAAGAAAACAATGGTGTGACGTATACTGTGTCTTACACCATGTAAGAGCCGCACATTGCTATACACGTTTGTCCACTTAGTGCTGGCAGGTTTATGGCGCTGGTACCCGTGTTCCACTGTTACGAGCACTGATTCACACCTCGTGCTCGAGCGACAACTGTCACGACTGCGAATTTAACTAAGATATCGCGTTTGGTTTTTCTGAGCGTCACATGCTAAGATCGATATTAATTTGCGCCAATATACTGATGTAACTCGATGTGTACGGCTTCACAGCATAAACCTCATCGTTGAAGTATGATACAGTTTTCTCGAATAATCTTCGTAAAAAATTTTCATTTCTTAAAAGACTTTACAACCCGTAGTTTTTCAAAAGTAGGGGGTCTAAGCTTTTTAACAACATGATAAACAGCTTTTGAACCGAACCCACTTAAGATTTGCAAGTGATAGTATCAAACGTGTCTGGAATTATATCATTATTCTATCAGGAAAAATTGTGGACCAGTGAAGCGTTTCAGAATCACTGATGCCTTTCTTTGAGGAAATACAATCACAAACCATCGATATATAATGAACCTTTCTAAAATGAACAACACTCAATGCACATGAGTTCCTTTGTTGTTGTTGTTAGAGCGAAAAACCGTGAAAATAAACTCGACTGAAATGATTCCTGACGTCTCTATCTAATTTATATGGAAATGAAGCGTCTGCCAGTTTTTTTAGTAAATGAAAATATCCGATCAACAGTCATGGCACAATACGCGTTAAATGATCAAATAAATTGCTCTGACTGAGAATTTCAATAAATCGTTAGCTTTGAATGAACTCCTGCTAAGCTTTTCTGGCTGACGCTTTTTGTTTGGGTGAGCTTTTAGGGGAAGTAGAAAATGACTTCTCTACTTACAGCTTCCACGCTTTTACTTTTCGTAGAACATTTATAAAAAACCGAATGCTATGCGGAGTATTTCCTGATAAAATCCCTGATTAGAGGAACCGCACACCTACTTGACTCTAAAAAAGGAAAAAAAAAACAACAACGAATTTCCTAGACGCGATAGAGTTCTACTGCATACATGAATTGCTAAGTGGGAAAAGACCTTGGGTACCTTTCGTGAACAATTTAGAGATTTCTAAAACTTCAAAAGTTGAAACATCAATTGACATTCGCTTCGCTTTTCTTTACATAGGAGAAAAAAAGAATTGAAACATGCACTCACGATTTGTAACAAAAACTAACGCCATTTGTAAGGCTCTATCATAAACCTGTAAAATCTCTTCACCAGACTTAACATAATCAACAATTATTATTGCAAAGAAGTATTTTGAATTGATGCTATTTTTTAAAATAAAAATAATTAGAAATGGGGCGTTTTAAGGATTTCAATTGGAAAGTTATGATTTGTGCATGTTTTGCTATCGTCGTGCTGTTCTGTGATCTAACTAAAAGTATTTGCATTTAAATGAAAGGCCATGAATCACTGAACACCCTAAATAGCCTCCCTTTGTAACTGAAACCCTTTAAAATCGATTATTACGTGAATCTAGGTAACTAATGATTCTGTGTAAAATCTTTCAGTTACCTTCGTTGCCTTGAAAGTGTTCAGGGCCGTAACTAGCATAAGGCAAGACGAGGCAACTGCTTCGTCTTGATTTTGGTCCAAGATTCACCTTTCTGAAGAAAAATGCCACGGAAAATGCTTAAAAGAGCATTTCTGAGCCTCTAGATTTCCAGACCCCCTTAGCGGCTCGCGCCTTCGGCGCTCGAAACTTGCCCCGTCTTGTTCTGAAGTCTGGCTACGGCCCTGGTGTTCACCATAAACTGAAGAAAATTATAGCCAATCGACCGGATAGTACTGAATAGGGGACTAAAATGAACGCGTTCATTTTTTGAAAGGTAATTTACTCATTGTAAAAGGATTTGAAGAGATTCATGAGTTATTCACACCGTGCAGTAGTTCATCGCCGTAAGATCCGAGCGCCGTGCAATTGAAAAGGTTGATGCGTCAGAGAAGGATTGTTTAAGAGGAGTACTTAAGGAACGTCTACGAACTTCCAAAAGCCAAAAATAGAGCGAGCTTTGATGTTAACTCTTGAAAGAGAATATGAAATAATATAAGTGCCCTATAGTGAGCAATTAAAAATGTGGGTAGCTGTGAAATTGAGTGATATCGATTAAGTTTTATTCAATCGGATATCATCATGCAAAGCCTTATAGGTGACTAGCTCGCGATAAAGAACTGGAAGGAATATTGCCAACAAGACAAACAACTTAAATAAACGACAACGCGGAAGTTTAGTGTCTGAATCAATCTTCAAATGGATTTCACGCGTCTCCAATGCGAGCTGCAATGATTTACACATGGTTGAAGTAGCGTTGTCATCAAAAAATCGAAAAAAAAAACTTAAAAAAGCCAAATAGGAATAATCAGCATATGAATAATTTTTTTTAACTGATCCTCCTAACTGACGAAATGAATGCTTAAAAAGCCTGAGTGATTCCTTTGGCTTTTGTTTTTATCTCTCTTGATTTTTCTTCACGACAACCTGAATTTGTTTGTATGTAAACAAACGATGTCTTCAACTTGGCTCTCAGTCATATACAGTAAACACTCCGCCATTTTTGTATAACATGAGTACTGAGTGGGTTTCCATTTTAACTGCAAAAATTCCCGTCGAGTGCAACTGGGAATTCCTGTTTCTGAGCTCTGCGACAATCAGCGGCGCAAGCAAAATAATAAAGTTTGAAATTATTCTTTTTTCACAGACCTTTTAAATTAACAAGCTGGCGAGAGTTAGAGGGTAATCTGAGGGTAAATTTTGAGTACAAATCACGGCGCAGGCAAAAGATGTCGCCGTTATGTTGGAATAATAACTGGCAAACATTTATGTGTTGCTAAGAATCGGGTCTAAAGGTTTCGTGGTACACGAGGAAGAAAATTTTTGACTCATCGTTTGCATGTACTTAAAGTAACCCACGCGCAGGTGTTTTTTGCAACTCTGCTTTAACTTAAAATTCACCCAGTAAGCTGTAGTTGCTATCAGCTGCATTTGAGCAACTCTTATGCCTCCCTCGTGATACCCTAACTTCCCAAACGCATTCATAACGCGACTGTGCACGCTAAGCATAACTTGAGTGATCAATTTCATCGTAAGCCCTTTTCATGTCCTTTTCACTTGCCAGCTTTGTCAGTTATAAAGGAGTGCTTGTGGTAAGTAATAAACATTCAAAGTGGTAAAAGTGTTAAGAAATTTGTAAAAGAAAAAGTTCGATTTTGAAGCCTCTGAGAGTAAAGTGAAAGTTTGAACTTCGTAAACTTTGAACGTTTCGAGCGTTAGCCCTTCGTCAGAACCAATCGTTCTGACGAAGGGCTAACGCTCGAAACGTCAGCTTTTTTACCCTTTACGGTGGCTAATTTACGTTTTCAACCCAGTTGTTAACACTAAATTACCTGCTATACTCTCCCACCGACGCAGCACCACAGTTTCTTTAGAAACTTACCCCTTTATCGCGTAGGGAAGAGTAGGGAAGGGCATTCATTACGGGACTCGACCCAAACCTCCATCATTTCTTCACATCCTCTGCTACTACCCAGATCTCGCGGGCCGGCCCGCTTTGTTCACTGGCGGGAGATCTACAAGGGATCTGAGCGAAGAAATAAGCCAAACAGCTTCTAGACCCAAAATGAAAGCCTGACCGTAGGCTTACCGCGCTCTTTCCATGTGTCATAAATTTCTCTCTTCTACTGACAAGCCACCTGACACTATGCAAGGGTGCAAAGGGCCCGAAGGCGACTGCTGCTAAAAAACTTAATCCAGTTTCGAGGTTACACAAGTTTTTTTATTAACACAAAGTGATTCGCATAACACTAATTACAATATAATAGTACTAATGCCACAAAATAATATCATCTAGTCTTGAGATTAAATATTATGAGATTAAAGCTTATTTAATGCCTAAATAGACGTGGTTTAATACTCTCAATAGACTGGGACCCCTGGTAAAAGTACACGCTAAATGGTGTTTCTATTTGATTCTTGTATATAAAATATGAACAATCTTAAAAAAGATATTACGTTGACAAGGCTGTTACGGAAAATAACTAACTCAGTTTTAAACCAGAACATATTTTAAAAAAAAATCCTTCGCTTCAAAGTTGAACTTTTTGCTCGGTAAAAGGGTGACAAAAGAAATAAAACTACAAACCCAAGGACATTTATATATTTATATAAAAAAAAAAAGAAAGTATAATGCATCGCAAAAAATGAAACAAAAACAGTTTAAATTTATCCAGTTATTCTTAGCAGCGTGAAGTTGCTATCGTGTCCTTATGTTCTTTTATATCTACTCTAGACGCTAACCACCATCCCATGTATGAATTTCTCCTCTTTACAATCCTTCCAGGATCTTATCCCATTCGGGAGCTTTGCGCTGCTGTTCCCGACGATTTTCCATCATTGCTTCTTGTTTTAATACTGAATGAGCAAGATCTTCATGGATTGACTTCGCACGATCTCTTAGAGCTATCAGTGTCTTCAACTTTTGTTCGGCATCACTGGCTTGGAATTCTCGAAATCGTGCTGGAAGAGGTTTCTTTTCGTCCATAGGCTTTGATTCGCTTCTTTGATTTTCTGGACTTTGATTGTATACGAGACCGTGGGTGTAGAAAATTCTTTTGTACATTCTGTCTGGGATTTCAGAATCATCTTGGTAGGAGTCAGGGTCTCCTTCACGTGCCTATCACAATGACCAAAAGTAAACCTTGCCGTCAACCTTAAATCTTGAATTGTATTTGTATTTAAATCGTTGATAAATTGAAACTTTTACTTTAATTCACATGACTTTTTAAAGGGAACCAAAGTAAGACAGTTTAAACTTAAATTTGCCCACCTAAGACATAATATTCTTAATTTCGAGAATGCTAAGGCCAGCTAAATATTGTTGATTTGTCTAAATTAAGGTTTAAACAAAATTTGAGTAAACGAAAGGTCAGAAAGAGGGTTTTTTTTCAAGTCTCCCATCCAGGTAGGCCCCGTCTAATAGGACCTTTTAGGCGTATTAGCATTCAGTACAAAGCCGCAAACAGCTTAGATCTACATACATAGGCCTAATCACAATATCAGGATATTTTTTTTGAGAAATTGAGAAGCATCCGGGGGTGTAGAAAAATGCAAAGATGTCTAGAAAAACCTGTAAATATTAAGAGACAGCTGAAGAAATGCTTTATAGTACCTCAGTGTCACTTTTCTACTTTGGCGAAAAATAAACAAAGAGAGTAATCTTTTGATTGCTTCTTCTTCGTAGTTCATTGGGTTTGTTTCAGAGAACATCAGAGATTTCTGATGAATTTACTTTGGGTGTGACCAATCTGAGAATCGGTGGCTGGACAAACGATAGGGAATTTCTGTGAGACTAACCGTTAATTTCAGTAACGATCGATATCAGTCTGGTATAGCTGGATAGCGATGACATGTTATATGAAAAGCTATATTATACACACATTTTGATTGGCTCTTACGTATGGTCTATTATAACATAACGCACGCAAGTCCTACCTACTTTATAATCAGCCATTACGGAGTATATCTCTTTAAATGATAAGCTGGGATGTACACGCAGTTTGGTTAGTTCTTGCCACGACATTAGAAACTTTTCATAATCTCTTGGAGGACAGACTCCTTGGTGACGTCATTTTTAGTAACGTTTTGCTTTTTTTATCATATAAAACAAATAGATTCAATGTTGCCGTGGGTCTGTTCAGTGAAAGATTACAGACAACGTCAAAATGTGGTAAGAACGTCAGTGACACACTCGGTTGCGCCTGGTGTGCCCTCTTTTTTGCTCTTACCACATTGGACGTCATCTGTGATCCATTACTGAGGAGAGGCACGGCAACATCGGGTCTATTTGTTAAGTAGATTGTTTTTCTCTTTGGTAGTTGCCATCGACTGGCCCACTGTAAACAAAGGGCCATTTATATCGAATTGTATCAACGTTCGTCTCTGGAAAATGGCTCCTCCCTTCTCCAATCTGTCTCAAAAATCACATAATCGAGTTATGATGCGATTATTGAACTACGTGATTGTAACAAATCGGAATTTTTTCCGCAGATAAATTGTTTGCTTCAGCCTTCGCCTTCGGGAAAATAAAGATCTGCGCACCGGTAATAAATCACGATGTCACACATCACCTGGTACAATAATCGTTGAATATTTGGTTATGCTCCGTTGCTCAATTTTCGAATAAAAATACTGGCTTAGTTTGATCTTTGCGAAGAGAACGGTAGACTCCTCGATATCACAAAGGTATCTTAGATCAGCAGTTGAACATGTTGAATATATGATTTCGTGATGCAAGTGACGAAGTTAACTTGTTAAGGTGTTATGAATGCAAGCTTCATACTTAAAATCTTCTTCATTATTAAACAACCTTGGGTATTTGAAAATAAAGATGCCTTTCGTCTGGTATAATTTTGTTTCAGGCAGTTTGTTCGGTTACCACCTCTATCCCGTGTAAAGAACTTCGAATTTGGTACTCATTTTGTACTCAGCCGTTGATTATCACTCTCAATTCGACTCTGGAATCCACCCTGACATGGTCACATGCAATACTAATCAGCGTGTTTGATATTCAAACGGTTTTAAGCTTAGGAATGTTTGCATATTGGTCAAACATAAAAAAAAGGCGAGGAAAGTTAATCATTGTTGGCAGTTAACGGCCTCTTAGCCTATTAAAAAATTTTATTTTCTCCCGTGGATAATACGCGAAGCGAAACTGGGTTTTTCTTTTTTTAACTGAAAAGAACACTAATCTATAAATTAACAAACCTAAATTACTCATGATTTTGCCCCATTAATTAATCTTTTATTTTTTTTATTTTTTCTGAAAGCGTTGTCTTTTGATTCATGCATTGGAGGTAATAATTTTCAACCAGAACTTTATTTGCATATTTTTTCTTTAACATACTGTTTATTGATAAAAGGAAAAGTAATTCGTTGCTATCAAAATAACGGTTATTTGTTTTTGACACGAATTGTTTACTTTATCAAAAAAATTGCCGTAATTTTATTTACATTTTAATGTGTTTTACGGCCTAAATAGACAAGACAAACAAACTGATAAGTCATCAGCTGCTTTATTCATTGCGTCACATTTAAACTGAGGCCACTTCATTTGAATTTTAACTGTCCTGGATTTGAAAATTCATTCTGTGCTCTGATCCATGAAAATGTTATTGAATGATATATTGTGAGCTTTTCCTTATCGACAGCACGTTTTTTAAAGACAACACATAACGATATGATCTTGAATTTTAACCAGTATGGACAATTGCATAAGTATCAAGCGAATATTGAGTCTCTAAGTAGATATTCGCGTGATCGTTATGAAAAACACGATTACAGCGATGACGACAGAAGTACATTGTTAACATTTAACCGTTTAAGTTAAAATTATATTGCATTAGTTACTAATGCATTTATTTATTCTGAGCTCATTTTAGAAATATTTTAAAATAAGAAGCTTTTGCAAGCGAAATATTAGTAATAATCTCTTGAGAATTACTTCATAATGAAGGTGATAAAGTCAGTTGGGGTACTTCTCACTTTCATACCTCGTGGGAGCGAATTTACTTCGTAAATTTCTTTATTATGAGAATAACTGCTGCTTTTCGGTATGAGAAGAATTCGGAATCGGCCGAAATCTGAAATGGGTAGCAGGAAAAAAATTGCTCGCGTCAACACAGACAACCACAGGCGGCATGGCGTGTTTTTTCTAGAGAGTGATCCATTGTTTGTTTGCCACGATATGTTTTCTTTAGAAATAAAATTTTACTCCCCTTGAAAGCAGCCTTGACGCCGTTATATTGTCGCAGCGTTTGAGAATGATCTTGACCGCTTTTTAAAACCGAAATTTCAATTTTGCGCTCTCTGTTTTTCAAATGTGGCCAAGCCCACCCGCGCGCAATTCAAATTCGTAAGATTTGAATTCTGGATAACCGGTAAAGCCCTCCGCAAATACTAATAGCGTACTGACGCTTAACCCATACAAACAAACGGCGAAATAATATTGTGCGAAGTGCTTGCTTTTAGGATAACAATTTCGAAAACTTCTCGCGAGCAAGCTTCTTTTTCTTCTTTATCGTAAAACGCTAAAAATACACTGCAACGTGATTTCCAACCTGGAGTTTAAAACTTTAAACTGATTTTAACAAGGGCAGGTAAAACCCCTTTAAATTTAACTGCAATTTTGATTAAACTTTTGTTTTGATCTTTAAACAAATGGAAATTAACTGATCCTTTGCGGAGGGACATAGGGGCTCCTATTCTCTAACGGTCCATCGGAAATTCTCTCCTCCAAGACTACGTTATGCTACATATGAATAAAAAATGATTTGGCTTTCATTAGATGGCGTGCGAGGACATACCTCTTCATACTGCCGGGCAAACGGCAAGGCGCTCTTTTTTGAATAGTCCTCTTGGTTTTCATCTGTGTCCACTGAAGCAAATGCAAAGGAATTCGTTTTAAAATGAAGGAAAAACAAGAAATGCAAACTGCTAAAAATTAAACAAATGAAAGTTATTTTAGAGGAAAGTAGCTTACCTGGAACACAAATCATAAGTTGGAGAAAATCGGAGACGAGTATGACCAGAAACAGCCACGCGAAGTTACCTCGATGCATGTTGGCGGTGAAATGAAGATTTGAATTCATGTAACGGGCTATAAATTTTGAATTAGATAAGATCTTTGAAATACAATATCCCCGATGACAAGCGGAAATGTTCCGTAAAATATCCAGTCTCAAACAGACGCGCGTGTGGGTAAAATTGTTCGATTAGCTAAGGTAGGCGAGCATGTGAGCGAAACTGTCAATTTCCCGTCTCATTTCTCTTTTTATACGGAATTTAAACAATTGTGTAGAGGTGTAAAGTACATTTTTCCACAAAAAGAGAAATATCTGGTTACCATGGCAACATAAAAAACACAGGCGGGAATAGGAGGTCTGATTCGTCACGGTTGCGTAACTCAGTTAATCATGTGTAGATTATTCCACCGGCAACTTTTAGTAGACAAGCTTTTTCTATCCCTTTATGTACCGCAAACTATTCAAGAGTTCAGAAAAGGCTGGATTTAAACTGGTCTTTGCCAGCAGAATGTTATTTTCCTTAACATTTTTTAGATTTGCCGTCATCAACGGCAGAGTAGATTTTTCTAGGAGTAATTATCCAGAACAATACCCGGAGAGATATAAGCCAAAGAAGCGGTTCCTTTCAGTTAATAAGGAAAGCTTTGAGAAGCGCACACACCAGCCGATTTTAATAAAAATGATCTCTAACGGTCTAATTGAGTGAGGTCAGTTTATTTTTTTAGCTTTTATTTCTTCAACGGCTTTTTTCCACTTCGGTAGGACAAAACGCTTGACTGCGTTGGAGACCGCACTTGCCTCGCTTTAGTGATTAGGCGCGTGCTGTAGCAGTGGCGTAAATGATTGAGCTAAGTCTTGCGTGAAACCATTGAACTGAAAGAGTAATTCATTTTCCATACAGCCTTATCTCTTAAGAAAATTCCTGATCTAAATACTTTTTGCTGCTTCTAACTCCCCTCACTGATTGGTTATAATTAGATCGCCAACCGAACAGGCAGATCTACGACTGCGCAGATTCCGCAGTCAGAAATACTAAATTTAGTAAACACTTTATCATGCATGTGGGCGGATATGTTATGACTGATAAAATCTCGTCAAGCATATGATGTTTTTTCAAAAAAAAAAAACTTTCCATGAATAACAAGAAATTCGTATCAATTATCATATCTTAACCGAAAAAGAACGTTCGCGAACACAACATCTCGACGATTATACCGTCGCTCAATTAGACTGGCGAACAATGGTGCGTCTAGTTCATCAGCTATATCTTATTAATTTTTTTAAACCAGTCTAAAAAGTCACAAAGAGAATCTTTAGCCTTAGACCGTTTTTCCGTTGTGAGGCGTAATTGAGACGCGGCGCAAAGTCAGTTAGCGTCCTAAGCACCGCCCTTTTTGTCCCGCATTTTCATCCAAGTTAACGTTTGAAGCTTGTTTTGCTGCTCACGAACTTTATACGATTGTCCTGTTGTCGCACGGTTAAGGAATGGAGAACCCAATTATATCGGCATCTTTATTTCTTTGAGGGTCTTTTAAATGTAGTTAGTTATAAATTAACGGCTGATAGCCTTTTTACATGGAAGAAGGCGTGCAATTACACGATAAATTATCACGTCAACGATTCCTCCTTGAAATACCACAAAAATATCGGCAAGAAGAATCAGGTGCCCCATGATATCAATGTACAGAGGAATCAGTATAATAAAATTTAGAAAGCATTTCCAACTGAGAATGTCTTTATTCATATAAAAGAAGATCCGTATACTAAAAGAAAATGAATTGGAAAGTGAGCTTAGAAATTAATCGAATTACGACTAGCCTTGGAATCCTCTGCGCCTCTTTTGAAGACAACAAAGAGAACATACTCACAAATTTAGTAGAAGAAGGTAACTTCTACCACTTAGTGTTGTAGAAAGTGAATTCATTTTGATGGTTATGAGGTCACTTCAAGTCTCGTCTGTTACTGATCAGCTCTCTGTTGGGCATCAGCGCTGTTCCGTCTACATTTTAAGGCATGTTTTGGCTATCGATAGCTATCTTATGCGTAGATGGTCCACTAAGCCACTAATATAACTATCAATTACACACTACACTTACAAACCAGACAACAAGCAGAAATTTTCTCTTTCCTAGCCAGCTGAATTATAAACCAAATAAAGTTAAGATTTGGCTATTTTTTCCTCCAAATATTTAAGGATGGGTTTTCATGCTATCATCTAGTTTCTGTTTGCCTACTTAGATATAACAGATTGGAGATTCAACTTGTAGAAGAATCACACGTAAAGTTGTTGTTCAACAAAGTATAATTCCTTTTTCATATGCCGATTCAAACAATAAATTTGGTCGCTTAGAGATACGACAGTCATTTTGTTTCCTTATATGATGTTATCAAATGAATTTAAGTAAAACCGCTGACATTAACAACTGATGACTCACTCTCTTACCGTGCACGCTTCTATTCATCATTTCAAAATGGCGGACTTCTATCTTCGCTACTACGTCGGACACAAAGGGAAATTTGGCCACGAGTTTTTAGAATTCGAGTTCCGACCTGAAGGTAAAGAAATGTTCCAATCTTTGAGCGTTTCTCAAATAAATTTTCTTAAGTTCTTTTCCTGTTTTCAGGCAAACTTCGGTATGCAAACAACTCGAACTACAAGAATGATGTAATGATTCGCAAAGAGGTAAGCTTTAGTTAAATTCCATGAATTCCTTCATTATCACAAGAGGCTATTATTTACTTCAAAGGAAACATCGATTCGTAGCTATATTTGCTAAATTACTTAATCTTGATCTTAAAAGGAGTAGCTTAGCTGTCTTTGTTTTTGCCTTGTACTTGTAATTTTGGCCAAAGAAAATAATCTATTCATAATTGTGTTTTTCAAACGATCATTCATATATCGAGAATAAATTAAATTCTTGTCTTATATAATTTTGGAAAAGTGCTTTTTGAAATACCAGAAAGAAATATTTGTCTCTCTGATCATGATAAGCGATAATTTCACAGTGACAGGATATCCTTGAGAATGCAAGCTTTCAAATTAATCCTTTGATCTCAGAGTCTCATTTACCACTTTGCTTCTTTCCCCCTCTAGCCTTGATATCTTTTTGGCACATACAGTGGCGGATTTTGTAACATCAGGGAGGGGGCTCGTTGTACACAAATCTAATGCCTTCTACATGATCGTTTTGGCACAAGCAATCATTTCTGCATTGCTAAGTTTTCTGTGATTGATTTTTGACAATGTATAAGAAGGCAGTTGTTCAAAACAAGTTCTACAACACATTATTTCACCAAGTTCAATCCTAGCTTAAGAATTTGTGTCAAGATCGTTAGACTGATCTCATGAAGCTCTGCCTTTCCCCTAATTTTTGTATTTTAGAGTTTGACTACGACCTGCCTGCAGTTTTCTCTGTTGCTTTTGTTTTCACTGCTTGATCAAATGTCTAATATCTAGGGAAAAACCTGTAGGAAAGACAGGAGTCCTTGAGCGTTCAGAATACCAAGCTTTGTAATAATAATATTATACCAAAGGATATAGATCAGCCTAAAATGTGTGATTTTATGAACTTGTGTAAGGCTAAGCAATGTTGAAAGTAACCAACGTGAATGAAAAAAAATCCAGTTAGGTGGCAGATTGCTTACTAGGCTGATAACATCTTTGTTCAAAACCAAGATTGTTCTTTTTTTACCACTTTCCCTCTAGTTATCATCAATAAAATATTTGTTTTCGTCTTAGGCATTTGTACACAAAGCTGTTATGGATGAACTTAAAAGGATAATTGAAGACAGTGAGGTTTGTATTTCTGTTTAATTTTCCACTTGATGGCCTCCCTAATGATGATTGTTACCATCTTTCCTTTGTAATAAATTTTATCAGTTGGTCTGCTACAGATACTCTAATATATTTATGATGAGTTTGTATTCTTCTGCATCTCCCAAATACAGATACTGAAAGAAGATGACACCCTTTGGCCACAGCCAGACCGAGTTGGGAGACAGGTAGGATTTTTTTTGTAATGGAAAGTAAGAGATATTTTAATTAAAATAACTCCAACATCAATGTTTGTCTCTATTCCATACCAAAATTTTCTAATTTATCTGCAGGAACTTGAAATAGTGATGGATAATCAGCATATTTCATTTACAACTTCCAAGATTGGGTCTCTTGTTGATGTCAACCAGTGCAAGTATGTGCTTTCATTTTTATATAAACAGACTTCATTATCTACCCTGCAAAAAGGGTAACACTGATGCCCAAAACGTCAGTTTTTGAAACACTTTGAAGTGACCAAATTATCTTGTAGTTATAAATGCAATGTGTTTTGTTGAGGCAATGGAGTGTTTGTTTTCTTTTGATTTCATGATTTTAAAGGAATTAAACAATGTTTGTGCCAAATATCGGCTTAAAAATTACACGGGCAATAAAGAAAGATGTTTTTCGTCTTATCATGAGTACTGGACAAAGGAGTCCCCATGAGGAATCAAACCTCAGACCTTTGGATTTTGCACTCTGATGCTCTGCCACTGAGCAACAGAGACTCTATGGTGAGCGAGGCCCATTATGAAGTTCATATCTGAAATGCATCGTGCATACTGCAAGGATCAGCAATGTCGATAGTGTCATGTTTGTAAATAGAATAAGGGAGATGGCAAGTTTTGAGCTTGGTAAAGAAATAAAGAAAGATGTTTTTCGTCTTGTCATGAGTGTGGGACAAGGTATGGGCAATATTCTGTACTATCATGGGTTTACAAATCAGAAAAATATTATTTGGAATATGAAGCTTAAGTGGGAAATAATAAGTACAATTATTTTGGTCATGTAAAATAGAGATGTTTGGTCAAATGATTGACTTGCATCTTTAGTTATGACATATCAGTCTCAAAAGTTAAGATTTAATTTGTAGTTGTTTTGATTTGTTGTCTCATAGAGACCCTGATGGCCTAAGAAGTTTTTACTACTTGGTTCAAGACCTCAAGTGTATGGTGTTTTCTCTAATTGGTCTCCACTTCAAAATCAAACCAATCTAAATGTTTTCTCAATTTGTGTTATATACAACTTTGCAGCCGTATCTTTGTTTCATAATTTTGATCTTTCTTTCTTACATACTGTCAACCTGAGAATTAAACTGTGGAACAGCAGGTTGCAAGTGTGCTCCCCTTTGCTTGCTTGTTATTCTTTTCTAAAGCTTCATAAAAGAAATCTACTGAGAGTCAAAACTTTGTACATATTTTTCAGAAACTAGATGAAATAACCACCATCATCAATTTTTGAAACTGTACCCTTGTGCTATGCATGTGCACCATAGCTTTTGAACACTGTGATATTGGATTTCAGCCCACAGTTAAATAATTTTCTTTATAAACAAACCTGTATCTTTTACTGAGTACATAGGCAAAAAAACTGTATCTTTTGTTAGTTTGGTCATAGCATTAATAAAATGTTTTTATTTACAAAGCATTTAATTTGTTGCTTTTGTTAGGTGGGGTTAGGAAGTGGTAGCAAGTAGAATGAGTGCATGAGAAGTATGAAAGAGAGATAAGAAAAGCAGGAGATCAGCGGGATTCTGAGAGTGCCAGCATCTAATATCTCCTGACAGTAATACTGCTGAGTAATTAACTAAGATCATGAGAATTAGGAAAATGATTGCCAACCAATGAAGCTTTGATTGTTAAACAAATTCTCCTTGTCAATATCAAAGTGAATGTGTAGAGAAGAGTATGGAGAATGTGGATATTAATGTTAGGGTGTAAAGGGTTAATGCCAGCAGGAAAAAGGATAAACCGGCCGCGAAATACAGGAAAAAAAAAAGTTAGGTTAACAAACAAAGTTTAAGAGAGCGGTGGGTGGGGGATGAGCCGGGCTCATTAAGAACTCATTAGCCAGAATCAACCAGTGGGTTCTTACTTTTCTTTCTTTTACCAATCTTGAATGAAAAATAGGTACAATACGATTTTCCTTTGTTAGAAAACTCAGGATATCTAACAGGATAACTGACAGACTTAAATTACAGGTATCTTCTAAAGTGGAATGTAGACTTGCCTAATTAAATGATAGCAGCAAGAGAGTGTTAGATGCGTACACGCATAATTTATTTGACAAAGCTGGTTTTCAGAAGTTATAGGTTGGAACCACAATTCCTGTTGTGGACCTGCACTAACTATATAGGGTAATTTAGTATTATCAACTGAGTTGATAACGTAAATTAGTCACCGTAAAGAGTTTAAAAGCTGACGTTTCGAGCGTAAGCCCTTCGTCAGAGCTATAAGTATAAGTGATAGCATCATCGGACCAACAGTTTCTTTCCATATAAGGAAGATATTGGTTCAAATATTCAGAATTTAGAATACCTCTGAGTATACTACAGAAAACTATTTTTGAGGCTGTGAAGTGAATGCATCTGATATCGTTCGTTGGGGTGGGGGAACAAGAAGGAAAGTGTAAGGGAGGAGAGAGGCTTATCATTGAGTTTATTAGAGATTATACCAGTATCTGGGCAACTGCCCACCTACCCCTCCCCTAACTCAACAACAGTCAATTGATAACAAGCCAGGGTTAATGTTGGGTCAGGGGAGGGGTAGGTGGGCAGTTGCCCAGATACTGATATTGATTCGAAAGACTGAAGGGGTTCAGATTGCAAAGTTTGATCTTACCACACTTGCTCTTATCCACCTACAGCGCCTTCTGTAAAGTTCAGAGTTTGAGTTAAATTGCTTCATTTGTTTTTTTTTTGTGCACCCAACATTAAAGATCTTTTGTCTCTGAAACCAGCTTCTAATTATGCTCTTCGCTCGTCTACTGAATCTCCCAGTGTTCGTTTCAAAAGTGCGATGTTTTCTTTTTTGGGATCCCGCCTTCGCTTGTTGCTTCTGTCTATTGGATCTCGCTACAAGTCGCTGAGAGATTGTATCGATCAGCTTCGCCATTTTGAAACAACTTAAAACATTTATTTTATGCAAAGCTTTTAATATATGAATAGTATTTAATGTACAGCGCTTTAGAATACTTCTTTTCAATATTGGCGCTATGTAACCTCTGTATTATTCTCACTCTGATTATTCTTGTTCTCATTTGATATCAGTGTTGTTGATTGGCGTATCAAAGCGCTTTTAAGGCCTTAATTTATGAAAAGAAAAAAAAAAACAACAACAACAGCAACTCTAAGGAAGCGTATCTAGTAGTATGTTGCTCGTACCAATCAGATCGCCGCATTTGGGTATGTATCTCGCACCAATCAAATCACAGCATTGGGCCATATTGTTCCTCGTGTCCGTCACGTCAAGGAATTAGGGTGACACATAGTGTTGCAATAGAATCAAAACAACATTGACATACATTAAGAACGACACCAACAGAGAATTGTGAGCCCATCTAGCCAGTAAATATTATGCGAGCCAGCGACCGTTGTTTGGTCTTGTCACGCCACGGGGGAGAGAGCATGTTGCGTGACGAGACCTAGCAACGGCTGCAAAGGAGACTACAGTAAGCGTGGCACCAATGCGGTTTAATTTCTGCTTAAAATTGTTCGGACAACAGCGCAAATAGACCACAAAATACCTGTGTCTGAGTTTATTTCATGTAAATTGGAAAAGTTTTTTTTTGTTCTCTATCGAACCATTTTCGTCGGAAACTTTAAAAGTTTTAACTTAAAATGCTCTTTTCATTTTACAAAATTAAAAGAAATTCGTCATTCAAAGTGTTCCATCGCAACCCACCCATCCAAAAAAATAAATATTTCTTGTAGGCGTAGCATACCTATGTTATACATTATGCAACAGTGTCAAAACCCCATGCTGCAGGCGCTCAATTCCTAATTATACTTTGAAGAAAGATCTCCCGCTCTCGGTTATCATGAGCCAATCAGGCAAAACTTGATTTCCCGTTAGTTTGATATTCGATTAGTCTCTAGTGTTTAAATGCAATCCCACAGGGCCTATCCCCCGCGAATAAGCGATATCAAAATTGAACTCTGAATGCTCAACACTAACGAATGCGGATGATATCTACTTTTCCGAACTATGACAGGCCTGAGGAAGTTAGCCGTGTTCATTGGATTCGTTCTTTTGTTCATTTTAGAAGAATCGAAGGCGCAAATAAATAGAGATGACGGTAAGCAGATATCATCCGTGGTATAATAATACTGATTGTGTTCAAAATTTCGCTTAAAGATTTTTTCGAAGACTTGGTTAATCGGCTTCAAAAATAAGCTAATTAAATCCTTATTTCTCGCATCACGATGTCTGCGTGAAAATTTTTTCTTTTATCAGTCATTTTTTACATTCTTGATCCTGAATTAGAAATTCGTTGAAGTAGATAAAGAAACTTTCAGGAAATGTTTCCAAATGTAAAATACTCAATGCAACCACTTCTCCTCGTTCGCTTGTAACTAAATTGCTTTGTGAGAAAAATTCCATTCGATGTTAAATCGTTTAACTGTTGCAAAGTACCACAGAGAAACGAAACTAAGTTAAGATGTGCAAACACAACTTGAATAACGATAATTTTTTTTGCCAAAGACTTAAGTCGAATTTCCTTCTTTAATTTTTAATGCGCAAGTCATTTAGCTGTGTCGTAGGTAAATCTCGTATGCGGTCTGTCCGTCGTTCTTTGTCTTTCCCTTCTTTGAGAGTCAAGTCATCAAATGAAATTGTATGAGGGAAATATTGCATTATAAAAATTACAATCACTGATGATAAATATTTGTTCATTTCACTTTTTGTAACACCTTTTGTTGCCTGGGTTTAAGGTTTCAAGTCTATGCGTGTATTCGAAAGTTATTTCACGCCCTAATAATATAAATAAAAAAAATTATTCAGTTCTGATTGGTAAAGGTAAATATAGTTTTTAGGTAATTCAGTGCAGAAGAGGGTTGATTCAGTGCAAATAGGTAACAAATCAGACATTCTAATGGGTCAATAATCAAAGAAACTCACAGATAGCCAATCAAATGCGAGCCTTGAATGTCACAACCGTTTAGATCCATTGAAAATTTGCGAGCGAAACAATGACCGGCCTTTTAAGTACGTTTTCTTTCGTCACCGCAACAACAATACAGCAGCTGAAAAACAGCTCTAACAACGAAAACACTGTGAAAAGTATTACTTTTTGGTTGTCGGTTTGGAAAAAGTGCTTTTTAGAGAAGAGAATTCCTAAGGAAATCGGAAATTACGAGGCGACCCAGCTTAACACTTTGCTCGAGCGATTCTACGCCGAAATTAAAAACAAACATGGTTAAACCTCGCAAACGACGATTCATTTTCATCGAAAGTGATTCGGACAAAGACTGAACAATTCCTTCAATTCAAAGATGTGAAAATATCATTGCATATTATTGTTTTGATCGTACGCGGTTGTTTTGAGCGAACACGCGGTTTGAATAATTATTTTTGCACTTGATGCGTGCGCTTTGCTTTTGCATAATTACGATAAGCTATCTCGTATTTTTTCATGTATAGTATTAATACGTAATCCCATGATTTTTCTCGTACAATTTGGAATAAATAAGCACTTGTTAATTGCAGAAAGATCACAATTGGAGAAAGACCACAAATTGTACTGGCTCTTCGGGCTCGTGCAATTTTGGTGGTCTTAAAAAAAATAAACTCGAGCTTATTTATTCCAAATTGCACTCGAAATCATGTGATTACCTATACGAATAAAGCAGTATTTATTAACTCCGCTCTAGGAAATTTCACAAACTTCCTAAAGTTTCTCAACCAATCCACAACCAATTGAAGAAAGGTTATTGTTCTGGAGGAAAGCCAGCAAAATTTTAAGTCGAAAACAGTTTTTAGTTCAGCTTTTTTGTGTGTTCACAGATTTTAGCTGAATTGCTCATTGAAACTTTCTATTGGTCAGTTGGTTCAGTAGGCTTCTCTTGAGCGTACTTGGAGTCTGTCCTCTCATCGGCTCCTTTAGAAAAATACTTTTGTTGCAGTTTTGATTACTTGATCTTGATAGTGTTTACCGAAAAGCGCTCTATGGAATCAATTTGTTGACCACGGTGGTCATGAGAGGCGAGAATGTACGCTTCCTCGCTTGATCTCACTTAGCCAGCGAAAAGGCACCATAATTGTCATGACCAGCAGTGGCGCAACTTGAACAGTGAAACCCGCGGGTTTCGAGCCCGCGAGCAATGCGAGGGTGCGAGAGGTGTGCGAGGGGTTTGCGGACCGCGGGGATCCTCATCATATCTCTCGTGCCAGATCCTTCACAGACCTCTCGCACGCCCGCTTCGTTCGCCGGGGATGGTTAGGGTCTGGAGGAGAAACAGCCTGGGTAGGAATCTACACTATACCTTAGCGACTTAGGAAAGAATGGTGGTTATAAACCACAACACACACGAAGTTCAAGTAGAAAAGTTGGTACTAAGAGCTAAGGGACTGCATGCAAAAACATTTGTCGTAGTATAAGACTATCAATTTACTTTCGGAAAAAGTTAGACTCCCTTTCGAGAATTTGGACGCACTTTAACGCATGCGTTACTTATGTCGCTGCCCAGTTTGAGGCAAAGTCACTATTACTATCAAAACCCTTGTGTGGCAAAACGAGGGTCTATGGAAAAAAAACTTCTTTACCTTCAAGTTCTTTAACTTACTAAACATATTGCCTAAATTTTTTTCCGTTAAATAGGTCACATGAACATTACAACTAACATTTCAGTAAAAGACCTCTATTTCGCTTGACTCTTTTTGAACAGGTGATGCGCATTTAAGCTCAAAAACGAAAAATGACTCAGCTTCGGATGAGAAAATCTTTTTGGTCCAGTTTAGTCGGAGCGATTTAGTATGGCAGAATGAATTTAAAAAAAAGGACAGCAAAAAATTCAAGGATCTTTCAGATCAGATCGAAAGAGAATTCAGAAACCCCAGCTCATTTAGCCAACGCCACGAGATCCTCAGCTGGCGTGTCTCTAGGCTACAGCAGCACGAAAGCGAAGTCATCATAAACTTACGCGTGCGCACCACCACGCGCATGTCACCCGAGAAATTGTCGACCATGGTGTCAGAAACTAACATGAACAATACCGTTATTTATGTGAAGGAGTTAACCACATCGATCTTTCCAGAGTCAAGCACGTCATTTCTGGCACATTTGTCGTCTTCAGTCATTCTTCAGACGTCGTCGGAAACACTGGATGCGCCTACAACACAGACAACATCACCGATGTCAACCACGCCCCGATGGACCATAACACATTTTTCACTCACGACAGTGTCGTCAACGTCATTGATCAGCCCATCTTTTTCCGAAAAGTTTATGACTAGCTCAGAGGTCCATGTAATAGAAGAAGACCCTGCCACAGAAGACTTAACTGTTATCGTCCCTACCGAAAAATCACCAATTAAAACGCAACCAACAGTACCGGAACCTTCTATTAAGTTTGTGGTCTCAATGAAAGTGGGCTCTTACAACTACACTCCGGAAATGGCAGATCCAGAAAGCGCCGTTTTCAAGAAGGTAGCTAAAGAGATAGAAAACACCCTATACGAAGAGTTATGCCGGAAGAAATTACTAGACTGCATCGCTGTTGAAGTGTTCAAGCTCGAGAAAGGCAGCGTAATTGTGTCCTATAACGTCCATATGGCTTCTTCGACCAATTACAAACAGTCGCACGTAAATAACGTCATCACTGATTCGGCGAATAGTGGCCAGCTGGGACGTTTGAAAGTGAGCGATGTGGAGGTGAAAAAAGGAGATAAAGAAGAGGAGCAGAACGATAGTTCATCGTCACGTGTTTTCGTTTACGTTCTCTGCGGAGTCGGTGCCTTATTGGTAATTACATTGATCATAGCTGCCATTTCTAAGGTAAGAAAACATACAATTTGTTGTCATCCAAAATAAAATCATCCACGTCGCTGATTTTGCGTTACTCGACTTCTACTTTAGGATACTTCACTTGCAGCATGTGATAACTTAAGTATTTTCTTCTTCTAGTACTATAACCGAAGAAAGAACTCCGTCCAAGTTCTCGAGGTTCCCTCCAACAATGGCAGCTTGGGCCGTTAATCATTCTACAATGCGTGTTTTTGAAAATGTGAACAATTGATCCTAAATGTGACCTTTAACTAAAATTTCCGGTTTTCACTAGTTTATAATTGTTATAATATCGAGGTAGAGTAAGAAAAAAAAAATCAAGAGATTTGATTTCTAGATATACATTTTTGGTGAGCTGCTCTTCAAAGGAAACACCGAGGCAATCAAGCTACTATTGTCGACTTAGAACACATTTTCCGGTAGGAGCGTGACACTTTTTCGTGGGGTTTACAGACCCTGCAGTTGCTGATCAATCGTCGAAGAATAGGATCTCATGCTATCTGCCATCTCTAAGTTTTTGTGGTAACAACGACCTCCACTTCTCATTTCGTAGAACTGCACAAGAACAAACAGCACGTACCAACAACTTGTTTCAGTCTTACGCAGCCGGTTATAGGGGTTAATTGGTAGGAGGGAGGCTTGGGTCGAGTCTTCTGAGAATTTCATGCATAAAATTAATAAACGAATTAACAGTATGTTGCATCAGTTTTATAAAAAGAATATGGATATAATTACCTGGTAGCACGATCTTAACAATGATCGGGACCCTATTCAAACGCTAGGACCTGAATTTAACGCCTCGGCGTTTATTTCCAAATTTACGTACAGTTTCATGATGGCGTCACCCGCGGCGTTCATATGAAGCCGGTATTTATAAACGGGGTCCGGTGTTTGTCGAGAAAATACGTAACTGCGAAACAATTGCCTGCTTCGGATGTCAGCTGACTCCATCTCCATTTCGGGTGTTGCATTTCAAGGATTTCATCATTCGCGTGATGGTGCACTAACCAATCGCTTAGTGGAGTATAACAGAAAAATCCTGCTAGTCGAAATCGATACAAATTGAATGACCCTGCATCTTTGTACGTGCGCTGGAAACAAAGCCATTGGAATGACGTCCCTTCAATCAATTGTGCTTTTTCTGTGGTTGAGTACATTGTGCATAGCCCAGGTAAGCCTAAAGCGTTGTTTGTTCACATTTCTCATCACTTCTCAGTTTTAAGAGCTGAAGGTTAACAAAAGCAAAAAAATCGATCGACGCGTTCGCTTCTGTGGGGCTTGTAGGGTCGCTGCATGGGAAGTCGATTTGAAGTTATGTCGGCAGTTTCCACTAAAACTTATTTCAGAGATATCCGTTGACATTTGAGTCTTGCCCGTCCAAGGAAGAGTTCGAAGTGGGTCAGCTTTGAACAGATAACAGCCGATGTATTTTTCTTGAAGGTGAGGAGTAGTTCCGACGTGGTTAAAGCAGTTTTGTGTCGGGTCACGCGATGCCCTCTTGGATTAGTCTCTAAGATCTCTAAATTTCACAAAGTCAAACTATAATTCGCTGGTGTTTGAATCAGCTGTTAACGTTAAAGGCTTTGAACTATCAGTCTCGATTGATTGGTGTACTTTAAGTTGGATTCAATTCAGATCTGCTGGTGGTGGTAATCTAGGTAAGCTCAATCTGAGAGGGGAAATGTCACTCAAATTGCTGAGTATTTTTCAGCAGTAACCATAATTAAACGTTTCAGAGGCTTTGACATGACGTGTAGCCTTTCGAGAGAAGTGAAACATTTTTGAATAGCTTAGCTCGACTATCAACGAAGATACTCATCAATGCTAATTGCTGCTAAGATCAACAAACTCACTCCAGACGCTGCAAGGATAATCAAATTCGTTTTGCTCCCTGCCAAGATCCGAAAATTCCTTCGAATTTCTGCTAGGATCGGCAAATTCATTCTAGACGCTGCAAGGATCAGCAAATTTGTTTTGCATATGCAGCTTGGATCAGCAAATTCTGCCAAGATCAGCAATTTCATTCTAAATGCCGCTAAGATCAGCAAATTCGTTCTGTACACTGATAGGATTCTAATTGCTGTTAGGATCAGCAAATTCATTCTAGACGGTACTGGGATCAGCAAATTTGTTCTGCATATGCTGCTTGGATTAGCAAATTCTGTCAAGATCATCAATTTCGTTCTAAATGCCTCTAAGATTAGCAAATTCGTTCTCAACACTGATAGGATTCTAATTGCTGCTAAGCACAGGAAATTCATTCTAGACGCTGCTAGGATCAGCAAATTTCTTCTGCATACTGCTTTGATCAGTCAATTCTTCTGCATATTGCCAAGATCCGCAAATTCGTTGTGATTGCTGTTAGGATCAGCAAATCCGTTCTTTTCACTACTCGGAGCAGCAAATTCGTTCTTCGGTCTGATTCATCCGATCTTAAATTAAACATATATGAAGTGTCTTATTTAGCGAAAGCGATTTAAGGGGTTAATTTTCAAGCTTTGTCCTTCAGTAGAGGATCAAAAGACACTTATTTCTCCTGGGGGCGAGACATTCAGTTGTAATGATCTTGTTTCAGAAAAAATTTCATAAACCACACGAAGGGCTATTGCATCTGGTATGATCAGTGTACCACTGGCGATAAACCACTCAACTGCTTCTATAACGGACCAGCTAAAAATTTAACCGATCCAGAAGGCGTGCAGATACTGAACAGTTTATGTCCAGAATTAAGGGGTCAACATACTTGCTGTTCGACCGAACAGCTGGTGGCGTTGGATGAGAACTTGCAAACGATGCTGGAGCTTACCAATCGTTGTCCTGCCTGCTGGAACAACATTAGGAGGTTGTACTGTCAGCTGACATGCAGTCAAGATCAGTCGCTTTTCACGAATCCCAATCTTGTCATCCCAGTGTCTGAGGGGAGAGAAGCCGTTGTCAGGGTGGAGTACTTTGTATCACCCCAATTCAAACAAGGTCTGTTCGAGTCCTGCAAGGACCTAACCCTTGAGGGGTACACGAACTTAAAATTGTTCTGTGGTACGATAGGCAATGAGAGGCCTGAGTGTACCACAGAAAGTATGATCCGTTACATGCAAAGCACGGAAAGCGGACTGGCACCATACGCTTTTGATATCTACTTCCCTGACATATTACCAAGAAACCTGTCGTGGATGAACGAAACTACTTTCAAATGCAACAAGCCTTTTATCGATCCGCAATCGAACAAGACAGCAAACGTTTGTACCTGTCAAGACTGTGTCGGCTCCTGTCCGAGGCGATTAGAACAGTTGATCATAACATCCACGCACCCCACTCCGACAGGGTATCACAGGTATAGAGACAACAAGTGGATTCCTTTTGGGCCAATGTTTCACTTGGAACTCTTAAATCAGGTACAGTTGATACCTTAGAGTATGAACTAACTTAAATTAAGCTAGTACAAAATTTCACGTACTCACATAAAATTTTTCAGAGACCAGACCCGCGAGAAAATTAACCGTCTTCAGTCTGATGATCCCTTCGTGCGTAAAATTTGAACAGCAATTTTTGTCCCTAAACGTTTCATTTGACTCTGTATATTTATGCAAACAGTAGTCTTAGGATAAGAGCCGGAAACAAATCTCCATATCGTATTTACCATTTTTTTTCTTTTTATAGGCCCTAGATCTTCAAAATGCTATCACAAACATAAAAGTGCCATTTGGGGATTCCAGCGTTACCTTCGCGGACATTTGCTTTAAACCGACGGGCCACCTACCTTTAGCTCCTAACACGACCGAACGATGTGAAATCCAGAGTGTCTTCCAGTATTTCCAGAATAACAAAACGAAGTTGAACAAATGCCTTACTGCCTTAGGCTATAATTGTAGCGTTCCTGACTTCAAAGCTGCTGACTTCCACGATCACCTCTTGTTTTACACGAGGTAAGAAATCCTGTGAGCAAGTGCTTCTTTTTCAGCTCAACAAATCAAACCGCGCAATTCAGGAGTCTCTTCTTTTCAAACTTGAAACAACGGTTTGTTGCATTTCGTTTAGTTTTATGCTTTACCATGGTGCTGCTGATTTTAGAACACTTTCAGAGGTTAAATAGGGATTTTCAAGTGTTTTAAAAATGAAACCTTCAAATTTGTCAGCGAAAAGAACGTATATAACTAATCTAGTTCCCAGTCTTCTTTGCGCTAGCGCCAGTAATTTGGTGCGCATGTCTCTTCGGGAACGGCCTCGTTCTGTTTGACCAAGACCCTTTCCGTAAGATACCTAGTACTTGCGGGTTCCCCACAGATGTGTTTTAGTTAAGGTTCGCCTTTACCTTAAACAGACTTAATTATCGAGACATAGATCAGCATTGAAAATTATAAAAACAGATTGACACCAAGAGAATATCAGTGAATAACCTCTTGTAGAAACAGATAGATTTCCTCCAACTTACTCTCTTCTTAAAGTAGACTTGATGGTGCATTTCATACAAAATTCAACATTATTGCCACTTACTCTTCATATACTAGCTAACTCCATTGTTTTTTTTTTACATATTAGATGTCCCTCGTCTTCAATGGATCCGCGACTCAAAGAACCTTGCATCAGTGCGTTTGGAGGTGTTATAAACCCTAAACTTGTATTGGGTGGATACCCGTACGATGTATACCAAAACGCTACAACCCTAATGATTTACTTTGCAGTAAATAATTACAAAGACGAAAGCAAGCTGGCAGAAGTAATTACTTGGGAAAAGGCCTTCAAGGAGTTCATGGCAGATTATGTAAATAACACCGCGCACGCCAATCTCACTATTGCATACTTTACACCAGAATTGAGATCTAATGACGTTGAGGTCCAGTTTGACCTAAGGGCTTAGTCTATTTCGTCAATCGTTGCGCTAATTACGAACAGGGCGAAGCTATTTTTCCTTGAAACCGAACGGTTATAGTTTTGACTTTCCGCGCGTCTTACGTGACTTGGCTTAATCCGCTGCTCTACCTTATGTATGCATTAGCTGGCTCTTTATAGCCTGTATCTTTGTAACTGATTAGTTGATATGGTGGTGTAGAGTAGTTTTTTTTTCGTCATCCATGCTAATCTTTAAGGTTTCCTTTAGAAGCTTTGAGTGAAACGACGGGGGTGGTCTTAGAGAAGTGATCAACAAGTATTTCTATCCACCAATTTCAATACTGACAATACCCAGCGAACAGTTTGTCTACACAAAACCGTTCAAAGTGTGGATTGTTAATTTTCTGTTTCAAAAAGATTTTCTGAACTCAAGTACAAACTAGAAAGAACAATCGCCCAAGTTATAGAAGTGCATAAATCGAATGACCCTTAGTGTTTCAAAGTTATAAATGTCTAGAAAATGGTTGAGTAAAATCAGCGTTTAATAGTGTTCATTCTGTCTAGTTTTATCAATACTGTGCACGATGGCAACGGTGAGCAACATCTGACATATTTGCTGGTATTTCTTTGTGTGGTGGAAAATTCAGCATTTAATTCTTTTTTGTCTTATGTACCTTAAAAAGCTTGAGAAGCCTCCCTCATTGCTGTGTTTCGTCATATCACGCAATGCCTTATGGTAAGGAGATAGCGTTTTACGTGACAGAACTGAACAACGTCTGCCACGTGGGACTAATACATAGATATGCAATACATAGAATGTTGTTTTTCCATAGGATCTTACGACAAAAACTAAATTAAATTTCCTTAACAATTTTGAACAAAATCGGATTTTATAATCCATCAAATATTTTTGTTCGCGTGCGATTGGTCGGAACGCATCCGAAGATATCACCCAAGTGATATTGCCCAATTTTCAAACCTTACATCCATTAGGATCAGTCTTCGTTTACAAATTAATTCGAGATGGGAAAGCGTTTTATGTTAGTTACAGAAGAAGGGAATTATTATTCAAACCTCAGAACTTTGGATTTTGCACTCTGATGCTCTACCACTGAGAAACAGAGACTCTATAGTGAGCGAGGCCCATTATGAAGTTCATATCTGACATGCATCCTGCATACTGCAAGGCTTATCTCATTATGAAGTTCATATCTGACATGCATCCTGCATACTGCTAGGCTTATTTTAGATGCTGATACTCACGAAAACTCAGTCAAGCTTTTTAACAAATTACATTGGCTGCCTATAGACGATATCACACGTATTAGGAAGCTTTATTTGCTTCATAAAATAAATCAAGGACATTGCCCGGCTTATTTTGATAAATATATTGAACATATAAGTAACACCCATAATTATAACACGAGATCCGCTTCTAATAACAATATTACAACACCAGCTTGTAAAAGGAACTCTGGCCTTAGAACGTTTCACTCAAGCGCTTGCCGTTTGTGGAACGCTCTTGATCCCGAACCAAAGACACTCTCTCATACTAATTTTAAAAATTACTTAGTTAAATTTTACCGTAGTATGACTTCTTTTCTTGATCATTTTAAGATTCGTAAAACTTTTAAGTTTTATTAGTAGTAAATCAATCAATATTGTATTAATAGTAGTTTCTTAATGTAATTTTAGTTTGTAGATTATATAGGTAGTCAACTATTTAATCGATACATTTTAGTACTGTAGGAGGGCCATTATGAAAACTACTGGGTGACCAGTAATCAATGTCTTTACCCTCGTTAAATAAAGTTATTATTATTATTATTATTATTATTATTATTACTGCAAGGATCAGCAATGTTGATAGTGTCATGTTTGTAAATAGAATAAGAGAGATGGAAAGTTTTGAGCTTGGTAAAGAAATAAAGGAAGATGTTTTTCGTCTTGTCATGAGTGTGGGACAAGGTATGGGCGATATTCTGTGCTATCATGGGTTTACAAATCAGAAAAATATTATTTGGAATATGAAGCTTAAGTGGGAAATAATAAGTACAGTTATTTTGGTCATGTAAAATAGAGATGTTTGGTCAAATGATTGACTTGCATCTTTAGTTATGACATATCAGTCACAAAAGTTAAGATGTAATATGTAGATGTTTTGATTTGTTGTCTCATAGAGACCCTGATGGCCTAAGAAGTTTTTACTACTTGGTTCAAGACCTCAAGTGTATGGTGTTTTCCCTAATTGGTCTCCACTTCAAAATCAAACCAATCTAAATGTTTTCTCAATTTGTGTTATATACAACTTTGCAGCCATATCTTTGTTTCATAATTTTGATCTTTCTTTCTTACATACTGTCAACCTGAGAATTAAATTGTGGAACAGGATATATTGCGGGTTGCAAGTGTGCTCCTCTTTGCTTTTTTGCTTTTCTTTTCTAAAACTTCATAAAAGAAATCTACTGAGAGTCAAAACTTTGTACATATTTTTCAGAAACTAGATGAAATAACCACCATCATCAATTTTCGAAACTGTACCCTTGTGCTATGCATGTGCACCATAGCTCTTGAACACTGTGATATTGGATTTCAGCCCACAGTTAAATAATTTTCTTTATAAACAAACCTGTATCTTTTACTGAGTACATAGGCAAAAAAACTGTATCTTTTGTTAGTTTGGTCACAGCATTAATAAAATGTTTTTATTTACAAAGCATTCAATTTGTTGCTTTTGTTAGGTGGGGTTAGGAAGTGGTAGCAAGGAAAAATGAGTGCATGAGAAGTATGAAAGAAAGATAAGAAAAGCAGGAGATTAGGGGGATTCTGAGAGTGCCAGCATCTAATATCTCCTGACAGTAATACTGCTGAGTAATTAACTAAGATCATGAGAATTAGGGAAATGATTGCCAACCAATGAAGCTTTGATTGTTAAACAAATTCTCCTTGTCAATATCAAAGGGAATGTGTAGAGAAGAGTATGGAGAATGTGGATATTAATGTTAGGGTGTAAAGGGTTAATGACAGCGGGAAAAAGGATAAACCGGCCGCGAAATACAGGAAAAAAAAAAGTTAGGTTAACAAACAAAGTTTAAGAGAGCGGTGGGTGGGGGATGAGCCGGGCTCATTAAGAACTCATTAGCCAGAATCAACCAGTGGGTTCTTACTTTTCTTTCTTTTACCAATCTTGAATGAAAAATAGGTACAATACGATTTTCCTTTGTTAGAAAACTCAGGATATCTAACAGGATAACTGACAGACTTAAATTACAGGTATCTTCTAAAGTGGAATGCAGACTTGCCTAATTAAATGATAGCAGCACGAGAGTGTTAGATGCGTACACGCATAATTTGCTTGACAAAGCTGGTTTTCAGAAGTTATAGGTTGGAACCACAATTCCTGTTGTGGACCTGCACTAACTATATAGGGTAATTTAGTATTATCAACTGAGTTGATAACGTAAATTAGTCACCGTAAAGAGTTTAAAAGCTGACGTTTCGAGCGTAAGCCCTTCGTCAGAGCTATAAGTATAAGTGATAGCATCATCGGACCAACAGTTTCTTTCCATATAAGGAAGATATTGGTTCAAATATTCAGAATTTAGAATACCTCTGAGTATACTACAAAAAATTATTTTTGAGGCTGTGAAGTGAATGCATCTGATATCGTTCGTTGGGGTGGGGGAACAAGAAGGAAAGTGTAAGGGAGGAGAGAGGCTTATCATTGAGTTTATTAGAGATTATACCAGTATCTGGGCAACTGCCCACCTACCCCTCCCCTAACTCAACAACAGTCAATTGATAACAAGCCAGGGTTAATGTTGGGTCAGGGGAGGGGTAGGTGGGCAGTTGCCCAGATACTGATATTGATTCGAAAGACTGAAGGGGTTCAGATTGCAAAGTTTGATCTTACCACACTTGCTCTTATCCACCTACAGCGCCTTCTGTAAAGTTCAGAGTTTGAGTTAAATTGCTTCATTTTTGTTTTTTTTTTGTGCACCCAACATTAAAGATCTTTTGTCTCTGAAACCAGCTTCTAATTATGCTCTTCGCTCGTCTACTGAATCTCCCAGTGTTCGTTTCAAAAGTGCGATGTTTTCTTTTTTGGGATCCCGCCTTCGCTTGTTGCTTCTGTCTATTGGATCTCGCTACAAGTCGCTGAGAGATTGTATCGATCAGCTTCGCCATTTTGAAACAACTTAAAACATTTATTTTATGCAAAGCTTTTAATATATGAATAGTATTTAATGTACAGCGCTTTAGAATACTTCTTTTCAATATTGGCGCTATGTAACCTCTGTATTATTCTCACTCTGATTATTCTTGTTCTCATTTGATATCAGTGTTGTTGATTGGCGTATCAAAGCGCTTTTAAGGCCTTAATTTATGAAAAGAAAAAAAAAAAACAACAACAACAGCAACTCTAAGGAAGCGTATCTAGTAGTATGTTGCTCGTACCAATCAGATCGCCGCATTTGGGTATGTATCTCGCACCAATCAAATCACAGCATTGGGCCATATTGTTCCTCGTGTCCGTCACGTCAAGGAATTAGGGTGACACATAGTGTTGCAATAGAATCAAAACAACATTGACACACATTAAGAACGACACCAACAGAGAATTGTGAGCCCATCTAGCCAGTAAATATTATGCGAGCCAGCGACCGTTGTTTGGTCTTGTCACGCCACGGGGGAGAGAGCATGTTGCGTGACGAGACCTAGCAACGGCTGCAAAGGAGACTACAGTAAGCGTGGCACCAATGTGGTTTAATTTCTGCTTAAAATTGTTCGGAAAACAGCGCAAATAGACCACAAAATACCTGTGTCTGAGTTTATTTCATGTAAATTGGAAAAGTCTTTTTTTGTTCTCTATCGAACCATTTTCGTCGGAAACTTTAAAAGTTTTAACTTAAAATGCTCTTTTCATTTTACAAAATTAAAAGAAATTCGTCATTCAAAGTGTTCCATCGCAACCCACCCATCCAAAAAAATAAATCTTTTTTGCAGGCGTAGCATACCTATGTTATACATTATGCAACAGTGTCAAAACCCCATGCTGCAGGCGCCCAATTCCTAATTATACTTTGAAGAAAGATCTCCCGCTCTCGGTCATCATGAGCCAATCAGGCAAAACTTGATTTCACGTTAGTTTGATATTCGATTAGTCTGTAGTGTTTAAATGCAATCCCACAGGGCCTATCCCCCGCGAATAAGCAATATCAAATTGAACTCTGAATGCTCAACACTAACAAATGCGGATGATATCTACTTTTCCGAGCTATGACAGGCCTGAGGAAGTTAGCCGTGTTCATTGGATTCGTTCTTTTGTTAATTTTAGTAGAATCGAAGGCGAAAAAAGATAGAGATGACGGTAAGCAGATATCATCCTTGGTATAATAATACTGATTGTGTTCAAAATTTCGCTTAAAGATTTTTTCGAAGACTTAGTTAATCGGCTTCAAAAATAAGCTAATTTAATCCTTATTTCTCGCATCACGATGTCTGCGTGAAAATTTTTTCTTTCATCAGTCATTTTTTACATTCTTGATCCTGAATTAGAAATTCGTTGAAGTAGATAAAGAAACTTTCAGGAAATGTTTCCAAATGTAAAATACTCAATGCAACCACTTCTCCTCGTTCGCTTGTAACTAAATTGCTTTGTGAGAAAAATTCCATTCGATGTTAAATCGTTTAACTGTTGCAAAGTACCACAGAGAAACGAAATTAAGTTAAGATGTGCAAACACAACTTGAATAATGACAATTTTTTTTGCCAAAGACTTAAGTCGAATTTCCTTCTTTAATTTTTAATGCGCAAATCATTTAGCTGTGTCGTAAAGTACCACAGAGAAACGAAACTATTTTTCGGACAAATCGACAAATCGGCATCTAATCAGCATTCAGTTGCTGTGAAAACCTAAAGTTTTCAACGTAGAAGATAAACGAATGAAGTTGGAAATGTCAAAAGGAGATCTTGGTCAATTCCAAGAATCATGCAAATGTATTTGAAACGAGCGCAATTGAGCAAACACATGGATTTGCGTTGTTTTTAAGAAGTTGGTGGATGGAAGCTAGAGATATACCCGCGGGTTTGAGGCAATACGTGACCTTATTGGTGTATAGACTATGAACTGATATGCTTTTTCGGCCCGATCAACGCCTTCATTTTGAGAATTCTTTCGTACAAAGTAGTGAATTTTTGATATGTAAATTAAGGTCGAAGAGCAGGGTCTCCTCTGATCACGCTGGTATGAAAAATATTTCAGCTGAAGTTTCCATATTTTGTCTGTGAACTAACTGAATACACCTTGTAACTTGTAGCAGGATAGAATTCCGTGAGCTAAATTGTTGCAGTCTCTGCGCGCTAGACAAAATCTTTGAAATTGACACTTTCGATCGCTGTTCACAGAGGTGGTCTGGCCAAAAATGATTTTTGGCTTGTGGCGACGCAAAAAAAGAGAATTGGAGAACAACTAAGCTATTTTTGAAATATGTGTCCTAAACCCTTTTCATGGGCAAAAAATAAAAGAAAACTTTTTACCGACGGGAAGTCGAGAAGACCGCTCTTAGCGGGAGCGGCACTTAACACTTTGCTCGAGCGATTCTACGCCGAAATTAAAAACAAACATGGTTGAACCTCGCAAACGATTCATTTTCATCGAAAGTGATTCGGACAGACTGAACAATTCCTTGAACTGTTAGCCGGACTTTGAACTTTTTTGCGCCCAAAGATGTGAAAATATCATTGCATATTATTGTTTTGATCGTACGCGGTTGTTTTGATAGAACGCACGGTTTGAATAAATTCATGATTTTTGCACTTGATGCGCGCGTTTTGCTTTTGCATAATTACGATAAGCTATCTTGTATTTTCTCATGTGTATTATTAATACGTAATTCCATGATTTTTCCCGTGCAATTTGGAATAAATAAGTATATGTTAATTGCAGAAAGACCACAATTGGAGGAAGACCACAAACTGTACTGGCCCTTCGGGCTCGTGCAATTTTGTTAGTCTTTGAAAAAGTCAACTCGTGCTTATTTATTCCAAATTGCACTAGAAATCATGCGATTACCTTTAGGAATAAAGCAGTATTTATTAACTCCGCTCTGGGAAATTTCACAAAATTCCTTAAGTTTCTCAACCAATCCACAACCAATTGAAGAAAGGTTATTGTTCTGGAGGAAAGCCAGCAAAATTTAAAGTCGAAAACAGGTTTTAGTTCAGCTTTTTTGTGCGTTCACACAGATTTTAACTCAATAGCTCATTGGAACTTTCTATTGGTCAGTTGGTTCAGTAAGCTTCTCTTGAGCGTACTTGGAGTCTGCCCTCTCATCGGCTCTTTTAGAAAAATACTTTTGTTGCAGTTTTGATTACTTGGTCTTGATAGTGTTTACAGAAAAGCGCTCTATGGAATCAATTTGTTGACCACGGTGGTCATGAGAGGCGAGAATGTACGCTTCCTCGCTTGATCTCACTTAGCCAGCGAAAAGGCACCATAATTGTCATGACCAGCAGTGGCGCAACTTGAAAAGTGAAACCCTCGGGTTTCGAGCCGGCGAGCAATGCGAGGGTGCGAGAGGTGTGCGAGGGGGTCTTTGGACCGCGGGGATCCTCATCATATCTCTCGTGCCAGATCCTTCACAGACCTCTCGCACGTCCGCTTCGTTCGCCGACTCTAATCGCGAGCACTTGTCACGGGGATGGTTAGGGTCTGGAGGAGAAACAGCCTGGGTAGGAATCTACACTATACCTTAGCGGCTTAGGAAAGAATGGTGGTTATAAACCACAACACACACGAAGTTCAAGTAGAAAAGTTGGTACTAAGAGCTAAGGGACTGCATGCAAAAACATTTGTCGTAGTATAAGACTATCAATTTACTTTCGGAAAAAGTTAGACTCCCTTTCGAGAATTTGGACGCACTTTAACGCATGCGTTACTTATATCGCTGTCCAGTTTGAGGCAAAGTCACAATTACTATCAAAGCCCTTGTGTGGCAAAACGAGGGTCCATGGAAAAAAAAACTTCTTTATCTTCAAGTTCTCATAACTTACTAAACATATTGCCTAAACTTTTTTCCGTTAAATAGGTCACATGAACATTAAAACTAACATTTCAATAAAAGACCTCTATTTCGCTTGACTCTTTTTGAACAGGTGATGCGCATTTAAGCTCAAAAACGCCTAATGGTAAACAGGGTGACTCAGCTTCGGATGAGAAAATCTTTTTGGTCCAGTTTAGTCGGAGCGGTTTAGTATGGCAGAATGAATTTGAAAACAAGGACAGCGAAAAATTCAAGGATCTTTCAGATCAGATCGAAAGAGAATTCAGTGACCCCAGCTCGTTTAACCAAAGCCACGAGATCCTCACCTGGCATGTCTCTAGGCTGCAGCAGAACGAAAGCGAAGTCATCATTAACTTACGCGTGCGCACCACCACGCGCATGTCACCCGAGAAATTGTCGATCATGGTGTCAGAAACTAACATGAACAATACCGTTATTTATGTGAAGGAGTTAACCACATCGATCTTTCCAGAGTCAAGCACGTCATTTCTGGCACATTTGTCGTCTTCAGTCATTCTTCAGACGTCGTCGCAAACACTGGATGCGCCTACAACACAGACAACATCACCGATGTCAACCACGCCCCGATGGACCACAACACATTTTTCACTCACGACAGTGTCATCAACGTCATTGATCAGCCCATCTTTTTCCGAAAAGTTTATGACTAGCTCAGAGGTCCATGTAATAGAAGAAGACCCTGCCACAGACGACTTAACTGTGATCGTCCCTACCGAAAAATCACCAATTAAAACGCAACCAACAGTACCGGAACCTTCTATTAAGTTTGTGGTCTCAATGAAAGTGGGCTCTTACAACTACACTCCGGAAATGGCAGATCCAGAAAGCGCCGTTTTCAAGAAGGTAGCTAAAGAGATAGAAAACACCCTATACGAAGAGTTATGCCGGAAGAAATTACTAGACTGCATCGCTGTTGAAGTGTTCAAGCTCGAGGAAGGCAGCGTAATTGTGTCCTATAACGTCCATATGGCTTCTTCGACCAATTACAAACAGTCGCACGTAAATAACGTCATCACTGATTCGGCGAATAGTGGCCAGCTGGGACGTTTGAAAGTGAGCGATGTGGAGGTGAAAAAAGGAGATAAAGAAGAGGAGCAAAGCGATAGCTCATCGTCACGTGTTTTCGTTTACGTTCTCTGCGGAGTCGGTGCCTTATTGGTGATTGCATTGATCATAGCTGCCATTTCTAAGGTAAGAAAACATAAAATTTGTTGTCATTCAAAATAAAATCATCCACGTCGCTGATTTTGCGTTACTCGACTTCTACTTTAGGATACTTCACTTGCAGCATGTAATAACTTAAGTATTTTTCTTCTTTTAGTACTATAACCGAAGAAAGAACTCCGTCCAAGTTCTCGAGGTTCCCTCCAACAATGGCGGCTTGGGCCGTTAATCATTCTACAATACGTGTTTTTGAAAATGTGAACAATTGATCCTAAATGTGACCTTTAACTAAAATTTCCGGTTTTCACTAGTTTATAAGTGTTATAATATCGAGGTAGAGTAAGAAAAAAAAAATCAAGATATTTGATTTCTTGATATACATTTATGGTGAGCTGCTCTTCAAAGGAAACACCGAGGCAATCAAACTACTATTGTCGACTTAGAACACATTTTCCGGTAGGAGCGTGACACTTTTTCGTGGGGTTTACAGACCCTGCAGTTGCTGATCAATCGAAGTAGAATAGGATCTCATGCTATCTGCTATCTCTAAGTTTTTGTGGTAACAACGACCTCCACTTCTCATTTCGTAGAACTGCACAAGAACAAACAGCACGTACCAACAACTTGTTTCAGTCTTACGCAGCCGGTTATAGGGGTTAATTTGGTAGGAGGGAGGCTTGGGTCGAGTCTTCTGAGAATTTCATGCATAAAATTAATAAACGAAGTAACAGTATGTTGCATCAGTTTTATAAAAAGAATATAGATATAATTACCTAGTAGCACGATCTTAACAATGATCAGGACCCTATTCAAACGCTAGGACCTGAATTTAACGCCTCGGCGTTTATTTCCAAATTTACGTACAGTTTCATGCTGACGTCACCCGCGGCGTTCATATGAAGCCGGTATTTATAAACGGGGTCCGGTGTTTGTCGAGAAAATACGTAACTGCGAAACAATTGCCTGCTTCGGATGTCAGCTGACTCCATCTCCATTTCGGGTGTCGCATTTCAAGGATTTCATCATTCGCGTGATGGTGCATTAACCAATCGCTTAGTAGAGTATAACAGAAAAATCCTGCTAGTCGAAATCGATACAAATTGAATGACCCTGCATCTTTGTACGTGCGCTGGAAACAAAGCCATTGGAATGACGTCCCTTCAATCAATTGTGCTTTTTCTGTGGTTGAGTACATTGTGCATAGCCCAGGTAAGCCTAAAGCGTTGTTTGTTCACATTTCTCATCACTTCTCAGTTTTAAGAGCTGAAGGTTAACAAAAGCAAAAAAATCGATCGACGCGTTCGCTTCTGTGGGGCTTGTAGGGTCGCTGCATGGGAAGTCGATTTGAAGTTATGTCGGCAGTTTCCACTAAAACTTATTTCAGAGATATCCGTTGACATTTGAGTCTTGCCCGTCCAAGGAAGAGTTCGAAGTGGGTCAGCTTTGAACAGATAACAGCCGATGTATTTTTCTTGAAGGTGAGGAATAGTTCCGACGTGGTTAAAGCAGTTTTGTGTCGGGTCACGCGGTGCCCTCTTGGATTAGTCTCTAAGATCTCTAAATTTCACAAAGTCAAACTATAATTCGCTGGTGTTTGAATCAGCTGTTAACGTTAAAGGCTTTGAACTATCAGTCTCGATTGATTGGTGTACTTTAAGTTGGATTCAATTCAGATCTGCTGGTGGTGGTAATCTAGGTAAGCTCAATCTGAGAGGGGAAATGTCACTCAAATTGCTGAGTATTTTTCAGCAGTAACCATAATTAAACGTTTCAGAGGCCTTGACATGACGTGTAGCCTTTCGAGAGAAGTGAAACATTTTTGAATAGCTTAGCTCGACTATCAACGAAGATACTCATCAATGCTAATTGCTGCTAAGATCAACAAACTCACTCCAGACGCTGCAAGGATAATCAAATTCGTTTTGCTCCCTGCCAAGATCCGAAAATTCCTTCGAATTTCTGCTAGGATCGGCAAATTCATTCTAGACACTGCAAGGATCAGCAAATTTGTTTTGCATATGCTGCTTGGATCAGCAAATTCTGCCAAGATCAGCAATTTCATTCTAAATGCCGCTAAGATCAGCAAATTCGTTCTGTACACTTATAGGATTCTAATTGCTGTTAGGATCAGCAAATTCATTCTAGACGGTACTGGGATCAGCAAATTTGTTCTGCATATGCTGCTTGGATTAGCAAATTCTGTCAAGATCATCAATTTCGTTCTAAATGCCTCTAAGATCAGCAAATTCGTTCTCAACACTGATAGGATTCTAATTGCTGCTAAGCACAGGAAATTCATTCTAGACGCTGCTAGGATCAGCAAATTTCTTTTGCATACTGCTTTGATCAGTCAATTCTTATGCATATTGCCAAGATCCGCAAATTCGTTTTGATTGCTGTTAGGATCAGCAAATCCGTCCTTTTCACTACTCGGAGCAGCAAATTCGTTCTTCGGTCTGATTCATCCGATCTTAAATTAAACATATATGAAGTGTCTTATTTTGCGAAAGCGATTTAAGGGGTTAATTTTCAAGCTTTGTTCTTCAGTAGAGGATCGAAAGACACTTATTTCTCCTGGGGGCGAGACATTCAGTTGTAATGATCTTGTTTCAGAAAAATTTCATAAACCACACGAAGGGCTATTGCATCTGGTATGATCAGTGTACCACTGGCGATAAACCACTCAACTGCTTCTATAACGGACCAGCTAAAAATTTAACCGATCCAGAAGGCGTGCAGATACTGAACAGTTTATGTCCAGAATTAAGGGGTCAACATACTTGCTGTTCGACCGAACAGCTGGTGGCGTTGGATGAGAACTTGCAAACGATGCTGGAGCTTACCAATCGTTGTCCTGCCTGCTGGAACAACATTAGGAGGTTGTACTGTCAGCTGACATGCAGTCAAGATCAGTCGCTTTTCACGAATCCCAATCTTGTCATCCCAGTGTCTGAGGGGAGAGAAGCCGTTGTCAGGGTGGAGTACTTTGTATCACCCCAATTCAAACAAGGTCTGTTCGAGTCCTGCAAGGACCTAACCCTTGAGGGGTACACGAACTTAAAATTGTTCTGTGGTACGATAGGGTCAGATGAGAAGCCTGAGTGTACCCCAGAAAGTATGATCCGTTACATGCAAAGCACGGAAAGCGGACTGGCGCCATACGCTTTTGATATCTACTTCCCTGACATATTGCCAAGAAACCTGTCGTGGATGAACGAAACTACTTTCAAATGCAACAAGCCTTTTATCGATCCGCAATCGAACAAGACAGCAAACGTTTGTACCTGTCAAGACTGTGTCGGCTCCTGTCCGAGGCGATTAGAACAGTTGATCATAACATCCACGCACCCCACCCCGACAGGGTATCGCAGGTATGGAGACGGCAAGTGGATTCCTTTTGGGCCAATGTTTCACTTGGAACTCTTAAATCAGGTACAGTTGATACCTTAGAGTATGAACTAACTTAAATTAAGCTAGTACAAAATTTCACGTACCCACATAAAATTTTTCAGAGGCCAGACCCGCGAGAAAATTAACCGTCTTCAGTCTGATGATCCCTTCGTGCGTAAAATTTGAACAGCAACTCTTTGTCCCTAAACGTTTCATTTGACTCTGTATATTTATGCAAACAGTAGTCTTAGGATAAGAGCCGGAAACAAATCTCCATATTGTATTTACCATTTTTTATTTTTATAGGCCCTAGATCTTCAAAATGCTATCACAAACTTAAAAGTGCCATTTGGGGATTCCAGCGTTACCTTCGCGGACATTTGCTTTAAACCGACGGGCCACCTACCTTTTGCTCCTAACACGACCGAACGATGCGAAATCCAGAGTGTCTTCCAGTATTTCCAGAATAACAAAACGAAGTTGAACAAATGCCTTACTTCCTTAGGCTATAATTGTAGCGATCCAAGCCTTCTTGACTTCAAAGCTGCTGACTTCCACGATCACCTCTTGTCTTGCACGAGGTAAGAAATCCTGCGAGCAAGTGCTTCTTTTTCAGCTCAACAAATCAAACCGCGCAATTCATGAGTCTCTTCTTTTCAAACTTGAAACAACGGTTTGTTGCATTTCGTTTAGTTTTATGCTTTACCATGGTGCTGCTGATTCTAGACACTTTCAGAGGTTAAATGGGGATTTTCAAGTGTTTTAAAAATGAAACCTTCAAATTTGTCAGCGAAAAGAACGTATATAACTAATCTAGTTCCCAGTCTTCTTTGCGCTAACGCCAGTAATTTGGTGCGCATGTCTCTTCGGGAACGGTCTCGTTCTGTTTGACCAAGACCCTTTCCGTAACATACTTAGTACTTGCGGGTTCCCCACAGATGTGTTTTAGTTAAGGTTCGCCTTTACCTTAAACAGACTTAATTATCGAGACATAGATCAGCACTGAAAATTATAAAAACAGATTGACACCAAGAGAATATCAGTGAATAACCTCTTGTAGAAACAGATTGATTTCCTCCAACTTACTCTCTTCTTAAAGTAGACTTGATGGTGTATTTCATACAAAATTCAACATTATTGCCACTTACTCTTCATATACTAGCTAACTCCATTGTTTTTTTTTTTTTTTTTACATATTAGATGTCCCTCGTGTTCAATGGATTCGCGACTCAAAGAACCTTGCATCAGTGCGTTTGGAGGTGTTATAAACCCTAAACTTGTATTGGGTGGATACCCGTACGATGTATACCAAAACGCTACAACCCTAATGATTTACTTTGCAGTAAATAATTACAAAGACGAAAGCAAGCTGGCAGAAGTAATTACTTGGGAAAAGGCCTTCAAGGAGTTCATGGCAGATTATGTAAATAACACCGCGCACGCCAATCTCACTATTGCATACTTTACACCAGAATTGAGATCTAATGACGTTGAGGTCCAGTTTGACCTAAGGGCTTAGTCTATTTCGTCAATCGTTGCGCTAATTACGAACAGGGCGAAGCTATTTTTCCTTGAAACCGAACGGTTATAGTTTTGACTTTCCGCGCGTCTTACGTGACTTGGCTTAATCCGCTGCTCTACCTTATGTATGCATCAGCTGGCTCTTTATAGCTTGTATCTTTGTAGCTGATTAGTTGATATGGTGGTGTAGAGTAGTTTTTTTTTTCGTCATCCATGCTAATCTTTAAAGTTTCCTTTAGAAGCTTTGAGTGAAACGACGGGGGTGGTCTTAGAGAAGTGATCAACAAGTATATCTATCCACCAATTTCAATACTGACAATACCCAGCGAACAGTTTGTCGACACAAAATCGTTCAAAGTGTGGATTGTTAACTTTCTGTTTCAAAAAGATTTTCTGAACTCAAGTACAAACTAGAAAGAACAATTGCCAAGTTATAGAAGTGCATAAATCGAATGACCCTTAGTGTTTCAAAGTTATAAATGTCTAAAAAATGGTTGAGTAAAATCAGCGTTTAATAGTGTTCATTCTGTCTAGTTTTATCAATACTGTGCACGATGGCAACGGTGAGCAACATCTGACATATTTGCTGGTATTTCTTTGTGTGGTGGAAAATTCAGCATTTAATTCTTTTTTGTCTTATGTACCTTAAAAAGCTTGAGAAGCCTCCCCACTGCTGTGTTTTGTCATGTCACGCAATGCCTTATGGTAAGAAGATAGCGGTTTACGTGACAGAACTGAACAACGTGTGCCACGTGGGACTAATACATAGATATGCAATACATAGAATGTTGTTTTTTCATAGGATCTTACGACAAAAACTAAATCAAATTTCCTTAACAATTTTGAACAAAATCGGATTTTATAATCCATCAAATATTTTTGTTCGCGTGCGATTGGTCGAAACGCATCCGAAGATATCACCCAAGTGATATTGCCCAATTTTCAAACCTTACGTCCATTAGGATCAGTCTTCGTTTAAAAATTAATTCGAGATGGGAAAGCGTTTTATGTTAGTTACAGAAGAAGGGAATTATTTGTTTGTTCATAAAGTCGAACCAGAAAACACTCAAAAGAAGAAGTCCCATACAGCAAACAGTAAACTGTTCGTAAAAACTTTTTGCACGTTCGTTGCAAAATATTTGAAGGAAAATAAAGACGATAGCCTCTGTCTTGCGCTAAAATATGCTCGTATATTTTTCCTTTGACTTTGTTTATTCCTCGAAGCTCTCGGGAAACTTTCCGCATCTTGGAACAGATCATGTATGCGGACAAATATTCGTGCATATCTTCGCGCCAAATAGAGGCTATTGTTGATATACAGAACATTGAAATGTTGTTATACAATATTACCAACCTCTCATTGCTCATTTAAATTTTTTTGCATGTTTATTAGACATGATTTTCATGAGCGATCTCATATCTGTGAGCCAGTCTCTTAGTCAGGAGCAAATTCAATATCATTTTTTTTTTAATGCGGTACAGTTTTTGTTAGTCTAAACGGATTTTTATCTTGTTGTGACAAATGATCTTGACGGGTTTGCCGCATAGAGTTTCAAAAAAGGAGAGTCGGTCCCAATTAAAAACATCTTTTTCTTTGAAAAGCGGCAAGGCTTTCTTTCCACACTGAGTACCTTGGGTGATCATTCGCTTGCGCAAACTATATCAAAACCCTCGCACACGGTGAACTGCTACGCGACAAATATTTATCTGCTCGGTACGAAATTGCAGTTTGAGGCGATCTATAGCTTGCTAATGAAATAGCTAAGCTTTGCTAAGAACTGAACACTGTTATCCTGAAGGTCACTTATTCACTGATTTCAAAACACGCGCCCTAATTGCAATATGAATAAAGGGGTGTAAGCTTTTTAAAGAAATTGTGGTGCTGCGTCAGTGGGAGAGTATAACAGGGTAATTTAGTATTACCAACTGAGTCAATGACGTAATTTGGCCACCGCAAAGAGTTTAAAAGCAGACGTTTCGAGCCTTAACCCTTCGTCAGAGCGATTGGAAAAGCTAACGCTCGAAATGTCAGCTTTTAAACTCTTTACGCTGGCCAATTGCTCGGCTGTGTTTACATTCCCTAATCACTTGTTTCGCGCGCTTTTCACTAATCGTTTATTAACCAATCAGAAGCAAGTCAAAAGCGTTCAAACGCATTGCATGCTGGGGAAGTCAATCAGAATCTCTCGGGACTAAACTTGCTGAGAGGAATCAGTGATTGGAGATCCTGTGTGAATTTATGCCTCTATCTCATGTAGACTGATCTTTGTAGTCAAAGAGAAGATTCAACGCTTGAAGACGTTCGATGTACGTACGATCTATATAGGGTTTTATCATTCTTCATAGGAATCTTAACGTCGGCCCGCCGTGCCGCCATCACAACTTCTGCATCACAGTGATGGCCTTTGCCATGTCGAATGAAAAGTTTGGTAACTCAGGCGAGGCAAGTGGAACATGATTTTCAGTTTCATAATTTTCCATGTGTTTATTCAGTGCAGTTTCTTTTGGAAATGATGCCTCCGCAGGTCATCTTAAAATGTTTACAGCATAAATTTTAATGTATTAAGGAAGGTCTTTGATCCTAAGTTTGAGTTTACTTTCAGTTCTGATTCTAAATATCAGTGGTTTTACAGCACGACTGCAAAGTGAGTCTTATACAAGTTGCTGTAAGCACTTGTATTATTTAAAACTAAAGTAAACACCGAACGTTCAGAAAGATTTGTCACCTTGGTGCCAAGTAATTGGAGATGTGTGATACAAATTAGATGGAGGTGTTTTTCTCAGTCTTTATTGCTTCATGAAGTCTATTCAGGACAAAACATTAAAATATCTTCTGATGTCTTGAATTTTAAAGGAAATGATGGAGAAGGCAAGTGATCATTTCATGAACTGCTCCTTGTGCAAGACTTCTACTGAGGACAGCTTAGGTATGAGTGAAATCAGAATTTGTCATTACACTCCTTTCATGTCTGTGGAAATGTAGCTTTACTGAAGGGTTAATGAAAAGAGACTTCCAGATAAGGGAAATACAATTTTGAGTTGAAAGGGAAAGCAGTGCTCAACTTGATTGTTGTCTTAAGCTTAAAAAAGTCTGTGATTTGGCTGTCTAGTTGTGAGGTCAAGGTTTAAGATTGCAGGAAAATAATTCACTTCACGTTAACAACTACTATATAACAGTGGTTAACAGAGGTGAGAAAATGGGAGAGAAAGATCTCAAAACAAGTGTGATTGTACAGCAGGATTCCATAATATTAATTTGTTTCATTTTCATATCTTGACAAACTGTGGTATCCACAACTTCCAACAATTTTCCTGATATCCAAATCTTCAGAAATCCAGTGTCTGAGTCTGTTCAGTTAAAACTTAAGTGTTCTTTTCAGGCTTGAGACATATTTGTTATGCTAATGTTGTCTAATGCTTCAATCATACAACTTTGTTATTTCTATTCAATTTGATAGAGAATCCACTTCATGTATGGTTATCTATGGATACAAACACAAAAAAGAAGCACTTGAAGCATTTGAGGAACAGTATTTTGGCTCCTATCCTATTTGGAAAACGAATGTATTATTCTTCAAAGGTAAAGAATAGTTAGAGGTATATGGCACAAAATTCAAATCAAGTATCAGATACTGTTTTCCTTTTTTTGTTGGAGTATATTTTTGCTTACAGCCATTTAATAGTCTATTTTCCTTTTTTTATTCATCAGAACATAAAATTGTTGCAGTACTTGAGAATAATACCAAAAACAAGCTTTGAAAGGTAAACTAAAAGTTTTTCCCTTTCCAGAAACACTGTCACATACAACCCAACCCCCGCCTCCTCCCTAGATTTATCTTGGGAGAGGGCTTATGCTTGAAATATTAGCTCTTCAAAAATTGTTGCAGTGGTTTTTCTATCTGTATCAACTTATGGCTCATAACAAACCATTATTTCAATTGTGTGTCAATGCAGCACTAGATCTTTTCTAGAATTTCATAATCTCCTAATATTTTGGATACACTGGTTAACTCAAGACCTGAAGCTAATTCCTTTAACTTTTATCATACATTTGTTTTTGGTTAATCCTGAGAATTTTGTGGAACATCCAAACAATGTTTCAAACAAATAATATTGATTGACGTCTTTTCTTCTCTTGTCTTCTCAACATTGTATTTCTGCAGAATTTCTCCTCTGGGAACAATATTGTCCAACAGAAAAATTGACACTGTGGAATTAACTGAGGAAATTGTAGACACCATTCTCTCCTGCTTGGTAAGGAAATTTTTGCTTTCTGAAAGAATCTTTTTTTCATATCAGTGATACTATCACTGTGTCTTACTTCACCTTTTTAATAACATTGTGAGGTCTGGAGACAAACTTTCATTTTCCTTCTATGCTGCTACCAGTCATTTTGAAAACAGTAATCTAAAAGCAGAAACAAAGAAATTGGTGTTGAAATAATCCTGCAGTCATTACTGAACAACCTCTGAAACAGGCCTCGTGTTTCTTTCAATGACAGGTCTGTAGTATAAGTGAAGTCAGGTGAAACTCAATTTCAAAGGTTTACCTCTCTGTACTGTTGCTCTGGTTTTAATGAAAAGAAAATTAAGCAAGCTTTCCATTAATTTAAGATATAATTCTTGGATTTTTATTTTAGTCTCTACATTGTAATTATGCCAATGTTTAGCTTTGAATTGTCACCCTCTGAGCAATAATTAATACCATGTATAAAACTCATTTTGGTCCAATGCCACTATTGCATTTCTCTGTTTATATACATTTTTAGGATTCAGATGAGTTTTTACACAGCGGTTACCATACTTACCAAGAACTGAAAGGTGTAAGTGGACAGCATTGTGCAGTAATTTTTTGGGCTTTTTTTTTAGAAAGTTTAACAAAAAACTATTGAAAATTTTGAACCAAAAAGTTTAGTCAGAACAATTTGTTAATGGAATTAATTATTTATTGCTTTCTGTCCACATTTGTATTTATTATTTTCTAATTTATTTAGTTATTTTTATTGTTATAAAGTGTTCTGTTGTGGAAGATGCCCTTTCTGTTGGAAAGAAAAGTGAATTTGTCACACTTGTGAGGTAAGTCAATCCACATTGAACTCTTTGAGGAACTATTTTTTTGCATTGTTAGCTGTATTTCACACACACTGTTTAGAAGACATGAAAATGTTCCTAAACTTTATTTTTAGATTTATGTTTTTTGGTCTATAGTTGTAGCTATGATGGTGATCATCGTTTACATAAACAAGGAATTATGCTTCTCTCACTCACAGTTCTTCATCAAGGTAAGCTACATACACTGTAGTATAAATGTTTCAAATTTGAAAGTGAAAGTACTTTGCTCAAGTTACTCAGAGTTATCAAGTTTTCAGCCTTTGTAGAATCAAGTCATGTGAGAAAGAAAGGATTTTGATTAAGAAATTGAGTGGCAAGGGAATGGTGTGAAAAAATGTCAGGCCATTAAAATTTAGCCATAGAATTCTCAGATGCCTAATGAGCACCCTGAAGTGGCTGAAGAGAGGTGTGGGCATTATTTTTGTTAAATTCAACCATTAATTCAAAGTGCATTTTAAATTTGCTTTGTGACCAAATGCACTGTGGTTGGAGAGACTTTTTGAGAGTCACATTCTGGAGTGACCTAAAGGTAACTAACAGTTAGGACTGTGTGCCTGTTTCAACATAAACAGCATCTGGATGAGAAAATCCATTGAGAAAAAACTGCTTTATAGTTGTTCAAGTTAGTAAAGGCATTTGATTTATGTTTCAGTTATGAAATACCTTTGCCAGACTTGCAAGCCTTGTGACTATTTAAAAAAGTTTGAGGAAGAGATGGCCAAGAAGGAGCAGGTGAATGTCACTCTGCTAATGTATGGTTAGTTTTTCCCTGGACACAGTTTGAATGGTTTTGCTCTTTCCTTACTAAAAATTTTCCAAGTTTACAGTTTGCATGCAGGGAGGGGGGGACTATCACCTCTCCTCATGGGAGGGGTCCATTGCTGGTTATCTGGAGCATTTTGTGACAATTAAAAATGTCTGGGAGAAAGTAGCCTTCAAGGGGTAGTGTCTAACCACACCCCACTCCCCCCAAAAATCAACGAGAACAACAACATAATGATCCTGGCTATGGCTTCATCCTTCAGTACCTCTTCATTTGGAGTTCTACTGGGAGGTATTTAGGCCAGGGCTCAGAATGTATGTTTGGGTGTTCTTGATACATGTTTACGGAAGAAACTTATCATAAATGTGCTGATAGTCATTTTGTTGATCTATGAACAGACTTGCAGAGGGCTAAGGCTGAAAGGAAATGATCACTTTGCTGCAGGTGATTACCACATGGCTGTAGCATGTTATTCTCAGGCAGTTATGTTAAGGTAAATTTGTTTTAACTTTTGTTCACTACAATGCTCTAGAGGTATTTGCTTTGAGTTTTGGTGCACTGATCACCAGTTAGTGCTTCACTCTACTATGTCTGAGGATTCTAACATCTGAGTTATCGTTGATTGTGGAGCAGTTTGTTTTGAAACTGAACTTGTTACTATCATAGCATAACTGAATGATGTACCTCTAGGCTATCAATAAGTTTAAAAGTGTGAAGGGCTTTTGTTGTTATTGAATTTAACTTCTCAGCACATGAAAGAAAATTCTCTGAAAAAGAGAAATCAGTGCCTCTATCTTTGGGCAGGGGATTTAAGCACTAATAATGGCTTTATTGGTAGAGCTCTATCAAAATTTGCTTGTGGTGCTTTTGAAACATGTTTCAAAATGATGAGGAAATGAAAGTATATTGATATCCATATGTGACCAATGTTTGTGTTATATCTTCCCCCAATTTTTTGATGAAATGAACCTTGCATATGGACTACAATTTAACCCTTTAAACCCTAAGAGTGACTACCATCTTATTTCTAGCGACAATATCATCCCTGAATCACACATTAAGGTCATGAGATTAAAGGAAATGATCATCGATGAAAGAAGCTTTTGATCAGTAAACAAATTCTCCTTGTCAGCACCTTAGGAAATGTATAAAGAACATTATGGAGAATATACATACTGATGTTAGGGTGTAAAGGGTTAAGCAACAGTGGAAAAGAAGCCTGATACTAGCTCAGCACTACTACCACTACTATGAAGCCACACGTTTGGAGTGAAGCAAATTTGCCATTGTGCACATACCATGCTTATGCAATTGTAATTCAGAGCTAACTATTGAATAAAGCATCACTTGATGAATTTTGAATACTTGAACCTACAGCCCATTTGATCCTTTGCTGTATGGCAACAGAGCACAAAGTTACCTCAAACTGAAGCATTTACGGTAATTTTTTTGATCAAGTACTATTAGCTATGTATTATTATTAGAACTTATTAAAATGATTAGAGTCCTTACCTCTGGGCTACTGTTGGTAAATGGAATGAAATACTCTATTGCCAAAGAGGAGAGTACATGTAACCTTTTTTGGTGCAGTGGTTAAATTTTTTTATTGCAACATTTTTTAATGTTGCATGATGTTGTGTGTGTCTGGCCAGCTCTTTCACACCATCTCACAACATGATCCAACAATATTGCTAGGTACTTGTTGCATTGAAATGTTGCATGTGTTTGACTGAGCCTTTAGACATGTGAGGGAGAGAAATAGTTAATGTTAAAACTGAATGTGAATTTATTAAAAGCTTTGCAATATTTTCAAATCAAATTTTGATTGCTTTTATGTAGAGTTGCTCTGCATTGTTTGTATTTATGTCTAGGTCTTACATCTTGCAGCAAAATGATATGAATTACATCAGTAGTTTACCCTCCTACTGGGCTTTTCTGCTTTTGATTAAATCTTGTTTGTTTTATTTTGTTTTGTTTTGTGGCTTGTTATAAAAGTGAGGCTTTGTCTGATGCCAAGAGAGCTGTTTGTCTTAACCCTGAATGGGAAAAGGTAAGTAGAAAACATGGCTGTTTGTTGACAAATTTATCTCTAGTTATCATTTATACTTGCTCATCACTCTCTTTTGCATCTTGGAGGAGAAATGCAGCTCTGGTTATGTGAATTTTTCTTTCTTCCTTTTTAAAGTAGAAACTGGTGTAATTTCATGCAATGTATACCATATTTTTTTAACAAAGGAGACCTGGATGGATGCTAGCTGGCTCACATGGATCCTCATGATGATAGCTAGTTTTTATTTTGTGCTTATTGTAATTATAATTTCAGGGTCATTACAGATTTGCACAGGCATATTTTGAACTTGGATTTACTGAAAAGGCCATGGCTGTAAACTCACTTGCTCAGAAGTGTTGTTCATCCACACTTAGCTTGCTCTGCCAATCTGTTGCATTCAGGAAAGGTTTGTTTTTATGAGTACTTTAATCAATGCTAACAAGCTTGTGAAGCGAGCAAAGAGTATTTTCAGATGCAGAATGTGTCAGTTAGGTTTTAACCCTTTCACTCCCAAGATCTTCTCAGTCATTCTCCTTACTGTCTGCCATATAATTAATATGATGTTAGTTTTGAGAACTTGGTATTCCATCAAATAATAATCCCCTAATTGATATTTTCTAATTTTTTTATTATTTGTCTGCTTCATATTGTATTGATATTTCAAGGAGAAATCATGTCTTGGTCTATGGGAGTCTAAAACAGGCAGCCACATGTTACTGACAATTTTGAAATATTTCCCAAGTTCATGTTTAATTATGTCGTACATTTATGACTCAGAAATGGAAAACTCAGCAGCAAAAAACACCATTCAGTGTTGCAGTGTAAGCAATGGACAAACTTCTGATGAGGGTTGTCATCAGCACAAAGGTAACTTTACTTATGCTGTGATCAAGAACTCCTCTTCAGCTCACTACAATCATAGTTTTAACCATTTAACTCCCAAGATTTGATTTTAAATTCTCCCCACTGGCTGCCACCAATTTCCTTCTAAATTAGGGACAAGAATGTGGTGTTAGATCATGATACCAACTTCTACCTGATAGGTTTTAGTGTTCTCATTACCTGTTTGCTGGATAATGTAGCAATATATTGTAGGGTGAATCACTTGTGGGAGTTTAAGGGTGTTAAAATGTCACATGACTTTACATTAGATGTGCCTGAATTTAGATTCAAATCTGTGAGTGCTCTCCTGCATAGGTTCAAGGGATTATTGGACATTTCAAATGAGAGAACACTTAATTGATAAATTACTTCATTAACAAGGTATTAGTTAAAAAAGGTGATTCAGGTGAAGAACAGTGTAAGTGCTGTCTACTTTCATCTGGAGCACCAATGAAATCTCATACTCTACATAGCACATCTGAGTGTTCATTGACAGAGGTGAATTTCAATTTGTGTTTTGCATCTGTAGCTTCAACAATGGGTGCAAATCCCTCCTCGGCTAATGCTAAAGTGGGCAGTAAAAGAAACTGGAAACTCGCCAATGAAAACAGTAAAATGCGTCCCAATGCTTCATCAGTTGACAGCAACACCAGTCAAATGTTTGAAAGCGTTAAAGATTGTGCATATGTTGGTAAGCTAATTAACAGATGGTTTTTATCTTAGGGAGTTAAAGATCATGGTTGAAACATTTTACCTGATGGTTGTTTGAATAACTGATTTGATCACTCCAATTTCTTTTCTAAATGTGGAGATGATGTAAACAGCCAATGAAGTAGGAGACAAATTTCTCCTATGTTGTTTGGGGTTTTGAAGGTCAAATTCACTGAACCCTTAATTTGTAATAAGAGGAACTTAGTGATGAAGTGGTTGTTTGGAAATTATCCTATTCCATGAAATTTTGTTGATGGGAGGTTGTGCATATTGTGACGTATTGAAATCTGTTAGATGCAAAAAAAGTTGTAGTTCAGCCCAGGATTGATTTGTCACTATATCATTGGTGTTTTTTATTCCTGAATAGTTACTGTAACACTGAAATGTTTTTCTTCACTAGTATAAACCCCTTCACGCCGTAACATCAGTATGTATATTTGTTTCCACTACATTAGCGGGCACTTTATTTTAGCCTTCATAGGGCAGTATAACCACAAAAAAGTAAACTGTGGACTGTCTTACCAGATTTAGATGCTTACAGTATTGTTTGGTAAAAATGGAATAAACTTACCTGAGAATGTACTTGACCAAGAAAGAAAATGGCAGCAAAAAGTCACAAGGACAACTTTCACATGACAGGAAAGACAACCCTGCACCAATCACATTGTTCAATCGCGGAATGATTGCAGGCAGATACTATCTGTGAGAATTCCAAAGATCAGTGTACATGTATAACGTCTGAACTGGAAATTAAAGAAGCTCCCAACATAGTCATGATAATCTTGAAATGTTCTGACGTGACAACACAATATCCTCCATTCTGATCTCTCTACTCTACAAGGGCTTCTTCAGTTGGTGATCGTTTTCTTTTTTCTTGTGACCACAATGTGTGATTTAGGGGTTATATTGTCACTCTCAGGAGTCAAAGGTACAAATTAAAATGGATGATTTGAGGAGGTTTTTTTTTTTTCTTGTAGAACTTTTGGATGAGGATGATGAGAACTGTGAAAACCATGGCAACAAGGATGACCATGCAGACTCTGAGTTATCAGACTACAACTCTCTCCTAGGTCTTGTCTACGCCAACAGTGATGATAGTGACGATGACATGGACATGGATGAAAGTTGTGGTCTCTCTGACGTGGCCAGTCTTCCTTCTCTGGTGTCGTTAAGTGACTCAGACGCAGATTCAGAATCAGACTGGAAACCTGACCGGGATGGTGATAGTTTTAATAACCCAGATGAACGTTGCTGTTCCGGTACGACTAGTGTAATTATAGAGATGATGTTAAACCATGTTCACGGCAATGACAAACTGCAGAAGTTGGATTCAATTTGAGAGGCAAAAACAAATGTAGGAGAATTAAGGCGAATAAAAGTAGCAAATGTGGGAAAATTAAAGAAAATAAAAGAAGCAATTGTAGGAAAATTAAGGAAAATCTGAGGTTGAAGTCTTCCTTCATATGTGCAGTAGACATGGTTAACTAAATTTATCAATTAGTTTGATGTGAACTCAAGGTCGCAATCCTTGAATTTGGGGTTTACTTGTATGTCACGATCATGAAAAGGAAAGAAAAAGGGAGACCATCGGGCACAATCTTCTCTATCCCACAAGTTAGTGATTTATCAATCTTAGTGCTACTTGTACAGCTTATTGGTTCCTACATGAATGGGTATTTGCGCAAAAAAAAACCTCCCGAAAACAACAAGACGAACAACAAAAACAACTTACTGTACTGCAACATGAAGATGCTCACGCGTTAAATAAACTCTGTTCATTATTCTCAGACTATGGTAGCGACGACCTGTACAGTGATAGTGAGGAAGACGAGGCTAGCAATTTTGAACCAGTAGGGTGAGGATTTCTCTTCAATATGTCATGTCAGTTGCATGTTAGCCTTGTTTTGTGTGGGGCTCTTCACACTTTGTTGCCTATGAGCTCGCGTGGTGTTCTCCGAGACAAGAGTTCTCGGAATATAGAGATCAAGCCTCGAGATTAGTGGCCCTTACCTCGAAAGTTCCAGTTACTGAACGGGCTTGAAGCCATAAACGAATTTTCAGATTAACATTTTTAATTTTTTTGACTTTAAAAGGTTCGTAATTCGGGTCTTAGCGAAGAAACTAGTCCATTTTCTGATGCTGCATTGTTTGAATTTCAAAGCGAACGATATCTCGATCTTTTATATAACTACGGTGAGCAGAAAAGCAGCTTTTGGTGGCTTTTAATTAATAAGCAGCTTTTAATTGCTGGATTTTTCGAGAATCGGGCATCTGGTCTGGATCATTGTCCGTCACTAGTTTATCCTCAAAGTGCCTTGCTTCACCCGGGAGCTTATTTATAAATGAGCCGACTAGAAAATGTCAGAGAAACCTGATGAAATACGGAAAGGTTTCTCGCCATGTATTAGCCATTGATCGCACTGAGTAGTCGCCTCGCTCTACAGAAACTTCACTTACAAATGCGGTTCCATTAGCTGGTTTTTTTTTCTAGTTTTCTGAATTAACCTTAACATAATTTGCTCTTTGCCACAATGCTCTGGTGCTATTTCTAACTGTGCGAGTAAATTAAAATGGCGAATTGTCAACAAATTTTGCTCACTTAGTGCCAAATTTCTTTGTGGGTGTAGACATTTAAAGAGTCAGTCTTCTGATGTGAGATATTTTTATTTGTAGGGATCATGATGATGATGTTGATGTGCATCACAGTTGTGATGATAACAGTGATGATAATGCCAATGCGGAGGAGAGTGGGGGCGATTTCGAGGATTTGTTGAACATTTTAGGGCCTCCTACAATGATAAGTAACGTGGTAAGGCAACCGTAATCCAATAACTTGCGAGAAGCGTCATGTTTCATCAGATTAAAAAATGTTTAACTAATTTTTATCCCTTCACCTTACATATGAAGAGATGTTAGGTGATTGTATAATTTTATTTCGGTAATAAATAGTATGTAGAGTGGGAAATAACACATTAGGGAAAAGAGGAAAGGAATATACGTCAAATTTTGAATCGCTCGATTTTTGCATGGTACCAAATACACTACTCCACACCAAGGTGCGTAAGAACCTGTATACCTACACTCATTATGTTACTGCTCCTATTTTCCCGTTAAAAGTTTTCTGAAACGCCTCCTGTTAATTTTTTTTGGTAACTATCAGGTGAAAATGATTGTGATACAGACACACATATCAAATTCCTTTCTAGGGCAGTATCGTGTATACCCATAGGGAGGGGGAGGATTTGCTTTGGTAACCTGTTCTTCAGACCCTCTTTTCTTGTTTGTTTGTAGGTCTCTCCTGCCACTCTACTGCTGAGTGTTCTCGTCGAGGTAATGAAGTGAGAAAAATGTGTAGCTCGAAATAAAACATGTTGGGATTTTACTTGCTATCTGAGCAAACCTGTGTAAAGCGTAAGACTCCATAATTAGTAACGTCAAACTGGGTGAAATAAGTGTTCGAGTAAGATCGTCCGGCAAAAGATCGTCCTTCCCAATCTCCCCATGCGAGATAACTGTCCATGGAACAGGTCTATGTTTGCATGAATCTGCGGTAGTCCGACTCAAGTGTTATCTAATAGATGTATCCACCTTGAACGGATTTGTGTTTTTAGTTTTTCAGGGCGCATCCAGAGATGAGGAATGAGGGTTCTCCTCCGGCATTGCCAGCAGTGATCGAGTCACTTCCCAAAGTAAAAGTAACTGAAGATCATGTCGGTGAGTGAAATATTTCTGTCGATTTTATGGGAAAATTCCTTCCTATACTCATTCTCTTTCTTTTCCCTTCTTTTGTCTTTTTTCGAAACCCGGTAATGGAGCTACGCTATTGATGGGAATAAGGTGACGAGAAAACACGAATAAATTAGTTGAATGAAACTAACTTGCACTTATTGCAAAAAGTTATACATTGGTGAAACAGGAAGACGACTAGACGACCGGTTCCGATAACACCTTCGCGACGTAGAAAGAAATGACAAGGACGCATCCAAACCAGTCGCTAGACTCTTTAATCTCCTTAATCATTCTAAGCAACATATGGCAGTTTGCGGCCTTTTCCTACATCTAGACAGTTCGGAAGGCCGCAAAACTCTAGAATTAAAATTTCTCTTTCGAGCGAGCGCTTTTCATTTAGCTAATTTATTCTTGTTTTCTTGTCACCATATTCCCACCAATAGCGTAGCTCCATTTTCTGCATTTGAACCCACACACAACCTACAATTCCTCCAACCGCTCTGACGAAGGGATACGCTCGAAACGTTAGCTTTTAAACTCTTTACGGTGGCCAATTTCCGCTATAAACTCAGCTGATAATAATAATATACCTTATCTCTTGGTGAGTTTTTGTAGCGCTTATTTGAGGCGACCAACATTTGCGAAGTTCCTACTGACATTATTCTCTGGTTGCACTTGCCCTAGCCGTGAACTTATCCTGTACCATTTGTCGGTCTGATTATCAAGAGGATGACTCAGTTCTGGAGTTACCATGTTCTCATTTATTCCATCCTCCTTGCATTACTACGTGGCTAAAATTGGTAAAATATTTGTTCACATTTACAGTTACTACAAATTACTTTTTGTATTTGTCAGATAATTATAGCAAAAAATTAACCGCTTTTTATCGTACAGAACAGTGGCGGATCCAGACCTTGAGCTAATGGGGGGGGGGGGCGGTTTTTTGTCGCTTACCCTGCCGGCTTTTCTTCCTTCTGCGATCTTTTTTTTTTTTTTACCCGAAAAAAAAGGGGGGGGGGGAGCCCGTTTCTGGAGAATACATTCTCTCAAACTCCTACCGTGGAGGGTGTTACAGTGAGGAATACTGCGTTTTTTCTTTCTGGAAATTAGACAGCTACAACCCCTATTACGATAATGATAAAAAAAAAACAACAATATTAATGAAGAGAAGAATATAAAATAGATACAGTAAGAAGGGTGTCAAATTATAGAAATTTGTTAATCAGTTGATATGTTAGATCGCTTAAGACAGCAGAAAGACTGTATATCACTAAAAAACAAATTTACTTTTGCTTTTTTTCTGTAGCACGCCACTTGTCCAACTTGCCGCGATATTCTACCTCACTAAACTAAGAAAACGGAGGAATGAGCTAGTCTTTCAACGGAACACCACGACTTAGTGCAGCTGTTTTATCTAAACCTGCACAATTTCTAGCTTGGAATCAGGCTGTATGGTGTTACCAGTGGAAAAAGTCCCTGACTAAAGACTCGAGCTCGAATCATCGGGTGCATTTAATTCCTGAGTCCTTAATAACTGATAAATTATTGGGATTGTTTAAAAGTTTAGAAGTGTAACTCAATTGCAGTACTTTGCATGAAACGAGGCCATTAGGACGTGGTCGTTGATCATCTGTCGATGATTCAACTAAGAGGTAATTTTTTTTGCAGACTAAGCTCTAACTGAATGGTAGAGTTAAGGTTAAGTTATTTGACCAGTTTGTTTTAAAGAACTAAATACAAAGAAGATATATTACATCAGATAAGTTTTGTTCCGAGAAACGAAGTCGTAACGTCTTGTTTTTTTTATGGTTTTTTTAAATGTTTTTTGTTTTCCAAACACTCACAAACTCTTGCTCGCTCACAAGGAGTCGTATCTCTTCCAAGAAAGTTGGCACAAATTTCATTATTGAAATTTAAAGAGGCTGACTTCAGGCTGTTTAGATCGAAATTGATCCGCCTAATCACGTCACATTTGTCAACTTCCGGTACGATCGGGACGTAAAAGGATGCCTTTGGAAATAATTCCGAAGATGTGACTTTTTCGTTTGACGCAACCTACAGGGTTGAAAGGGAAAGATTTTGAACCTCCAAACTATTTCCTTTGCGTGTCATCTCAGGGTTTTCCACCAGCTTAATCAGTTTCTCTTACGTGATAGTAAGTGTATGCATAATCTAAACTGCTGCGCTCATACCAATTTTTTTCAACAACAAGGAGGGGAAGCGCTCGCATGTAGAAATTTCAAGCTCATTTTCTTTTAAAAGCTTTATTTTGTTTATATCAGTCTTAGTGAACAATGCCTTAATAGTAAAACTCAGTCACTTGAAGGCTGCAGCTACCTCAATCACCCACTCCTTTAAAGTAGTAGGCTCTTCGCCAGTGATCTTGGTCAAGTGTGTCATATCGGGATCATCGATCAAAGGATTCTCTTCATCCGTCATCCGGTAGATTTCTAAGATTCCATCGGCGTCCTCTTCACTAAAACCAACCACGTTGATGAGACGCTTTCTACAATTCTCGTAAGAGATTCGTTCATATTTAATTTTCCTACCGAAGACTTCGCTGTATGTGCTAGCAAGCTCTCCCAGAGTATGGCGATTGCTTATCAACTTATAGGTCTTTCCATAATGCTTCTCTCGTTCGACCATGATTGCCGCCGCAGCCCTCCCAGCATCAGCTACCACAACAGCTGAGAAAGGTTTAGTTGGGTCCCCTGGGGTACTAAATGATGACTTCTCTTGAATAGACTGTTTGTGGCCCCAATAGTTGTCAACGAAAGGAGGAAGGCGAATAAAGGTGTACGGTATATCTAGATCCTTCACACTTGATTCCAGCTCGCCATACTGTTTTCCGTAGATGGAATCGGTTATCTCGACAGTAAGGACACTCACAGTAAGGATGTGTTTAACTCCAGATGACTTGGCTTCCAGTGCTGCTCCAATCGCAAGTTTCCAGCCATTGGTTGGGGTCACAATAAACAAAGACATCACGCCACGTAACAGCTCACGCAATCCCTCTTTGTCATTCATGTCAGCTCGAAGGACAGTCACTCCTGGTAGGGTTTTTAACACGACTGCCCTCTCTAATGTTGGGTCTCTGGTTCCAGCTAGGATTTTAACTTTGTCTGAGTACTTTTCAGACAGAGCTCTCACCGTGGCAGACCCCACAGATCCACTGCAGCCAAGGACAAACACTGTGGGCTTCGGCATGGCTGGATAGGAGAATGATAAAAAAAAATCAACTTTTAGGCGACAAGCAGAATCTGATAAAACCCTACGTGCAGATAATTAAACATCGAGGACATGGACCGTTGAGAGAGCAAGTGATCTAAAATATGCACAAATGGGTTCTACCAAGATCACTAAATTGAATCGCTTTTTGAATCGTTAAATAGTTTCTAATTTACAAAAATAACTTGACCAAGAGAAAGTGCACTGAAATAGAGGTATTGAAAGTAAAAATTTGAGCTTGGAGGTGAAACTATTCTAAAGGTTTTTCATTGGGGAACGTGATCCAAAATCAGTCACCTGCAAAATTAAAATTAGAGGTTGCAATCTATGAAGTAAAGATGGCTCTTTTAATTCACTGTTGCAAGATATTTCGACATAATTAAAAGAGGATTTAAACGAAACTAATAAAATTAAAGAAAGAAAGCTAAATAGAAGTCAACTTATTTTTAATACAATAGTGACGAAGATTCCGTGGCGAACACAGCCTTAGGAAATACGAACGACCTAATCTCAAAACCGCGAGGAAACGATGATTTTGTGTTCGTCTTGCGTCACTAGGGAGACACGACTTCACTCCCTATTACTGAACGGTGACATATAGTTTCCATCGTAACTTACTGGACTTTTTTCCCAACTTATGTCCTCCTTTGTAAGAGAGGAATGCCATCCGCCTGGGTGTGTATTATTGCGTGACTTTAACGACAATGCAAATTTCTGTTGAGACTTTGCCCTCAACGTTGTTCCCTTTTAAATCAAGCGCGTTTTATACTTAATAGGGAAATTATAGCTTTTTCGCAGTGTAACTTACCCACTAGTCCTTTCTTAATAAACCCAACTTCCCCAAGGATTTTTAGACACACCAAGTCAGTGAAATCACCCCAATCGCCCTGTTTGGGGCATTTTGTTATGTATGTTCACTAGTCTGTCCTAGGATCCAGCTCCCACTCGTTATAATCTGCCGCCTGGCATTTATTTGCAATGATGGCCGCCGATCAAAAAAAATTTTGTTTTGCGACATTTTCTGATCTTAAACCTCTATAGAATCTCATGGCATCTTTAGAGAAGTTGCAGAATGAAATTCTCCTCAAGGAAGAGGCGTTTCTGAGGGAAGAAAAGGCTAAGCTAATGGAACAGCTGAACAAGCTGAAGGTGAAGCCTCTACTGAATTTCCAAATTTTTAGTTTACCTTGCTCAAGAATCGAAGCGTTTTGTCACTAACTAAAATGTTTCAGGTGGAAGAAATGGCCCTTATGAAGTTATTAGAGCAAGACAGCGTGAATCCCCAACAGACCACCATGGAACTGTTTAGCAAGACTTCTCAAGTGGTAGGTGTACGTTGTTATTTCCACGGATCAAACCTCGTTCAAACGATAAAATTATAAAAGCCAATACTATCTTTTTCTCGCAAAGCAGAAATGTAAAGGGGAAGTGTCACTACCAAAATGTTTTGATAACATTAACTGTGAAAATGGACTAAGTTTGTTTAATTTTTAAGTTTTTGACATCAACTCAAGTATAAGTACAATCTTTTTTGCACAATTTTTCGTTTCAGTCTTCATCATCCAGCCTTAAGATTGATGAAGTCAATCATATCCCACTGCAAGGACTAAAAACCACTGAGATGTAAGAAGTTTATATTTTTATGATTTTTAAAATCATTGTTATATGTTCAGCAAAAGTATTTCAACTACTTTCTTACCAATAATACAGGAAACCTCTGTGAAAAGTACTTGTACATCAACAGGCAAAGTGCTAAAATAATTATTGACCAATGATACATTTTTTTTAAACTGAGTGAGTATGAAAGCAAGATCATGTCTTGTCAACCCTTTGCACCCTAACATTAGAATGCATATTAATTCTCCATACTGTTCTCTATACATTTCCTAAGGTGCTGACAAGGAGAATTTGCTTTACAATCAAGAGCTCCTTTAGTTAGTGATCACTCCCTTTATTTTCATGGCGTTACTGTTTGATTTAGGGGTGATATGGTAAGGAGAAATGAGAAGCTAGGAGGCCCCCTCAGAAATTACTATTTTGCTAAAAATAGATGAGTATTAGGTCAACTTTGGTGTTCAAACATGTGATTTTATAGGAATAATGACATTTATCAAGGGGAAGAAGAAGAAGATGAAGATGATATGGATGATGATGAACCTGCTTACAGTGAGTGAAATCAATTCTAGTTGTCATTGTTACTGTTCAAGTAGTCACAGTATTTAATCTCAATTGATCAGAATAAAACTGAATCCACAAAATTCTTGTTGCAAGTTGATCAGTGTATTTAATACAATGTATGAGGATAGATGTGCATGCTTATTACAGTTGGTTTAAGTTTTACATTTTGATTTTTCCAGATGAATATATTACCTATTTATTCTTTCCTACTGGTAACCCCAACCAGTGATCAGTGAGTAATTTCTCTATGCAATATAAATACCATATCATGCAGAAGGGCAATGAGAATAAAGAAGAACATCAACAAGGGGACTATATAGATTTAACTCTGAATTCTCAGAACTGCATTTAAAAGAATTATGTGGCAGGAACTAAGGAGAATTACCATTGAGATAGAGGGAGTTTAGGTTTAAAGAGCATATAGGAGCAAAACCAGGTTTAGGTTCCAGATTTTTCTCCTGATAATGTGAACAGTATACTTCATAATATTTATGTAATGGTACAGTACTTTGAAAATCCTTTTGTATTAAATGATACATTTTTTATTATTTAATAGGTCAGCAGTTACTGAATGCAATATCAAGTATGCATCAACAAAACAATAATGTTGATCTGGACATTTCTAGGTAAGATTTGGGTGTTCAAATATTTAGTTCAAAATTGTCCTTGGAATGAAGGATACTAGGTTAAACTCTTCTTAAATTAAGTTTATCTCTGTGGTTAGAAGTCTAACTTTTAGAATTTAATTTTCTTGTTGGGAAAACACCACATGAACTACTTTGTCTTCATTATTTAATACAAATTGTTCCTAGGGGTTGGGTTGTGTCCTATCAGTCTGTAGTGGCCCCATCAATGCTGAGGTGTCACCCAGTTCTTGTAGCTTGAAATGACCAGGAGAGTTGTAAATCCACTTGGATGGAATTGTTCAAGCTGCAATCCATCCCAGGTTGAGGAAACCTCCTGGCAGCAGTTTCTAAAGTTTTCCCAATTATTTTTGCAGTATTAATCTGTTTTCCTTGGTGAAGAAAGGGGCACTAATAGAATAAAATTTTGTCAAGTCTCCCATAGAGATAACTCAATGACTCCTATTCACTCTCAAACCAAGACATTTCCATTCCCAATCCACCATGCTAATAATTCTTCACAAAATCTCTCATTCCAAAGTTTATTTTATGTTTTCAAAGTGACCTAATTCTGACATCATTTTCCTTTTATCTCAATATAATTTAGATCTGTTTTAGAGAATGTACTGCAACAAGAGATTGAAGGTTTTGATGACGATGATGAGGAAGAATATCTTTATTGATTGCTTCTGGGAATATATTTCTTGCATGTTACAAGCTGTGTTACACTGAACAAAGAACTCAGTCACAATACTACTAGAGACTTCCATGATTTTGAAGCAATGGTTGGAAGAATTGATCCAAACCAAGACAAAGCCAAAAAATATTTTATAAAAACAACAGCAACCATGATTGTACATACCAGATATAAATAGTAAGTTTGAAAATTTGTAAATTGGGAAATAAACTTCATTAGTTTCATCTGCATTGTTGATTGAAGTACCAGTTACAATGTTGTTTGTTTATTAACAGCTTTACTTGCATACTGCTTATCATTGTTAAAGTCAAGGGTTCTATTCATCCTGTACATCCTAACAGCAGTATGCTCATTCTCTATACATTTCCTAAGATGCTGATAAGGATCATTCGTGATCATTTCTTTTATTCTTGTGACTTTGTTTGACTCAGGGGTGATCTTGTGCAGAGAAATTAGATGCAAGTTAAGTTTTCCCCAACTCATGGCACTCTTTGTGACTTGACTGTGGTGAATAAATGTAAGATGAAATTGCAACAGAACAAATCATAAGTTTTTTTAAGGTGTTCCAAAACATGTTACTCTCTCTAAAACTGAAAAAAGGGCAAGTTTTAGAATGTAAGTTCTGACTGCTAACTTCAAGCAATTTTCCAGAAGATTGTATAGCAAGGAGGAATGTTAACTAAGAATGGAGTGCTAGTGAGGAGTGATGACAAAAATAATGTGATCATTGTTAAACTTTATTGAACACTTTTGTACCCAGCTTCAAAGACTCTAGTGAAATTATTGCATATAATGTAATTTGTGTCTAGAAAAAGTTTAAACATAACTATGGAAGATAACAGCAGAAATATAAAGCTTAGTGATTGTGGTATATTTCACACTTAACTGGAATCTCCTTTCTGCTCTGCTTTGTTCAATGTTACTTATAACTAAAAGAGTACACCTTCTAAGTGCATGTTTGAACTGAAAACTGTAATAATAAACAAGAAATTAATCCTCTTTTGTAGCTCTGGAAAACTTGATCCTGCTCTAATTTTGTTGGATCTACTTATTACAAAGACTAAATCTAATGTACACTTCTTGTTGACTTTGCAACACTGATGCAGTTGACAAAAAGTACACAACTGTAACCATAAGTGTGGAGCCCTGTAGGTTACAGCAGCTTGTAATAGTTGCTTTGAAGGTTAAAAGGGACAAAACTGATCATTATGGAACAGATGTTACTTCTATGTTTTTAGTGAGAGGATCAGGAAATGTTGAGTCACCATCAGGAACCTCCAGCATCTGCTGCTGATGCTGCAATGAAAGAAAAACAAAAATAAAAACTGACGTAACCTTGGTAAACTTTAAGGAGGGATAATTTTTCATTTACAAGATCTGACTGTTGTTTGTGCCTTTCTAGAGTCTTGTGGCGATGAAATTGTTTTTTACTATATGGTTATAATGAAAGGAACCAGTCACATATTTAAGGTTGTTATTAGCAACTGGTAGGCAGTGGAAACTCAGTAGCCAAGGGAAAATTTTGGGTCAGCTCCTTTGTAAATTGTGAAAAGACACAAAATATGTATTTTTTAACTGATTCTTGCCTCAATGTGTGGCTATAAAAGGTTACTCACCCATGTCCCAGAAAGCTGAAAATCAGGTTTTGGAAAGCTTCAATTTAAGACATTTTTCAGGGGAGCATGCCATCAGACCCCTCAAGAGAGTGTGCATGTCATGTTTTCATTCAACCACCTACTCAGTTCTGATCATACATCTATAAATTTCTTGATGAAAACCCAATATATTCCACTTTTTAGGAATGAAACCTTTCATAAATGTGAAGTTGAATGGCAATAAGAAAAGTTAAGTGATCCATGTTTCAGAGAGGCACTCCAGATCCCCTAGAAGATCGTACCTAGAACTAAAGAATAAGTAGTTTCTAGTCAAAAGCCATTTCACTGCACAAACCTTTTCCATCGCATGCCACTACTTTCACTTTGTCCACTTGGACAAGTTCTCCTACTTCTCGGAATTCTACTTTATTGAGCACAAAGGTCCACACATTGTCACAAAATCTATATGTGTTCAAGTGACCCTGAAAAAGAAGGGAAACTGAGCAACTGAGTATATGTCAGTAATATGTGTTACTTGTGTTAATAAAAAACAAGGCATATTTTACCTACCTTGAAAGAAATTTTGCTTTTGACTTTACTGGAGAGGTAATGGTTAATAGCTTTATCAAACTGTAGTAAAACTTGCAAAGCTAGCTGTGGGCTTATCTGTTGTGACTGAAAATGGGATAACAAATATGGTTAGTGAACAAATCTTGTCTCTTGGGCTTACTACGTTTTCATAAATTAAATGCACTTTTCTAATAATGACACAAGTGATTAGTATCTAGATTCTCTGAAGAAATATTGCTATACTCTAAAGAACACTCACTGGTAAGGAGAACTGAACATATGATATTAAAACATAGCTAGCAAATTGAGGTAACCAAATACAAAGGTGCAAGCATGTTTCATAATCCTATTCTGCATGCTAATGATGTCAGCAAACAAATGCCTTGGACTACTAATTTTCATCTATGAGTGCCTGCACTTCCAACCAGTTTGGCTACAAGTTTTGAGATTTTCAAGATGGTTTTTCTATTTCATCCTAATTAACAAAGTTGTTTAGGAGCTCTAGATGAAAAGTAAATCAACAGAAGGATAATCAAATTGGAAAGTCCTAAGTTATTTCGAGAAATAACATTCAAAATACTGCATTGACAATGTTATTCACACATCAGCTGTGGGTTCATGGAGAAGTGAAGTACTTAGGAAGTTTTGAGAGCACTCAAGAAGCTAGACTGGCTCTCCAGCAACCCTCTCTCTTCTCTTGTGCTCTCAAAATTTCCCCTGTGCTTCATATCCCCATGAACATGCGGCTGATGTATGGTCAATTGTTAGTTGTTATAGTTTATCACTAAATTCTCATAAATAGCTTACAACTGTTTGTATGTTTATACAATTGCCAAACTACCTGTTGGATCTTCAGGGATAACTATGAAGTAAAACAACATTTTTCCTAACTAAACAAATAATTTCCACATTTCTATAAAATTTGGTTACTATTGATTAAAAGCAAAAAAACTGTTATTTTTACAACAATTTTCAGTTGAATAGCAAATAAAAAGCAAGCTGTATAAATTCATATTCTGGTGTTACAAAACAATGGATCAGCAGACTGTGGAACCTCCAGAACCTCTGGGACCTGTGGTACCATTAATTTTTTTGGTACAAAAAATTATAATGAAATAAAAAAGAAACTAAAAACACCTTAGCACTATTCGAGATTTTGTATTCAGGTCTAAAGAAGATAACTTTTACATGATAAATAAGTTTCTTTTTTATTTCTTTGACATCCAACCACAGGGTGCCAAGTTCACACAATGATCACTCTGAATATACAAATATGTTCATGCAGTAAATTCGTTTCAGATGCCCCAACCACCCTGAAATTCTACTGTCATCACAAGCAATGATGTTACTTTATACTTAAGTTCCTCATTCCAGGGTCATGTACAACGAATTACAGCCTAAAGGTTTGTTAAGAGCCTTCAAATGAGGTGTTATTAGGATACTGCAGTACCAAAACCTTTAAAGCTTTCAAATTATGGTTCAGTTATTGACATTCAAGGTAGGTGACTGCTAATCGCTCCTACTGACATTGCATACTAGTGTTCTCCCTTATTTTAAGCGCAACAGGTAAAATAAATTTTCAAACCGGTAAAGCAATCCTTTTACCTGTTGAATTTTCAAGAATTCCAAGCAATTTTAAACGGTAATAAGAGGTACTAAAGGCGGTAAATGCTACCGGTTACTGCCTGAAAAGGAGAACATTGCATACCCTTGTACTAGTACTGTGAATGTTGCCACAATTAGAGTAGGACGTCAAGGACAGTTGAAACATATTTATCCTTTTAAGTAATCTTCTTTATACCCAAAAACGAACTTTCAGACAGCGTTAAGGTCTTTTTACTTTTTATTTTATCTGATTACGTTTATTTTACAAAGAATCGTTGTTTCTTAAGGTTCTGCAGCTTCTGTGGTCTGTTGATCCACAGTCTAGTAACACCCTTTATATTCTGATTGAGACAACACAAGCTACACTTTGCTATTTGGTAATTTTGAAACCCAATATGATATTAGCGACTGGTATTAATCCGGAGGACAGGGCAAAATTATCAAATGCATTAATTCAGCAATGTTGTTGAAAAGATTCGAAACTATTTGGGTCGATCGAGGTTGGTATTTACATGATCTGTGCAATAGCACACAAATATTCTGAAGAAGGCTGTCACTGCTCTGTTGGATCAGCGGACTATAAGCCTTCATTTTTTCCCCCGTGAAAGTGTAAAGCCAACTTTTCTTTGCGGCAACGCTAGTGACAATCGACGACAAGTTTGGGGCTTCGTGGCCAAATTTATGTCGCACATAAAATTCATACGAATACAGAACATACCAGAGAATACAAACTTACTGAGAAAAAAAGGCAAGGAGTAGCTCGCCTAACATTTTAAAAGAGAAAAAGATTCAAACCAAATGAAATAACAGTCTTCGTGAAGGCATTTTTCACTTTCAAACAAAGAGAGTCAACGTGACTACTGTATTTTTTTTCCGGGGGCTATCAGCTTCGACCAGAATACATCGAAAATATTCATATTCATTTAATATGTTGAGGAAATATTGTGCCGTAGATAAAATGAAGAAAGTGTGCGTATCGAGAAGAAATGAAGAAACCAGCTGAAGTCGACATTCTGTGCCAGGGTTCACAATCTGGTTAAGACTTCACAAAAGAAATACGCAATAAAAGAAATTAATCCTCGAGTCTGTTTGGTTCTGCCTCACACTCTTATGAAACAAAGAATCTTACAAAAAGAGGCAAATTTCAAGTGTCTCTGGAACTGCAGGTCTCTAAATTCAAATCGAGTGAATTGGAAAATCAAGTTACAGACTTAAGCGAACGTGGCTACTCAACCAGCCCCTCTGTTCCTTCCCGAAGAAACTACCCTTGAAAGCATTTTCTTGTTGTAGCCGACCAAATAAAGATAATTTACCTGTATCAACTCGTCCAAACTCTCCTGCAAGCTGTTCCCCAACGTGGTGTTTCGGTAGAGTTGGTAGCTCATCTTCCTGTGGCAGCTCGGAGTTTTTATAGTGTGCTCCTTCCAGCCGCTTCCTTTTTTGGCTGTCTGAATCAGCCGCCATCTTGAATTTGACCATATATGGTATGGTGCCTTAATCCTTCCACCAAGCTCTCTCTGATGTATGAATGATTGGTGAAAAGGTACCCGGAATGAAAAGAAAACGCGAGAAGACCTGAGAAAGAGGGACAAGAGAGAAAAGGGGAAATAAGGTAGAAAAGAGAATGTTAAGATAAGCAAATAGAGAAGGTTACTGTTTTCGTGTGCCAACACTATCCAGCATCAGGAGGCCCTCAACAACGCTGAATTCTGAACGACCGTGTGCTAATTTAAAAATCCACCCTACAAGGGCGGTTGGTTGGTTGCTAACTTAGGTCTTTTTTCCACATCATCGCTTTCGGAGTTTCATGTAAGCTTTATATGGGGCAGCGGTCGGCAGTAGTCGATGGTGCTGACAAAATTATCAGCTGCTCTAAATGAGTTATGCTCACGAGCGATAAGGGAAGGACCATTATGAAAGTGATTTAGATGGGGGAGGGGGGTAATGATAGCTTTTATTTCGAAAATGCGCGGACTATCCCTAAAAGACAAGAGTTATGGCTCAGAACTAATTACTTTAATAACAGTTGCTAGAAAATCCACAAACACCACTTTTAATTGCAGCTTAGTTGCTCATGGTTCACTTGTACTTTAGCACTAATTACAAAGATTAACAAGTGATCAGTTTTATTTGTTTCTACTTGTAGCTACTTTACAATATTTATATCTTGCTAAAAAAATTCTGTTATTTCAAAATTACCATTTCTAACACTAGAAATTTAATTATCAATTATCTGATAGCACCTTATTCTTTGCTGTCTTGTGTATCACTAACATCGCTAACTCTTGGCTATCCTTAGGTTCTGGATTGTTTCTTTCTAATCAAAAATTGAATAACTTAACTCCGTCTATCGGATATCAGCATGAAAAGAGGTCACATCATGGGCAGGGTTAAAAATTTAAAAAATTGCAGGAAATTTTCTCTCGGAATTACGGAAAAATCGATGATTTACAGTAAGGCAAATGCAAGCAGTGAGTCTTTTTCGATCAAGAATTGATCATTAAGCACAGTAAAAAAACGTCCACGGCACTTTTGTGATACGCTACGGCTCCTATGGGAACAAGGAAGACCTGATCTATTTGTGTATTCATATTTACGTACAGCAAACTAACGCAAACAGATTAGCACTAGGATTCTGCATCCGATTTAAAAAAGAGAGAGACATTTGACGCTACTTGAACAGTTGAAATTTGTGCTTTCAATCTTCACAATCGTTCGTAATATGGAAAGTAATCTGCCAACAAATGGAAAAGCATAGAGTATTCAGTATTGAGAATATTGAAAGAAGGAATTATTATTCAATACTGAGAATGTAAGTGGATGTACAACGTAGGTACAATGTAGGGTGTACAACGATTTGTCAAAAAAGATGGCCTCTTGGTTTGGAGAAATTAAAGAGATATTTATACATTAAAACTTACCTTTCCACGGCGTCTGATAGTTCTGAACCAAAACCCCACACATATTCCACCGATGAAGGCACCGACAAAGGTAGCAATTATAGCGTAAGATAAAGTGGAGAAACTAATCTGGGGGGAGGTTGAGCATTTTTCCTTTTCTGACTCTTGGTTTATTTTGGATTCTAAAAGGGAAGTGACAACAAGACATGCTTACTGTGGTGAAAGTATTTCAGAGGATTAATTAAACCGAAAGACTAACCAGTACTTTCTGACAACTTTGTGCAAAGATCATCCAGTTTCCGTTTCTTCAGTAGGCTCACTATGAGTATGAACTACTACCATACAACCAGCCTACTTAGTACGCTGTTAAAGAGAAGGCAAAGTACACGTGCACGCGAGGGCCGACACCCGTAAGTTCTCGCTCGCGCTCGTTGTCATTAAATCACTCGCGCTCAATGCCTCAACATCCTCATATGCAGGGTAGCGCGTCACCAACTTATTAGGACTACTAAAGCAGAATAAATTTTAGCCTTGGGTTGGACTAAACAGAGAGAAGGAGTGAGAAGTAAAACATTTCTTTGCCATGTTTGTTGACCAAAGTCAACTGAATAAGGCTAAAATTTCCAACAATGTAAGGGAATCTTACCTAACTCTTTTATGTACAAGAAAGCCGCTGACGATGTCCTCTCACCAGCACTATTGCTTGCAACGCACTGATATTTGCCATAATCTTCTATCTTCACTTCTGTTATTATCAGCTGACTGTAATTAGTTTTGTTATCTGAAACAACCCTGGCTCTCACATTGGATGTTACTGCATATGAATTGTTGTTCTTCATCCATGAGATGGCTGGTGTTGGAAGACCCATGGCGGTACAGTTAAAAGTTACATTGGAGCCGATGAAAGCGCTTTGGTTCTTTGGGTTTTCAACCACCTCAGGAAATAGAAGATGGGGTGCCTTTGTTGTCTCAGGTGGACTTAAGTTTTCTGCAAAATAACCAATCAATAGTACTATGGCAAGTAAGTGGAAACTTTGGGGTGAGGGGGGTAGGGGAAGGGAATAATCTTGAAAAGCTTGAATAAATGGAATTTGCAAAAATATCCTGTTTTTCACCTACACTATTGCTGATTTCCGTACCCACCTTTGCTATTTTATTGCAACAGCCTTTGATGGAGATAGCAAAAAGAAATAACTACGATAATAAATATTTACCCTGCCCAAATTTATTTGTGTTAGGAATAATCTGATTCTTACCTTTAGGGAGAATTTCAATGGATTTTCTTCTGCAGTATCCAGGATAGTCATTTTCTGCTTCACAAGTGTAGTTCCCGAAGTTTTCTACGATCAGATTCTTAAGAATTAACAGACATTTCAGTTTCTTTGCTAGTCTTGAGTTTTGGCATTTGACTCCAACTGGTCTCCCATGGGGATCATACCACTGAATATACTTGACCCTTCTCCTGGGAAGAAGCACGTTTTCATCCCTTGGTCGCGCTTCACAGGTCAGATTAATGGCTGCTCCGATAGGTTGCGTGCGGTCTGGCGGACTTGAGAAGATTTTAACTTCAGGTATAACTGGACAAGGAAAGAAGTTTATGAGCCACAAATTTGTAAAAACCTGGCTTATCATTAGCAAGTTGGCGGAGCATAGAATTCAGTGCGAAAAATTCCCTCTTGAATGAAGTATCAACAATTAAAAATAAAACTGTCACTGTTGATTATATTCACAAATGAAAAAGACCTGGGTAATAGTAATACTTACCAGATTTGGTGTTACATGTTGCGGCATCGCCCGTGACTGACGAGAAGTGCAGTAGAGAATTGGCAACAAGAACTTGTAGCAGGATAACCTTTGTTGTGTCTCCTCTCCAGAATGTGTTAACCATCATGATATGTTGTCGAATAGTTTTTGTTTCTGGTTCAAAAGAAAGGAAAAAAGGAAAGAACTCCTTGTAACTCCAGTTTTCATACTGGGTGTCTTCTTAATGTGCGGCCCTGCACGTACTTTTATTTTAGAAGACTACATTTATAACAAATATCTTGGTACAAGGGCCGTATGCAATGGTCCGAGCAGAGCTGGTAGAAGTCGCACCAGCTTGTGTTGGTCCTTGCAAGATTAAATGTGCAAGAAGACATGATAAAAAAACCAAAAGTGCAATATATGTGATAAAATTGGCTGAGTTTAGGCGAGGAGGATGGGAAAATATTTGGTCTATTTGGTTAGACTACTGAAAAGTCACATTAATTTTTGGAATTGCTTGATATATCTAAACAAACATCTGATATTCGTAGGGAAGTGTGAAAGAACCTTTAAGTGTCGACAACCGAGCGATATTAAAGTATGCCCAAGGAAGAGAAGAAAAGAATTGTCCACCAAAAAGCCAAATCAATATTTGGAATCGCTTGACATTTCTAAACCAATATCTGATATTCTCAAGAACTTTTGGAAGAACCCTGCGGTGGAAATTCTGTGAAAATTTCTGACAGCCAGGCATTTAGTCACATCGTTTTGAAATACAGCTATTGTGTGTTTTGATATAAAAAAATGTAAAACGCCGCCAATCGTTTGGGATAAGTAGAAAACGTCCATCTTTATATATCGTTAGTGCTAGATTTAGCGTAATCAGTGAACTGGAGCCCGGCAAAAAAATTATCCACATTTCTATTTCGAAATTAACAATGAGTAAGCTGGGACATAAGTCTGATGCAGTTGAAGAATGTAAGTGCATTAATCTGCCCGCGAGTTCGTACGGACGGAAGCTCTCTGTCTTATAGTAAGGTTTTGACGTAATGATGGACGTTGAAGGCATCGGAATTCACAAAGAAGTCAAGAGAGGATGTTCTCATGAAAGGCATACGTATGGAAATGATCCATTTCGGAGAAATGCCAGGATATTAAGCTAAGGCAGATGTCTTTTAAAACGAACTTTGCTACGCTTTTGCTTACTGTCGAGATCGGTAGCAAGGCTTGAAATATTAAAACAGATCGAAATCAGTAAAACTAGGAAAACGGCCCCAGTAATTTTCGAATGGTTCATTGTTAGGTGCTCACTTGTCAGTTGAAGACTGGCTTACTTTCAACCCGTGTTCGTCAGGTTTACCACCTCGCAACTTAGCAGCCCGAATGGCTATGACTTGTAGCGACTTCGTCCTTGATGGCCGCCAATCGTTCCCTATTGTTTTGGTGTCTTTTTAGGTCGGATGTCCTTTCTTTGAATTAAAACCGGTCCTAAATGTTGCCAATGGTCAAAATTAGCTGAATCGTATGCATTCCCTGACAGGCTAAGACGATTTTAACGGCTCCCTCTAGGGATGATGATCGAATTAAAAATTCTTTGAATTCATAATCTATCGATAACGTGGTTCGGCCGAGTGAAGATAAAATGTCAATGCTACTCGTATTATTAAAGAAAACACCTTGTTAGTTCTTTTTATCCACCGCAGACTTTGTTTGAGCTTGTGGTATACGGTAAACCAAAGCATACAAACACAAATTAACAAATTTTAGTTTTTTCTTTTCTATTTCAAATTTCATAATAAGACCGATAACATTTCTGCGGGTGAAACAAGACGAAAATGTTGAAACTGTTCAAAATGTGGATGCGTTTAGCAGCTGAACATTCGGCCACCGTCATATTTATTTTAGCTGGCAGAGGCAAAGTAAGAACTTTGGAATGTAAGATATTTTTAAAAACCTATAACGTTATCCTCTAAATTGTCCTTTACCCTTGTAAATAGCCCGAAACAAATTTAATAAGGAGTAAACTTCTCGAAGTTTCTAAATAGGTTACAAGTGAAACGTAATACCAGAGAAAGTGTATAAAATTCTTTTAACGATTCGGTGACGATATTTAAATAACCCCTTCATTGACATTTCCCTGAAACTAAACCGGTCTCTAAACTCAAATCGAGTAAATGGGAAAATCAAGTCAAATACTTAGGCGAAACGTGACTTCTCAACCAGCACTTCTGAAAAACTACCCTTGAAAACATTTTCTTGTTGTAGCTGACCAAATAACAATAATTTACCTGTATCAACTCGTCCAAACTCTCCTGCAAGCTGTTCCCCAACGTGGTGTTTCGGCTGAGTTAGTAGCTCATCTTCCTGTGGAAGCTCGGTGTTTTTACAGTGTGCTCCTTCCAGCCGCTTCCTTTTTTGGCTGTCTGAATCAGCCGCCATCTTAAATTTGACCAAATATGGTCTGATGCCCTTATCCCTTTTTCAAGCTCTTTTTGACAGCGTTTACATACTTAGGTAATAAAATGATTGGTAAATGGTACCCAGAGTTACTCTGGTTTTGCTTGCTCTCTCTGTCTAAAAAGAAAACGCGAGAAGTCCTGAGAAGGAGGGACAAGAAAGAAAAGGGGAAAAAAGATAGAAAAAAGGATGGGAAGATAAGCAAATAGAGGAGGTTTTTTTTTTTTTCGTGTGCTAACATTATCTCGCGTCAGAAGGCCCCTCAACAACACTGAATGTTGAACGACCGTATGCTGATTCAAATCCACCCTACAAATGGAGTTGATTGGTTGCTAACTTAGGTCTTTTTTCCACATCATTGCTTTGGGAGTTTCATGTAAGCATGAAAACAAACATCTGATATTCGTAGGAAGTTTGAAAGAACCTTTAAGTGTTAACAACCGAGCGATATTAAAGTATGCCCAAAGAAGAGAAGAAGAGAACTGTCCTCCAAAAAGCCAAATCAATATTTGGAATCGCTTGACATTTCTAAACCAACATTTGATATTCTCAAGAACTTTTGGAAGAACCTTTCGGCGGAAATTCTGTGAAAATTTCTGACAGCCAGGTATTTAGTCACATCGTTTTGAAATACAGCTATTACGTGTTTTGATACCAAAAAATGTTAAATGCCGCCAACCGTTTGTGATAAGTAGAAAACGTCAATCGTTATATCGTTAGTGCTAGATTTAGCGTAATCGGTGAACTGGAGCCCGACAAAAAAATTATCCACATTTCTATTTCGAAATTAACAATGCTTTCATAAGTAAACTGGGACGTAATCTGATGCATTTGAAGAATGTAAGGGCATCAATCTGCCCGCGAGCTCGTACAGACGGAAGCGAAGTTTCCTTGTACAGTGTAGTTAGAGCTCTGTTTAGTAAATATGGAGTTCTCTGTCTTATAGTAAGGTTGTTGACGTAATGATGGACGTTGAAGGCATTGGAATTCACTAAGAGGTCGAGAGAGGATGTTCTCATGAAAGGCATACGTATGGAAATGATCCATTTCGGAGAAATGCCAAGATATTAAGCTAAGGCAGATGTCTTTTAAAACGAACTTTGCAACGCTTTTGCCTGTTGTCGAGATGGGTGGTAAGGCTTGAAATATTAAAACAGATCGAAATCAGTAAACCTAGGAAAACGTCCACTGTAATTTTCGAAAGGTTCATTGTTAGGTGCTCACTTGTCAGTTGAAGACTGGCTTACTTTCCGTGTTCGTCAGGTCTACCACCTCGCAACTTAGCAGCCCGAATGGCTATGACTTGTAGCGACTTCGTCCTTTATGGCCGCCAATCGCTCCCTATTTTTTTGGTGTCTTTTTAAGTCGGATGTCTTTTCTTTGAATTAAAACCGGTCCTAAATGTTGCCAATGGTCAAAATTACCTGAATCGTATGCATTCCCGGACAGGCTGAGACGATTTTCACGGCTCCCTCTAGGGATGATGATCGAATTAAAAATTCTTTGAATTCATAATCTATCGATAACGTGGTTCGGCCGAGTGAAGATAAAACGTCATTGCTACTCATATTATTAAAGAAAATACCATGTTAGTTCTTTCTATCCACCGCAGACTTTGTTTGGGCTGGCGGTAAACCAGAGCATACAAACACAAATTGACAAATTTTAGTTTTTTCTTTCCGTTCAAATTTCATAATAAGACCGATAACATTTCTGTTTAAAATGTGGATGCGTTTAGCAGCTGAACATTCGGCTACCGTCCTATTTATTTTAGCTGGCAGAGGCAAAGTAAGAACTTTGGCATGTAAAATATTTTTAAAAACCTATAACGTTGTCCTCTAAGTTAACCTTGACCCTTGTAAATAGCCCGAAACAAATTTAATAAGGAGGAAACTTCTTGAAGTTTCTAAATAGGTTACAACTGAAACGTAAAACCAGAGAAAGTGTATAAAATTCTTTTAACGATTTGGTGACGATGTTTAAATAACCCCTTCATTGACATTTCCCTTAAACTAAGGGTCTCTAAACTCAAATCGAGTGAATTGGAAAATCAAGTCAAATACTTAGGCGAAACGTGACTTCTCAACCAGCACTTCTGAAAAACTACCCTTGAAAGCATTTTCTTGTTGTAGCCGACCAAATAACAATAATTTACCCATATCAAATCGTCCAAACTCTCCTGCAAGCCTTTAAAATTTTTTTTCGACTTTAGGCTTTTGAGTGCATTTGATAGTTTTGGCTGGTAATAAACAAACGAAGTGGCGACCTTTGTTGCTAAGAACAGTGGTGAGGTGAAAAAGAAGCCAATGATAATCTTAAAAGATTATCAGGGAATTTTTAAAGAACATTTTTCTTTTAAGTTTCAAGACAATTTGAAGATTCAAAGTAAATACTCCGTACTAAAATGCGAAAGTTATACTCTACCAATTGATAAATAGGCCTGAAATGAAATTCTATCTTGTTTTTGATTATACGTTGCCTAGCACGTGACCAAAATCTACCCAAGCGGAAATCCAAAATGACGGTGGCAGTCTGGGCTTAGTTATATCACTCAAAACCCGTTCCCGTTTGTCTCATTTGAGGGACAGAGGGAATAGACAGTAAATTTCACTTTTCACCCACATTTATTTCCAACCTTTTCTTTTGAAGCAGAAACAAAAATGATATATGTTTAAAACACATGACATCATCCACCCTTGTCAAATGTCATAGCATGATCATTTCAATTGTAATGCCTTCTTATCCCAACTTTACTTTGTTTCTTTGCTACATTAGCGAACACTGAACTACTGCTCGTACACTAATATAAATATGACAATCAACCACAAAATTCCATAAACCAGATAACGTTAACCATAATCCAAAAAATCATGTAAGTCATCTGTCAATTCACAAGTTTGCTCACAGAGCACTTTGTTTTGGCTGTCTGAATCAGCCGCCATCTTGAATTTGACCATATATGGTCTGGTGCCCTAATCTCTTTTTCAAGCTCTTTTTGACAGCTTTTACTTAGGTAGTAAAATGATTGGTAAAAGGTACCCGGAGTTATTCTGGTTTTGCTTGCTCTCTCACCATGACAGAGATTCACCATGACAACAACGCGAGAAGACCTGGGAAAGAAGGACAAGAGGAAAAGGAGGAAAAAAGGTAGAAAAGGAGATTGGAAGATAAGCAAATAGAGGAGGTTATTTTTTTCGTGTGCTAAGATTATCTCGCGTCAGAAGGCCCCTCAACAACACTGAATGCTGAACGACCGTGTGCTAATTCAAATCCACCCTACAAATGGAGTTGGTTGGTTGCTAACCTAGGTCTTTTTCCCACATCATCGCTTTCGGAGTTTCATATAAGCTTTATATGGGGCAGCGGTCGACAGTAGTCGATGATGCTGACAAAATCATCAGCTGCTCTACTGTAATTAGAAGTCATCTTATGTTTTTTCGTTTGGCGCGAAAAACGGTAGACTGAAGGCACTAGCTGGCATTACAGGGAGCACGATCCCTGATCAACGCTATCAAGGCAAGACGAACTTGTAATTAAACAATTGATACAAGGAAAGGAAGACCCACAAACACCACTTTTGATTGCAGCTTAGTTGCTTATGGTTCACTTGTACTCTAGCACTACTTCCAAAAACTAACAAGGGATCAATTTTAATTGATTCTACTTGTAACTACTTTACAATATTTATATTTTGCTAAAAATATTCTATTATTTTAAATATTACTATTTCTAACACTAGACATTTAATTATCAATTATCTGATAGCATCTTTTTCTCTAATGTCCTGTGTATCACTACCATCGCTAACTCTTGGTTATCCTTATGTTCTGGATTGTTTCTTTCTAACCAGCAGATGAATAAATTAACCTCGTCTATCGGGTATGATCATGAAAAGAGGCAAATCTCAAAACACTACGAAGGATCCATGATTTCGTCAAATTATGGGCAGAGTTTAAATTGCAGTAAATTTTCTCTCGGAACCACGGAAAAATCAATGATTTACAGTAAGGCAAATGCAAGCAGTAAGTGTTTTTCAATCAAGAATTGATCGTCTTTTTCGATCAAAAGAAAACGGTCTCGGCACTTTTGTGATACGCTACGACTCCTACGGGAACTAGGAAGACCTGGGTATTAGTGTATTCATATGCACGTACAGCAAACTAACGGAAACAGATTAGCACTAGGATTCTGCATACGATTCCAAGACGAGAGAGAAACTTGAAGCTACTTGGTCTGTTTAAATTCGTTCATTCCCTCCTCACAGTCGTCTGCAGAATGGAAAGTGATCTGCCAACAAATGGAAAAGCGTAGAGTATTCGTTATTGAGAGCATAGAAAGAAAGACTTACTCAATATTGAGAATGTAGGCGGAGGGACCTCTCTCATAAAAGTGAGAATCTATTATGTAGTATTAGCTCAATCATAGGCTGCTTTTGCATGTTTTAAAACCTTAAAACGCTTACAGGAGGAGGATGATTTGGACGAAAATTAACTTCCTAAAGTAAAGAACATCGTTCGAACTCCTCTGTGAGTTTCTCAGGGTTTTCTTGAAGGAGTAGAAGGATGGTCGAGAGTTTTGTTAGAGCAATCACTGTTCAGAAGGAGTGTAAGGTTTGACCATAGCCAGGGGGTTACATGATTCCTCGAGTTCACGTTCCCTTTTTCAGCGGTCAGCATCTGTCGTTCCGATAAAAGGGTGCCGAGAGAGAAAGTTTTGGGAACGTAATTTCTATTCCTAATCTTAACGAATTGCGTTTGTTGGTTCCTACAAAAGATACAGTGATTCTACATTCTATTTGACAATAAGGGTGGCACGGTGAAGGGGGGGGGGAGGGGGAGGGGGGAAGGCATAGTGGGAAGGTAGGGTGTACAACGATTTGTCAAAAAAGATGGCCTCTTGATTTGGAGAAATTAAAGAGATATTTATACATTAAAACTTACCTTTCCACGGCGTCTGATAGTTCTGAACCAAAACCCCACACATATTCCACCGATGAAGGCACCGACAAAGGTAGTAATTATAGCGTAAGATAAAGTGGAGAAACTAATCTGGGGGGAGGTTGAGCATTTTTCCTTTTCTGACTCTTGGTTTATTTTGGATTCTAAAAGGGAAGTGACAACAAGACATGCTAACTGTGGTGAAAGTATTTCAGAGGATTAATTAATCCGAAAGACTAACCAGTACTTTCTGACAATTTTTGTGCAAAGATCATCCAGTTTCAGTTTCTTCAGTAGGCTCACTATGAGTATGAACTACTACCATACATCCAGCCTACTTAGTACGCTGTTAAAGAGAAGGCAAGTTACACGTGCACGCGAGGGCCGACACCCGTAAGTTCTCGCCCGCGCTCGTTGTCATTAAATCACTCGCGCTCAGTGCCTCAACATCCTCATATGCAGGGTAGTGCGTCACCAACTTATTAGGGCCCCTGAAGCAGAATAAATTTTAGCCTTGGGTTGGACTAAACAGAGAGAAGGAGTGAGAAGTAAAACATTTCTTTGCAATGTTTATTGGCCAAAGTCAACTGAATAAGGCTAAAATTTCCAACAATGTAAGGGAGTCTTACCTAACTCTTTTATGTACAAGAAAGCCGCTGACGATGTCCTCTCACCAGCACTATTGCTTGCAACGCACTGATATTTGCCACCATCTTCTATCTTCACTTCCGTTATTATCAGCTGACTGTGATTATTTTTGTTATCTGAAACAACCCTGGCTCTCATATTGGATGTTACTGCATATGAATTGTTGTTCTTCATCCATGAGATGGCTGGTGTTGGAAGACCCATGGCAGTACAGTTAAAAGTTACATTGGAGCCAATGAGAGCGCTTTGGTTCTTTGGGTTTTCAACCACCTCAGGAAATAGAAGATGGGGTGCCTTTGTTGTCTCAGGTGGACTTAAGTTTTCTGCAAAATAACCAATCAATAGCACTATGGCAAGTAAGTGGAAACTTTGGGGTGAGGGGGGTAGGGGAAGGGAATAATCTTGAAAAGCTTGAATAAATGGAATTTACAAAAATATCCTGTTTTTCACCTACAGTATTGCTGATTTCCGTACCCACCTTTGCTATTTTATTGCAACAGCCTTTGATGGAGATAGCAAAAAGAAATAACTACGATAATTAATATTTACCCTGCCCAAATTTATTTGTGTTAGGAATAATCTGAGTCTTACCTTTAGGGAGAATTTCAATGGATTTTCTTCTGCAGTATCCAGGATAGTCATTTTCTGCTTCACAAGTGTAGTTCCCGAAGTTTTCTACGATCAGATTCTTAAGAATTAACAGACATTTCAGTTTCTTTGCTAGTCTTGAGTTTTGGCATTTGACTCCAACTGGTCTCCCATGGGGATCATACCACTGAATATACTTGACCCTTCTCCTGGGAAAAAGCACGTCTTTATCCCTTGGTAGCGCTTCACAGGTCAGATTAATGGCTGCTCCGATAGGTTGCGTGCGGTCTGGCGGACTTGAGAAGATTTTAACTTCAGGTATAGCTGGACAAGGAAAGAAGTTTATGAGCCACAAATTTGTAAAAACCTGGCTTATCATTAGCAAGTTGGCGGAACATAGAATTCAGTGCGAAAAATTCCCTTCTTGGATGAAGAGTCGACAATTAAAAAAATAAAACTGTCACTGATGATTATATTCACAAATGAAAAAGACCTGGGTAATAGTAATACTTACCAGATTTGGTGTTACATGCTGCGGCATCGCCCGTGACTGACTGCAGTAGAGAATTGGCAACAAGAAATTGTAGCAGGATAACCTTTGTTGTGTCTCCTCTCCAGAATGTGTTAACCATCATGATATGCTGTCGAATAGTTTTTGTTTCTAGTTCAAAAGAAAGGAAAAAAGGAAAGAACTTGTAACTCCAGTTTTCATACTGGGTTTCTTCTTGATGTGCGGCCCTGCACGTACTTTTATTTTAGAAGATTACCTTTATAACAAATATCTTGGTACAAGGGCCGTATGCAATGGTGCGAGCAGAGCTGGTAGAAGTCGCACCAGCTTGTGTTGGTTCTTGCAAGATTAAATGTGCAAGAAGACATGATAAAAAAACCAAAAGTGCAATATATGTGATAAAATTGGCTGAGTTTAGGCGAGGCGGATGGGAAAATATTTGGTCTATTTGGTTAGACTACTGAAAAGCCACATTAATTTTTGGAATTGCTTGACATATCTAAACAAACATCTGATATTCTTAGGAAGTTTGAAAGAACCTTTGAGTGTTAACAACCGAGCGATATTAAAGTATGCCCAAAGAAGAAAGAGAGAACTGTCCACCAAAAAGCCAAATCAATATTTGGAATCGCTTGACATTTCTAAACCAACATCTGATATTTTCAAGAACTTTTGGAAGAACCTTAACGGCGGAAATTCTGTGAAAATTTCTGACAACCAGGCATTTAGTCACATCGTTTTGAAATACAGCTATTGTGTGTTTTGATATAAAAAAAATGTTAAACGCCGCCAATCATTTGGGATAAGTAGAAAACGTCCATCTTTATATATCGTTAGTGCTAGATTTAGCGTAATTAGTGAACTGGAGCCCGACAAAAAAATTATCCACATTTCTAGCTCGAAATTAACAATGCTTTCATAAGTAAGCTGGGACGTAAGTCTGATGCATTTGAAGAATGTAAGTGCATCAATCTGCCCGCGAGTTCGTACGGACGGAAGCGAAATTTCCCTGTACAGTGTAGTTAGAGCTCTGTTTGGTAAATATGGAGTTCTCTGTCTTATAGTAAGGTTGTTGACGTAATGATGGACGTTGAAGGCATCGGAATTCACAAAGAAGTCAAGAGAGGATGTTCTCATGAAAGGCATACGTATGGAAATGATCCATTTCGGAGAAATGCCAGGATATTAAGTTAAGGCAGATGTCTTTTAAAACGAACTTTGCTACGCTTCTGCTTACTGTCGAGATCGGTAGCAAGGCTTGAAATATTAAAACAGATCGAAATCAGTAAACCTAGGAAAACGGCCAATGTAATTTTCCAATGGTTCATTGTTAGGTGCTCACTTGTCAGTTGAAGACTGGCTTACTTTCAACCGTGTTCGTCAGGTTTACCACCTCGCAACTTAGCAGCCCGAATGGCTATGACTTGTAGCGACTTCGTCCTTGATGGCCGCCAATCGCTCCCTATTTTTTTTGGTGTCTTTTTAGGTCGGATGTCCTTTCTTTGAATTAAAACCGGTCCTAAATGTTGCCAATGGTCAAAATTAGCTGAATCGTATGCATTCCCTGACAGGCTAAGACGATTTTAACGGCTCCCTCTAGGGATAATGATGGAATTAAAAATTCTTTGAAATCATAATCTATCGATAACGTGGTTCGGCCGAGTGAAGATAAAATGTCATTACTACTCGTATTATTAAAGAAAACACCTTGTTAGTTCTTTTATCCACCGCAAACTTTGTTTGAGCTGGTGGTATACGGTAAACCAAAGCATAAAAACACAAATTGACAAATTTTAGTTTTTTCTTTTCTATTTCAAATTTCATAATAAGACCGATAACATTTCTGCGGGTGAAAGAAGACGAAAATGTTGAAACTGTTCAAAATGTGGATGCGTTTAGCAGCTGAACATTCGGTCACCGTCATATTTATTTTAGCTGGCAGAGTCAAAGTAAGAACTTTGGAATATAAGATATTTTTAAAAAACCTATAACGTTATCCTCTAAATTGTCCTTTACCCTTGTAAATAGCCCGAAACAAATTTAATAAGGAGTAAACTTCTCGAAGTTTCTAAATAGGTTACAAGTGAAACGTAATACCAGAGAAAGTGTATAAAATTCTTTTAACGATTCGGTGACGATATTCAAATAACCCCTTCATTGACATTTCCCTGAAACTAAACCGGTCTCTAAACTCAAATCGAGTGAATTGGAAAATCAAGTTAAATACTTTGGCGAAACATGACTTCTCAACCAGCACTTCTGAAAAACTATCCTTGAAAGCATTTTCTTGTTGTAGCCGACCAAGTAACAATAATTTACCTGTATCAACTCGTCCAAACTCTCCTGCAAGCTGTTCCCCAATGTAGTGTTTCGGTAGAGTTAGTGGCTCATCTTCCTGTGGCAGCTCTGTGTTTTTATAGTGTGCTCTTTCCAGCCGCTTCCTTTTTTGGCTGTCTGAATCAGCCGCCATCTTAAATTTGACCAAATATGGTATGGTGCTCTAATTCCTTTTTCAAGCTCTTTCTGACAGCTTTTACATACTTAGGTAATAAAATGATTGGTAAATGGTACCCAGAGTTACTCTGGTTTTGCTTGCTCTCTCTCTTTAAAAAGAAAACGCGAGAAGTCCTGAGAAGGAGGGACAAGAAAGAAAAGGGGAAAAAAGATAGAAAAAGGATGGGAAGATAAGCAAATAGAGGAGGTTATTTTTTTCGTGTGCTGATATTATCTCGCGTCAGAAGGCCCCTCAACAACACTGAATGTTGAACGACCGTGTGCTAATTCAAATCCACCCTACAAATGGAGTTGGTTGGTTGCTAACTTGGGTATTTTTTCCACATCATCGCTTTGAGAGTTTCATGTAAGCTTTATATGAGGCAGTAGTTGACAGTAGTCGATGATGCTGATAAAATCATTAGCTGCGCTACCGTAATTAGAAGTTATCTTATGTTTTTTCGTTTGGTGCGAAAAACGGTAGACTGAAGGCACTGGCTGGCATTACAGGGAGCACGATCCCTGATCAACGCTATCAAGGTAAGACGAACTTGTAATTAAACAATTGATACAAGGAAAGGAAGATCCACAAACACCACATTTGATTGCAGCTTAGTTGCTTATGGTTCACTTGTATTCAGGCTAATTACTTTACTTCCAAAAATTAACAAGGGATCAATTTTAATTGATTCTACTTGTAGTGATCAATTTTAATTTTACAATATTTATATTTTGCTAAAAATATTCTATTATTTTAAATATGACTATTTCTAACACTAGAAATTTAATTATCAATTATCTGATAGCATCTTTTTCTCTAATGTCCTGTGTATCACTAACATCGCTAACTCTTGGTTATCCTTATGTTCTGGATTGTTTCTTTCTAACCAGCAGATGAATAAATTAACCTCGTCTATCGAGTATGATCATGAAAAGAGGCAAATCTCAAAACACTACGAAGGATCCATGATTTCGTCAAATTATGGGCAGAGTTTAAATTGCAGTAAATTTTCGCTCCGAACCACAGAAAAATCGATGATTTACAGTAAGACAAATGCAAGCAGTAGGTCTTTTTAAATCAAGAATTGATCGTCTTTTTCGATCAAAAGAAAACGGTCTCGGCACTTTTGTGATACGCTACGACTCCTACGGGAACTAGGAAGACCTGGGTATTAGTGTATTCATGTGCACGTACAGCAAACTAACGCAAACAGATTAGCACTAGGATTCTGCATACGATTCCAAGACGAGAGAGAAACTTGAAGCTACTTGATCTGTTTAAATTCGTTCATTCCCTCCTCACAGTCGTTTTCAGGATGGAAAGTGATCTGCCAACAAATGGAAAAGCATAGAGTATTCATTATTGAGAGTACAGAAAGAAAGACTTACTCAATATTGAGAATGTAGGTAGAAGGACCTCTCTCATAAAAGTGAGAATCTATTATATAGTGTTAGCTCAATCATAGGCTGCTTTTGCATATTTTAAAACCTTGTCGAAAAAAAAAACTCTTAGAATCACTGAGTGGACTCCGCGCTTCCCTTAAAGAAGGAGGATGATTTGGACGAAACTTAACTTCCTAAAGTGAAGAACATCATTTGAACTCCAAGGATGATCGAGAGCTTCGTTAGAGCAATCACTGTTCAGAAGGAGTGTAGGGCTTGACCATAAGCAGGGGATTACATGATTCCCCGAGTTCACATTCCCTTTTTCAGCGGTCAGCACCTGTCGTTCCGATAAAAGGGTGCCGAGAGAGAAAGCTTTGGGAACGCAATTTCTATTCTTAATCTTAACAAATTGTGTTTGTTGGTCCCTACAAAAGATCCAGTGATTCTGCATTTTAGTTAACAACAAGGGTGGCACGGTGAAGGGGGGGAGGGGGGGAGGGGGGAAGGGAGAAGGCATAGTAAGAAGGTAGGGTGTACAACGATTTGTCAAAAAAGATGGTCTCTTGATTTGGAGAAATTAAAGAGATATTTATACATTAAAACATACCTCTCCACGGCGTCTGGTAGTTCTGAGCCAAAACCCTACACATATTCCACCGATGAAGACACCGACGAAGGTAGCAATTATAGCATAAGATAAAGTAGAGAAACTAATCTGGGGGGAGGTTGACCATATTTCCTCTTCTGACTCTTGGCTCGTTTTGAAAACTTCTAAAAGGGAAGTGACAACAAAATATTCTTATTGGGGTGAAAATACTTCAGAGGGTTAATTAAACCGAAAGACTAGCCAGTACTTTCTGACAACTTCGTGCAAAGATCATCCAGTTTCTATTTCTTCAGTGGTATCACTATGAGTATGAACTACTACTATACATCCAGCATGCTTAGTACGCTGTTAAAGAGAAGGCAAGTTACACGTGCACGTGAGGGCCGACACCCGTAAGTTCTCGCCCGCGCTCGTTGTCATTAAATCACTCGCGCTCAGTGCCTCAACATCCTCCTATGCAGGGTAGCGCGTCACCAACTTATTAGGACCCCTGAAGCAGAATAAATTTTACCTTTGGGTTGGACTAAACAGAGAGAAGGAGTGAGAAGTGAAACATTTCTTTTGCAATTTTTATTGGCCAGAGTCAACTGAATAAAGCTAAGATTTGACCACAATGTAAGGAGTCTTGCCTAACTCCTTACCTACCTTACCTAACTCTTTTATGTACAAGAAAGCCGCTGACGATGTCCTCTCACCATCACTGTTTCTTGCAATGCACTGATATTTGCCATTATCTTCTATCTTCACTTCCGTTATTATCAGCTAACTGTGACTATTTTTGTTCTCTGGAACAACCCTGGCTCTCACATTGGATGTTACCGCATATGAGTCGTTGTTCTTCATCCATGAGATGGCTGGTGTTGGAAGACCGATGACAGTACAGTTAAAAGTTACATTGGAGCCAATGAAAGCGCTTTGGTTCTTTGGGTTTTCAACCACCTCAGGAAATAGAAGATGGGGTGCCTTTGTTGTGTCAGGTGGACTTGAGTTTTCTGCAAAATAACCAGTCAAGAGTACCATGGCAAGTAAGTGGAAACTTTGGGGTGACGGAGCTATCTTTCTGAACTTTACATACAATTGAGAATATTTCCACATTTCTTTAACATTTGGTTACTGCTGATTAAAAGCAAAAAACTGTGACTTTTACAACCATTTTCAGTTGAATTGCTAATAAAAAGCAAGTAATATGAATTTTAATTCTGGTGTTACAAAACAATGGATCAGCAGACTGTGGAACCTCCAGAACTTCCGGAACCCGTGGTACCACTAATTTTTTTGTACAAAAATTATGATGAAATAGAATAGAAACTAAAAACTCTTCAGTGCTCTTCGAGACTTCGTTTCAGGTATAAAGAAAATAACTATAAATGATAAATATGTTTCTCTTAAACTACTTTGACGTCCAACCACAGGGTGCCAAGTTCACACAATGATCACGGTGAATATAGAAATATATTCATGCAGTAAATTTGCTCCAAATGCTCCGATCGCCCCGAAATTCTACCAGCATCACAGGCGATGATGTTACTTTATGCTCATATTCCTCATTCCTGGGTCATGTACAATGAAGTACAGCTTAACGGTTTGCTGAGAGCATGTGTTTATAAATGTTTATTGGCCAGAGTCAACTGAATAAAGCTAAGATTTCCAACAATGTAAGGGAGTCTTAACTAATTCTTTTATGTACAAGAAAGCCGCTGACGATGTCCTCTCACCAGCACTGTTGCTTGCAACGCACTGATATTTGCCATTATCTTCCTTCTTCACTTCCGTTATTATCAGCTGACTGTGATTACTTTTGTTCTCTGGAACAACCCTGGCTCTCACATTGGATGTTACCGCATATGAGTCGTTGTTCTTCATCCATGAGATGGCTGGTGTTGGAAGACCCATGGTAGTACAGTTAAAAGTTACATTGGAGCCAATGAAAACGCTTTGGTTCTTTGGGTTTTCAACCACCTCAGGAAATAGAAGGTGGGGTGCCTTTGCTGTGTCAGTTGGACTTAAGTTTTCTGCAAAATAACCAATCAAGAGTACTATGGCAAGTAAGTGAAAACCTTGGGGTGAGGGGGGTGGGGGAAGGGAAGGGGAAGGGGAAGAGATAATCAAGCCAAAACAAACGGAATCTGCAAAAATATCCTGCCTTTCACCTACACTATTGTTGATTTCCGTACCCACTTTTGCTATTTTATTAAAACAGCCTTTGACGGAGATAGCGAAGAGAAGTAACTACGATAATAAATATTTACCGTGTCCAAATTTATTTGTGATGGGAATAATCTGATTGTTACCTTTATTAAGAATTTCAACGGATTTTCTCGTGCAGTATCCAGCAAAGTCATTTTCTGCTTCACAAGTGTAGTTCCCGAAGTTTTCTATAGTCAGATTCTTGAGAATTAATGGACATTTCAGATTCTTCACTGATTGCTTGTTGAGGCATTTGTCTCCAGTTTGTCTTCCATGGGTATCATACCACTGGATATACTTGACCCAATTCCTGGGAGAATGATCGTCGTCGTGCTTGGGCCACGCTTCACAGGTCAGATTAATGGCTGCTGCGATGGGTTGCGTGCGGTTTGGCGGACTTGAGAAGATTTTAACTTCAGGTATAACTGTAAAAGCCAGAAATTTTTAAAAAGCTGGCTTATCATTAGCTAGTTCCCTATTGATTGAAGTGTCAACAATTATAAAAATAAAACTGTCACTGATGATTATATTCATAGACGAAAAAGACCTGGGTAATAGTTATACTTACCAGATTTGGTGTTTCATTTTGCAGCATCGCCTGTGACTGATGAGAAGTGCAGTAAAGAATTGGCAATAAGAACTTGTAGCAGGATGAACTTTGTTATGTCTCCTCTCCAGAATATGTTAACCATCACGATAAGCTGTCGAATAGTTTTGTTTCTGGTTCAAAAGAAAGGAAAAAAGGAAAGAACTCCTTGTAACTCCAGTTTTCATACTGGGTGTCTTCTTAATGTACTTCCCTGCACGTACTTTTATTTTAAAAGATTACATTTATGTGGGAGCAGAGCTGGAAAACGTCGCACGAGTTTGTAAGTCCCTGCAAGATTATTTAACTTCGTTATATTTAGACCGAGATTTTATGTAGATATGCAAATTTCAGAGCTTTAATCATAACCTCGATTCCAGCCGCTCTCTCATGTCGACTCTTCGCTGGGGGGAGGAGCGCGGGCTCATATTCCCGAACAGCGGCTGATAATCGAGCCCATTCATAACGGCTCCCTGTAGGATTCGAATAAAAAATTCTTTGAACTCATAATCTATCGATAACGTGGTTCGGCCAAATGAAGATAAAATGTCAAATGAAGGTAAATGCCGCTCATATTATTAAGGAAAAATACCATATTAGTTCTTTCTATCCACCGCAGACCGCAGACTTTGTTTAGGCTGGCACAATACGGTAAACCAAAGCATACAAACACAAACTAATCGATCAACGTTTCTTCTTTTCTTTTAAATTTCATAAGAAGGCCGATAGCATTTCTGCGGGTGAAACAGGACGAGAATCTTGAAATTGTTTAAAACGTGGATGCGTTTAGCTGCTGAACATTCGGCCACCGCCATATTTGTTTTACTTTTTGATCCCAATTAATCGTTGGATCTTCCGAGTAAAGAGAGCGCGTGAATCTTCGCAGCGCAAGGATCTTCTCATCTCTCAGCAAGAAACATTATAGCCGGCAGAGGCAAAGTACGAACTCTAGCATGTAAAATAATTTTGAAAACTTTTGACGTTGTCCCCTAAGTTGTCCTTCACGATCACCCCTGTAAATAGCCCGAAACAAAGTTAATAAGAAGTAAACTTCTCGAAGTTTCTAAATAGGTTACAACTGAAACGTAATACCTGAGAAAATGTATAAAATGCTTTTAACGATTTGGTGACGATATTTAAATAACCCCTTCATTGACTTTTCTTCTATAAGTCGAGTCGACAAGAAAAAGCCATTTAATTGGCAGATGGCGAGTTAGCAGTTGGTTGACAGCCAACTTCAGCTAGGAGTGACTGAAATTTCATCTCGTCCGTTAAATTAAAAACGTGGCATCCAAAGTCTTCCTACGTAACATTTTTCCGAAATGAATGTTTAAAACCGGATTAGGTGGAAGGCTGAGAAGAAAAACCTACCATGTCCTTGAAAGTCAGATCTAGGGCGAGGGAGAAGTCCGACTGATGAAAATGAAAATCAGCCAGAGACTAGTTCTAGTAAGTTCTTTAAAGAGCGCACAAACGGCCATCTGATCTTGAAGTTATTTTTTTAATTGCAAAAAGTGCTGAATTTAGATAAGCACTTCCAACACACATCACCAAAGACTTTTATTGGCAAAAACACATTTCTCTAAGGAAAAAAGAATAACGGCCGTAACTACTAATTCAGTCTTAGCTTTTTATATGCACAAGTCTGAAATGCTGTCATATAGAACAAGAAATGATTATAAAAAGAAAACAACACACAACTCCTTCCGCGCAAAAAGAAAAAAAAAACAGAAAAAGAAAGAGAAAACAGCATCGTTCTCAAGGTGAGTTCGATTTTTGTGTTGGATCCAACAAGAGAAAATACAGATGTTTTGTGTAACTGCGCGTTCATGCAATCAACTGTTCGTAAGTCGATTTTCAAGCGCCGAATTTTAGCACATAATTGTTGGGACACCACAGATGTCGAGTAACATAACGCATACGAAGATTTTAACGAATTTCTCGTCGCCTTATTAAGTATGCCCAGGGTTTTGAAGAGGATTGAAAAACATTCTAGGTGACGCGAAACAATTTCAAAACTCAGGTTACTGTTGACTCAACAAATTTGCATATAAAGCTGTCAAACACTGGTGCAGTGAAAGATCGGCTCTTTTCATCTAACCTTTAGAATCAGAATAATGCGAAGCCGTTTTGTCATCTCGTTATGACAAAAAGTTCTGATATATTATGCCAATCAATCGATTTCCATCAAATTAATACTTTCAGCTGTGAAAAAAAGAAGGAATATAACTTAGAAAGACGAGAAACTTGAGGACAAGAGAGTTGCTCTTATAAACATTTTTTTCTTTATATTTCGTAAACTTACAAAATTTAGGGCCGCTAGGAAATTTAATCGTGGACAAAAGATGTGAACAGGCTTGCTGATTTTCCCTTCTTCGTTTTTTAATCGATTCCTGATTAACTTTCCAAAGAAACCGGCGGGGAAAATAACTTTTAAAAAAACTGCTTTTCCAATGAGAAGCTATCTAACACAGTCCTTTAATTGCAACAATTTGACCGCACAATGGACAAGCGCTATACACTCCGTTTTTTAAATGATTTGACTTATTTCATGTCCTGGCATTTCAAATGTCCAAGGCAAAAACGAGAAATAAAGAGTACTCATTTTTCTCGTAGCAAAGAATGAAATTATGATGCAATTCATAAATAAGAATTAGCGTATCTAAACCACTCTACAGGGCATATCATGCTATAAAGCCGACTTGGGGAACGGATTTCCAAGATAATTAAAAATTAAACGAGCGCCTATAGAAACGGTCTGCAAGTGTTCTTGTTATGCATTGTTTTTATGAAAGCCGGACCGGAGAGGAAGGCAAAATTTTTCTTTCTTAAAAAAATGATTTTTTCCTATGGTGGCTATACCAGTTCTAATCAGAATCGCTGCAGCTTTATTTAGGTCAGGACAAGAATGCCACAGGTGAAGATTGTTTCTCACACCGCTTAGGGTTCCAAACTGTAAAATGTTTCTAATAAAAGACCATAGCTTAACATCTTGATGCGAAACAAAAATACTTAAACTATGCTCACCTCCGCGTGTGGGTGTCCCAATGTTGTCGACTGCAGTATCTCAAGCGGATGTCATAAAAAAACAAGAACGAAATAATTAAAAACGAAATGTTTAACAATTCAAATGCCACTGACGCACTTCATCAAACAAACATTAGGAAAAGGGACGTTTTTAGGGAAATTTCAGTGACAAGTGCCGCGTCGGGAGAGTCCAGAACCCTCTGTAATTAATTGAAACTTTTAAATTAAAATACTTGCTCTCGAGGGAAACAGTTAGCTTTGTTTTTCCGTGAGTTTCGATGTTTTCTTTGACCAAGTAAAGGAAAACTGAGTCTTTCGGGTGGGGTGAGATAAATGTCTGGCATAATCTAGGGCATAATGACATAATTTTACAGTCAGAGCACCGAGCGTAATACCGGTATAATGACTAAAATTTTTTAAAATTACCTTGATGTTAGAGTTCAGCAATACCGAATACTGTCGGCTGTACCTTAAGAATATGATTTAATAAAATGCTGTGTTCTGAAGATCATAATTTTCGGGAAAATACCACGTTTTAAGGAGTCTCACTCAAATGCATAATGCACAATTGATCTAACCCTATTCTTAGGAAAACAAAACTGTTTCCTAAGGGACCACAGGACCATGCAGACATTAAGAAGTGCACTTTGTTATACTTCAGCGGACGAACATAAGCGAAATATAAACATTTGCATCGGTACAACTTTATTTAATATAAACACTGCAGATGTACCACCGAAGTTCGGAGTCCATCTGCTCTAGCAGTTTTCGATTTTGCCTTCGATAAAGTAAAAAAGGGCTATTTTTTTAACTTCAGATTGTTCCACTGCGGTTTTCAGAGCTAGCTGCGGAGCTAACGACAAATTACCTGCAATTGCCGGGACGTTCCGAAAGGAGAGCTTCACCGTGAAGCTACTTGAAAAAAAATTTTTTTCCGGAATAATAATTTTTTAGAACGATCTGGATAGGAAAATTTCCTCGGCCTGTCAGGTGTCCATTACGTTCATAACGCAATTTTTTTATCTTAATCGAAGCATTTAAATTGCCTTTAAAATGAAAAATATTTGCTGGTTATACTGAAGGCTTTTTCAAAATAAATAAGCATGACTTTTATATTTTGAAATGTGGTCTATCATTTCATAGGTAATTGATTTTTTTTAGCACGTGTCGGTATTATGCAAACGAGGAAAGTGGCGCGGTTATACATTGTGCATCTAGAATAATAAATTACAAAAGTTGTAATATTTTAAGAAATATAAAGTTCTCTTCTCCAGATTTGGCATCATAAGTGTGCGACAGAGAAGACACATGATGATGCCCTTTACATTGTTTTGAGCGTAACACTTTTCCTGTAATAGTTGTTTCAATTTCGACTGAAATGTCCGAAAATATTATTCTTATTTCAAACAGAACTGCTCTGCTTCTTTCCTTGAACTTCCTTTGACCCTTGAGAGTGACTGGCGTCTAATTTCTCTTTACAAGATCACCCCTGAATCAAACTTAAAGGTCACCAGAATAAAGGAAATAATCACCAAATGAAGAAGCTCTAAATTGTTCAAAGAAAAGTCAGTACCCAGAGGCCACGGGGTAAGGCACAATACCAGCTCCTACAAAGGCGTAAGGATTATGGCGGCCTGCACAACCAGCATCACTTTTTGCACTTTTCAGGTGAAAGGAGCCGGGCTAGAGCTGATCGCGAGGAGAAAGACGTGCGCGAGGGGAGGAGCGTGTCTCCCTCCATGCGCTTGCCTCGTTTTGACATCTGCTCGCCGGAAAAACGCAAAAAACCGTTCGTGCTGCAGGTTAGAGTGATGGGTTTTGTGCACTGTTTGAGATCACTACACGACAAATCATCTTCATATCAATCAATTTATTAAACGATTATTAGTCACAAGGGCGACTCCCGCAGTTAATTAAAATCTCCAAAACTAGCCTATGAAAAGGTATCTATTGGTTGCAGTCAACTTGCTCCACGAAGTTTAAATCGTCGCTTAGATATTTACCTATAAAATTATATAAGGGTCCAGATTCTTGTTGGTGGCGATAGACACGCTGGTGACTTTCATTTCTAATCTAACCCCTTGAAAACAACTTTTCGCTCTTCGAAAAATTACGATTAAAAGGGGCAATACTTTAAATGCGGTATTTTCGTGTGCCGCAATGAAAAGTGTAATCATTGGCTGCTAAACTTTTACTCACCTCAATGAAATTCCACGGCTCTTTGCAGTTTCCTCGCTTAAATGCCAAGCAAAACAATGGACCGATTTTACATTTCGCTCTGCGGAAATTAGAAAAGTTGAATCAGGGCAACTTCCTTTTGGCCGGGATCTGGTATCGGCCGAAAATTACGCGATATACTGTTGCACTTAAACTTTATCCTGGATGTCTTCAAACGCTTTCCTTCACCCTCCCCCTCTCCCCCGCTCTCCTCTCTCTCCCTCTTCCCCCCCTCCTTACACTTCCATTATCCCTTATGACTTTCTCCAAAGGAGGTGGAAAGGGGAGAAACTTTGAATGACTCTTCCGTGTTTATTTCTCTGTTTTTCACCGGAACACAACACAGGATGGTATAAAACAGGTGTTTTTGAGAGACATGACAAGAATTATTAGTAATTTGCTATCAGCTATCTCGAGCTCCTCGTTACTTTGATCTATTTATCGTAATATCTTTACAATTCATTCGTAGTTCATGGAAATAATAACTATTCACTAAGCTTATTTGATAATTCAATTAATTGTATGACGAATTAACCTTTTTTCAGTTAACACATTTCCAATGAAATTAGAATAAAAAAACGCATTCTGAGCTGGGAGGCTAAATTGACCTTGTGACTTCCTAGAAATTAAAAAACATACAAGTTTTGGTGCGTACTCTTTTTATTAGTGCAGGATACAGAAAGCGGAAATTTATTCAAAACTTTTTAAAACAACGTTAACAATGAGAGTAACAACATCAACAGTGCATTCCTATGTTTACAACTCATGGCTGTTGCATGACTTTCACACCCGACACCTTACTGGTACGGTCTACTTTAAATGGCTTCTCTAATAGGATAGGGATAATTATTTTATGATAAATGAATAAAAAAGGTACAAAATTTCTCTCAGAAACAGAGAGACAAAAATATTAAACTATCACGCGAGGGAGACGACCTTTGAAAGGATATATGTTTATAATTCAACTATATTTCACAATGAAACCTTCCTAAAAGGGTTTTTCTACCAACTTGTTACTTGTTACTTTTCTTTGCCTTGGTCATAGTTATCTTTGTCACAGGACAAAGACACCAAGATAAATGCAGCGAGGATCATTTCCACACTGATCAGGAAAACGGATAGACTTATTTCAATCCGATTCGCAGCGCCTAAAACAAAAAGCACTAAAATATTGATTGCCACGCGATAAAAAACACAGCCCTTGTTGAACGTTGTGCTCACTGCTTGACCATTGGAGATATACAATACTGCATGCGCCGCATTCAGGCTGAAGTAAAAACTTAGGAAAAGCCCTGAATAACCTAAGAACGGATCCAAGCTGAGTGCGTGACTTAAACGAGTTACGTCTTTCAAGTAAAGACCTGCTGGAAACTGCACAATTCCTAACAAGAGAACCGCGATAGAAGAACAAGGACCGACGGGAAATCGTAATAGAAGATCAAATATCTCCTTGAAAAACAAACCCAAGGTTGCACCCTCTTCAGTGGAAATCCAAACCAAAAAAACACCAACAGCCAAGGAATTGTCGAGGGCTGCAATAAACGCAATGCAACGCACTGGAGCTGTTCCCTTCAAGTACAGGATTGTTAAGGACATGTTGACAAGGATCAGTCTTGTGAGCACAGTTATGTTAATATGGCCATGGCCTGAGAATTTATGCTCAGATTTTGAGGCTATCACTAGCAAATATCCCTCGACAACGAAAGCAAGCCCTCCAAGCTGAATGTAGCCTGCGCTCCGGCCAAGGAGCTCGACTTTGTACAAAAATCCCCACAAGGATGGTATAAAAAGCATAGATGTGCCCACAACGACGTATAGTAAAGATGACCACTGGGTAAAGCGTTCTGTTTTGGTCAGCGGCTTGGACCTTTCAACAGATAGCATTGATTTGAGCCAGGCAGTCAACATTGTTAGGCAGGTGGTTCCTAAACGAAAGGAAAACATGAATTTTAACATTGCTTCCTTTCTCAAGTTTGTATCATCTTCTTTAACTCTGAGTGCTAAAACGTGGGAAACTGATAAAGCCTTCAATAATTATTTCTGATTGCTGTTGATATCGGTGTTTATCAGAATGGGTGCGGTAGAGTCTATCCTTTTAGATTCGTTGCTAGACAGCAGTCTTTATATGATTTAAAGAGCAAGCTATGACCTCAAACGTTGACTTTAGGGTTCGAAGAGAAAACTCAATTGCTCCCATAATGATCACACCTTAAAATCATAACTAGAGACCGGTCATTACTCTCGCCTGACGGCAGTGGGGGGGGGGTATATAATTTTGAAAAGGATCACATGGTTTTCAGGGAAACAGGAAGACAAGTCGTGACTTACAGAGTATAAAAAGTAAAGAGGCGGCCGTAGAATACTACAGGGCCTTAGGAGGATCAGGTACAACTAAAAACCTTCGACTCCCCTCCCCCCGCCCCCCCGTCCAGGCGATAAGTAATGACAAAAATAATAAATGGAAATACGTAATCATTCTCCTTCAAGATATTCGTAGCTAATAATATGCATGGACGAAGTTTTTGTGTGTGCGAAACAAGTAAGATGTTTGTCTCTCCTAACTAGCTCCCAAATAATTGGCTGCAAAATGAAATTTCTCTGGCTAACAAACAGTTAAATGTGGGCGGCGTAACAAGTGATCATAAAATTAATATGTACAAAAATAAAAGGAAACACAAAAGAAGTATAGATATTATTATTTCAACGAACGAGACAATAATAACGGAAATTCTTATTGACTTAAAAAGCTCTCGAAGTTTTTTTTTTTTTTTAATTAGAAAACAATACGTTATCATCAATGGATCAATACGACGTGGGTGTACTTGGTTCATTTGCAAATTTGGAACGAAGTAGAATTACTACAGAGCACGTACGCTAATTACTCTCGAGGCCTAGTTCAGTGATCTCTCAGCTTTTCCGACACGAACAACTCAAGGATATAAAACTTTGAAAACTGGCAGAAATAACATAAACGCAGGCCAATAATGTACCTTTTAGAAATAAAAGATTTTGAATAAATTTAAACATGATTTTGACTTCATGCTTCAGTGAAAAGTCATTGTGCTTCTTCGTTAAAGGAAAATGTAGGACTGTTTTACATCAAATCGCGCTCATTTAAAATGAACACCTCCTCCAAAAGTTATACAACATTGTGAACCTATATGAGTTCTGCTGAAAACTTTCAAGTTCTATAGAGCTAGACACGTACGACTAATTTTCACCGACAAAGACGTATAAGATATTCACAACCCCGGTAAGCAGTTGTAAAATTCTTCTCACCTTTTCCAGTCTCTACAGGTATTATAGAGACAGATCTCTTGCTCTTACTGGTACCCTTTGCACAACGGTACGACTGATTGCACTGTAGATTCCGCTTGGAAAATGTTTCAAAGATATTTTTGCTGTAGTATCTGGTAAAATATTTACGCTGTGATTGATATAGCTAATGACGTTTAGGAAACCAAAAGGTGACCACCACAACAAAAAGACTCTTGGGAGAAAGAGTGAATAGTGCCTCGATTTCAAATCGAGGACTATTTCAAACTTGGAATGCGTGTACATCCATTCGATTTTCTTAATATTAGCTTTATTTCTTGACAGACGCTAGTGCATCCGAAGCAACAGCTGTTTTACCTTAAAATTTCACTTTTAAATAAAAAATGTTACGGAAGAGAAATGTGATAAAAATTTTTCAAATTTTGGAGTTAGGAGTTATGCTTAATTTTTATGCTTTCGAAAAATATTTACCCTCTTGGCACGCATGAACCGGTTCTTTTTCTTGTATCACCCCTTCTGTCTTAAGACTAAGTGCACCTATTCCCTCACCTCACAACATTTTACCAAAAAAAAACTGCAATAGTTAAGCAGACTGAAATAAATAACTTTCCTATTCCTTTAATCAGAATGACGTCAAATAAGTTAAAACCAACTATCCCGTAATTGATCGGGGAGCAAGTCTCGTTCTCGGGAAATCATCGTGAAGTAACAACTAAATTCCAATTCTTTTAGTCCAATTTAAAAGCAGCAAAAAGTTCACTTCACACGATGTTGTCTGCGTAAAAGCACGTGACCGAGAAAAAAACCTATTTATTTCTGAGGGCTTGTCTAATTGCTTGTCAAGGGATCGTTCTTAGGGCTTGTCTGTACCATTTGACACTGTAGGATTATCAATTTTTATTGTCCTGTATGAGTCCCTTCGAGTGCTCTTTGAAGATCATCTCGGTCCCCAATGAGTTTCATCAAGATCGTCCAAAAACGTCACTTGCTCCCAAACTCTTCTTTCGACGCGACAATTTTCCAAATTTCCAATATTCTTGAAATAAAAGACATTTCTTTAAATTCGAGGAAGCAATGAAATTTCAAAGACATTTTAAAAATATACAAAAAAATAACGTTGAGCTTTCTACACTACGCTGGGAAATATCTCCTCGTTAAATAAAAGTTAATAATAATTATGCACGTTTCCTTGCTAGGGAAAAATTGAAAAAAAAAATTTTAAATTCTGTAAAGGCGTCACCTATGACAACCAAATATAAATATATTTTTTTGGAATATACATATACATATCATTATTCTGGAAAGAAATTTAAAAATAACTTGAAATGCCTGAGAAAACGAAGGCATCCAAAGATAACTCTCTAAAACTTGCTACCCTACAACATACCCACGGGGATTTCAACCTACTCGTAACGACCAATTTTAAATATCACCTCCTTAGAATATCTATGAAATTCAACTAAACTTACTTTAGGAGAACCTGGTTTCCCTGTTACTCTTTGAGTAGCATATGCTGTGTGAAATCATCTAATAAAGTCAACTAAGCATTACTACCCAGGTAGTGGGTAATCAGGGTAACCAGTCACCTCACCGCCAGGAAGACTCGCAACCGAAGTGTAATCGATATCGTTAAGGCGTGTTACCTCGCACGGCTCTGCGGTATTTCCCGTGGAATTCTTATGGCAATGCTCCCGAGGCTCGAGATCGAACGTAAGAGTCGCCTAAAGCTTTGAATTCATGCCAAATTAGCTAGCGACCTCGGTCGCAATTTTAGTGGTGGTGAGGTTGCCTTGATGGCGGGCTCGCTAGCGGCGAGATGACTGTAAACCGCAACGAGGTATGTTACAAGCGACGCGCATGGTTTTCCCAACACACGCGAGTTTCTTGCGACAATCGAACGGTTTATGTGGAAGAAAACCCGCTCACTCACACGTATTAATTTCTTTTGTTAGGTCAATTGTAGACATTTAACCTCGAGCTGTTCTTGGATCTTTCTAAACCTGATTTACTTAACCACGATACTTAACAGATTTTATCATTTACCACAATTTGGTCTTAAATGGAGCACAAAACGAACAAGACGAGGTTTAAAGACAAACATACGCCTAAAGCGTAGTACACACCTACATTTTAAACTATATCTGACTACACTTTGCTTATTTCATACCAATATGTAAGCAAACGAACCTAACGTAATTCCTGATTGGCCCGGCGCAAGTAAACCAACATACAGCTGTCAGTTTCGAACGACAACATGCTCGCGTGATTTACATTTGCACAAGTTTATAAGTTAATGAAAAGATACATTCCTTCGAACCTGGTTCAGGACATCCTCACTGGTCGAGATCAAGTTGCTGATAAATATGTGATATTGTCTCCACAGAAGCATCCACAAGAAACTGACACTTCATGTAAGTCTCCAAGAAATCGTCCGAGCTGCAACTCTTCTGGATTTGGTTTCGCGCAATCATCGCAACTGTATGTGCTCGCTCCGTTTCTAGCCAATCGCCAATGGTGCTGTCTATGCTCTCATCGTCAAGTTCTTTCGGCCCCCATAGCAATACCTGAAGCATTTCAATGGCTTCCACAGCAGACAAACGTTCCTGGGGGTGACGTTGTAACAACTGACGAGCAATCGTGCCCAGTCCCCTTGAATATCGCGAATTGAAGGGAACTGGAGGAAGATCAGTTTGGTCATAACTCTGCTTGACAAGGCTCGGGTTAGCAGCAAAAGGATTGTGTCTGTGAAGGAACTCGTAAATTAAGCAACCAGCCGCAAAAGTGTCGCAGTCTTCATAATTCAACTGCTCTGAGTCTTTTGACGCATTCGCTATTTCTGGCGGAAGATGTTCAGGGTTGCCGCTAAAATGGCTCGACGTGCTCTGGCTTAAAATAAAGGGACTGGGTTGAGTGCCTCTAGGCTGCTTGAACGCACACTGGAAATTGGTAATTACCACGAGCTCGCCTTCCAGAATGTAAAGATTCTCGGCTTTCAAGTCGCGATGAACAACGGCCTCTTGGTGTAAATGATTCAGCGCACTCAAAAGCTGAAGAACTAGCAGACAAATTTTCTTCTCATAAGTTTCTGGATCACTTTTGTGTTCGTCAATGGTGCGTTTGAGAAAGTCAGCGACAGTTTCACAAGGTATCTGATCTGTGATGCTCACCAACGTCTCGTACGAATCACAGTCGGGTTGCCCAATTGCATCACCAGGCACGTGATCAATAAAATGCGTCAGCACACGAGATATGTTCACGTGATACGGCAGAGCCTCGCATACACATATATCCTGCTGGTTAGGTGAAGGTTCCGAAGAGCGAGTTCTGGAATGCAGCGGGTATTCCACCTAATTAACGAGGATGCAATAAAACAAAAACAAATAACAATTATAGCAATCAATACAAAAACATTAAAAACGCTCTTAATTACTACAACCACCCGGCAGAATGGAATGAGGGTATAAACCAAAGATTCTCAAAAATCCATGAACAAATTAGAAATACGTGCATGCAGACCCAATGTTTTACAACACTGACCTTAGCAAGTAACTTCTTGTTTCCTTCCCAAAACATGGCACATTTCACGGGTAGAAGAACAGCTCCATGACATTGCACGCTCAGAGCATCACCACAGAGCTCGTAGTCTGACCACCGCGTATCAGACAAGTTTAGCTCTGGGTCAGGCAGTAGTTCCCCTCTCCAAGACTGAATCATTTCCTCCAACGTTTGTAACTGCAGTTTCAAAATCTTATTGTAGCGCTTCTCTAGGACATTCGCAGTCATCGATTGACTTCGGATACGTGAAGCTGGGGGTTTCTGTCGGTCTAAAGTTTGTGTTCTTAGACTTTGGGATCGTTCTCGCATGGGCTGTTCCGCTGGCTTTGTGTTTGGCGGCCTAGAGGGGAGTCTGGGGCGAGATCTGGAATCGCCCCTGTCCCCAAACCCGTTGATGAGGGTTGGGGAAACGACCCGTACGGGACGCTTCGGGAGATCTGGTTTGCCAACCGCAAAAGTGTTTGAGCCATCGGAATTTTCACTTGGGAAATGAACCTGCCGGGATCTAGGAATGGCTGGTAGTGGTCCAAGTAATTCTTGCTCCACTCTTGATAGAGCTTCAGCGAGGATTTCAGCATCAGTCAAATTGGCCAACACTGTCTCTACTTTAATTGTAAGCTCATCTTCATTGGGTTGCAGATAGGTTGGTTCTTCCTCTTGCTGGTTGGTACCTTGGCCTGGCGTCGGCTTGTTGTGCTGCAATGGTTTGACAACTTTGGCCACGCGAGGAGGCTTTTTTGGACGCTCCAGGGTGTCTCCTCCCTTTGACAAAGGAAAGTTCTGGTAGCCAATTCCTGGCTTGGTCTGCATAATGGGAGAACTTTTCTTGCCGTTTCTTTCCTCAATGGCTGGTGATTCCACAGTGGAGGGAGGAGTGGTAGATGAAGCATGTTCAGCTGTAGCAGGGGGGAGTACTGATTCAGCGGAAGGGGCAATAGCTTCTGCAGGCTGAACCTGATCTGGCTCTGACGCCCTGGTCTTCTCGGTTTGTAGAGGCTTCACTTCGGAAAAGGTCCGACGCCGCACTGCCTCTTTCTGCTCCAAAAAGCCTGGCACCTCATCATTCACTGCAATAGGAGCACTAATCTCTATGGTCTTACTGTGTCTGTGTTTCCTTTTGCCCCCCAGTTTTTTCATGCTGGCAAAAGCCCTTCTGATCGTCGATTTCGGAGACGACATTTTTGCAGGGCTCGTATCCGTGTTGGCACCATGTGGTTCAGTGAAGCTGGATGATCTACTTGGCTTAGACTTTGACTGAGATTTTGATTGAGATGGACTGGGGCTTGGTGATGAGACTGACTGAGTTTTTTGTGGAGATGGACTGGGAGTTGGAGATGACACTTGCTGAGATTTTGTTTGAGAAGGACTAGGACTAGCTGACTTCACAGGCGTCACAGGTTGGGACAAAGGTGACTTTGGCGGTGGAGGACTGGAAGCTACCAAAAACAACAAATATTGTAAATCACAACCAACTAATAAGCATAAAAAAGATGTGAGTTCAAGGATGTTCATACTGTAATATATAAATTAGTTCTGCCTCGTCAAACTCTGTACAAATTAGATGTTGGCCCCAATAGAGAACTGGTCAATTAGACGGGAGAATTTTCCTACAGCCAAGAGAATGTTTGACTGGGCAAATTTCTCCAATTTGTTATCAAGAGGGGCACTTTCACGGAGTTGAAAGGCATAGAATCTTTATATTGTACTTCTATGACTTCTTCCTATAAACCTCTAACCAGGCATTACCACTGGATCCCACAGGGAACTCCCAGAACCCTTGCCTGGCACACCTTCCCCTGTGCTAAATTATATCATTTCAACATCCTGCATCCTTCAACGTTGAGTGCATTATGAGCTTGGTGGTTACCAAGAAGCTTAAAATACACATTCCTTCCCATGTAGGCAATCATAAGATGCACAATGAAGTAGCTACTGCTACTAGAGAAAGCAGCAATAAGGCAATAAATTCACCTTTTTGTGCTTCAGTGAAACTTATTCAAAGGAATATAACACCCTGGGCAATGACCCTGGGCAATGAATAGCAGAACTTATATCAAAAGTGCAATAGTAGTTATATGCAGAGAAATTAAATTTGCATCAAAATGTCACCTTGAGAAGTGAATCCTACTGACTGTTTCAAAGGGGCTGTGTATTTGTTAATAATAACTACTTGGTGTCATGGTAATACTATATCTCATCATTCTACAGTATGTTTATGCAACAAGCTTACCACAAGGGGGAGGTGGTGGGGCACTTCTTTTGGGTTTTACAGGCCCATCCTGTAGCCCCCCTACTGCCACACCTTGCTTGCTGACAGGACTTACAGGACTAACAGGACTCAAAGGTGCACTTTTAGGTGGATTCTCTGGGCTCCTATGCTCCCCAATGTCCTTCACAGGGGGTGGGGAAGAGGCAGGACTTGTCAGAGCCTGATTTGGTTTTGTAAATGATGGCCTCCTTTCAAGAGGGGGTGGGTCTGGAGGTGGGTTGGTGGGTAGGGGTGATATTGAAACTAAAAAAAAAATAAAATAAAATCAACAAATGTTAATGTAAATGTAAGCAAAGCTTAATCTATAAACTATAAAGAAAAAAAACATGATGAAAACAAAATAAAATATGAATAACACAAGATAGCTAACATAACAAAATGAATTTAACCAATAATATTACATTTGCTTTTTCAGTTCATGTCATGCAGTGTGTTAAGCTCTTGGTACCCCTGGATTTAATCTTTTATGTTATTCAAACATGGTTATAACACAATTTTTACTTTAAAATTGTCTTTGTTTCTTTACTGTATTTTGTGGAACATTACTCCTTCACTTAAAATTGAAATGATGGAATGAAATAATATTTCTAACTTAATATTTAACACTCAGAAAGTGATTAACCCTTAACACCCTAGCATAAGTGTGAATATTCTTCATACTGTTCTTCATACATTTCCTAAGGTGCTGACAAGGAGAATTTATTTAACAGTCAAGAGCCTCTTTAGTTGTTGATCATTTCCTTTATTCTCATGACCTTAATGTTTGATTCAGGAATGGTATTGTGGGGAGAATTAAATGCTAGTCACTCTTAGGGGTTAAAGGGTTAACAAATATGAAAATTTGTTCAACACCAAAAGAAAAGTATAGAGACGAGTATGAAGAATGTGAATACTGATGTCAGGGTTAATTTAGTTGTGGGAATTGGTTCCCTTCTTCCCTCCAGATACCTTCCTACCCAAGAATAACTTTTTTTTTATTGTTTCATCATAGCAAATTAACTTCGACTTACTGATAAATAAAACCTACTGCAGTTCGCTACTTGTGGTAAATTATAATTTTGTCAAAGAATTCCTCAAAGACAATATTTATGCAACAAGTGTGAAATAATTCTGGCCACAAAAATTACAATCAATGTAAATGTAAATCATTGTATCGTGGTTATTAGGATAATGGATGAAAAAAATTCTCAAAGTAAAGAAGAAATAAAGTAAGAACAAAATCATGAACTGATTCAGAATTTCCCTGGTAAGTGGTTTGAACAAAGAAAGCATGATCAAACATTTCAAAGAGAAAGCCATGCTGTATAAATAATTTAACACTTAAAAATATTGTACATATGTCTGGTTTAGTCTTGAATATTTCATCAGGAATTGAAACTTAAGCCAGAAGGTTTTCCAGGGTGTACAAATTCATTAAAAATGCTTCTGTTTGTCCCAAGGAATGCAAAAAGCTTTGTCAAATACTGCACAAGCTGGCAATGATGGTGAATATATGTGGTTAGATATTAAGAATATATTTCTAAATGATCTTTCTTATGCTTAGACCATAAACTAACAAGTTAGTAGTCGCGTTCATTCTCAAGATGTGTAAATATTTGACAGCATCTTGGTCACCCAATTAATTTGTCTAGGAACTTGATAAAAGCATAATTTGTGATAAGGACTTCTAACAAAGATTCCATTGTTATCACACCCATCAACCTTATCTACCTCTTTCATCAAGTCTATTAGACATAGCATATGTCGCTTCAGGAAACTTAACAACAAAACAAATACCCAAAAGCAGAGATATCTGGATAAAAAGGGTGACAAGTATATTGGATAACCTACAAAATTAATATCCATACTGTGTGAGATAACAATGTGGCAAGACCTGATTCAGCTGATAACAGATTTATTACAGCATCAAAAGTTTCCCCTGCAGGGAATTTGAACTAAAAGGAATAAATAGAATTAAAAATAATGATTTACTGCATCTAACAAGAACTGTAACTTATCTCTGAGGCTAGAAATCCTCTAAATCAAGAAAAACATATTACTTTGAATCATTGGCTCAACTAATTCATCTCACTGATTAAAACAGCTTGCTGACAAATAGCTATGACTCATTTTTGACCTGTCAATGCTAAACAGGTTTTATTCTGCATTGTTTACACAGTCTCAAGATGCATGAACATGTGGTGTTTTAGCTGTAGCAGAAGAATAGTTTAAAAATAAATGAGTATTAGTTCTGAAAATTTTAAAGCAAAATAGGTTTTACTCTGTGCTGTTTATGCAGTCTCAAGCACATGGACATGTGTTACAACAATTACAATAGAGCTGAAAAATATATGTTTAAATTTCTAAAAAAGTTTGAAATTATACATCATTTGAGACACTTTAACACTATGGATCTCTCTTTTGTTTAAAACACTCAACAAATGTTGGTAAATATGCACAGTTAAAAATGAAGCATTTAAACTCTGCAAGGATATGTTTTTGATGTAAAGGAAATAAAACAATTCAAATTTGTTTTTCATTTTAGTATACAAACGTAGGGCATAAGGGTTGCACATGGAATAATAAATGACTCTGCAAGATGTTTGATATGAATCACTGAAGTTTTGGTTTCACAACAAACTTGAGATAAGAAAAATATCATGAAAATCTTTTGTCGTGAACTAGCCAATTATAGCCTTGAATTTTTAACTTTTTCATAACTGCTGTCTCAGTTGAATAGGATGTCAGCTCTAAACAAAAATATCACATGTTTTTCCTCAAAAACTGGAGGGAATTTGGATGAATTGTATGAAAGAACAGAGAGTTGAATAGTTAAATATTTATATATGTTAAATCAGGTCTAAGTAATTTGATTTGTACTTTCTTTTGTTTCAGTTATTTACAATGCCTCGATTTTTTCATAGAAAATACAAACCAAACCAGGATGAATTAATTTTAACCTGAAATTCATTGTAAACCTCATCACATAACTATATTCTCTGTCAGCATTGTTTGACCATCATCATGTATGTCATTAGTGTATTATAACTTTTTAGTCAAGCAGTGCTCTCTCTTATTTTAGGCACAAAAGGTAAATGAAATATTTAAAGAGCAACCCTTTTACCTGTGGAATTTTCAAGAATTTCAAGCAAGTTTAGGCAGTAATATGGGGTACTAAAAGCAGTATATTTTACTGATTACAGCTTTAAAAGTAAAACACTGTCCAGAATGTGTTGAGTTTAATCCAATCAATATGAATGACCCTATACAAACCAAATCAATGAGACAGCTACCATGTTTTCCAAATCGGGTGTCCTCCTGTTTTGCAAAACTACAACATAAAATCACAAAACTTACCAACTGGTGGGGTCACTGTAACCACTCTTTGCTCTCTGGTGTCCACCTTGACAACTGTGTCGTTCAGAATTCTTGATGTACGAGGGGCAGGTTTGGGTAAGGTGCCAAATTGAGATGGTATTCTAGAACGTGGTCTTGGTGCTGGGGCCCTTCGCACAGCTGAGCTCTTGTCCATTACACTGCCAGAAGCTTTGCTGAAGGATGAGTTTAGAGAAGCACTCACCTTGGAAATAGCCTTTTCATCCTTTTCATTTTTCAAATTTTGTTCTGGGGCAGCTGCAGTCCCATCACTGGGTTCCAAGTAAATATGATTCAATTCCTCAGCTCTATCTTTCTTCAGATCCTTTTCTTTTGGGGGCAGGGGTGGTGCATCACTTGGGCTCTCTGTTGTTGGAACAGCAACACCAGCACTTATGTCAACCACTTTATATGGTTTTGTAATTGGTTTTAATGTTGTATTCACATAAAAAGGTCCAGTATTGCTACTTTGGAGTTTTTCGTTAGGTATGGGTTGTTCTTTTACTGCCACTCTCGGCGACGCCACCAAGTGAGGTTTGTTATTTCTGGTGTTCAAATTTCCAAAGGAATTTTTAGCAGCCATAGCTTCACCACTGTTTTCATGAAAATCTGATGTGCTACAACTGTCCCAAGTGCTGCTTCCCCAAGAGCTACTTGAGGTTCCACTAGACTCAATAATACAATAACCATCGTTCGTTGTGGGAGTGACAGTAACTGGAATATCTGCCAAGCCTACTTCTTGTTCTACAAGAACTGACTCATTGCCCGAGGCATTGTTAAAAGAATCACCCCTGTTCGACTTTCGAGTGTTTTCATAACCCGAATCTTGACTGCCGGACACTGCACTTTCGCTGCTTGAGCTTGAGGCTCTATTTACGTAATTTGGCTCTGTGATAGTAGAAAATTTACAAATAATCTTGTTAGGATTATCTCGATTATTATTCAATTTGTCCGACTCACCAGTGTCTCGATCAGTAATTCTAGATTCGTTGATCTTGTTTGTGATCATGCACAACGGATTACGAAATTCTAAAACAGTAGACGACAATTCTTCGTCGATTTGAGAGCCACATGCAACTTTCATTCGATTTTCGCTGATCGCCATTTTTTTCGAGTCACTATCGCTTTCACAGTTTGGTTTCAAAACATCTGTCTCACGAACTTCTTCACGTAGCGGATCAGATTCGACACCAAACAACACTATATTGCTCTTCATCGGTACATATTCGTCGCTTGAATCGTCGTCTTCGATCGCATTTGTAGATACCGGAGCGGCTTCTTCAATTTCGGTTGAAACGTTATCTGATGAAGGCAGAATGTCACTTTTGTTCACGTCCAAAAACTCCGCATCGTTCTTTGGCTCCCCAAACTCAACTACATCTACTTCATTACCAATTGTCTCGCTGTCTGTTTCGTTGTTACATCTGTTTTCCTGCTTCGCTTCTTCAACGTTATCCAATATTGACAATCCACTCTCGATGGGAATTTCTGAGGAGGTTGCGTTACATGGTTGAGTAAGGGAATTCCCAAGAGAGTTCTCAAACGATGTGAGACCGTTTAACACATCTGCTGATTCTTGCGGGTTTTCGTCGCGACTTGCGGCGCTATAACTAAATTCCACAGCTCGAGAAGCCGGTCGTGGTTTTGGTCTTGGTGCTGGCCTAGGTTTAAGGGCAGTCGATGTTTTGAAATCCTGTGCCTCTTTCCTTGAATCAGTCACAGTGCTACTGCGATCGTTGGTTACTTCAATGGCGTGAGTTGTGCAAGGTGTAATGGATTTATTAATATCGTTCTCACCATTCCCTTTATCAGTTCCCTCCTTTCCTTGTTCCTGTTCAAATAAATTATCTGTCTTTTCAACACTACATGCTTTAAAATTTTGAGTTTTTGGGCTTTGTGGAGGAATCACAACTCGTTTTGGTCTGCAGTTTGCGGAACCACTACCGGTGAAACTGGCGTCTTCGTGTTTGTTGACAGCGTTTTGATGTTTGTCGCGAGACTGAAAGCAGTTCGCGCACTTCCCCTTTCTCCAGAGTTGTTCTACAAAATTATCACAGTTAGACATTTCTAAATAGCTTTCTCGTAGGGTTCCCACATCGTCGGGTGCATTTTTACCGAATACAACACGGTTTAAATATCAGAAGGACGACATTTAAATATACGAAACACCCACTAAGACTTTCTTGACAGCAGGAGACACAAAGAACCTTCACATGTCAGTAACCAAGAAGACTGGGTTCCAAGGAAGGAGGGTCTATTTCCGGTGAAATAATCAAAGGAAATCACTTATTCGATAAAGAATGATAATTACATCAAATGCTAAGGATATTGGTGAGGATGTTGAATTTTCCGCATTCGAAGCTATTATCTGTCGGTTTGTTATTTTCAAACAAAACCTTCTGACAGAGATGAACTCAATATCAAATTTAACCCTTTCCGGCTTTTATTATGTTATGGATTGCTGAAAAAAAGGATCTAATATGAGAACTTCCGGTCGTTTATACAATGTTTTGAATTCTAGAACCGATATTATTAAACATGACTTGCTTCCGATTTTAAGTGTACTTGCAATTAAAGAAGTGCTCAAACTAAAAATGGTTGCTGGATCCTTCTCATTTATGATCGCCGTTAGCAAAGTAGTCGAAAGGAAGACAAACTTTTAAGTCAGTTTAATTTGATTTTTGTATCACACGAGTTTAAAACATCCGAGGTCAAGATTGGTGAGAACTACTAAAAGAATTTCGGGTCGAAACATTTCGGATCCTGTGACGCAGAAAACCTCGTAAGTAAACCAGCAGAGATAACGTTGAATTGCTTTAAAGATGAATTCTTGGACTTGATGTTGAAAATACTGATATTGGTCCATAAAAATCCTATTTGCTTCAAACAGAAGTGGATTTCGAGCCTGGGTTGGGCTGTTTCCCTCTAGGTCCTAACTTGTTGAAAATCTAAGCCAATTGTTATAAAAACAATGAAAATACCCTCCTTTAGAAAAAAACTTCCGCTGATGACATATGGATTGAATAAGATCCAATCTCATTTGAGGGCTAACAAGATTAAAGGGCCAAGGCGATCATAATAAGTTTAGCAAATAAAATGTCGCATACTTGGTGCTGAAATTATTTGGTTTGATTTTATCGGTCTTGATGTGAGTAAAGAGGTGAGACTGGTGGAAGAACGCCTCGAGAGCGGCTTTTTTGACAGACTGATACTCTTGAGAATCTTTTCGCTTATAGAACTAAACCAATTTTAAGCATAAGACGTGCCATGGACCGGCCAACGTGGATTATTTTCAAATAAGTTTGCACGCAACTCTACTTTGTACCCTATGGATCGCGTGAGTTGGAGGCTGGGGTTAAAATCATTCTCTCGTTGAAGAAAGTTATGATACTCGGTTTGAAAATCTATCGTCCTCATCAAGAAACTTTAGGTTTCCGCTTTTCACGTTCGGCAACAAATTGTTAGCAGTAGAGTGAACGCACAATGTGGAATGACAAGCTACATAAATCAAGTAAGTTAGTTCATAGTAAGAAGACCAAGTATTATTTACTAGCTCGTGGTTATTGTATGATGATGTGGGCGTCGGTGCGAGAGGCTACCAACTGCCACGGGAGTCCAAAGATTATGCCTCCGAAATCTCTAGATAGCGATTCCGCGCGAGCCCCTTAGGTCTCACGTGCCAGTGATGGCAAAGGCCCTTTTAATCAATAAGAAAGATAAGTAATTTGATGACAAGCAAAGAACTGCTTTCCTTGTGGGACATTACACTGCAGTGCGCATGCGTCGTATAAGACGATATTGCATAGTCTCTTAAAACGGCTAATTTTTTTATTTTGCACTTTATTGTCTCATTTCTGACCACATTATAATCCAAAGGGAGTGGTCCATCTTGCTCATCTAAAAAAAAAATGAAAAAAAATAAGTTTCTGCTTCAACCACATTAGTAGCCCATTTCGTTTCATTTAAAGTGAATTCGTCCTCATTTAAATCCTTATTACTGATTCTTTTTTCGTTTTTGTTTTAATGTTGAGCCGTTCAAGGGAAAGACTGTTAAAAATCCCAGACTTTGCAACTAAAACTGACAGTCTCTTACGGTCTCTTACGATCTCTTGCTGTTGCGGACGGATGAAAACGGATTATTTTTGACAACGATTACGTCACGGTGTTGGATCCAGACTTTGCCGCGCACGAGCTTAAGACGAAAACAACATGGTGGACATACGCTACTTTAACTTCTTGCAAGCATTATGGCATGTTTTCAGATGATGACTAGTTTTTATCCCACCTGATTATTTTGTGACCAGGAATGCAGAAAGATATTGATTGATATACTGTTTGACTGACATGTTCAAGCTTAAATTCGGGCTCGCAACAGTTACCTCTTACTCTCGAGAGTCGTGACTTTTCACCGGACTGTTTCAATTCTAATCAACAGTCATCCTAAGACAATCGTATTTAGAGAAAGGTAAATCGAAGCGTACATGACAGTATTTTCCATTTCCTTTCAAAGAAGCTGAGAGAGCGGACATGGGTCACACGAAGCCTGGGGTAAATTTTTCTTTTACAGTCCTTACACACTGGCTATCGCGTGACTCCAGCTCGGCTCTAAGCTCTTCTCTTTACGCCAAACTTGACGAAGAAGGCTTCTACACAGGCTGGGGAAATCGTGGGTGCATATCACAAGAGTTTAAGCCATTTAACTTTAATTTAAAGGAATACATAATTATTTTTGTTTTAAGTCATCTTAAGTCTTGTCGAGATGACAACATTAGTGGAATAATGGAATAAAACCATAAATTAATCCTTTGTTTACGGGCGGAAAAACAACAAGAAGAAAATGATATACAAAAGAACTGCGAAAGAGGGTAATTGAGGAGATAGAAAAGAGTAACACAAACTTATTTGTAAAATTTAGGCTAAATTTACCAATAAAGTACACTAATTTTGACCAAGGTCTGCTAAGCTGTCTGAATTGTATGATAATTATGTCCTGGCACCCGCTGAACAAAGTATATCTGCAGCTGCTAGCTTCCACTAGCACTGCTGATCGAGTTGAAGCGAAGCTATTGTCGATTGAAGCGTTCTGTACAGAAAGATCCAGAATCTGCTCATTTTAACCTTCCGCGCAACTATGAATGGAGGTAATTGACTGTAAGGCTGTGGAAATGTAATCTTTTAAAGGTCCTTTCTTTCGCTAACAAGTAATAAGGGTATTATAAATTCCATGTGCACGTCGGATTTGAACCTCGCAGTTCATCCACATGGTTTAATTAAATGTCCACACAGCTTCAGCCGGCGAAGGGTTAATCGCAGATTAAAGGAAGCAAGGAGCGAAGAGCAAACGCAGCTAGGTCCGAATGCTGAGCCGTAATAGGTTTAACTTTGGAGTAATTTCAACCTTGTTTCTCTCTTTTCATCGCGCACAAAACGACTTTCTTCCTCTGTTGTGAATCGTTATGCAAGCGCGTACTTGCACACTTAAGCTGAGACTGAATTAAGGCATTGCTGTCATTTATTGAATTAACTTTAAGCTCCTTCATGTAGATTGTTGTTTAAGGAGGAAAAGGTAAGCAATTTAGTTGTAGTTCAACTTACAATCTACGGATAGTCGATTCGCGATCATATGATTATTTCAAGCTTCAGTTACTTCGCGAGACCTTAAATTGTTCAATTTGCAAATAGGAATTTTCGCAAACAACTTACAGTACTAAGCGTTGCTCACGAAGTAAAATGAAAAGGGAAGCGAAGGTCTTTCGAAATAATAGTTTTACCTCTAACACGCTGTTAGTATAGATGATATATAATATGTCGTAAAGAGCAGGTTCTGCACAATGCATTTCGATTGCATAAACATTTCAACATTCGACGGTCTATTACTATAAAAAGCTAAAACTACACTTAACGTACTTTGTATAAGAAATGAAAGCGGCATTACGTATCTGTTAAAAAACTGTATAACAGGAGTATAAACAAAGGGATGCGGTACATCGTTTTTTTCAGATGACAAGGGAAAAACGATAGGTCAACAAGAGATCTATTTCTAAAATAATTCACATACACGCGATGTAATTTTAATTTTAAACAGGCTCAGGATAATAAGCCTTCGAGACTTTATAATTTATTCTCTTACAGCACCGCTGCCCTCCCTTCCATAATTGGTGTACGTGTCCTTGTGTTATACGTAACCTAGTAGCCTCAAGACAGAAAAGATTTGGAGAGATTAAGATCCTCCTCACCAGACTGTCCTCCATTACACCGTTGTCTTTTTTTTCACAGATCACTGCAAATGTGGTCCGGGCTATGCCTCCCCACAGGACGCTATGAAAGGTCCTAGAGAGAAATTATTGTATTTACCATGCATCCTGAGTAACACGGGGATACAAAAGCCGGACTATCTTGCCACTGTTGATGCAGATCCAGACTCCCCTAATTACAGTCAGGTAAGTAAACATTGTCGTTCACTCCAGATTAACATTAGAAATCCCACGGTCTTCTACTCAATCTTTTCTTCTTCAGTTAAAGTTTCGTGTTTTGACTCAGGGACTTCAAGGAGAGCAGATAACGAAGGGCGAACGGTTCCTGCTGCTTGGCTTTGAATTCGATCCCAGTAAAAACTAGTGTCTAATTTGGTGAGGCGATCTTTCATTCTTTAGTTTTCTCTAAGCTCTCAAGCGGAATTTAAGCAGGCAAAAAACAGCTTAAACATGAAGATTAATTAAGAGTAGAGAAAAGAAAATGCTGATAAGCAAAAATTGATTGAAAGGTTAATTTCATTTTGCAATTAATTTATAATTTTTTTGATAGGTTATTCATCGCTTGAAGGTTCCCTATATAGGAGACGAGTTGCATCACAGTGGCTGGAATGCCTGCAGCAGGTCAGTTGGTCTCAAGAAGAAACTAGGGCCTTCATTCTGTTGGCACACTGAAGAATAAATGAACACTGAATGTAGCGATTGTGATCATTGCTTTTTTCTACCTCAATTGCATTACTGAAGACGAGGACGTGCCTAACCAGTCACACCTCGGTTGTAAAACTTGGAAAGTTATCAGTTGGATCCAATTTTTTTTCAATTTTAAACAAATTCTAATAGGTTAGCAATAATCATGTACTGATGGTGCGAGCGTTTCAGGAGCGTTACAGGCGGTAGTAAAGATCTTAAAGGCGGTAGTAGAGGTCTCACAAGCGGTATTGGAGGTCTCACAGGCGGTAGTAAAGGTCTTACAGGCGGTAGTAGAGATCTTACAGGCGGTAGTAGAGGTCTTACAGACGGCAGTAGAGGTCTTACAGGCAGTAGTGGAGGTCTTACAGGCGGTAGTAAAGGTCTTACAGGCGGTAGTAAAGGTCTTACAGGCGGTAGTAAAGGTCTTACAGGCAGCAATAGAGGTCTTACCAGCGATAGTAGAGGTCTTACAAGCAGTAGTGGAGGTCTTACAGGCGTTAGTAAAGGTCTTAGGCGGCTTTTAATGAAACACCTGAAACTGTGTTCTATTTCAGCTGCCATGGAGATCCCAACCAGAAAAGAAACCGCTTGATTATGCCGTCTATTACAACCAGCAGGATCTACATTGTTGATGTTGAATCTGACCCAAGAGCGCCGCGTATTCACAAGGTAAGGATAACAAAGGAATTACGCTCATCTGAATCGCCGTGATTAGTGCGTCTCAAGCTGTAGCCTTTCCGGCACAATTGATTGCCAGCCAAACTGTCCATGCGTGTGAACAGTTTGGTTCGGGCCATTTTAGCTTTTGATTAGCCTTCTGCGCGTTCCTCAATTCTATGTTGGAAGCTAGCTTAGATGAGGTGGATGATAACTTTCTCTGCCGCAAGCCTTTACAGAGATGACCTTATCATAGTTTCTAGGTGTTCTCGATAGCCTAGTTGTCCGCGCGCAGTCTGGAAAGATACGGTAAGTCTCTCGATACTGTCTTGGCCCACGATAGCTCATGCATCATGGGAAATATAATGGAATCTACTGCTGTTCTGAGGTAGATCACCGCTTTAACTTCAAATGAAGAACAACGCTTGAAACATTTTGACTTACAGATTGTTGAACCAGAGGAAGTATTTGAGAAGACAGGCCTGGCCTACCTTCATACATCACACTGCCTGGGTAGTGGCGAGATCATGATCAGTGCCTTAGGTTCGCCGGAGGGAAAAGCCGAAGGTATTGGTGTATATAATGACTCAAACATTACGTCACTTGAGCCAACGGTAGGAGATTACTCTTTATTTCCAATAAAACTGTAAGGCTTGAAAAGGCTTACAACCTGAAAATATTTCGCCATTATTTTTAAGGAATTTGTCACATTCCCACGAATGAAAATATTCAACAATGATTTAGTCAGTCTAATATTCGTATTTCAGTTGACCCTGGACCGCTCTATTCACTGAAATTCGTTTTTCAACATGAAAGTCCAGTTAAAAAAAGGAACATTAATCATGATATCATTATTTCAGGGGGCTTTGTTATTCTGGACGGCAAGACTTTCAAGGTCAAAGGACGTTGGGAAGGTGGAAGTGAAAACGCAGCACCCATGGGATACGACTTTTGGTATCAGCCTCGACACAATGTAATGATTAGCTCTGAGTGGGGAGTGCCAAGCGCCTTAGAACTTGGATTTAAGGTTGAGGACGTGGCTGCAGGTTAGAAAATTGGAATGATCAAAAGTAAGAAAGTGAACGCGACTGAATCTTAGTATCAGTAGAAAATAAAGGGGCAAAAATTCGAGTGACCCACAAAGCCGATAGAAAATTCTATTGAGACTAAGAGCGTTTAGTTCATTCCCTGGTTTGTACCTGTTTTTAAAGTCGTAATTAGGGGGATGCGTTGGCATGATATTGCTAGGACGCTGGACTCCTGATCTGAGCCTGAGTAGTTGTTTTGTTCTCACACTACCTCAGTCTAACCAAGAGTATCGATGGGTATGAATTAGCTGTAGGGAACCATTTGAAAGTGTAGGAATAAGTTAAGAAAGTTGTCCTTTACCATAGTCCATTTCAGGGGGAAAAACAACAAACGTAGAGTGAATCCGGGATGAGCTTCGGTAGGATGAGCCATGTTGCTCGTGTGCAGATTGTGTATTTGTCCGTTCGTACGTTCCTTCTCTCGCTCATACTTTCAATCGATAATTCCCTTTAGTACACTTACATTTTACTAGTTTACTAGTGCTTACAGCTTTCGTTTTTCGCAATCGTTTGCTACTTTTTGTCTTCAGGAAAATACGGGTCGCATTTGCACGTGTGGGACTGGAACGAACGAACCATAAAACAGACCATAGACTTAGGAATGGGTACGATTCCTCTAGAAATCAGGTTCATGCACGATCCTGATCAGACGCAAGGATTTGTGGGGTGTGCATTGAACAGCACCGTTGTGAGATTCTTTCAAAATGAGGTGAGTGTTCGTTATATATGTTACGACACAGTTTTCTCTCAAGGTGCGCCCTCTAAGTAAATCGCAGTTATTTGGATAAAACTAACAAATGTTCCCATCTAGGAAAACAATCGACGGTTGAACCAGATTAAGCATAAAATTTTGTTAATTTTGGGTTTGTGCGCAAAATGATGAAAATAATTTGTGTTTTTCAATAATTCAACCGTGATTTGATTTTTAAAAAACAATTTTATCAAATAAATAAATACTGAAACCCTTTTAATACATTTTATTCTCTTGTCTGGACAAATAGAGTATAACCTCTTGGTTTGAGGTGTGTAGGTACTGCAAGTTCATTTTATATGAATGAACAAAGTCTGATTTGTATAGAGTTTCTCTCAGTGCAGGTTTCATCAGCATCGAATAAATTGCTCTAATCAAATTATGTTGAACCAGGCATTACCAATTAATTGAAAACGCTAATTTTAAACGTTTAGGAAAAGACTTGGAGTGCAGAGACCGTAATCAAAGTCCCAGCTAAGAAAGTGGAGGGCTGGGCTCTACCGGAAATGCCAGGTGGGTCAGACTTAATGATTCACGTCTCAAAATAATCCAACTGAACTTGTTGAGGCTTTCTACAAGACGTTCAAATAATGCGTTTGTTCGTAACTTCTATGATAATTTGTCACTTAAAAATTGGAAATGTATAGAGAAATAAACGAATGAACGAACTAATGGATGTGATAACACACAAAAGAAAAGAAGAAGGGAAGAGCATTCGAAAGCCGGAAATAAAATGCAGTTGGATCTTTACTTGCTACTCTGAGGAAACGTATCTTAGCGAGGCGGTTTCCTTTCCACAGGTCTGATTACAGACATTCTTATCTCGCTCGACGACAAGTACTTGTACTTCGGCAACTGGCTGCATGGAGACATCAGGCAGTATGATATCACAGACACTAAGAATCCTAAACTAGTAGGCCAGGTAAGAACATTATTGATTAAAATACTTGAAAGCCAAGGCAGTGAGAAGGATCTTCGCTCACGTACTCTCTTACACCCTCTGACACCGATCCTCTTAATGCCACTTGAATATGTAAATTGGGAAATATCTTAGTTGCTTCAAGGAGGCTCGGAAAAGTATTGTTGCGTCTTTATACCTCCGAAAGTAGAAGTAGGAGAAGTTAGTACCCTTTGTTCTGGGCGTCTTTCGCTTGACGTGTTAACCCTGCGCCGACTAAGTTTTGGCTCATTGTGGCTGACTCCCACGATGGACAAAGAAGGGGAGAAAGGAATTCTCGTTGTCTAGTCCAAAGAACAATATTACTTCCGGAGTTGTAAAGCTATAAATGCATCTTAAGTTTGTTTTAATTATGAAATTTCACACAAAACCCTTAAAGACATTACGCCTGGTTTTTTGAACTTTCATCAGATAAATCGTCGTAAGTGTCCTCAAACTCCGTTGGACAGCAATATATCTTGGGAACTCTTGTGATATGGGCTATGCATCACTCGATACTTACGATAACTGGTGAACATTGGTCCGAAAGATTTATTTTCTTCGTGCCTCCTTGGGGTTCTTATTGTGTTCCAGGTGTTTGCCGGAGGCAGCATCGTCAGTGACGGACCAGTGAAGGTAATTGAGGATTCTGAACTAAGCGCACAGCCTGAGCCATGTTACGTAAAAAGGAAGCGAGTTCAAGGAGGACCGCAGATGATTCAGCTGAGTTTGGATGGAAAACGGCTTTACGTCACAACATCACTATACAGCGTTTGGGACAATCAGTTCTATCCTGACCTCGTTAAGTAAGTACAAAGGGTCAGGGTATGGTGAAACTTCATTAATCGGTTGTGTAGAAAAAGTGACAAACTGCTTCTCAGTTCCGCGCGGTAGTTTCTTGATACGCTCTCCATTGAATCACCATGAGCAAAGATTAGCATGGGGAGCCAGTCAACTAATCCTTACACATGATCTATTTTCTTTCGAAATGTTTAAGTATACTGAACGTATGAAATGAATATGGGATAAATTAAATAAAAGTTTGGTCAGGAAAAAACAAGAAAGTAAAAAAATTAATCAGAAATACGAAAGAAGAAAAATTGACTCGACCGAATACTTCTCCTTAAAATGTAAAACGATCAACCCCTTCTTGTCTTCAACTACTTTTGTTTTTCCCTCATCGTTACTTCATTTTATTTTTTTCTCGCAGGAAAGGCTCTATGCTACTGCAGTTTGATGTCGATAATGTTAACGGTGGCCTCAAGTTAAATCCTGATTTCTGTGTTGATTTTGGAGACGAACCCGACGGTGCAGCCCTAGCTCATGAAGTTCGTTATCCGGGGGGAGATTGCTCCTCTGATATCTGGCTATAGTAGCCAATAACATGTATCAGATAAATGTTACTTCACCAGGTCCAGAATCAGTGAAAAAGGAAATTGTACCCGCTAAAATTTAAATGCCCGAAATATAACTTTTTTCTAGCTAGCTTTTTTCTAGTTTCTTCATTACTCGTATTGAAATAAAATTCATATGTATTTGTTTTTGCTAGAATAGTCCTTTCTCTGTAACACAATGATCAACAATTTGACAAACAGCTTTCATGTTGCTGTGAATCTGTTCAGAAACAGATCACAGATGAATTCAAAATGTGATAAGAACAAAAAAGTGGCAAACCAGGTGCAGCCGAGTTTGTCATTGATCTTCTTACCACATTTAAAATTTCTATACTACATGTTATATGTAATAAAGAAGCAAGATTTTGTGGCTGTTGTGACTTCATCGATGTAGTTCATAAGTGAGAACACATTAAAATGCCTGTATGATTATGCTTATTAAATAAACAGTAATTATTTTATCCTAATAGGTACGTGTCGGTATTTTTTTGGCTCTTTTTTTTGTCTGGAACACCATGTCACCATTTACATACTATCTAATCGGAAGGGACTGAAATAGAGTACATTTTCATTCACTCTGTCTGGAACCGGGGTCTGTGCTTGATCCCCGTTAATGACACCAGTTTTTCATCGTTTGCCTCTTGTAATATTACGGTTCAATTCGGGAATTGAGCAGGGAAAATCAATCCTACAAGTCTGAAATGATATGAAGGTTTCAAGAAAGTTGCCTCACTTCCTGTAAATAGAAAGAAAAATCTCAACTTGGCTTGATTTTACTTTTCACGTTTAAATCATAACATATGTAGCACATAATTTTCTTTCATGTTGATGAATGAATAATTTAGTGAAGAGACTACATTTTTATCTCAATCGAAGGATTTATCGCCAATGGATATTATTTGCGAATTTTATCACCATTTGTATCATTAGAAAAAATCGCGAGCCTATTTTCCTATTTAGTAGTGCTGGTGCGACAGACTATTTTTTTGCACCAATCGCTGTGATTTTTCAATTCACTTGGGCAACTGGCTACATGGAGATATCAGGCATCATGACATCACCGACACTAAGATTCCTAAACTAGTAGGCCAGGTTAGAACATTATTGATTAAATACTTGGAAAGCCAAGGAAATGAGAAGGATCGTCATTCGCGCACTCTTTTTCACAGCTGATCCCCAACTGCCATAGTGATCTCATCACACAGAAGTAGAAAGCGAATTAGGAAGGATCTTAGCTGCATCAACGAGGTACGGAAAAGTGGTGGTCTGTGCTCGATGTTCAGTCATGACCCAACTTTTTCATTGTTCCTTCTTGTAACTTCGGTTTAATTCTGAAATAGAGCAGGGACAATCAATCTCTTATGTCTGAAATGGTATGAAGATTTAAAGAAGTTTGCTACACTTCCAGTGTATCACACCTTACCCCGAAAGTAAGAATGCCTTTGTACTGTACAGAAAGTCCTGATTTAGCTTCTCTACGCGTCTGATCCTTAACCAACCATACGCCCCAAACTTCCTCTCAAGCTCCAACGTCCAACTAGTGGGTCCCAGACCCCACGGACGATAACGCGAAGTGTTCTTTACACAACCCAATATTCTATGTTGTGATTTGTCCGCTGAACAATTGAATTTTGTATTTTTAGAAAGTCTAAAGATTTATAGAGTCGACGCATGGCTTCGATTATATTACGCCGAACCAATTTTTACGCCAGTAGACTCTTTTTAACAGCGGCTGCAGCTCTGAGTGTAGCTCCAAAGATACTTACGGCCGAGTTCTGCAGTACTGGAAAGTGCAATGATGAAGTTGAGAAAGCCAAACTCGCCTCCGTGGCGGCAGAGAAATATCAGCCCCAAGACACAATTTTCGGCAAGATCTTGCGAAAAGAAATTCCTGCTGATATAATTTATGAAGACGATAAGGTCAGTATGTTAATGCAATTCGGTGAATGATTCAATGGTTATTCCTCAAGAAGCCTACATCTACCTAAAACTACCCCCTTCTCCCCAAACTAGTTTCACCCCTTCTTTCTTTTGGCTAAATTGCAGAATACCCGGCCACTTTGGTCCGCCACACTTACATGTGTCGGGAGGCTATGAAGATCGAGGCATATCACAATAGACACTATTCTTATTCAATGACATGTAAATGAGTGGCTGGGTATTCTGCAGTTGCTCCCTTCTTTTAAAACTCATATTTAAATAGCCTTAGGACTTTACTAAGGAAAACTTTATTAATTAACATAGTCGTTGTTATTGGTTTTCAAGTTGATCTTTGTGCTTGAGTTGTCCTTATTATCATGTCTTCCATTTAAATCCCCACATAATATGTCTCATAAACCTCAATATCAACAAAAACAAAAACAAACAAACAAAACAATGAAGTGGAAGAAATTTACGTTCAATGTTTACCTGTAACTATTCCATTATATATTATAAGGGGGCACAGCAAATACTGGATGTCGTAAACTTTCAATAATTTGTAAAACTTGGGAGGCTACCTAGTGTGTAAATATAAAGGTTGTTGGTTTTATTTTAGTTCTCTCTTTCCAAGGGCATAGATCATTCAATATAGTGTCTTGAAATTGGCCTTGTCACATGGTAGGAAACAGTTAAAAGTGTCTATGATCAACTTTATTTGTTTGCTAAAACTCCTTGCAGAGTTATATAATTAGTTGCTAGTTGTTGTATTATTGATTAGTGTTAAAATGAATCTGTCCTAGATGGGCAGACAGAAAAAACATTCAATTTGCTCTGAAGAGAGGCTAATGCTTGAAACATCAGCTTAAAAGCTCTTAATTGGGGCCAATCTACATTATTAACTCAGTTTATAAAACTATGTTATTTTTTTTACTCTCATTAATGCAGCACCACAATTACTTTAGAAATCTACCCCCTTTAGACAGAAAAACTGCTTTTGACTTGACTCCAATGTGAATATGTATATACAGCAGTTTATGCTCATGCTGGCAAAAAATATTAGATGGATTCTGAACTCAATTAGTGTGAATAAATCTGTTTTCATTTTTTAATAGGCACTTAATCAGCTGTGGTATGCTGATTGTGTCACACTGATCATGGACGAAACATACAATAGCTACAAACATTTGAGTGTTTTGCACTTGTAATTTGCATACAGAGTGCTTGTAGCACATGAAAAGAACTATTCATGGTAAAGCTGCTATACATGTGGCAGTGTACACACGCTATTATAACCAATGGTAGGACTTTACTTTTTAAAGAGATCTATTGGTTTTATCACAAGCAGTGAATCAATTATTGTACTGTAATGTTTGTATGGATATGTCAACAGGCTATTGCTTTCCGTGATGTCAATCCTGTGGCACCCACACATGTTTTGGTGATTCCACGTAAACCTATAACACAACTAGCGGCAAGCACTGAAGAAGACATTCCTGTAAGTACCAAGAGTCTTTATTATCCATCCTGCAGAGTAGGCTTGAAATATTCAGGTTAGGAGTGGTTTATTTGGTTATGAGCATCAGATAAATGAACTAATTCTCTGTTGTTGTGCTTTTGGAAAATGGAAACTATTCGTTTTATATGATGAAATGGTGATGTCATCTATGTGCCAGTCCTCTAATAGATCATAAGTAAGAATGAATCAAAATGCATATATTATTCAGCTTATTATATGATTACAAATAGATTCACATCACAGATGATATCAAAATGTGGTGGGAACAACAAAAGTGGCACACAAGGCACAGCTTCTAGGATCTTTCGCTGAACAGATGCACTGCAACATGATATCAATTTGTTTTATTTGATATAAAAGCTAATTGTTGTTAATGATGACATGATCTATGGGTCTGTCCTCAAACAGATTATAAATAAGAATCAATCAAAATATGCGCATAATTCAGCTTATTAAATAAAGTGAATTTGACCTAGATCCTCAATAAGTTCTGACTGAACATTTGTCTACCAAATGAAGTTTCTCATTCTAGTCACCTAAGTTACATGATTAGGAAGTGACTTAAATAGAAAACATTTTCTGACCAGTTCATCAATATTCTTATGTTTTATGATCAAGCTGTTTTAATTTGTTTGAAAATCATTAATTTTTAACCCTCAATATGTTCTTATCACTTCAAATTTGGTGTATCCTCTTGGGGAATCTTTTCATGTTGCAAATCAAAGAAGTATTTGCCCCTTTCTTTTCTGGTACGAGCAACCAAGAGCATCTTGATTGGTTTATAAGAGCATTTACGTTATCTTTTCTAAGAATTTTGCTTCCTCCAGCTGGTCTCGCAATTCATTTATCTGTTTAGCAATAAGTGATAACTGGTTGATTTTGCTTCCTCCAGCTGGTTACGCAATTCATTTATTTATATAGCAATAAGTGATAACTGATTGATTTTGCTTCCTCCAGCTGGTCACACACTTCATTCATTTATATAGCAACAAGTGATGAGTGATTGATTTTGCTTCCTCCAACTGGTCACACAATTCATTTATTTATATAGCAATAAGTGATGACTGATTGATTTTGCTTCCTCCAGCTGGTCACACAATTCATTTATTTACATAGCAATAAGTGATAACTGATTGATTTTGCTTCCTCCAACTGGTCACACAATTCATTTATTTATATAGCAATAAGTGATAATTGATTGATTTTGCTTCCTCCAGCTGGTCACACAATTCATTTATTTATATAGTGATAAGTGATAACTGATTGATTTTGCTTCCTCCAGCTGGTCATGCAATTCATTCGTCCATTAAGCCATAAGCAATAGCTGATTGATTGCTGTACGTATACAAAGAGGAATTAAATGGAAACCTTATTTCGGCCTGAGAAACTGATGATATAATTTTCAAATCATGGATACCTTGTTAATGAACGAAGACAGAAGTTTTGCTTTAGGTCTGTGATAGTGTTTTTTCTTTTTTTAGAGACTCAAATTAATACCCAACAAGGTCTCGGTATAAAAAGTAATTATGGCTCTTAGTATCTCAAAGAGTTCTAAAATTTGACCATTAAACAATCCCTGAAAACCATGATCTGGATGCTTCCATAATAACATTACTTACTTCACTTGAGGATGAGGAAGGAAATTTTTATGCTTTGATGGTAACATTGTTTTATTATCATTATTATTTTTTTCCATTTCATCCCTTTAAAGCTTTTAGGTCATTTGCTGTGGGTAGCAAAGAAAGTTGCTGAGCAAGAAAACCTGAAAGATAGTGGATATAGGATTGGTAAGAGGACTCAATTCTTGAATTGTATTGTTGCACACTTGGAACCTCTTTTGTGTTACATGTACCTCTAGTCAGAGAATTCCTTACAGCACAAAGCTCAGTCCAAGAGCTGACATGTTTGTATAGTTCTTTAATTGCTTGATATTTTCATTTCAGTGATCAATAATGGACGTGATGGTGCTCAATCAGTGTATCATCTTCACATTCATGTTATTGGTGGACGACAAATGTCCTGGCCACCTGGCTGATTGAGGCATTGAATCTACAAAATCTCAGGGAAACACATCCATAACCTTAAATATAGTAAAATTTGTGATTGCTATAGATTAGTTTATACCACACAAGTGAATAGTACTTTTCATGCATGTTGATTATCTAGCTTGGAAGTGATTAGCCAGTTACAATTCACCTCTGAGCAGCCCAGTTGAAACAAAATGGCTTCACTGCACGTTATAGTTGCCTGAATTGAACTAATTTCAGTAAGAAAAGCAGGTTCTACAAAAATTACAAAACTTGGCAGCAAAGATTGGTTTAATGACACTAAGTTGATTGTAATGACATCTTTCCAACTTTGTATTCTGAAACAAAAATAAAATCTTTGTTGAATTGTTGGTCACCATGTAAGTAAAAGATGAAACATGTAATGTTTTGCTGCATTTTCAAACAAGTGAAAACAGCAATTGAAGAAATAGCATCTGGAAAGATATGTAGGAGTATCAAGAAGTTGCAGTTATCTGTTGAAAAGAAAGATGGGATTGTTTCCGTAAGGAAATGCTTAGCATAATATTTTGCCATTTTGATTTCTCCACCTTATGTCAGTTTACTAACTTTTCAACTTGTGTGATATTTCCAAAAAAACCTATTCATCCTCAGTGTTGGTTTAAGTGGTACACCCTTTTCTCAACTTTGGTGAATAATTGTTACAAAATCATCCAGTCTTTCACACAATAAAAGCTGTCCATGAAAAGAGTATTTTTCAAATACAGATGATAAACTTTTTCATATCAAATTTTTAAGGTCCACAGTAAATTGTGCACATTTGAAAGCTATTGAAAAATAGTATTAAACCACAAATTTCGTCTCAGGACTTCTCTCCTGTGTAAGGAACTGTTCCATCTTATTTCAACCCTGCAGAGAAAGGTTAGAAAATTATTAGTTGGAGTAACATGGGTCAAAGAGAAATAAAGAATATTTTTGGTCCCTTCTCAATTTCATCACTTTTCTCCTGATTTGCTCATACATCTCTCTTTAGCTCAATGGAAAGCTAGTTCTTTTCTTTTCAAAGAACAGCGCACTGCATATGTCAATATAACTCGTTAGTGTAGTTTGAATCATTTGAATCATTTTGGTAGGAGCAGCCCACTAAACCGCTCAAGGAGTGCATTTGTGTTGCAGAAGAATTACTTCTGGATTGCTTAGTATATGAAGATTATGTCCTTTTATTATTATTATTATTATTATTATTATTATTATCGTCATTATAATTACATCTTTGAAAATTTCAATAAATCTTATCTTTATTTCAACTCAAGAAACATGGGGAAATCTATTCCTAGACCTGTAAGAGTTATATCAACAATTTGGATTTCAAATCAGTTCCCAAATCAGAGGATGTTGAGAGGAATATTTTAAACCTTAAGTTGGCAGAAATTAGACTATTTAGCCTAGGCACAAAAGACAGAAAATTTTTTTTTTTTTTACATAGCTGTGCCCAAGCAACTACCATGATATCTATTGCCATTTTTTGTAGAAAACATCGTCGTGGTAGTCACATTTCAAAGATTGCTTGGAAGCCTGTCATTTGCAACACAAATGCACTCCTTGAGCGGTTTAGTGGGCTGCTCCTACCAAAATGATTCAAATGATTCAAACTACACTAACGAGTGTATCACTATCAATCGCTCTGACGAAGGGCTAACGCTCGAAACGTCAGCTTTTTTACCCTTTACGGTGGCTAATTTACGTTTTCAACCCAGTTGTTAACACTAAATTACCTGCTATACTCTCCCACCGACGCAGCACCACAGTTTCTTTAGAAACTTACCCCTTTATTCAACTACCATGAAGCCTGAAAATAATAATATTAATTCAGATTCTTACTTGGGCAATTATGTTTCCCTCTTCACAGCGCTGAACAACCTGAGAGAGTAAAACTTTAAAATATTCACACGATTTCTTTCGGTTACTGGTTTTGCAACCTATCGCTTGTTTGCATCGGGAAAGCAAAGTTTGTACTGTGCCTGGCCTTCCTGTTCCCCTGACTTGATTACAGCTTGACCACAACCAGTGTTGTGATTGTTGTCAAGAGCAGCAAGCCGGGCCCTAGCGACTATGCCCAGGTGTGAGAAATGCCCACGTTTTGCGCAATACTTGAGCATCATAGAGTGATAACCCTCGAGTCTGCCAGTGTGGCATAAGTCAGTAATCTTGGCAATATCCTTCATCAGTTAAGTGTTAAGGGCCACTACCTTTAAAGCTAAGAATGCTTGGCTGTTTGGCAAAGCCAACAGACTTAGCTTCAGAGGAAGAAATTTTGCAAAGACAGCATCATTGGAAATGAATATTTCCTTACCACACGTGCTTATTAATGATGTGGTTCAACACCGACTTCCATTTTTCTCGAAGATCATAAACATTACCATTGCAGGTTGCAGCAGACTGCCATAGGTGGTTTGCGATAGTTTGTATCCATGGTGAGAGTTCTTCACATCCCCTTTGATTTGCTTTGTTAGTCAGCTTCTTTACCGCCCACTTAGAGAGGTGCCACACATCACTTTGATGTTTGGGTGATCTTTGGCCATTATCTCCACCTGGCTGGTGATGGACACATGGTGATCTGGCTGATTGCAGTAAAGATATTACCTGTAAACAAAATGGCAACAGACAACGACAGATTTCTCGGGGGTTTCCTTTTCACTCCTGGCTGGGAATCCTACTTAACTGTGTGGCTACTGTTACAAGTCAAAACAGAAACAACAGGCCAATAATACAAAATTGCTTGGTATTTACCTCGGAGTTATCCTTTAAGTGTAAAATTATTCCCAGATTTATTGGGATACAAGCTGTTCATCTTCCCACAGATCAATTAGCTTTATCGTTAATCATTTTAGTTGCGATCAATATTTACTCCTCATCATAAACAGAACTTCAGGCTTTCAAGGTAAAGTTAAGATCGTGACCTGAGCTCAACTTCAGTTGTTGCTTAAACAGAGATTTTCCATCGAAAGGAACTTGGGAAAGCCACAGTCAAAAAAATCATGAAACCGAAAGAGCCATTACTTACTGCGAACTCGGTCTCCTACGTTTTTGCATTTTATTATCTATGAAAGAAAACACCCAGCGTTTACACTGCTGTCGCTTTAATGCACATCAGTTCTAAAGCGTCAACTGCAAATTTTCATCTTAATGTAGAATTGCTATTAGAAGCCCATGATAAACTTCTGGCTTAAGATTATACCAGATGGTATCGAAAGAGAACAGGTTCATGGAAAGGAACCCTAAATCTAAAAATATTAGTGCATTTTAAAGAGCTATAGTGAGAATGATAAGGTCATCTGTGCGACTTCCCACGGGCTAAAAGCTTTTCTATCATTTATTAGTGTTCTGACAATATTCCATTAAAAAAGAAAAAAAAAACTTTTCTCCATCTGTTGGCCTAGGCTCCTTCTCCCTCCCCCCTTCTCCTTTTGACAGTGGATTTAACGATTAAGCGCAGGCCTCCATCTGAACAAAAATACTTTGCACCCACTAAAGACAGGTTTGTATCTATGACGTCCATCACAGCAAATCGTATTCCATTGATGCATGTCCGCGCGTCAACTGTTCTTTAAATTTCAGCTGGCATTGAACACTTTATTCAATCCATTCACAGAGACCCGCGGGTAAACGCTAACTCCCAAAATGTTTGTGCACTTTTACGGGGCAATTTTTGTTGTTTTTGTTCTGTCGGTCCTCTGCGAAGTACCCGTTGGGAACGCAGCCCCTTCAGAGATACAGGATAAGTACCCCTGTCCTGTTTGTAAACTTTTGAAAAAGATTTCGCAGCAAAACGAAAATATCGAGAAAAAGATCGATTTGCTTCTTGAAGAGGGCGATAACTGTTCACGAGGTAGGGACCTTTCAGCCAGCACTCTGCACCCTAGTTCTCTCATGATTTAAGCGGTAGATCAATTTTGGAGAAACAGCTGACTAGAGAGTTTTCCCCGTAAACCATCTTAGCAAGTTTGTTCCACTGATTTTCTGACTACAGCCCACAGATGCTGAATCATCTTCCAAACCAACCAAATCCCAATTTGGACCAGTAATTGGTATTAGATAGCTAGCTTTAATAAGATTCTTTAATCCTTTTTTAAAGTAACAGACTGTGCTGATATCTACAAGTGCGGTCATGAAACCAGCGATGTGTACACGATCCACCCACACGATCAAAAGCCCTTCGATGTTTTCTGTGACCAGACCACTGATGGCGGAGGCTGGACAGTGTTTCAGAAGAGACTGGACGGCTCCGTTGATTTCTACCGCGGGTGGAATGACTATCAGGTGGGGTTTGGGAACCTGCAGGGCGAGTTTTGGCTGGGACTTGACAAGTTACACGGTCTGACTATTAACAACAAGAAGCGATACGAACTGCGCGTGGATTTGGAGGATACCTCAGGCAACCAAGTTTATGCTGCGTATGATTACTTTGCTGTGTCAAGTGGAAATTCCAATTATCAACTGAGCCTTGGAAAATACCATGGTAAAAACCTATTGTCATTTACTGCAAATACATATTTTCATTCATTATTCAGTATTTTACCGTAAAGGGTGTAGTTGCTTAAGTATAGGAAAAGGTATACCATTGTTTAGCGCCTCGGGCAGAGTGTTTTTTGAACCAAAACCTTTGAAGAGGGTGAGCGATTCGGAGATGCGCTATTAACAAGTGTGGTAGCGATTTCTCAAAATTGTAAACAGTTTTTCTGTGTAACTTCGTCGTGGCACAACGTGGTCGATGCCCACCTCTCATTTTTTTTTTTTGTTTTAAACAGGGTCATGGTTTTAAGGGCTCGACAGCATACGCTACAAAAACCTTCTTGGGGGGTGGGGTAGTAAGATAAGTTCCATCCTCTCTCTTGCTATAAGAACTTGATCTTAATAATCCTAACGAGCTTGTAAACTATCGATCGAACGTAACTCAGGTCCAGAATCTTTTTTCATTTGTAGGAACTGCTGGTGATTCGCTGTCCGGTCACAAAAGTTTGTCGTTCGCCACAAAGGACAACGACAATGATCTTTACAGCAGTAACTGTGCCGTTTCGTTCCATGGCGCTTGGTGGTACGGGAATTGTCACTCTTCCAATTTGAACGGCGCTTACCATCATGGCGCCCATGCCTCCTACGCTGACGGGGTAAACTGGCACACCTGGAAGGGGTACCATTACTCCGCGAAAAGGGCTGAGATGAAAATTCGGCCCGATGATTGGACCCCATTGTAGACCCTGGATACAAAAGCTCTTTGTTTCTGGTACGTTTTCGTACTTATGACAAAATTGCAGCAATCTGTCCACTTGATTATAACGATTATTGATGGTGTCTTATGTTTTAAAGAAAAATGCATTTGTGGGCGTGTAATCATTCTTCGCTATTTTTTTTGCCACTGAGGCAATAGTTTTATATTTGAATTTCGCATAGAGGAGATTATATACCTCGCTTTAACCCAGCCAGAGAAAGAGGGAGTGTTTCAAAGATGAAATAACAATAATGATAATAACAATAATACTAATGATGATGATGGTGATAATAATAATAATAATGATGAAAACCATATACTCCTTATACTCTTTCCAGCTACAAGTGCACATCCGAACAGAAACCTTTCACACGCCTTTCTTTTGCAGGTCCTCAGATGTTTGAAGTTCAAGTAGTCCGTTTTTTCAATGTATTTACCATTTGCTTGTTGTTGTTGAAAAGAGCCATACATCTCTAGGTGCAGGACTCTTTTAAGCTTTACGAAAAAGTAGATGAACTTTGTGTGATTAGTATGAATAGACTGTAATAAGGCCAGAAAATAAAGTGGCTCGATACCACCATCTTCCAGTTGTTATGAACTGTTAACTTTAACTTAATTGGCCGAATTGTTTTGTTCTGTTTTGCTGTTGTTGTTGTTGTTTTTTTTTAGCTAAATTTCAAGAACTGGCAAGGGTGTAGCTGAGTAGAAGGAAAAGAGGAGAGCACAGGGTAATGGGTGACACCCTTCCTGTCAAGAAAAAGTGATAGTTACCATGCCCCCCGTGCCAGTGAGACGTGAGTTTAGTGCCCGTCTCTACCTACCAGCCTGTCCTCCTCCCTCCCCTGATCAGGGAGGATAAATTCTGATCTCTCTCCGTTTTTTGAGTTTTTGTTGTTGCCAGCCATGTGATGTTTTAACGTCTTAGAAAACTAGATCTTTTCATACGTCGCGATTTAGTCTAAAGCTTGAAAGCTGAAATTTTTTCCTTGTGTTCAAAATGCTTTACTTGACAAAAATTAGAAATCCTAGCGGCAATTGCTAAAGACAAAAAAACTGATTTTCGCACTAAGTCGAATCAAAATGGTATTCATCTACATTCAAAGTCGGTCTCTTTGTGCTTTGCTGGTCGACGTTATAGACATTGGAAATTTGCCGAGGAAATCAATCCCAAATCGCTGTATCTGCCGCTTCTGTTTTGTTCTGTTCTATGATCCTCATTTCTTTCCTCTCCCATTTTCTTTTTCCCTCTTTTGTTCTCTTCTTTTCCTTTCCCTCGCTTTTCTCTTTTATTCTCTTTCCCTCTCCTTTTATATCGTCCGATCTTATCTTACCCATATATGTGTCTTAAATGCCGGACTGTCTTTAAGCCAATTAAGGCAACAAGTGAGTTATTTGAGCCGGGAAAAATTCTGGCACAAAGAATAAAAATTGTTCTCTTCTCTTCTCGCGTCTACTCCACTCCACTCATCAGTACATTCTCTTCTCTTCCTATCCCCTCTCTTCTTTCATATCCTCTTCTTCTCTCTTCTTTTCCATCCGATGATATTGTAATACCTTACATTTTTTGTCTTGCACTCGTAAGGCAACAGACAAGTATTGCGAGTCGGATTGAAAATTCCTTGCATGCATTTCAAACGATGATTTATAGTAAAGCAAATAGCTGTCAGAGTAGCTAAAATCCCTTATATAGCTCACTGTTAGACCCGTTGAGATCCAGCAACTCAGAAACTGCTGCGGACTCACTGTCCTACCATAGAGTCGCTCACTTTCTACTAAAGACCGAGAAAATCATGGTCTTGGTGGTAACGGGGCCTACCTTCACTGCTCTAATTTCTCTCATGCCAACGGGTAAACTTGCGTAGTTGTAAGGGATATCACTATTCTGCTAGTCGCACCGAGATGAAAATCAATTCGGCCCATTGGCTGGATTCCATCCTTAACAAGCTAAAGAATGATCATGAGCTCTGTTTCTGGTAAGTTACCGAGTTAACGCAGTGGGTAGGATATGTGTAGTTTTGAAATTAATGTGTGCGCTTTGAAGACTGCCTCACGTTTCAAAGAACGTTGTATTTTGTGGGCTCGTGACGAGTCTGCGTTTTGTCAGCATTTAAGACTGAGACGAAATTCTCCTTAAATCAAAAGGTGGGGGATGAGTGCGGGGAAAAAGGGAATCTTAGTCGGTCCAAATACAGAGCAAGGATCAGCAAGAATCCAATCATGCTTGCACTTTTTAAGTTCTAAAACACATGCACCGGAATGCCTACTTAAAAAAAGGAAAATATGTCGACAAGCCAGACGATTTTCATTGAAAAACTCTCGACTCAAAGCTACTCTCTGAAAGTTTTGCGTGACATGCCTCTTTTTGCAGGTCCTCTCATGTTTGTCGCAATCAATGAGAAGTCAAGAATTCCATTCTTCATTAAATCATTTCGTAGCTTTTTGCTGTTGTAGTATTTGCAGACATGTGTTAACAGTCCAAGATATCGTTAAGGATTAGACGGGTCGAAAGTTCTTCTTTTTAACTACCCTTGCTATATCCGCTGCATAGGTTTAACAAAAAGCGTGGTAGGAGGCAAACATATTAGCGATAGATTCAATTCAGAGCAAAAGCCTTGGGAAAGTTAGAAAGAAAAATGAAACAATGGTTTTCATGAGTGTTCTTGAACACAACAAAGTAGAATAAAATTGAATATTGCTAAAAAAAAAAAAAGCTTAAAACCACTTAATTCCTGTTTAAATTCATTACAAAATTTTCAGCTCTCACTTTAAAAATTTATAGGATGCAGGATTCAGTTTTCGTTAGAAGTGTTTTAAGAATTGCAGGAAAACAACTGGGAGGGAAAGGGGGAGTGGGTTTCAACTTGCACATGACCTTCTTTATTATGAAAAAAAGTCATAACTTCAAAATAATAATCAACTCGCCGCATGGGCTATAGGCTGGTGAGATGCAAATGTGGCCCCCTTCCCTTGGGGGCAGCTGTTCCAACTTTCCTTCCTTTCAGATGGTTTCTTTTTAGAAGGCTAAAAAAAGATAAAAAACTGAATGGCCCTCCTGCAAGTTGCCAACAGTGCATACCAAAATTGACATGTGTCCAACTTGAGCACCAGTGTACAGATAAAACATTTCCACAGTTAATCACAACCAACAGTTGATGTCACAAGTTTGTTGATTAGAGGAATGTCAAGACATAAAATATGGCATTCAAAGAGACAGAGCCAGAAAGTAAATACAATAACAAACAACTAATCCCTACAACCCTAATTCCTAATCTTGCTTACATTTTGCAGCTGACCTTAAATATACACTGACTGTGTTTCTTTCAGTCATCACAAAGGAAAATTCACAGAAATTCATACTTTTCCCGCATTTGCAAATCAACTTATTAACTATTTCATATGCCTCTAGTCTCCAACAACACAACAGGAAAAATATCTATACCTCTGGCCCCAGTTATTCAAAGGGTGGTTAACAGCACAATGCCTTTTGTTAACTCCTATCCACTGGGGAGCTATTTGTCTGGCCTCACTTGTTCAAAGGCTGGATAGTGCTATCCAGGAGTTAAGTGTTAACAAACACACTACACTATCTGCTGGATGATAATTTATCCAGTGGATAGTGTTATCTACCCTTCAAACAACCAGGGCCTGTTGAATGGCATTATCTGCCCCTTGTACAACTGGGCCTTGAGATACTCAACTACCAGCAGGAAAAAAGTGGCCTCTAGAGTATGTTTAGAAGTTTAACTCATTACTATGACAAATGTTTATGCAACAGAAAAATTGGCCTAAGTGGTTAAGTGAACCTTACCAGCAATTAGGAGTTCTATCTTAGCTAGGAGAGCACAAAAATGTAGCAGTGTTGAGTTGGTGGTTAAGAACCTTGAGCTGCTGCTGCACTCTTGTGCTCCTTAGAAAAAGGGAATATCTGATTGTAGACCAATATGAATCCATCCCATATCCTGTATGATATCAAACACTAGGTTGATTACAGATTGCAAGCCTAGTCTGCTGTACAGATGTCTTATTAAGGCAAATAATCTTACCAAGCTCACAAACATTTATTTAACCAGCCAAGTTTGACTGATAGTTGGAGAGGACAGTGGGGGAAGGAGGCAGGGAAATGAGAGAAGTAATTTCTTTTGCACCACCACCCACCACCTACTGAATGTTACTCACCCCCTTTAGTTTAAATTTCTTTCTCTCTCTCCCCCCAGCCTTCTGCTGCTGTATAAATCAAAGATGGCAGCTCTAATTTTCACCTAGAAAATACTGAGCACTCTCTCTTGAAAGCTGATGAAGGTAGATAAATTCCATGTTGTGAATTTAAGAAAATAAGGAAAATCCTCCTTTTGTTTCAATAAACGATACGTCCGTTGGTTACATAGGTGAAAGAGATCCATACTTCGATTGTAATAACACTAACTACTGCATAACATAATATATTTATGATGTCATGTGACTGTCACAATTTGTCCCCATCTTCACCAGAACTTTTTATGGCCACTGGAAAGGTACAAGACGTATCCCACAAAAACTGGAAAGGTAATAATGCTTCTGACCATGTGATAGCTGTTCCACTTGTCTATGGTCTCCCTTACGACACCCTCACTCTTCCTGGCTGTCACTTCTTTGTCGTAAATGGGGTCAATCGAGTTTGGTTTCAGAACGAACAGCGTATACGGGAAGATCGTTGCAATCAGACCTCCTCCGACAAGGAAAGGAAGACCCTTTTTTGGGTTACAGTAGTATGCACCAGCTCCAGAAATTATAGAGACTAACGCCAAGCGACTCTGGAAAACCTTCGCTCGATCGAAACTTTCCATCCACTCTTTGTGACAAGATGTGGTATCTTGAATCGTCATTCGGGCGGGATGTTCAACAACATTGATGTAAACCGCACCTCCGACAAACATACCCGCTGCAACGGTGGAAATGACCTCGAGATAAGGGAACAAGTCGTCCAAATCAAACCCCATTTTCTTCTATAAAGCTGTCTGACTTAACCCTAACACAGCTCGAGAGTGCAACACCCAAAGCTTTAGCCTGCGCGTCAAGGACAACGCACTTTGTCAACACAACAGCTGCTTCACGGACATAGCGTGGGCGCAGAATTTTGAAAAGTTACGCAACGAGCCTTTGTTTGACCTGTTTGTTTGTTAATTTTTTTGGTAGACGGAACTCAATTTGAAAATGGGGGAGCTCATTAATTCAGAGTATATCATTAGAAAATACAAGGGATCTTTATCTTTCAAACTTGAATATTTCACGTCACCTATGTTTTTACATTATTTTGATATTTTATGCATCGTTGCGCCTCTATAATGTGGATCATAATCACATGTGTAATTTTTAATTCAGTGTCCAGATGAATAATTTCATAGAAAAAGAAAATTTGGGCGTACGATTGTATAAACTAACCGAGCGAGTCATAGTTAGCGACACTCCGATCATCTATTTAATATAAAAAAAACACCTGCTTAGTTGACAGCTAACAACAGCACTGAAAGTCGAGACAAAAAATTTACATTTCTTTCTCCGGCTTCTGAACATTTATTGAAGTTGTTTAAAACTTAAACTCATGGTGCAAGAGGCACGAGAAAGTATAAATTGTTGCTTGACTTAAAAATATAGATGAAAACTCAATTGTATCTAATTTGACGTCTTTTATTGTGATCCATTATCTGCACTGTTCCGTATTGCACAAATTAACATACAGGTTTACAACACTCCACGCATTAGCGATCCCACTCGTCTTGGAACACTTCTATTTTTCAACATAAATCAGACAAACGCTTTGAAAAGAAATATCCCAAACGAATATTAAAGAAAATTCTCTCCCAATACACCTTAATTTAAGGGTTATCGCCATTCGACAAAATGTCCCTGATTTTAAAATCCATTCAACTCAGTTTTAAACATGGCCGCCACTCAGTTGTAAACAAGATTGTACACACACCAGACCAGTGTAGACACATCTATTATGGTGCGGACTTTGTGAAAAGTGTTCCATTTATCCACAGTGTCTCTCACTTTTCCGGGATCCATCTTTGCAGCAACTTCATAATCATAAATGGGATCGATGACGCGCGACTTCATGGCGAGAGCTGTGTACGGCATATTGAATGCCATCAGCCCGGCAGTAATCAGCCAAGGTTTCCCTTTGCTCTGATCGATAGCAAATGCTGCTATTCCTCCAGCAATCGGCAGCAGCGATGTCCCGGCCATCAAGTACTTCGCTCGATCGAAGCTCTCTCGCCATTGGCGATGAAGCGATTGAACATCATCAAGTTGCATTCTTGCAGGATGCTCTGCAAGGTTGATGTAGATTGCACCGCCAGCTATAACACCCGTGGCTACCGTTGAGGTGAATTTTATCAGTTTCAGTACATTTTCAGCGTCCATGATTCAAGAAAAGTCGGCCTACTATTCCACAGATTCGTACCAACACACACCAGACCTTACTTTGTGCCCTTTCAATTGAATAATAAATGTAGACGGATCGATTTACATAATTAATAACATACGCGTGCATAATTTGATTTTTGTCACGCGTTCTCAACTCGTGACTGAGGGGCGTATTTGCAGAAACTTTTATCCCTCAAATGAATGACCATCTTAAAGGAGAAACAAACCAACAAACAAAAAATTGAACAAAATAAAAAGTTTTCCCATCCCTTCTAATATTTTCAGGTTTATCTGTCGGGTCGCACGATCAGGAACAGTGACACTTACTTGAGGGAGCTCCTATCAACTCCCTATGCATGCTGCAAGCCAGCAAACCTGCCTTGATAAGCGACAGCTTTTGATTGCTTTTATCTGCAGTCTGCAGAATTACGCCATGGCTCGGTCCATCTTGACAAAAGATTCTAGCTTTGCATTTGTCATCATAGGTGTCTTTTTATTCATCTATCTTACTTTGACGACTATTACAGATAATCGTTCGAGCTCCTAATGCTATGGGAAACTTCAAATTTCTCAAATTCTTTCACTCTATAGAATGAGTCTTAAACATTCGTCATTTTTTTTTAACAGAAGCGCAAAGTAACCGAAATAACGCGAACGAACCGTGTCATAATGAATTTGGTCACGGTTGCAGAAGTTTTACCTGCTGGAGAGATAATGATTCTCATAAGTATACTTTAATTACTATTAGGCAAGAAGAACTCTACTCATTAGTACAACGCTTTCTTTTCAAATGTAACACAATGGGCAGGTGTCATACTTAATTTGCCTTTTGTAGTTGCCATGTCCGCTACCGCGCAACGGGTAACCCAGTCAAGGGTGAGTTTATTTGTTGGGAAAGGTTGATCCGCGTCCAACGATAAGAAATATAGATATAGAAATTTTTAGAATGGTAAACTTGAACGTAAACCCAGAAAAAGTCTTCCCGATTGTCGAGTGTGTGAACACGTTTCTTTGCGGGCTGATGACAGGAATAGCTGTGGAGCAGCCATCAAGAATGACTATGAAGGACGCTGTGCACGACTGACGATGAGTTTGTCTGCATTCCCTCAGATCTCCGGCGTCGTGTTATACTACATAGACCGTACTCGTGGTCTGCCGTGGCTAATTGTCGCTGGGCTGCTTTTATTTAACATGCCTTACACTCTGTTAGTTCTGAAGCCCTATTTCATCGACCCTATCATCCACGAAAATGTCTGTTCGAAAAAGGATCCTACCTACGTAGTGGATCGTGTTGTGAAGTGGAGCAGGGCTCATTTAGTTCGTGTCTTGATCAATAAGATTGCATTCGCAGTGTGCATTTATACAATTGTTTACTAGCTTAGCTTGTACGTAACAATCTGATTACCACTTTGACGTGCTCCGTGTAAATAAAGTGCTTGATGTGGTTTTTCCTGAGGAGAGAAAAACTCAAAACTGCTCACAAGTTCATCCTGAGCTTCTCTAGATCGTGTAACATGAGGATTGATTTAGAAACTCTTGAAATTTTTTTTGTTTTTTTTTTAAGTGTTACGAAAACATAAAATACAATTTAATCAACTTTGCATAGATTCCTCTTTATATATGCACAATATTCAGTTCCGGCTAGAGATCGCTGATGTGATGATGATTTAATTAGAATTAAATTACAACCCTATTCAGAGAACTGTGGACTTACAGCTCTTGAAAGACTACTACTGCAGTTTGTTGTTGATTTCACGAAAAACCTGGGAGTGTTAAATGAAAGTTCAAGCTTACCAAAATACCGTAAATAAAAAAATGTAAAAAAAAAATAAATAAAAATGAGGGGATCTGGGCACTACAAACCCTTCGAGATTCGCTGGGCAGCCCCACTAAACTTTACACACGTGGTACAATCACCCTCTTTCGCCGGCCATCTTGAAATTACGACATAATGGTGGGTAAGAAGACAAAAAAGTCAAATTATTTTAATCTGTTACCCAGCCAAAACTTCCTATCGTATCATTTAGACTCAATATAAACTAATCTGCAAACTCACCAAATTTGACGCTAAAATATAACATATTTGGCATGGAATTTTGCGTTTAGTTTCGTTACGGTGCTGTTCGAACTTGCGTTTAGACTTAATTTTGGGGGGATCACACGGAAAATGCTCCTTTAAACCTTTCACGATGTCGAATAGAAAGCTTAATTCTGAATTCGAACGTTAAACTGTGTCCTTCTATGTATAAAATTGCCAAGGTAGTTTGCTCTCGACGGAGCAAACGAAGAAAAATGTACTGGTCATCAGATAAGCTGGGAGAAAATAAGGCTGCCTTTGAAATACATCCATGGTTTGTGTTGTATTTATTGAAACACATACAAAGAAAATAGCAAATGGCAAGAAGAGTGTTGTTAGTCTAAAGATGAGAGACAAATTTTCGTTTTTCATCCGTAATGGTGAATCATGTGCAGTCTGTTAAAACTATTTGGAATTTATGATGTATGTCTTGTCATCGAAATGTTTCCTCGAGGCCCCTGAAGTCTAACCAACGGTCAAATAGTGTCTCTCCTTTAAAATTGTTGAAGTAGGAAACACTCATGAGTGCAATAGCTTATATGATCTCAAATTTTTCCTATGTGTAGAGCTTGTGTCTGAAGAGATGGGATATGTTCCCATGAAAATAGCTTAACTACAAAAAATCTATACTGACCCGAACAATCAAGCTGTATAGTTTTGTCCCTTATAACAGGCCTTTAGCTTATTTTTAGTTACTGTGGTCAAATTAAGTCTCGTATGATCTTAAACAGAGTGGGATCATAAAACTCTGGTCAAACTATAAAGTCTCGTGTAATCTTAAACATAGTGGGACCATAACACTAGAGTAACTCAATTTAAGTCTATCATCTTTTTTTCTCTCTAGAATGGTACACAACCAGTTTAAGAAGCTGGATTTTGTGTATTTGGTGTGACACAAGTGTAAAAATAACTTGGGATTCTTTGCATTGTGTGTCATTTTTGAGGACTGTACATTTCAAAAAATTCTGCCTGTGACTATGTTCCCAAACACCTAAGACAGTTTCTAAAGCTCTTTTAAGCCATCCATCAGCCACTGTAAGAATTGTGCTATCCAATTTACATTAAATGGATAGCCATGATGTAAGAATGAAAAATACATGCTTGTTGTCTTTTCTTCTAGGCGGCTAGACCATTAATAACAGTATACGATGAGGCAGGAGAAAATGTTGGACAGACCACCCTGCCTGCTGTTTTCAAAGCTCCCATTCGTCCTGATGTTGTGGGCTTTGTCCACACCAACATGGCCAAGAACAAACGGCAACCTTATGCTGTGAACAAGCTTGCAGGTCATCAGACATCTGCTGAGTCCTGGGGTACTGGTCGTGCTGTTGCCAGGATTCCTCGTGTGAGAGGTGGTGGTACACACCGCTCAGGCCAGGGTGCTTTTGGCAATGTATCCTTGAACTTGAGATTATTTTAATACAAACCAATTTTTTTCATCATATGTATTGTTTAAATTTCCTGAAATCAAAGTCCAGATGGTGATGGGCCTAAATCATTCGTTTGTACCAAAGGAGTTTGAAATAATTTTGTCATACCTATGATGCTCTTTTTAAACTTGTGCTCCTGACTATTTATGCTAGGTTTGCATCATGCATTTCCATGTCTAAGTGTGTTATGATTTCAAAGGTCATAGTTACTTGCTATCTTTTGTCATGTAGGTGGCATTTGACAATTTGGTTAATCTGGCAATATGCCAGGCATGTGGCTTACCTTAACTTGAAATTCCCTTTAACCCTGTGTTAGATTTCTGTTTGTTCTTAATTAATGCTAATTAGATTGCATGCTTTTCTGTAACATCAAATATGTTATAATTGGATTGGAATGCAAATGTTAAGATAATCCCATTCATGGTTGAACTCTTGTCTTTCATAGATTTTGGTGTCTAAATCAGGAGTTCTAAGTCGCTTAACACAAACCACATTCTCAGCCAACCAAATAATTGACCTTGTGTTGTTATCCTAGGAAGATCTTGAAGTTCATCCTAACATTTGACTGGCCCAAATCTATCCTCGCTGTATGTGCATGTTGCAGTTATGACCATATATAATTGTATGCTGTCTGAAGGGGGTTTCTTATGAATGGGAATACTATATGCACCCTATTTAGGAGTTACGGTATGTTTGCTGCAATAGTTTTGTACTTCCTTTACTTGCAACTTAGATGTGTAGAGGTGGACGTATGTTTGCTCCTACAAAAACCTGGCGACGCTGGCATCGAAAGATCAATCAGAAACAGCGCCGATATGCTATGTGCTCAGCCCTGGCTGCTTCTGCCCTCCCTGCTCTTGTGATGGCTCGTGGTCACCATGTTGATGAGATCCCTGAGGTTCCATTGGTTGTTTCAGATGGAATTGAATCCCTTCAGAAGACTAGTGCTGCAGTAAAGCTCCTTAAGTCAATAAATGCTTATGGAGATGTAGAAAAATGCAAGGAGTCGAAGAAGATCCGTGCAGGCAAAGTAAGTTTGGACTGAAGAATTTGAAAACAGTTGAGCATTTCTATGTTCTGATGGAGGGTTCAACCTAAGTGATTCTTGATAGAAAGAGGATGAACCCCTTGGTTGTAGACCAGCCAGAAGGCATTGCAAAGGTAAAATATGGTATTGCGATGATGCAACCAGTTGCAAAACTTGATATTCAGTACCCTTTACATGTTAACAACATTGCCCTTCCTCATAGTGAATGGAAAACTAGGTTCTAATTTTAAAAACCAAGTTAATCTTGATTATTTTTCAATTGAAGATTTCCTCTCTTATATATTTGTACCTTGGTAATATTCATTTTAAATTTGCTATCAGGGCAAGATGCGCAACCGTAGGACTGTGATGCGTAAAGGGCCCCTCATCATCTACAACGAAGATCATGGAGTGAAAAAGGCTTTTCGCAATTTACCAGGGGTTGATATCTTGTCAGTGGATCGTCTGAATCTTCTGAAGCTTTGCCCTGGTGGTCACCTAGGCAGGTAGGAGGACACAAGATGAATATCAAGAACATGAGTTTATGTTACTCCACATTACCATGGCTTGTACACTCTTAAAGTCAACACACAGTTAACTGCTGCTTTTGATATCAGTCTCAATAGTTTAGGATATCATGAGCGGTTGATTCAGATCTTCAATGTATTTTGTTTGTTCTGTCTCATAGGTTTTGCATCTGGAGCAAGGGAGCAATCGAGAAGCTTGATGCCTTGTATGGAACAGGAAAGAAACCATCCACAGAAAAGAAGGATTTCAAGTAAGAAAATTTTGATTTCATTTTTGTTAAGTTGAAGTAAGGGGATTGCTGCAAATGTAGCCTACTGCACATAAGATTTAAAGTGTTAAAGCTTACTAATTTTGCTTGAGCCTTCTTGCAGTTGCAACTTTAGACTTGACCACAGCAATGTGGGAGAATAAGTTATCAGTTGTACTGAGAGGCTTGACAAATGAATGAAGGCATGGTGGACTCTTCCCTCTAGGTCTAATCACTTTAGAGTATTGAATGAGTGTGTTGAATTGGTCTGCAATCACAAGCATTTCCCAGAAGAGTTAATCAAAATTGGTACTTAATATATCTTACCTAAAAAATTTAAAATTAGCTGAAAAGCTAGAATACCAATTGAAGTGCCTGTCATTGTTCCTTCTACTAGAGTGTTTAGGTGTCTTTGAGACTTGGCCACAATGATTGACTGGAATTGGTTCAGGGCTTTTGAGGTTCTTAGCTTGAATCACCCATTATAGAACTCAAGTGTTTTTATGTGTTTTTGAGAGGTTGTCATGATAATTATACCAATTGCATGTAATGAATTGACACAGCTTTCTCGTTTTACCCTTTAAAGTCTTCCCAAAACAATCATGAGCAATGCTGACCTCAATCGCCTCATCAACAGTGAGGAGATACAGTCTGTTATCAGACCTGCTGGGTAAGTAATAATTAGATTGTAGATGTGTGCAAGGTGATGTGGTAGCAATTGAGTGTAATTGTTTCCACTGTACTGCAAGAAGCAAATCCAGTTAGTTGATGACTGTAGAAAATTCAAATTTGTGGTGTTGAAACTTTTTCAACAGCCTGTATGGTATAACATTTTGGCAGACCATCCCTATTCTGATGTGATGGGATTTGTATGGTTTCAATTTGATAGTTCTTATTGAAAATTTTAACGGGAAATTCCCAATCTAAATGGAAGGCACATCATCTACATACTCGATTCTCAAGTGTTGTAACTATTTACAGGGCAGCTATGGTTTCTAGGCTCACTTACAAAAAAAAAAGTACAATCCCATTTGGGACACAGGCTACATGAATGAATGACAGTACATCTTTTTCATCTCTGTTTGCTTTGGTGATAAGCATTGGAAAAACTTGATTAGTAGCAATTAGAGTTCACATCTCATAATATCATTGGAAATTTTTTCCTAAGAGACCTCATTCACAGTGGTGGCTTTGTGTATCCCAGATTTGATTGACACATACACATGTACCTTCTCCCTACGGTGTAAATGTGTTTTTTTTTAATGTCTTTTTTTGTGTATCTGGAATAAATTTAGAAAGATTTTCTCAGAGTTTCATTAACTCTCTCCATACAATGTCACCTCTGAATCACACATTAAAGTCAGGAAAAATAAAGGAAGTGTTAAAGCTCTTGATATCTAAACAAGTTCTCTTTGTCAGCACCTTAAGAACAGTATGGAGAGTTTGTATACAGATGTTAGGGTGTGAAACGTTAACGGTTAATAGAAAATTATATCAGCCTGTTGGGAGAGGTACCAATCAGATCTGTTGGGGTGAAAGGGCAAGATAAACTGAGGTGTCGTTCTTGAGGTCATGGGTCCAAATCCCTTACAGGCCTGAAGTTTTCTTTCAGGCCTCATTTTTACCACTGATTAATTGGTGTTCATTCCTCTGAAGATCGCTCTCATTCATTTCTTAATCTGCATTTCACATATATCATTTTAATATATTCACAATCATTTATTCATCAATTCACGGATTTATTACGAACCAACTTGATGACCAGCTCCCAGTTGGCTTGTTAACTCAGTTGGTAGAGCACTGCACTGGTATTGCTAAGGTCGTGGGTTTAAATCCCGTACGGGCCTGAACTTTTTCAGAAGATCGTCTTCATTTATTTCAGATCTTATTGCTGATTAAAATTGAATTTTTGATTTTTTAGACCTAAGAGGACCCGCCGAGCAATCCGTAAGAAGAATCCACTCAAGAATTTGGGCGTGCTGATGAAGCTGAACCCTCACGCTAAGAGTGTCAAACGTGCTGAGATGCTGACTGTAGAGCGGAGAAGGGCTGCTAAAGAGGCAGTACTGAGCAAGAAGAGAGAAGGAAAATAAATTGCTCAACTGTTAATGCTGTAATGAAAGGACGAATAAAACAGCAGTGAATTCAGTGTAGAAATCGTATGTTGGTTTTAGGCTCATTTATAACCCCAACAGGTTTATTGACATGATAAATTTCCAGTGTATTCGTGTTGTTTATCTGGAGTTCAAAAGCAATAGCTTATTCTAAGATTTCATTTGGCCCCTACAGCTTGATGAAGGAAATAATATATTAATAGTTATTAATGTTAAACTGACATACTAGTATGACAGTTCACTCTAAACACACAGCACAGATTCTCTTGTAAGGATTGTTTAGACCAGCCCGTTCCAGTCTGTAGCCGTGTAGAAGTCCACTCCCAGGTCTTCAACGCTTGCTCCATGTTCTCTCAGAGAGTTCCTCCTCCTCTTTGCTGAGGAAAAATATTTAACAGCATACTCCAGCAAGTCTTCTGGCTCGTCACGCAAAATTACAAGTACAAATCCTTCAAGGAGCTCCACAAGTCCTGGAGGAATTGCTCTCTCTCTCGGGTGGGATGCCATGTTATCCATAATTTAGTGAGCAGTTCTTCCGTCAAAAAATTATGAACTATGACGTAATCTGATTAGCGCGCGCAACCTCGTCCTTAGCGAATACTCGGTGGGCGTGAACCCCAAAGACCCTCTGACCACCGCCAAGGCTCGTAGGCCCACTATCTCCCTGAAGCAGTGCTGAAAGTTAAAACTACAGCGCTAGAGACCAGACGGAACCCCATCCTAGGTCAGCCGCGGAAAAGCAACGATCGTACACACCACTTAGCTACTTTAAAGCTCGCACATGCGCAAATATTTGGCCGCTGAGAGTTGCCTCGAAAAGGATGACGTGCTCAGGCCGCCCTATAGAAGCTAGACATTTCGTTAAAGTCTGATGATCAAAACTAATGGAGTGGTCATGGAAAATCTTTATGAGAAATGGTGACTGAATTTATGCAATAAGATAAAAGCAAAAGAAAAATTTAAATGCCGGATAAATAACATCCAAACTGCGTTTGCCGTGCGAAGTTTCTGTGCAGGAACGCTCACGACCGGTGATATCGGACATTACGTCATAGTCGTTTTTGGGGGACCTTTAGCAAGCCGCGACGGCGACGGCAACGAGGACATGGCAAAACAAAAGATCAAATGAGCAGAACAATAGCTCAGCACGTGCGTTTTAAAACTGTTTACATTTCTAAGCCGTCCTCTGTGAAATAACGTGAAATCATCAAAATTTGCGTGGTCGAAGAAAGGAAACCCCAACGGCAAATTATTTAAGTTTCCGTTTGGAACTCAACGCCGCTCTTATACGTTATGCTGAGATTAACTCGCGGCGCCGTAAGAGATGGTGAACACATTCTGTCAGTCGCGAAATTCCAACTAAACAAATATATATTCATTTTTAAATCGACGTCTTCCTTGACGTTGCCGTCCTAACTGTTAAAAGTCCCTAATATCTCGTGTTACGAACGAGAGAATTATTCGCTTAAGACGTCTGAAACCAAGTTAAGGGAAGGTTAAAGTGCTAAGGAAACTTCACGAAATTAGCGAATTCAAAGAAATAAAGAAATGTGAGGCGTAGAACGACGATATAGCTAAAACAAAAGCACGGTTGTGTGCGCACGCGTGCAGGAAATTCATGGAAAATTTTGTGGTCAAGGGAGTTATTTCCGGGCTTGTCTTTCGTCGTCATTTTTGTTTATTTGTATTCGAGCGGAAGCGCTTGCCACCAGCAGGGGTTGTAACGTGAGAGAGGGCGTGAAACACGCTATCAGCGAAAACCTAACATTTATTATTCATATTGGATGGCCAAGCACATTCTGGTGATAACTGAATTAATGAGATGCGACAAAACTTGCATTTAGCAGCTTTTGCCTGCATGAGTAGCGTAATACAAGTTTTCTGGTGAACAGGCGGTCCCCTAGTTGGCGAGGTAATTTAAAAGCTAAGCTTCTGGATGTATAGAAAACTAACACCTTGACGGGCGTTCAGACATGTCTTCCATTAGTCATTGACCGAATCTCGACCTGGTATTGTCTTAGTTTACGTGCATTGAAATAATTCCTTTAAAATCCCAGCATGACTGTTGTCGCATAGGATTTTATCGGATAATAAGTTATGTTTTAAGATTATAATCTCTTTCCTAAGTCAATTAAGGTGATTAAATGCTATGAGAGAGATAACTGTGGGTTTTTATCATCGCAATTGGTTAACCAAACCGAGTAATAACAAGAGCTGCATATTTTTATGAGGTGTCCGGTCAATTCAGGGTATTGGTGGTTGAACTGGACATTTATATTTAGATCTTTTATCCAATTGTTCACATATTCACCGTCTTAAGAGGTTCGCGTGAGGGCTTCGCAGCTTTCCGTGATAAATACTCAGGCTGACATATCGCCCTATTTAAACTTGTGGGATTTCATTGAGAGTGGCCATAACGTATTTTCACAGCAAGAGGCTGGGAGCAAGGCGAAGGTCCATTTCATAAAAAAGTTAAATTCTTTGCGACGGCTATTTGAAGAAATGCATCAGAAGATTGCTGCCAAACATGGGAAGTTTTCGTCTCAGTTAGTGAACCCGTTCAGTATTACAGAAGATCTTATTTGTCTACTAGAAGGTTTCACCATAACAGCTATCAATGAAAAACCCCGAAATGAAGACTTGGTGGAATTTGCAGCCAGTTATTTCGAGGAAATACGAAACAAGAGAAACTTACTGGCGGAGAGAGGGATTGGTAACTTCAGAACTGGTTTATACCTCAGTAAGGACTGGAATGGGCAAGTTTGACGCTGCTATATCATTTCAGACTTCAAAAGTTGTTGAATTCATATTTCGAAATTTAGAGACTTAAAAAGGACGAAATGTGACGGGATTACTGTCAGCGGAAGAACGGAAGCGCCATCGAAGACAATTTTAAGCGTAGTTTGGCTGAACTTTTGAGTAGGCGTAGGAAATCCATACGACATTTAGTTTTTGTAAACAACTCTGCCGAAAAGTTTGAGGGAAATACATGATGTGCTAGTGTGATTACGAACAAAGCAAATTAATGAAATATTCTTCACTGAACTGAAGAATTATCTGGACAAACAATAACCATACACTAGTTTTAAATTCAAACTTATATCGTACGCATTGCCAGTTCACTGTGCTCCATTTGAATAAGAACACTATGAAATGTTCCGTCGCGTGAGCATGGAACACGTCATCAACTCGAAGCATGTTCAAGGTTTTTAATATTTTTCGGTTTTCACTGCAGGCGAAGAGGTCGGCGTATCAATTTTCAGGGTTTATGAATGAATTCGTCCGAACTAGCCAACTTCAACTTGTGAAAGTCCGGTCATAACAAATTAATTTTTACCGTGACTCGATTCATTAAAATGCTCCACCAATTTTCCCATTAACTATATTATGTGGGATTCTAAGTTCAAAATCGTGGTCACGAAATAAATACAGATTGACGACAACATATGCAGTAGAAGTTTAAACAAAAGTTTGCCGAGGCCTTAAATAGCATTTTAATCTTGTTAATTTGTTTACACTGGGAATTCTAAAGAATTTATTCAAGTCGGAGCAAGATTCCTTTAGGCGATGTCTACGGATTTGTACGGGAGATAACTGTCTAAACTACGAATGAAGAGGAAATGGCACAGAATTAAAACATTGGAGGTCATCAACGACATGCAATCAACAAAACAATAGGACGCAATTTTTTTCGAGGGGGCAACCTAAACAAGAGAAACTCGCATCCGTTTTATTTAAACTCAGTTGATGCGTAGGAGTGTGGAAAATTTTTGCCGAAACATCCGGAAAAACGGATCTGAACTTGAACTTGTTTCAATACTTTTGGAAGACCACGTCCGAAACAGTCAAGCCCATCTTCAAACCACAACCCTCTTTCTTAAAAAATAACTACATTTTTGGGGTTTTTGCCGACTCATCAAGAGCTTTTAATCTCTTACAAATCTCTCCGCACTTAGAGGTTTTACTTTTTGCGACCTGTTACTGTTTGTTATTCGGTGGGGTGTTCATACAAAACTGTTTAATTTTTTTAATCCACATTTCCAGAATTTTCTTCCTTCTTTTTTTGAATAATAGATTTACAGTGTTTATTTCAGATAATAATAGAAGCCGTCAAAATTTGGTGAAGACAATTAATGACTTGCTTGCGGCTCGAGTGTCACGCTTTTTCTGTAACCAGATTTCAAGTCTTCTGTGATTTACAACTGAAACAAAACACGACAGTTGCAAGCTATCATTTTGTTAAATGGATCAAACTATTAGGTAATGTAAGCCACTTATGGCGGACGGTCTGTAAAACTATGGAGGACCAGACATGCACGGAAGGACGATTTCAAGATAAGCGTTTACTAGTCTACAGATACTCTTCATGCATGCCCATGGCGGCTGGCTCGTGAAAGTTTCATCTTGAGTTATACCAAAGAAAACCGATTAAATAGCGACAAGATATGATCAAACACCTACGCTATCACACCTTTGGAAGGAGCCAGGATGTAAAATACTGCCCGGCCGAGGGAACCAACGCTTTTGTTGTCTCGTTCTTATTTCTCTTTCCAGTAACGTTTATAAATATTTGTAATTCCTGACTTGACTCAAAGCCAAAAATCTGTCAGCTTCTTTTCTAATTCATTGTTAATCTGTGACTATTTTGCCGTTAAGTATATGCATCGATAGAAGTCTCTTGAAAAGGTGCATCAATAAATAATAATTAAGCTAATTAAACCAGAGAAAATTCATTGCCTCATAAAAAGTAATGATCATTGACTTCAAAGATATAAAAGACTACCCACCCACCTACCCCAAATTATTTTCGCCTGGGTACAAAGGGTCCTCCTCAAGACCACAAAAAGTAAACAGAGACTTATTATGGACTAATCATCATTTATTGCCTGGGGGGAGAGGGAGGAAGAGGGCTTGAGATTTTGGGATCACATATTTGGTTAAGGGGGAACAGCGGGGGCATCAGTCGCCTCTAACACTTAAAAGGGGGGTACTATAGGAAATTGACTGCTAATGGGAGGGGAGGGGTTATTAGAATACTACAGAGCCTCGTGGGGGGGGGGGATCAGGTAAATTTTATTGTGACACAACCAAAATCCTCCCACCCCTCCCCCCCACGATAAATAATGACCAATCCCTTCCTAGTAGCTCAGATCTTCCTCAGACGCGCAGTCACGCAATTTCCACTGATACTTTACATGAAAATAAAGAGTTTCAATGGAATTGCTTAGACTTGAGTCTTGAAATGTTTTCTCTGAATGGAGTCAAAAAGCCTGCTATGGTAACCAGGAGAAAACGCCGCTGCACTTAAGCACAAACTTATGGTGGCATTACTGGACAGGTTTTGAAAATACTCAAGAAAAAAGAAATTGTGTCCACAGAGAAGAGCATCGCCGGTATCAAATCAAATGTCTCCACCTGCCAAGTGGACTCCAACTATAAACCTGGATACAACTTAGGTAAATAGATAGATAGATAAATAGATAGATAGATAGATAGATAGATAGATAGATAGATAGATAGATGACCTTTATTCGGATAATATTTTAAGCTGCAAGCTTGTGAGGTCTACAAGAACCCTACAGAACTAAACCATATTTTATAGAAGTCAAAATTACTTTAAAATAAAATTCTTTCAATATGTTCCTTGGGAGAAATCTGGATCGTTTTAGCACGTCCAGTTTATTAGCAAAGCTCCTTTGGTTTCCAGTACATGCGGTACCCAGCTGAGTTTCTGGTCAACTGTCAAGCCCAACAAGCGTAGTATTGTCTGCATACATATACAGTGATCTTGAGCTTCCAAAGGGTGGAAGGTCGTTTGTGAATAGTGTGAAAAGGGTTAGTCCTCGCACCGATCCCTGGGGAATGCCTAAAGACACAGGTAACAGACCTGACTTTAGTCCATTCACCACAGAGAATTGCTGTCTTCTATTGAGATCGTTCCTAATCCCATCACTAAACTCGTCCTTAGTCTAATCCAATCATTTGACTCGTCCTGCGCCATCTCCCATTTTTTAATACACGGGGTCGCGAGAGACTTGCTCTGCCACAACGATGGAGAATTAAATGGAAACGAAGAAAAGGGAAAAAAAAAGACTTTCCTTTTTTCCTCTCTTCCCATCTTCCCCCACGAGTGCCTCTCGCGCCCTTCCCTCGTTAATATATGAAAGCGGAGAGACGAATGAGGATTATTTAGGGACACCAAAGATTTTTTCGTAACTACGCACGGCGAATTTGCCTTTCAGTTGGTTGCTGCGTGTAAAAAGGACGAAATGAAAAGGGGCGGAAATGATAAAGCCTCGATCAAACTCATGCCGGATCGGACGGGAAAATGGAGCAATGCTAGCATAGTCGCTCCTTGCCTTAGTTTATTAGACCAGAAAATCTTGAGTAAGCTGATCATTCAGATTGATCGGCGTTCAAGTCAATCAAAGAAAATTGAGAAAGGTTCATCAAAGGCGACTTCTGGATGCACCGGTCAACTAATCTCCTTCTTGTCCTTCGGACAAGAGTTGAAAAAACATTTTACACTAAACCCAGGGGCGTAATAAATCAGGTCCGGACAGCGTACTCCTGGATTTTATGCGGCCCTTTTTCGCGTTGCTTGCCAGTGACGGGAAGCTAACAAAAAAAAGGCCGATCGGTTTTGGTCTTTTGATTCTCCGATAATTACACTTCTAAAGTAATTGCGAGCATTTTGAAATACTTGAATACGTTTCTTCGTGGGCAAAACAGCGACACGTTCGTGACGAGAACTGTTCTCCAATCTCTCTGAACGAAAATAGTTTTTCTCAAGCACTTAGTGCACGTTCATTCAACTGAACTTTTATCGATATTTCCCTTCTCCCGCTAAAAGTTCATTTATGGTAGAAGTTGCCCTGGCTTAAAGTCAGACTCAATCTATACTCTACTTTGTTATTTGTGAACAGGGAAATAACAGTTGTTTTGACATGCTGCCAAAGCGCTTTATTGACTTCTTCTCTGGACAATAGCTAAGGATCACAAGTGGACATTAGATAATAAATTATTACTCTTTCACTGCGAGTCTTTCTGCGTGAAGTCTCTTGAGAAACCACTAAAGACAATACCTAAAGCAGTATTTATCAAATAAGCGTCACTGTTGCTAGGCAACAACCCAATTGAACTAATTACACTCAAGTGTAACGTGTTGGTCTCTAAAGCAGGCAATAATTTTAATGCCTTTTACACGCACGTAAACTCGAGCAATTTCATCCAGAACTTAAGGGATTTAGCGCGGAGGGCAAGATGTTGCTTTGAAGGTGAGATATCTTGGCTGCTTGCATGTTTGAGTCCGACAAAAGTATTCAGGAGATATCATTTTCATTGTTCATTTGGATATTTTACACTGATATACAATATAGACTCATTTGTCTGTTATGAACCGAACGTAGGATTGTTTGTTTATTGCTCTCTTGGCATAATATGTTTGCTCGCGTATACCACAGACCTATTTGTTTACAAAGCAATTAGATAGGAACATCGCTATTTGATGACAAATTGTAACCTACTGGTGTAAACACGTCTGTGCCATGATATGTGAATGAAGTTATTTCATTATTATTATTCGACTTCTACCTGAATGCAAACTTCTATCTGGTCCTAGGCGGCAGCGATTTTACAAAGGCTACTTGGCAACTGTGTGTGAGTGAGCAATCGTTGGTGGATGCATACGCGAACTGTCACTGCATTGAGTCAATGTTCAAATTCTCAGCCTGAGATGACGATTATCGAATGTTCTCATGCTGAAAGAACTAAAAAAGATTGGACGCGGAAAAAACGTTGCGAATTTTGCTGCCGTTGTACAAGGCAATCGTAATAAAGTCGTCTTGAACAACGTACATAAAATAGAAACATGTATCCACGAAGATCGCAGCTCTGCCAGTTCGCGTAGAATTATTTTATAATTAATCATGAATGATTCTTAAATTAATGGTATTGGCGTTTTCGTCATTAAGAACGTCGCATTTCGCAATTGCACATTTAGTTTATTCGGCGAAGTTGCTCCCAACTTAACCGAGTAATGGACATAATTTCATCGCCGTTTCGTAAAAAAGAAATGAAATTTAATGTCAAACAGTTAATTATCAAAAATATCACTAATTGGTAGCTTTTTATATTATTGATTTTTTTTGACCACGCTGTTTACATAGCCTGCATGAAAAGCTTGTATCTGTTAAGCTAACATTCATAACAATAACGTAATAAATTTTTACATCAGATTGTAGCTCTTCTCTCAAATGAAATTTTCCGCGTTCGAAAAGATTGCTAAACTGTAGATGTTATCTACAAAATTAACTGAGTACCTTTCAGTCAATCCGACTCAAGCCAACACTCAAAATAAATAAAGGTTAAGTTTCGAAAAGAAACTGTGGTGCTACGTCAGAAGATGTTATTACAAGTTAATTTGGATTCGCTCTGACGAAGGGTTAACACTCGAAACGTTTGCTTTAGAGTCTCTCAACGGTGGCTAATTTACTCCTGCTAAAACAGTAGATGGCGTTGAAGGCGCGCTCTGATTGGTTACTAAAACTGCGAATATCCTTTGCCATTCACCTCCAAGCAACGCGCACAGGATTCGTTCCCGAAATTATTATAATCGTTGCAGGAGTAAATGCGTTAAAAACATCTTTTTGTTCTTTATTATCTCACTGTATACACTAAAAAAACTAGTCACCTCCACTTCGGAGAGTAGTTGTCAAGTATAAACTCAGTAGATGATACCAAATTAACTAGTTAAGACAAAACACGCTTAGACGAAACGACGCGGAAAAAAAAAATGGCAGAGCTAAAAAAATTTGAATGAACAAAATTTGAAAAACAATTAAGATCGAAATTGACGCCTTCAAATGAAACTTCTTTGAGTTTTACAATTAGATGATTGAGTATGTTCCTTTTCCCATCTGGTTTCTGCAATAAATTTATTTTATGTCAAATAAAATTATCGGCTGAAGGCTTTGCCTCAATTGAAATACATTTTATCTTTCAATCAACTTTTGGAGAATGCAAATATACTTTTAAGAGTGTTAAAATGAATATTCTGCTGAAATAATGAACACTTAGAAGTTAAAAGCTTCCGGCCTGTTCTGAACTGAGCCGGATAACAAGAAACATCTGGCTTCAGTTTTCCCTCAAAAAAGCTAAGTTAACATATCATCTCTGTCATTGCCTATTCCAAGTTATACTTGTTAATTGTTTACAGGGATCCGGCTGATAGACTGTGAGTTTATATTTGAGAATCAACGCTGTTCTTCCAAGAATCAAACTAAAAGCGATATGTCCGCTACAAGTGACGATAACACAAATGTAGGTCCGCACAACGTACCGACTCTCAATGTACAAGAGGTGGCAGATTCCAATCAGAATGTAACGGCTATCAGCTCGACTAGAAGCAGCGCACAGATCGAACGCAAGTCAGGAATTATCACCGAAGGAGATTACGAAAGTCGGCAAAGAAGCGGGCGAAGCCGGCTGTCGAGCGGTGAGTCAGAAGTGACTTGGTTCTACTGATGAGTCAACGAAATTCGAATCACGATCAGTATTGTGTTCAATTGAAAATGGCGGAATTAAATAAATCAGCTTTCTTGGAAAAAGCTTAATTTGATTCAAATCTTACTAGGAAGGTAGTTCGCTGATCACAGCTTTTCAAAGCGGCCATAGAAGATTGGTGTCTTCGAGCTGCTGAGTAAGAATATTAGCCGATACTGATGGTCTAGCAGTCTGTATATTTTATCAAAAAAATTTGGTTTTAGTGTTTCGATTATCACTCTACAAGGGGGGAAAACTCATTGATAAGAATTTAATGATCACCATTTCTCTCTTAAACTACATTCGATATCTTTATCAGATGGCGAATCCAAAAGGTTTTCAAACCTTTTAGACAATTACTACAACTAAAAGTAATTGTTTTCCTACTGCAACAAGAAAGCAAAGCGCTGCAACGACCTATCTTTTTCCTTACTTTTAACAGCTAAATCTAAAAGAGCAGGTACAGGCAAAAGCAAGCTGACCCCAGTTCCCACACCAGTTGATAAAGATACGTCCAAAGGAGAGGTTGGCTCAGATGCAGAAGCTGGGGAAGACAGTGATTATGATACAGATCTGGAGTTCGAAGAACCTCGTCCAGAATACGACCCAACTGGTAAAATAAATTGCATATCAGACTTCCTTATATCATGACTGCCGCGGAAGTATTAGTCCAGTGGCATAGAGAAGCTTTATAAAAAATTCCTATCTGGTTATGAGGAATTTGTAGTCATTATCTTGTTGAAACCTAGACTAGTAGCATTATATTATATTTAACAAATTGCCCACAATTTTCCATTGTCTAGAACCTTATTAATCATAGAAATGACGTCCGCAACGTTCAAAACTAAAGTGAAACCACGAAGCGCAGCTGAATACGTTGAAGTGTGCGTTTTTTATTTCGCGCGCGTGACACGATCAATCGTTACTCTGTTTGTTTTAATTTGAGATACGTAAAGATTTATAAAATAAGTACAGGTAAGAAATGGATGGCGATAGACTCTGTTGCTCTGAATTTTTTTGTTTCCCACTTAGTTTTAATTTTTGTGCTGTTTGCTACAGCAACGACAAGTATTTCTACGGGGCCGTCCGTCTTTTAACTTGGAAACCGAGAACCGGATTTCAGTTCCTGAAGGTTTTCCTGCACTTTTTCTTCCATCACGAAAAGTTTTTCTTCAAACACTTCCCCACGTATACCGATCTTAATATTTTGAAGTTTGTTACCACCCAGTTTGTTACCATCCAGATCTCAAAATTTGCAATTGTCTTTACGAGATGAAGTTCTTTTCTCTGACATGGCGATGATTGTCGAGCGTTGTGTTACATCATACATCTTTTTTATCGTTTATCACCTTATTAGCAACAGTTTTCGACCAATGCGCTCGAGAAGTTCTGCAGACATCACAAAAATGTTATATAATGTATAAAATATTATCACATATCTATACATTCCATTAGATATATTTTCAATTGAAACGTTGTTTTTCCATAATTATTATCTCTAGGTGGATATTTGATAACAAAGACAGCCAACTTTTGTAACAAATTTATATTTCTATTCCACTCCGACTACTAGGTCGAAAAGCATACCGGGATGCCTGCTCTCAACTCGGTATCATTCCAGTCTCCTTTGTTATCGAGCACATCACAAGGGAGGAGATTAACATTAAACACCATGGCCTGGGTCCAACCGGAGCCCAAGCCATAGCAGCTGCACTAATGCGAAACACGACAACGACGAAACTAAATCTAAGAGACTGCGCAATAGGTGAGATGGTTTTTTTTTCTTTCATGCGTGTCCCCAATATTAATTTATTGAGGTAGATCCAGATCATATTAATACATTTTCTCTCTAGCATGTTTTTCTCCTTTTCCATCATCCATTTAGATCCAGAAGGCAGTGTTTACATCGCCAGATTACTTCGAGAAAATTTTTATATCACGGAGCTGGACCTTGCTGAGAACAAAATCAAAAGCCCTGGCGCGAAAGCTATTGCCGAAGTTCTTAATGATAACAACACCATAAAAACTCTGAACTTATCCTGGAGCGAGTTCAAAGACAAAGACGCCGCTTGTCTGGCAGAAGGAATTCGTGTAAATCAAACTCTGGTGTGGCTCGATTTGAGTCATAACAACTTTTGTGAAGAAGCTGGAGTTTTATTCGGTAAGAAATACAAAACTTTGATCGAGTAGAGTAATCGTAGAGGGCCCAGTTGTACAAAGGTCGGATAACGCTATCTAGCAAATAAATTGCTACCTGGTGGATGAGTGATCGCAAAACGTATAGCGTTATCTACCGTATAGAGTTTTATCCAGTGGATAGCGTTATCCAACATTCGAATAACCGGGGCCAGGTGAGGTACGCAGTCTGAAAAGGTATGTTGTTGGTAACAGTGACTGACGCCTGCCTCGACAGCCTAATTACAGAAGACATCATTAGAGTCAAACGAAGCGCTGTTTTCCAGTCGTCTTTCATATTTGTAAGTCTGGCTTCTTGACAGTGTTCAATTTTGCCGTCATTTTGATTAATCTTAGGACTCACAAACTACACTTTTCATTTAGTTGCTCGAGAGATTCGAGAGATGCACGCGCTCTGATTGGTCAACTAATCACTGATCATCTAGAACAAGGTGATTATAATACCAAAGCGCTAATTTTCAAGATGGCCATTGGGCATTGTCCTCGAATTGGTCTCCAGGGTTGTCATACAAATAGGCTTTTCATCTTTGCGGAATAATTGTTCAACAACTTCAGACATACAAGCTGACGCTGATGGTGACTTCCACTCAGGTCGACGAGATGTTAGTCAATTGCGATCACCGACATAAAATTTTCGAACTACTCACTGCCAGAGCTTGAGGTGGTTTTTTTTTACTAAAGGTCATTTGACGCGGCAGTTAGAGAGGGTTAAGGTTAACCGAGATTGTATCATCCATGCAGTTTTTTTCTGAGGGGACAGTTGCTCTCAAGACAGTTATTCTAAGACAGTTACTTTAAGCTATCTGGTATTACGAAAATAATATCTACCCGCGTGTTTCGTAAGTGTCCTGACGCAGATCGAATAAATCTTGGAAGTTAACCGACGAGCTTAGAACTAACAATTTCAATCAGAGGAGGATTTTCTCTTTGAGTTTAAGTAACTCACTATTTTAATATTTTAAACAATTTTAACAGATTTGAGTTGCAATTTGCCTCGAGTTTATAAAAGATTTTGCGTCTTATTTACCCAACTATACCCTTTTATTTGTGTTTGCACAACAACAATTTTACAATGTTTTTACTCTAGGACCGGCCATTGATGCAAATGGTGGATTGGAATATCTCAACCTTAGCTGGAATCATTTACGAGGAAAGGGTGGAATTGCTATCGGCAGAGGGCTCCGCGCCAACTGCAGCTTGAAGACACTCAACCTATCTTGGAATGGGTTTGCTGATGAAGGTGCAGCTGCGGTTGGAGAATCACTTAAAGAAAATAACACACTTACTGACATAGATTTGACTAACAACCGGATTTCCACTCAAGGTGCTCTGGCGCTTAGTAAAGGAATTCAAGTCAATAATACTTTGAAAATATTAAGGTTTGTAACGAGTGTACTATACCTAGATACATATTGCATACTGACGAGATAACGATGGATGGCGTAGAAACCTATTTTGATTGCGAGTTGATTAAAGCTGTGGGCGAGATACTCATGGCTAGAGACATTTTTAATCCTACCAGACTTACATAAGCAGACTCAGAAAAATGCTAAGTGACGAAAGCCCTAGCGTAACAAGGCCTAACGAACGAGTAGTGTTCCTAACTACTTCAGTTTTACAATTTTGATGAAAAATTTGGGTTATTCCTTTGGAGTGACAAATAATGTAAATTTTTCCAAAGTAAAGAAATGGTCCTCGTTTGAGAGTCTCGATGGGGTTAACTGCTGGCCGTAAAACGGCCAAAAAATTTAGCCTTATGGCGTAATAATTGACAAATTTTAACCGATAGTCGTAAAAATGTTAACAGTGAAAACATTTGTGGTGACAATAATCATATTAACCGTTTGCCGTAAAATAGCGAAAATTTTTACCGTTAGCCGTGTAAGCTATCGCCCCATTGAGACCCTCTCGTAAGTGAGTTACAGTTGAAGCAAAATACAGAAACAGAACTTTCAGGCTTCGACGAGATTCGAACCCGTGTCTCCCACATACTATACCAACTGAGCTACGAAGCCACACGCGGGGATTATTTCTTCGTTTTAATCTCATACACAGACCAAGTTCGGATTTATTTCATTAATATTGATGATGTTTGTTTCTTAAATGTATGACTTGAAAGTACTCATTAAAGATAACCTTCTCGCGTTGCTTCATTGCAGAATTGGAATGAATCCCTTACAAAATGCTGGTGCTTTTGGCCTTCTCACAGCCATGAAGAACAACCTTGATACGGCGTTAGAAAAAATGTTACTCAACAGTGTTGTGGTGACCTTAGAGACCCAGGCCCTCGTAGAGCTTCTTTTGGGCCAACATCCGGGACTCACCATTACCTGCACTTATAGCAAACGTTCAGGAAACCTATCGGAAGAACTTGACAATCTTTACGGAAAAAACAAGAAGAACGACTTGATTTACATTCTCAAGCAATACGTCGAAGAGAAGAATTATCGGTTGGTAGATTTGTTTAACCAGTTTGACAAAGACAATAGCTTATCAGTGACCAGGGAGGAATTTCGGCAAGGGCTAAAAGGCATTGGTGTGCCCATGACCGATGATCAGCTGACCGCATTGATTGACATGTTGGATGAAGACGGGGACGGTGAAATTGACTACGGTGAATTCACGTGGATAAATGAAGTAGAATAAATGACGTACTCCTTGAATGTGTTGACGAAAACCTGTTTCATGTAAGCTTCTCAGAATGAAAACAATTTATTCATATACGAAGTTTTTTTGAAATTGTAAGCGAGTGTGGAACAACAACGCGAGTAGTGAACATCTCTATAATTTTTTTATTTGATACTTGATAAGCTCTAATCTGGGACCTGACGAACGATGCCTGGAAGAAGAATCTAAAAACGCTTCCTTCGAAAAAAAAAATTGCTTTTTAAGAGACATGCTCGATAAAGAACTTGAAAATAGTAAATTCCATCAATTTATTATTAGTTGCTCTCAATCTCGATCTTAAGGGAATCTTTGTTGATACTTATACCACTACATATGATCATAAGAATTCTCAACCGCAGAAATAAAAGTTTTCGACCGACTTTTTTTGAAACTTTCCTTGCATATGCCCCGATAATTTGTGTTTCAAGAACTACCTTGCTTGCAAAAGAGCAGTGTAAATAGATATGCGGAGCCAATCTTACTAATTACTGGTACCAATCTGATTGAAATTATGCTGAATAAAAAATTATAGGTCGCCCTACTCGGTTAAGGGAAGAAGACCTGTCACAACTTCTCTCAAGTGTTTTATGAAAGTCTAGTCTCAGCATATATGATCATTATACGCCCATATTTATGCCCAGCGAGCTTGCCGGTGAGAAAAAACACGATGCTAATGTTGCCATTTATTTCTAATTACGTAATCTTATGTGCAGAACTGGATGTGTATTGCAATACTGAGGAATCATCTTAACTGTAAAATCCACTAAAACCTCTGGTACTTGCCACTATTTCTATCAGGGCACATTTGCACCGCTCCCTCATCCAGTATTGGGGAGGTACGATGGGTTTTATTGCTCCTACTTGATCTGTCCGAAATTTTTGATACGAGAAACATGTTATGTAATGTAGAACAACACGTGTTTCTAATGATTACGTGAGGTGACATGTCTTCTTTTCCCCTTGAAAAGTGGACGTACAATCTTGACAATTCTGAATTGAACATACACTAAATGAAAGAGAGGAACATGGCTCAGTTACTGTGAAAACTAACTTAAACCCTCTTTTCCAGTTCGTGTTCCAAGTGGTACACAGCACAGCAACCTGTGCTTACGTTGTGAACTTTGATACCTTAAGCCCGATGAACCTCAAAACCGGCCCATTTACGTCAAAGATTTTATGAGTTCGCATGCACATTCAATCCCCGTTAAGTCGATATATGTCGTGATTTTATTATTGTAGTCATCTCAAGAACGTGCCAACCTTGTGTAACTTAGTGTCTTTTGAGTCCAACCCAGCTGTTGACTTAACAAAAGTTTAAGAAATGAAGTGTCAACTAAAAATTCGTGTTTTGAAAGTTGCTGTTTGAGGATAATGTGAGGACACAGAGAACAAAGTAACTAAACATAACAAAAGCCGTGTAGCTGTGGGCGGAGATTAGGGATTCAGCTGAGCTGTGCTCCTCCTAATTCCTAAGTAATTGCAGGTCGGTGAAATGATACCATACTTGTTTGTCAATAGCATCACAGTTCTCATGCGCTCGTTCTTTTCTAATAAATGACATGATTTTCAATTGTTGCTGTGGCTCTTTGCAACGGACGCAAAGCCGGTTTGCTGAAGTAAATTTTGTTTTGCACACAATCACCAATGAAGCCAAACACGAGAAAGTTGTTTATATTTCAGTTTTAATGTCAACCTGGAAAATGAAACTCATAGGTGTTTTTGTTGCATCGGTGCAGATGACATTTCGCCGGATTGTTGTTTACATCGATCGCGGTAACGACAACACAAACAGGTGAAATTAAATCATTTATGGCCTCACGAGATTTTCTCAAATTATTTCAGTTATTAACGTGAATGAAATTCTTTGAATGAAATGCAGAGTACGATTGAACTAGGTTGGAAGTTCTTGTGGACGTGACTGGTACACATTAAAACAATACACAGAGATTTCTTTTTGTTCACAACTTTGTACGTGCTCCCGCCCAAGATAACTTCAATAACGTCCAATCGTTCACTCGGGTACTTCACTGATTTGTTTTACTCTTGAAGTATTTCTGTATTTCCATGACAATTACAGACGATCTGGTATTGTTATTGGGACCAATATGAGTACAATGGCTGCCTTCTTCTCTTTTGTAGTGCACATGATGTGATATTAAAAGAACCATCGCCTGATTCATGGGAACCTGTTTGATGGATTAACGCAAGGGATGAGCTATTGTTAGCTTTCCCTGTTATTCATCGAGGAATGTTAAGTACTTTTCACAAACTAACAAGAGACTTTGTGCTGGAATTCAAAACCTCAGTTTCTTTAGCTCGCTAGTAACAAAACACCTCCATGGATATTGCATAACAGGTAAGACCACTGTGACATTTCCAGACCCAACTTCAAGTCTTATCTTTGAGAAATTGGGAAAAAAATGTCAATTGTGTATGTACGAACGAGCAAATCGTCTGTCGAAGGATCAGCCCGATCCAACTACATTGTATTGATAGCGCTGCATTCAGCACAGCTAGATGGTCAACTTTTTCTTATTGCAGAAATAGTCGCTGAAAAGAGCTCGAAAACAGACCTCTCTTGAACTGAAAAATAGCGCGAAATTTTGTTCCAAATATGTGACATTGCTTAGGCATTTCGTGGATGTTCAAGACTTCTCTTGTATAAAAACTGTATAATACCGGCTTTTTGTTTTTGTAGACCATCTTTGACAAGTATGGCTCTAAGAAGGCTCTGTTTCGTTGTATTTGCATCCAGTTTGACACCTCATGATCCCTTGGTGTCAACTCAGTATTTTTGCTAAGAGACAAAAGGAAAGCAATCACAGCTAAAAGCTTGGACTGCCCCAAAACGGAAGTCAAACAATATTTTACCCACATAAACTGAAAGCTTTTGTTATTATTACATTATCACGTATCTTGCAAAGTTGATACGACATAAACACTCGGTTACATAAGAGCTAACTAGATATCTGTCCGCAGCTACTGATTGAAATACGAATGTCAAGGGAAAAAATTCCATTAGTCCATTTGAAAATTATTGTTTTAATTAGTTCTGTTGAAGCTTTGTCTAGATTTCGACGATTAACATACCAGGTATTCATTTTCTTGTTTACGTTCCCCAACAGATCTAATTTACCACGGTTTTAAAAAGTGTAAAGCTGAGTTCATCGGAATTCTAAACTAGTAGTCAGCAGTGTGGTACAACGTGAATACACTTGTACTGGGTAAATGGTTCTCGAGATGTCCACTGAGAAGGTGGGTTCACCAAGTGAAGGAATGGCAGCTAAAGTAGAAGATTCACTATTCAGATTTCGCAAAGAAGAATTAGACATTGAAAAGCTGCGTACATTTTCAAGATCTCTAAATGATATCACTTCAGAAACATTGTACAGCAAGTGGAAAAGAGCGCGAGGAGAGGGAACCAAGTCACCCCGGCGCACAACTCGAAGCATCTCTCTGATTACACCGCCAAATATCGCGCGCCAAGAAAACCTACAACAAGGTAAACCAGCTAGGAAGAACAGCTTTCATGTTTTGCAGGAGAATGTTTTCAGGCCACGGAGTTGGACTATAGCGGCGAGTCCTATGGAGGTCATCAGCGAGCATTTTGCAATGCATACACTAGATGTCAATAACAACAACGACACGCGAGGCTTAGATGGACAAGATGCAAAGCGTCCGTGGGGAGAGAGAAGAAGGAATAGGAAACAATTCAGGGTATCACTGCAGATTCCTCAAAAGAAACACAGTCCACCAACGTCTACTGGAGCCGAAACAGTTACTCAAGGGAAAAAGGATCGTGTTGATCGTAAACAAGAGGTCGGAACCGGTTCGGAAATTTTTACCAAATCCTCTCAAGTGCCACGATGTGTTTCCGAATCTTCACGAGGGGACGGAAACCCTCCGATAGTGGCACACCTTGTGAGTGAAGTAGATGATGCTCCAAAGGCAATGGAGGACTCATATGCAGAGAAACCTGTTTGCAGTTTGTTTACCGAAACAGTGAAAATCGAGCTTCCACAGCAGTCTGTTAGCATGCCCGCATCGCCAAACTTCCCAATGAGAAAGGTTCCTGAACATGCGTGGGAGGAAGTCACAAAAGACTCTAATGGGGGGCAAAGTAAAGAAGTCATTGTCCAAGACGCCTCTGAGATGACAGCAAGCAGTGAAAGGTCAAAAGCATCACAGAATACTTTCTCACTTGGCTGCACTTATGCAGTGGTCAGCCAACCAACGCGAGAAAATGAAAACACTGTCAAACAAATAGCGAAAATGAACAGCACAGTGATCAGCAAAGAGCAACGTGCCGAACTGGAAGAAGAATTCCAAAAGTTGAAAAAAGCTTCGCTCGAGTTGGATAGAGCTGAGTTTGAAGAGAGAAGATTCGACAGCCCAAATGGAGTCAATTCAAAGGACATTTTAGAGTCACAGCCGTTTAGACGATTCTCAGAACTGAATAATCCAACTGTATGGAACTCATCTAGTCAACCAACGGCCAGAGCTATTCTACAGAATATTAAAAACGTTGCGCATAAAACAGAAAAAGAGAGAATCGAGGATATCGAGTGGGCTTTCGAGTGGATCAGAAAAGAACTTGCTGAACTACGAGCTCAAGATAAAGATATAATGCGAACATTTACTAAGATTCAAGCCGGGATAAGAAAAATTAAACTCCAACGTGCATTGAACGGCGCCTTAGACGAGTCGTACGAATATGACATTGTGGACCATTCTGTAAATTTAAGCGCTAGCTTCTCGTATGTTCCGTTAGTTAAAGAATTCCACAACACGTTCCCGAGAAGAGCAAGTCTTATATGAACTTTTAACACTATCTAATCAACCGTCAAAAGACAATAATGAATTGGTTCGAAATAGAGGCATGTCTAGGCCCGTCTGCGCTTTATAAGTATTGACTAAAATTAGAGGCTTTAATCTCTGTTACTGTAAGAAATACTCAGCCAAGTGTGTTTTTTTCGAGTGTAATTATTGAGTGCCAAGATCAATGCAGTAGAAAGTCCAATGCTTTGAAGAAAGGTACTTTCAAAATTGATAATAAAAGAAGCGTGTTTCACAGCTTGCCGAATGTAAGCTAAGAGAATTTATTGTGTTGTAATTTTTTGACTTAAAAAGTTTTAGACGCAGATTAAGAAGACTTCGACCACGTGCAGAAGTCATTTTCCTGCTGTGAGGTAAACGAAATGTCAAGCAAATGGATGACAGATACAGGAATTCAAATTTCTCCCTTTGAGATCAATTTGTAACAACAAGATATCGGTGGTCGGGTATGGCACAGAAAGCCATCAATTCGTGCTCCAATTCCCTGAGCGTCTCTTGCTCAATTCTATTGTTTGAAAGAATTCGAGTGTGTAGAGTTATTTATTTTCTGCTTCACTCGGAGGAAAAAACGGAAGCCCGCACATGCCTCAGCGGTTTAGAGCAGTTGAGATTTACACCTAGAATCACGGTGATGCAATAAAGTAACGCTTGCGTTTATTCGTAGTAAGATGTACGCGTCGAGTGTTTTGAAAATGCAAATAATGATGTTGTTGATAAAATGTAAATGATACAATAGTTGTGTAAATGAAATGAAATCTGTTAATTGCTCCCTTGATCTGAGTTGTTTCCGGTAAACGTGAGTTCTTTTCTTTCGATCAAGCAAGGTGAACAATTTTGAACGGGCGTGAAAGAGTTGACAAAAAGTTTCTGCTTCTGAAATCTCCAAGCAACCAAAAAGACACGTGGCTACTCTAACGTTGGTGTCTTTTCAAAGAAATTTTGGAGCGTTGGTGTGGTAACTAAGAGCAGAGACTAGTTTACAATTGGCTGTGAAATGTTTATTGTAGTATAACGCAATACTATTGAAAATTATAACGGGTTTATTGAACAACAAAAATGTCCAGGAAAATTTCCAGCCCTTAAACGTGACTTGTAGTCTCGTTGCATGTGAAACGAAAATTGTTCAGGAGAGGATACGCAAACGGCAGACAACAAGAACCTTCTTTCTCTGCCTTTTCAGCGTTTTTTTTTTTCAATTATGTGAAAAAATATTTAATCCTCGGTGAACAAGCAAAAATTTTTGCTATTCTTTTTAGAGCTATCAGAAGGATTAGGAGATAAGGGATCGTAATCACATGCATATTTTGTAACTTTGCCGTGTGACAGACAAGGGAAACATTCGATTTAAGTGTAGGGCCTTTTTCCTTCCTACTAAGGAGGAGTGGAGTGGCGACTTTTAAGGCATTCTCTTTTTCCATCCTCAACCTTCGAAAGATAACTAGACAATAAATTGGCCAGTAATTAAAGGCTACAAAAGAAAACGGAAGAAATTATCGCTAGGAAAGTTGACGCATTTTGCATTTAAAACCAATATACCATTAGGCAAGATTACGAATTAGGGGTCACGGCACAGACACAGCTGGCGTTCAGCTAATATTGCATTTAGAAAAATTTGTAGCTCTCTAATTAACTAATAGTCTCGTTGCACGTGATACGAAAATTGTTCTCGGAGATCTTTGGGAGGGAAATGAGAAACCAAGCCAACAGCAGGTAACAAGAACCTTTCCTTCTTTGCCTCTACAGCATTTCAAGTTAATAGCGTGAAAACATATGAACATTTTCGATGAACAGGAAATATTTCTCTGTTATTCTATCAGATCTATCTAGGATGAGAAGCCAGGTGAGTGTAATTCCGGGTAAATTCTGTCGTGTGACTTTGTTGCAAACGTGGAAAGCATTAGATCCGTGTGTTGAACTCCACGCCCCCCCCCCCCCCAACCTGGGCTTTATAATTTCCTACTGAGGGGGATGAAGCAGGTTTGAAGGGAGCTCAGGCTTAATAAGGGTGAAAACCTCTAAGCCTTTTCTTCTTTTTCCTTTCTCAACCTTCGAAAAGATAAAAAATAAATAAATAAATAAATCTGCTTGCGAGCGATGAATGGCCAAAAAAAAATTAGATATACAGAGGCCCTTTTTGCACTGACTTAGCCAAGTCTGTCTGCCTTTGTTTTTATATAAGTGTTTTCTGGGGAAAATAGAGATGACAGTAAACTCAACATCTCATTTCAATTTGAATTGGTTTGGTTTTTTTTTTTAACAAAAACGTCATTAATTTGTTTCGAAGATTCAGTTCAGTATTTCACAATAATTCAAAAAAATCGAAATTTTACTCAATACAAGAACTAAAGAGCAAAACAAAAATACACCTTCCTTTGGTATTACTGAATATAATGATTTACGAACGCCGAATAGTTTAGTCTGGGCTAAGTACTTGATATTAATTATTCCATCAATCATCCACTTTCATATACGGTACAAGCTTTCATGGTATAGACTATATGTAGCTAAAAAAAATAGATACACTACTTTTTGTTTACGAAATTACATTTTTGTTTTTTCTTACGATGAGGTGAAGAATTCTGCGTCACAGTTAACTAGTTCTGAACTGTGCCAAACTTATACAAGTAAAGACTAACTTCTGCTCAATTCAAGCGCCACATGCCGGGTTTCATTGAGGACCACATTGCATAAAATATACGCTCATATTATTCTGAAAACTGATGTCTTCCTTTCTTGGGTCTTTTTCCCTCACTCGCGCTTAAACGACCTGACTCTTTTCAGACTTCACTGGTTCTGGAAGAACTGTGATAAATCGTTCTTGCAAAAGTCTAAATAAAATTTTACACGACCAGCTCATTAACTGTAATCTCTTTCTATATTCTCACACCGCAAAGATACTTAAAAAAAAAACGGGGGGCGAAAAAGGGGACGAGAATTCGCTTCTACCAAAAATCTCGTTGATTTTTGCTCGCCCCCGCTTTCCTTCGTCTACTTTGATCGAGAATCTGAAACAGCCCGGCCTATTTAATAGCTGTGTAAGAAGATCCAAGGATCCTATTGTTATTATACTCTCCTAATTTTAGAGCGAATTGAAGAAAATTCATGAGGCACTCCTAATTGTCAATTCCGTACCACATTATCAGCTTCACACCTTCAATATGGTTAATAAGTAATTTGCGATTTTGGCTTGATGTAGTAAAACATGGATGAAAAATGCTTTATAAAAACTATTTTACCGAAAGTATCTACTATACAATGCCTCTTCGTTTCACTTAAATGTTACGACAGTTTCTTCTCTAAAAGTATCTTTAGACCTCGTCGCTTTCCTCTTCAAAGTCTTCATATCTTTTTTCTTTGTCTTTGTTTATGTTTCTTTTCTTTTCATTTCATATTTAACTTGGCAACATTTGTGAAACATTTACCGGCATCAAATAAATCTCCCACGAGATAAAGTCTGGTCGACCGCATCTTTCTGTCGTGGATGTCTAAAAAGCTAGGGAGAGAATAAAAAAAAACAGAAAAGGATGAGGACTTGATATTTCCAAATTCACTCAAGAATACAAGGGAGTTAATTTGCGGCTACAAAGAATCTCCGGGACACCGAGCGCATTCACTAAAACTCTATCGATAGTACACTCTTTTACGGAGTGTAAAACTGGGAAAACGATGTTTGTACTTCGTTAAAATCACTTTTCATATTGTCTACGTAATCAAGTTCTACTTTACAAGCACAGATCTGTCATGGATCTATTTTTATTGCCTTTGTTGTCAAATATACCAGCTGCTACAATTTCACGGACAATGCTTTCGAGGTCACCCTGAAAAAGTGCAATTAACTTTGCATAGCTTTACTGATTCAGTGATCCCTGTGCGTGACACTTTTTGGCAACGGCTCTAATGCAGCCACACTCGCAGCAAAGAGAGTAACAGAAAGAAAAATAAAAAAATATCGTCAACAACGAACCCAAAATTTCAACTTCCTACGTGTCTGCAATATAATTCTGGTTCAGTGAGCTTGCACTTCACTTCCGTTGTTTACCTCACGTATACGCTTTAAGAAGCTTTACAATCTCAATTACGGTTCACTTTGAAAACAAATGTCTTGGGGTTTAAAAAATTATGTCACGTATTTTGATTTCCCTGAGGCAGTTTCGCATACTGTTTTCTTGGTGTCCTATCAATCCGATGGGATCAGTTACCGCTCACCGCTGAGAGACACTACATACCCGTCACAAAATAATGCAACTAGATGTATTTTTTTTAGGAACTACTCTGCCGCGACCAACAAAAACATTTTGTGTATAAAATGTCTATTATGGCCACCTATGATCACATAGTTATAACTGATTGTTTGAAGTTTGCGACGTACGAGAAAGCAGTCGCTTAAGCTTTCAGGGAACTGTTTGCTATGGAAATTAACGATTACTTCTAATGAGGAAATAACTTGCTGAGTTATTTTACGATTTAAGTTTCTCCTTTTACATCCTGTGTTTTTCTATTCACTTAAACTAAACCACGGATTTAACAAATTATCTGCCGCGCTCTCTTCATTTCCTTGATGTGCACTTAAAGACGTAGCAAAGTGTAAAAATACCGTAGGAAAGTATTTATGTCACGTTTTTAAACTACAACGTGACTCGAGAACGGGTATGGGTATTGAAAGATTCGAGTCTGTCGCAACAGCTCGTGAAAAAGAGCATGAAAAACTTCCAAGTGTGATCATAAAAATGAACAAAAAATTGCCCCATTGTAGTGACATGTCAAAAAAATCCATCTTGCGTCTCATATTAAAACTAAATCATAGATCACTCTTCCTTCAATTCTTTCACGTGATCAGTTTGCAAAAATAGCAAGGGAGGAATTGAAAGTACGCTTTTTTGAGAAAGTACCTGAAATGTGAGATGAAAGCCACTCAATATCTACATTTCATTTTTTTGATCCTAGCTGTACGAGCATGAGCCAAATAAAGCCAGCAGGCTTAAGGGAAATCCAGTGTACCTACCTCCGGATTTTTGCATGGAAATTAGCATGAAAACAGAAGCACTCACGATCCATTTATCGGATTTATCTTCCCCTGGATTAAAAACCATTTTTGGGGGAGGGACCAAAATTGCCTTCATTAAAAGAAATTCAGAGTTCGTCATTGTTTTTAATGTCTAGGAATCTTTCTTAATTAACAATCTATTATGATGCGAGCTTTATATTGCCGTGGAATAACGATTAAAGGGCGCCTTCAGTCTGACATTTGTCCGCAGCGGCGCAAACGTGCACTATCAGAAATGTCTGTATGTAATACTCTGAGATTCCATTTTGTTTGATCGATCAACAGTAAAGAAAAAACATTTGTAGCTTAGTTTGCACAGGTGGTCGACACTGCTGGTATAGTACATGGTCAGCAAAGGTTTTCGAAGAGCCCTGTGCAATGAAACACTCGACCTATGTTGGTTTCGTATCGTGCAAAACGTGACTACTTTGAGGCACAGAAAATATATTGTGAATAACATCCTATTAGATATACTACATAGGCGGTTAAGCTGCCTTGATGTCTATTTTGGGACCACTTGTGATCAATGGATTATCTTTTCTGATCAGCCAGCCTCATGCACTGCTGACAGGAACAGAGGTGCCTTTTGATGATAACGCTAAAAATTGGTGAAGTGTTTCATAAATAAACAGTGGAGCAGATATTGTAGACAAATAGGAATTCAAAGTGAAATCACACGATAATGATCCAAATAGACCGGGAAATAAAGACTTCAGATGGAATGAGCTGGAACGTAAGGACGTTAGAATGTAACCTCAAATCCATTCATCCATTGAGTTGATTCATCAACTGAGTTTATGAAATCAATTGAATTCATTTTGAAAAACAGTCGGGTTTTCATCAAAATGATTGCAAAGCGCAAGGCGAAAAGTACATTGAGCGCTGATTTAAGCGGCCGAGCTCTAGACTTTTTGTAGATGAAACGCGTCCTTTCGTAGAACCATGAGGAAACTACAAACTCATTGGTTTTTAACCAACTTAAACCTTACTAATGAAAGTTCGACTTAGAGTGAAAGAGATCTGAGTTACAGTCAGCACAATTCTTATGAAAAATTTATAAGTCTTTATAAAGTTTATTGCTCTGTGTAAAGAAAGAAAACTAAGTTACGATATCATTCAAAGGTGACCTTGTGAAACGAGCAGCTGACATGGAATGAAGAAAAATAACATAAAAATGAAATGAAGAAAAACGAAATAACACAAAGCTTAAAAAATACCACACAAAAAAATGTAAAAATTCGTGTAACTATCAAAGTTCACATCCGTGATAGGAGTAACTATGGCAACCACTTTAAGTAAATTAGATTTTCCAAAGCAATAGCCCCTAGATACGTGATGTTTTGACTAATCCGAGAAAGGGACTTCCCAGAACCGTGAACTAAGAGAAGTTGATATGAACTTCCGATTGACGTTACGACTTCCTTCAAAATCCCCCGTATAAGATAACACTTTAGTTAAATCTTCTGTTTAACCAAAACTATGCGATCCATTTCTAAATCGGGTTGACACCTTTATCGGTTCATTCACTCACGTTTTCGTTGCGATGCATCAAGAACAAGTAAAGATTTTGATTAAGATATATTTTATTTACTTAGAACATTTTTGAAATTGAAAGAATTTTTGCGTATCTCAAACTGAAAATGCGGGAACGTTTCATTCAAAGTTGATCATCGAACACGGTGAAAATATTCAATCCACGCCCCATTTTTCAAGTTTCTCTACTGACAGTAATGCCCCAAGGCACAGGATACACCAAACATTTGATTACCAAATGAAATGCTTTAATGGGCTCGCACCAAAACAAACTTGAAAATGTCTAATTGATTTGACGTTGTGGTTAAATGTTTGCATTGCGTTTCTTTTGATCAAGGATTACTGCAGTTTCACCTCGTGACCTGCAAGGCGTAATATTGCTTTTCAAGAATGACTCCTCCTTCAGAAACACGCAAAGTCAATTCAAAAATCGACACTAATCTATCAACATTTCCTATAGGTCTTCTGCCTTGAAGTTCACTACTGTCTTAAGTATTAAAAAGCTTTGGAAAAGGTTTCCTCTTCTATTCATAGTTTGTTTGCCATGAAATGATGGCCAAATTAATTGTTCAGCGGAAGTCAACGAACATCTTGAAGTACCTATTTGCCTCGTTATCTTCCACAGGGGTACTGTTTTCTTTCAAAACATTTTTCGTTTATAATTTCCATACTTGTTTTCCTAAATCTAAAGTGTTTACGTCCAATCCTGAGCCTTTTAGGGAGTTCCAAGTAAATTTACAACACAAAAGGCTTTCTTTGTTAGAAAAGAAAACAATGAGTTGTTTTGGTTTTGAAAAAAACTGATCAATCGTTTTACATCGAATGTTGCGCTAGAGTGCTTTTTCCCACGAAAAAATTTTTTGAGAGGACAATAATAATCATAGCAAGCCAGAGTTCGAGAAAAAGAAAACGCTCCTTGGAGTTGTTGATATGGTTCACTTCTGGGTGGTACGACTAAAGAAGTATAATGTACACAGAGACTGATATGGTTTCGAGGTGCGATACAAACAATTATTGCCGGTCAACACAATTTGATATCCGTAGCGCGCGGCTGAGTTAGAGCATTGAATGTATAATAGTAAGCCAAGTTTTAAGTACCAAAGCAATGTACAACTCATAGGAGTGTGTCGGAACAATACATACAACAAAGAAAAACAATTTTCTCAACAATTTACTTACCTACAATAAAGAATATTTTCTTTTCAACACCAGCTAAATCGTCTCGAGTGAGCGTGTGTCAACCTTTCCTCAGTTAACAGAAGTGTTTGGACTCGTGGGGTGCTGTCCACTTCATTGCGGTCAATACAGGTGGCATCGAATTCTTCCGCTTTTAGTTCACTTTTCAAGTTCACTATTTTCGCCCGCAGACTGATAAATAAACTGACCAGGTCCCTGTCTGGTGTTTTTATACGATTAAGTTCCTCAAGGATCCACTTTAGTGCTTTACTCAATTCGTCCAGTCTTTCTTTTTTGCTTTTATACTTTCCTTCTTGTTGCAGCCTGCTGAGTAACTGTCGGGCGTGTTCCAGTGCGCTCTGCGTGCTGTAGCCGGACAGCTTAGCTGTAGCATTTGAGTTATTAAAGGAGCGTGCTGGGTTTAAAGTGGCAACCGAATATCTACGCGCGGGATGGTTTCCACCTGCAGGGTACGAATCTAACGATTGCACCGAGGAAAATCGTCGGATTGGCCTTACGGTATTCAAACTAGTGTGGCTATCGTCCTTGAAAGGAGCTAAATCGCCGGATATCGGCTTAGCTGTTAACGTGCTGTAGACGGCACTATCGCTGTCAGACGATGAGTGATAAGAACTGTTTGATGAAAACGATGCCTCGCTGCTAATGTCGCTAAACACGTCCTCCATGGAGCGACTAATGTTTCCTTTAACGTCCTCCACCTGTAATCCTGGTCTTACTTTGCCAACCCCGTTTACTTTAGGTCCTTTGAAACCTTGCGCTTGTGCAACCAATTTCTTCCACTGATCGTCGTCTTCGTTTCTGCTACAATCAACACTTTCTGTATCTTTTCCTCTTACATCGCTTTCACACCCTTTGTCATCAACATCACACTCATCAGAACCTTCATTCGTACTATTTCGCGGCCTCGGCAACACGATGCTGACCTTCTTGAAACTTGTATACCCTGCGACGTTATGAAAGCTACCATCGGAAAATCGGCGACGATTCAGCGAGGAAGCCCTGCTGATGGAATTGTTTGGGGTAATTGAATTAACCTTGACGCTGTCGTCATCAGTGCTGTGTTCTTCTGAGACAGCGCTAAATACTGGAGCGCTTGTTTTCCCAGAGAATCCAAGAAAACCATCCGAAGCGCGTCTTCCATTGCGGGTCTTTGACAATTGTGATAGAAACGTTACATTATAAGCGGGAGTGACACGTCGGATCGGCTTCTCGATAGTAATTTGAAATTGGGGTCGCACCACGGCCTGCGTATCCGTTTTCACTTCCCTATTCGTTGTGCTGTTCCTCGACAATTCTCTTCGCTCGCTGTTGTAGAACCGATCTGGGTTTTCAATCCCTTCGCCTTTCCTTGTGGTTGGAAAACCCTCCAATCGAACGTCTCCAAGGGAGATAGAATGCCTGATCTTCACTTGATCCCATCCGTTGTGTTGTTCTCGGTCGTGTGTCCTACTTACTTCCCACGTTTTGTACATCCCGTCCCTATCCGCAGTGCTGTTTTGCCACAGCCTGTCTTTATACCCGATCTCCTTCATGCTCGCCACTCCGCACAGCATTCTTTGAAAATCTGGCGCTTCACACACAAGTGAGAGCAAACATTTTGTGACGTGGTGTACTTCATAAACAAGCGCATGTGATTATTCAAACGATACTAATTTCTTCCTCGTGGTTGTTTAGCTATATTAAGCGACTAACCGCAAATTAGTCTGATGTCTAGATTGTTCGCCTGTCAATCTCTACACAGTGAAACATTCCACACGTACTACAACTCGGACTATGCAAGATAAAGAGAATACTTCTAGCTGTTAGATTTTGACAGCTTGAAAGTCACCCACCTATTGTGCGGTTAATAACTTTTGTATTTAGTAATAGGAGCAGCACGTAGTTCATGAACCTTGCGGAGATTTGGTTACCCCCCTCCCCCAGGGAGGCAAAATACAGACAAAGAAACTCCGCTTTAAAGATTACCACAGTCACTGCGGGGTTTTTTTTTTGACGCACCTGCAATACTGGTTGTTCGTATTGAAGACTGCAATATGCAAATAATCGAAGAGTTTGTGTTTTATTCTGGATCAATATAGTTTTCATTTTCAGTGATAACCAAGTTGTCTCTTCATCGGTTCGGGGTCAAATTGGTCGGGTTCTTTTGTAACCGCTAGTCAGCTTAGATACAGTGAAAATCATTTGACAGGTCAAGATGTTTCTCTTAGCTAGCCATAAACTGCCATCGATCACCAGAACAACTTAGGGACGATCTGTGTATTGCTGGGCTCTTGAACAATGATCGCAATTCAAAACTACAAACATTTCAACTCAAATTGAAATAAAAATGTCGGATAAAACGACTAAATACATTGGAAATTGCTGAAATTCTTACGATGTCGCTAATCTGACAACAAACATGTTTGCCACTGGGATCAACACCCCGAAAGATTCAAATAACTGAGCGATTTTTAATTAACTTTGCTTCTTTTGTTTTTGAAGTAGAGCAAATACAGAATAAAACTTACCAAAGAAAAATTTGAATAATTGCCTCTAGTAAATCTTTGTTGAAAAGTCAGCATTTCTGACTTCACTAACCCACAGACATGCAGTTTCAAAGAATCTAAATGCCATTTTAAGCCGTTTAAAGTAACCGTTCCACATACTTGTTCCAATTAAGTAATAATGAAGCCACCCGGCTTTGAGAGAATTTGCAGTTCAAAAAAAATTAACCCTTGTAGTTATTTGTGTCATTTGACTCCTGAATTGTTGAGCTGGTTACTCTTTGGAACGGAAAGGAATATCATGCCAAATACTTCGATTTAAAAGCGGATATCCGCCTCTAATTTTTTTTTTAGCGCGCGCGCCTTGCTCAGTGGCAGACGGACGGTTTCGACAAAGGGCCTAAAACGTATGGCGCAATTTCGAAAAACAGAAATAGAAAGCGTAATTAATTTCAACTGCTAACTATTCGAAGAATTTTAAGAAATTTAAGAAATTCGTTAATATCACGTATTTTTAAGTATCCTAACTCGATAAGTATGTTCTAATTACAAAGCGATTTAGAGCTAATGAAGTCCTGTCGCACTTGCAAAAGCACTTGTACCTAACTTGCGGGAATGGGGTGGGGAGACTGGATCGGGAGGAACCATAAAATTGATACTTTTCTGAGGGGAGGAGGTGAAAGGATATGTTTATATTCACAGAATCCATTTTGCTGCCACTGTTCAATCAATCCAAGGTGACCAACAAAAATTTTTGTACCGCTTCATAACCAACAAGTGCTTTATCATTAATTTCAAACTTATGGCTCTGAATACTCATAAGCACAGATGAATATTTGAGTACAAATTAATGGACTGACTCGGAAGAATCCAGAGACTTTTCGTATAAAAGCGAGATATTAACTCTTAATGAGTTTCAACTACAATACCATGAATGAAGGAAATCATTTGATAATCGAGCAACGCCCTGTTAAGCACTTTCTAGGATTTGGGCTCCAGTTCGGCGTGTAGAAGGCGATACTGATATAATATAAAGATTCTTGGCGTCAGCGTCCTCTTACTTCGTGAGGTTTGAGGTCCCTGAATTGGACTGAATGATTATTCACTTAAGTCCTTTTCAAAAACCTTTAACAAATAGTTTTAGGCGAGTACAAAACCGGTCTGCGTTACCTTTCATGTTTGGACAATATCTGAAGATCTAGAATCTTACGGTTGCTTTGTATTAAGAGTAAGGGCTTAAAGCAAACCACGAAGGTAATGGAAAGGATAGAAGTGGGGAAACAAAAGATTTCATGAATAGAACAATAGCTCTACCTGAGTGCTTTAAAACTTTAAACATTTCACTGCCGCCCTCGATGAAATATCAAAGTGAAATCACAAAAGTTTTCGTGACATGGAAACTGGAAGCGCGAGGACGAATTGTTAACAGTTTTGATGAATTCATCGCTTCGTTCACATGCCATGCTAAAACCAGAGTCTGGCGTCGCGAGGGACGGTAAATACATCCAGCAATACGAGAAATTCTACAAATAAACATAATTTATGCTTTAATTAATGTTTCCTTCAGCGTTCCCTTCTGACTGGCTAAGGTCGCTGGTTCCTCAAGCGACGTACGATGTAATAGAACTGTCTACGGAATTAAAGTTTTCTTTTACTAATGTTAAAATATGGTTGGCAAAGAGGGAATAACCAAGCATTATTTAACAATTATTTCGTTTACAAGTGGCACATAAAAATTCGAATTCAAGTCTTAAATCATTTCGTTATCGGCATGTTCATTTAGTTCTAGGTCAATTCATGTTAACTCTCTTAGTTTCACTTGAAGAATACTTGACTCAACTGAAACCCAACATCACTGTATGTGTGCATGTTTTACTAAAACAATTCTCTTTTGTGATCAGCTGTAATCAATTATATGGGCCTTCGTGGAGACACGTCTTATAAGACAGACGACCAGAGATGATGCATTTTTTTAGATACTATTCCAAAACACTTGAATATCAACGACTGCTACTTCCCACGAAGTTATTATCAGCTTAAACGATCCAATTTTTCCTTATTCTTCAAGAATGATAAATTTACAATATCTTTCAGAATTATTACGTCGTAATCAAATTCTACTGCTCGAAATACACTATCGTAGACTTTGAGTTGTGCAATCTGAGAACTGCGGAAGATTTTAGCCTGATCGTTTAATTAGTTGTCATATTTCAAACCAACTATTGACAGTCGAAGAAAATTGATATGGTTTCGCTAAATTTTCATGATCAGACGTGAGAAGAGCAAAATCATGGAGATTGCAATTTTTTATGGATAAACTGACGACTCTCCGGGAATATAACACACCCAGCCCACAGTTGCTCAACAAAAGTACAAACTGAAAAAGTCTGGCTGAGCTTCGTTTTCATTACTTCAATTCCTCCCAGCAAAGTATAATTCTGAGGGACTGTAGAACCTCAAAGAAATCCCTATAGTTACAAAACGTTCATGGATTGAACTTTACAGTTTAGTAGAGGGATAGATATTTTAAAGTATACCGAACACTTAGCAAGTGGCAAGTTTTTCGCCAAACATTACGAGATCATCTCTGATGTTTCAATTACCTTTCCGACTGGGCCTTTTGTTGTTGGATCTTAAAGGAGATTATCAAGTGATTAACTTCTCTATTCAGACGTATGACTATATTTGCTTGAATGAAAACCCTGTACGTGCTGACAGTTGTTTTATTAGTGTCTTGGAGCAATATTTTAGATTTCGACGATACTTTAAGATTTGACCAGCTTTGGTGTTAATGATCGAATGGGTTCATTTACACATCATTGTGTAGGAAGTAAATATAAACGTACTATGGATTATTTACGTAATCAAAATATGTAGAGAACAGATATGGCCTGCAAGGACTTAATATGAACATACGGTGATGCTCTCATATATTTTCTTCCTCACAGTACTTTGTTAAGTGCTTGTAAAAAGTGGCTCACAGGCGACAGAATATCTTTTTTCACGCAAATTGAAGTACGCTTGACCCAAAAAAGTTCAGTAACTGAGCTTAGCTAAGAGAGAGTTCACTGTTATTTCAGAGTTTTCAGTCTGGGAGACGAGATTGCCGCAAAAAGGAGGGGTGGAGAGGGTGGGGGAAGGGCACTGTGAGAGAGGAATGTAGGAATTAGTTTCCAAGGAACCTGTTGTGCTGCGTAGGTGGGAAAGTATAACAAGATAATTTGGTTGTATGAACTGAGTCTCTAACGGTAAAATGGCCACCGTAAAGAGTTTCCAAAGCACTAGAAATTCTTCGCGGTGACCAATTTGCATTTATTTATCAACTCAAATGAAGATGAGAGTGTTTATCGCATCAACTCTGTTGATAAAACAGAATTATTCTATGGGAGAAGAAAGCTTTCGAGAAACTTTAAGTAAGCCTACTAGCGAAGGGGAGGGGATCATTCGAGCGTTTAGGTACATGATCATTATACTTAGAGTCAATTAACACCTCGACGTCAGTAGAAAATTATTTTTGCGCGACTTGCAGTTTAGTTCCAAAGAAGGTAAATACGTATCCCAAGAGATAAGACAATCCTTTAAGAACTGGATATTCTTTGGTGGTATTTTTAGAACAATAAAGAATTTTAAAATAGACATGCTTATAATTATTCTTTTCATCGTCACAACCATTTGTCTTGTTGTGGCACCTTGTGATGGCGAGACATGCAATCTTGCTTTTAAAAGGTTGGTCTTTCAAACTCATCGCGGACTCTGAAACCATAGACTTCGGAACACAGACGATGTTCACGTTCGGAAGCAGGTTTAAAAAGAAGGCGAATTAGAACCACTAGATACGATAAAAACGATGCAATAAAAATTGATTAACAAATTCAAGTTCATCAAACTATGGCAATCGTGAAACGACAAACAAAAGGCAACGAAACAAAAGCGAAACACACGGTTGATGACGAACGTAACAAGAAAAGTAATCAGTGATACCACGAACTATGAAAATCACCCTAACTTTCCCAGCATTATCTGATCGCGCGACAATATTCGAAAAGAACCCTAACTTATAACAAGAATGA